GGTGGAGGATGAGGGTACTCCGACTTGCTGGGAGGAGGTTGAGGATATTTCGAGCTTGGAGGAGGGTGAGGATACTCCGACTTGCTGGGAGGAGGTTGAGGATACTTGGAGTTGGGAGGAGGTTCAGGGTACTTGGAGCTGGGTGGAGGATGAGGATACTCCGACTTGCTGGGAGGAGGTCCAGGGTACTTGGAGCTTGGAGCAGGAGGCTGAGGGTATCCAGGAGTGGGAGTTGATGCTGGGTACTCAGGAGGAGTATTGACATATCCTCCCGCCGAAGCGGTGCCCAAAAGGGCGAGAAGCGAGAGTGCGTACTTCATTCTGTCTCAGTCCAGTCGAAACGAATTGACGTGAAAGCAAACAGTGCCGTGAAGACGTGGGAGCGAGTGTTGCAAACGAATGCAGCAACAGTGACCGTAGCGAGAGAGTCACTGAGTCTTTAAACTTGAGAACGCTGGCCAACTTCCTGATGTGATGCACAGTTGAGAAGCCTGAGTCCTACGGATGGCTGGGGCATCCTCCTATTAAACATATCGAGCGGTGGGGAAACAGGCGGGTACCTTCCAACCATCATCTCGATACTCGGGGCCTAACCTTGGGTCAGGCATGATGGTCGAAAGTCGTTACATCTGCCAAGGTGAGCTTGGGTGCCATGATTGTGGATGGAGACAGGGACTTGTTGCTTTCGGGGGAGGTTGGAGCGGCCGCATGGAGAAGGTTCTCGTATGGATGAGCCGAAGATTGTGATAATCGATAGTTGAGGGCTTGGGATATGGTAGCATAGCATCCCAGTAACTGGGCAACGCTAAAGAGGCAATACTTGGAGCGAGCCACTTGGATGATGCCATGCGTGCGGCTTGCATGAGGTTACTGGGATGTTGGCCGTTGTGTTGCCCGCCCCCTCCTCCTTTTCAGCCTTCTTTTTGTTGTTTTTGTTCAAGTCAATAGGGTTTACATGATGTTTCTGCATAGTATCTTACTCGTAAGAATAAGACTTCATTTATCAACAAGGCAATTCCACCATGCCTGCTGAGCTCGCATTCGATCCAAAATCGTGAAACTTCGAGAGCCATGGTAGGGACACGGCGTGGAAGGGCACTACTCAGTAGTCAACGGTTGCTTTGCCCAGAGAGCCGGCCATGTCTATCTGCCAGTAAGAGGACCGCTTTGTAAAGAAATCCGTTATCGGGCGTAGAGCCTTAGGTAGAAGTTAGTTCTGATGGTTGGAGGGAAACAGACAAGACTTCAGTTACCCCGGCTACTGGTCCGACGTCGACTGGTGCCAGCAAAAACGGTGGAGCCAAATATAGGCACCGTCGATCACTGAGTGGCACTCAGCGAGGCTGATCATTGCTTCGCGCAATCCACATTGTCTATGATGATGTTACAACAGAGGCGGCAAGCGGATTCCAATGACGACTAGCCTATCCCAGTTCGCTTAACGAGTCAGAAGCTCGGTTTGCAATACGAGCAATGTCCCCATGTTGTGCCCTTAAGCCTTGCGAAATTTTGGGTACCTTTCTTAATGACTGGTCGGAGGACGGGAAACTTGGTTGGTTTCCGCATGGGTGCGGCCCCGCAGAAGCAACTGTTTACTGGTAGGAGCGGAACGAATCTCAGCGCTCCCAAGGAATAGCTTCGATTGATCGAGGATGAAAGAAATGTTGCTGGGGCATACTGTATGTAGCAGTGCAGTCGCGAGGCTCGTCAAGGCGGACCCAGTGTTCGCTTACAACCTTTGCCTAGCCTGTTTATCATGATATCACTATGTGTTAGGTCCTCCAAGTCAGCACTACTGTGTTCTTACTGCCTCGTGCCAGTGTTTCTCGAGCAACCGGCACTGTGAATGATCCAGATCACACTTGAACCATGTGGTAGCTGTTTGTTCCTGCAGCCGCTGCGTAACGATGCGCTGGTGTAATACTATAACTATGATTCATGTGCTCGACGGAGGACGACCGGTTCGCAAGAGAGAGCTGGCTATGAATTACACTTGCGTTTAGTACAAAAGCTTCCGAATCCCCACGCGTGCTCTAGCGACTGTAGCGAGCTAAGTTCTTGGGACCTCAATTCTCACATCACTCCGGAGTAGTCCACGACTTGATTCGCGGGCCCCTGGGATGGGTACATAAAGTAACAAACAGCGTCAGCAGCGAGGGAATCCGACTTGCGCCTGTTTAATACACCATTGTCATCGCGCCTTGGCCTGGCCTTACCGCGGGACCATTATGTTGAGTTGAAGGCGTCCTGGGCTGCTGAGCTGATCTTTGCAATGGCGTTTCTCCCCGCATCGGTTGCCGCCTCCCAAGCAAAGTCGTTGGCTAACGGCCCATGCGGCACGACACGGAACAGGCATTCCGGCGTCCAGTCAAGGTGGTTAACAGAGGGAGGGCGACGGGCCATGCGAACCTAAATTTGGCCGGCGGAATCAACAAAACTTCAGCGCGACGACTAAGTAGATTGTTAATGACAAGGTGTAGTGTGTTATGAACAAAAAGCAAAGCTATGGTGAGTGACCAGTCGACTCGGGTCCAGTAGAGAAAGCAGCGTCGCGCCTCAATTTACTCGCGTGACTACGGAGTATGCTGATGATATGTACAAATAGAAGAGTACGAGAATTCTCATTATTCTCCTCGAATGAGGAAACCGGTTTCGTCGCACATGGACCACGATGGATGCAAGATGCTTGGATGTGGAGAAAAGTATTGACATTTCCTTTTCGGTATAGATGCCGTCGGTCTTATCGATAGTCCCTCTTGTTGCATGCAAGCCGCCATGGATACGCCTGTTACTAACCACTCAAGCCCGAGAGGGGCCTGATCCATTATTCCATGCCCTGCTACGAGGGTACGTTCAACAGAGACTGTTGTTGGTCTGTCATTCGCAGACAAACAGGCACACAGTCGAAAGGCCGCCACTGCATTTATTGATGCCGAACAACGATGCTGGGGGGAGTCATGCATCCCCCCTGGAAGCTCTGCTCAATCATCGTCGCCTTCGCTGCCACTGTCCCATCCCTCATCGTATTGCTCTGCGATGATTTGTAGTCTGTTGCATAGATCCTCGCGCTCTTGGATCCCATGCATTCGTCTCATAAGCTGTTCCACGGTTCTCACCTGCTCTGCGACAGCTGTGCTGGTTGTGAGGCCAGCATGCACCGCAAGCTTTTGTGTATGGCCCTTTCCGACATTGAAAATTGCCGGGTAGCTGTCAAGGACTGGGAAGAGCAGCGGGGCGTTGTAACTAGCAAAACACATGGCATTAGCAAGTTGGTCGCGGAAAGAAACAGTGATCTGCTTTTTCGTGTGGAGATGAAGGTGGGTCTTTCGTATTGTCGTTCCACGATTATGATGCAACAATGTAAGCTAGCACCGACGGTAATGTTGCCCATGTCTAGACAAACATGGCAGCACGAAGAATCTCGGCAATGTTTCGCGATCAAGCAAGAAGTGACGACATACCTTTGTACTGCTGGTCCGTCGTTGAACCTATCGCGAGGATCCCGTGAGGGCTCGACTCCAGGAACAGTCCACTCTCCTCGGGCACTCTCCACTCGCCCGAATGTATGTTCCTGCTTGCGTGATTTGACGGTAGCCGCACGGTAGCTCAACGTGAACATATCCATATCGAATGAGGTTAGCTGGTCATCTTCACCATCATCCTCGCTGTATCGCCTCGGCTCCATGCTTCCCGTCTTTTCCGCCTCCAGGGAAAGTGTTGAAACTTTCTCTGATAACACGTCTGGGTCTGCAATGCTGAATCCTAATTTTGCGATTCGTCGTTGTCCGGTGCTGTTGATTGTGTCTTCCAGGTCCTGAAGAGTCCCTCGGCCGTCATGGGAAGCTCTCAATCGAGAAGATATTGTCATGCTTTCTAAGGCGATGGCTTGCATAGCGCCCACGTGCCACGAAGAATTCGCTTGATATTCGATGTAGGACGGTGACTTTGATGGAGCATTTGCCATTGGAACGTAGACCGACGCTTGTTCCGCGAACACGCTCAAAGATCGTGCTGAGTTCGAGAGCTGCTGCATCCTTTTCTCCTATGTCGCATTAGTATCCGATCAATGTTGAAATCTGTGTCAACTTGCTCTTGGGTATGCTGTGTTTGCACCTTGATCCCCAAGACCCCAGACCCAAATGCTCTTCTTGCCATACTCGTCTCGTAACCTTTCGAGCCAGCCTGAGGTCCACCCTCCCCATGCCCCGTCGATTCCAGTCATGATCTGTATACCTTGCAACCCGTCACATTCTTCAATGAACGGTCTCAGATCTGCATCAACTAGGTCTATCTCCCGCTCCAGTTTCTCAAATAGATCGAATCCCACATCGTAGCTTTCGAAGGGCAACAGTTTGTCGTTGACGTCAAAGTCAGAAAGCTGTTGCAATGACTTTGGATGGTAGAAGACTCGAGTATAATCTGACCAGTATTTCACGGTTTCGGGTGTCAGAGTTGGTGCAGGAAGGTCGGCAGATAGATTCGTTTGATAAGTGCTCTCGGGGATTGGTTCCGAACGATGTATCACAGGCTTAGAGCGCCTGGCAATGATAAGTGAGGCGCAAAATGTGTAATCGTATAGTTAACATACCATACTGCAGACGCTCCAGATAGTCCGTCGTCTTCAGGCTCATACAAAGCATTAATCTTCCTCATGCTTCCGAAGCCTCCTTTGAGGTCATATATGAGCGTTCTTGGCGTGAATGTGTCTGATCCATCTGGGGCAACTCCTGGCCTGAAGAGGATATCATGATTGATCGGTGACTCCGGCTCGGGTGGATATGTAAAGTATGACTCCTTGGAACTTGTTAGGGGGTGGTTCAAATAATCAACGATATCATCTCAGGAACTCTGCTGAATTCGCGAGGCAAAAACTTAATGATGGAAGGAAGCAAGAACTTGAAAATTAGCCCACAACCGAGGCAAAGGCCAAAACAATGCCAAATTGATTATCTTGTAGTTCATACTGTTATCAATTCCTTTAAAAAATAACATTGGAAGCAAATATCCGACATTGCGACTCGTACCTGTGTATTCCAAAAATGTGTGCCAAGATAATTACTCTGCTGCCCGAATTGGAGCGTTACTATTTCGCGCATGGTGGGATGGCTGAACCGAGAGAAGACCAAGTCTGAACGAAAGGAAAAGACAGAGTTCAATAGTAAGACACAACCACAAGATATCAGACTCTTTCAATGGTCGAAAGAGGAAGGCGATGATTGGGTGGAGGGGTTGAGATATCGATGAGGTCAATTCAGCAGTGTTGGCGCACGGGACTACGCGTAACTTTTGCCCCGCTTTGGTTCAAAGGTTGTGACCGCAAGTTTTCGACGCGAATTTGGCAATAATCGACCATCTAAGAGTTTTTTTTTCCAGATGCCATTGATCAATTTGTTACAGAGTGCTAATTATACAGTGATCTAGCTTTCTTCATGTGAATGGTAACCTAATCAGCCCATTAGCTGCAATTGATCAGTGGGAGGCCATCGTGTCTGCGCAAAACTTAGACACCTCTTGATACTTTGTAAGTACTTCCTAGTAATTTCATCGCTCATAATATGCGCCGCATTCTTGTCACTCTCGTGTAGCTTCTCGCGTGCTGAACGCTCGTGGATGCCAACCATGGTAACTCCGATGGGCCAAGCCGCATTACCAATACTGAGTTTGAGATATCCGTCGTTTGCATCGACATACCGTCTCTCCTGTGCTGCTAGCACAATCTGAACGACTGGCTCGAGAATTCCATCCTCCACGTCAAACGTCTCCAACTTCTTGAACAGCGGTCGCATGTTCTCGCGTGCTTGAACCATGGCGCCGTATGCCTGTTTTCCTTGATAACTGGTTTTGATATCTTCGGAACGGCGCGCCATTGTGTTGTCCCATTCCTTCAGGACCATCGTAAAATAGCTAGCCAATTGGCGGAAAAGGAATTCTCGTCCTTCCTTGTCGTCTGGAATCTTGCGCGAAACCTTCATGTCTTTCTCGGGCACAAGCTGCAACGTTGTTGGAATAGGCCCGTCGGTCATTATAGCCGCGAGTTTATCGGCACCGATCCGTTTCTTGTAGCGTTTGAGTTTCAATTTATGTGTTTCGCCGAATAGCTGGACGGGCTCGCTGAGTGCTCGTAGTTTGTCGACAAGCTCCTGCTCATCCATATCTTCGTCCTCTGGCACAGGGGTGCCGTCGTCTTCGCCTTCTCGTTTCTTAGGCGGAAGATCTGGGAGACCTAACCGCTTGCGCCGGCGACGCTCTTCCTCTTCCTCCTCCTCTTCTCGTCGCCGTTTGCTCTCTTCGGCCATGCGCCTGCGCTTTTCTCTGCGATCAGCCTCTCGAGCGGCCTCTTCATCCTCCGCTTTCCGCTTCCTGTCTAGCCGCTCCTGTCGTTTCCGTTCCTCGGCCTCCTGCTCGGCTTCATATTCGGCTTGCCGTCGTGCTTCGACTTCCGAGCGTTTGAGGTACTTTTTGTCGTCAGCTCCTGGAGGTGCAGTGGCTTTCGCCTTATTAATTTGCGCTGACATTAACTTTGCAAAGTCCATGCTGGCGGTTTGTGTTAGGTGTTTTGCGGTGTATTATACTTGTCGTTGTCATTCACTGGTTGCGCATGGAGTCTTGACCGCGATGGCGGATGAATATAACTCCGTGCCGAGGCCCGCCTGAGCTCCATTGAGCTCCAAAGGTAGCTTTGTTTAAACGTCTTCTTCAATTTGTTAATGCAGCAGTCTCTCTAATCATCACGCTCAAACCACTGTACTGAATCCGATCGGAACATCCACGCGCACCGCCTAGCCGAAGTTTTCAATTGAGGATCCATAATGTCTGATCCCACGAAGGTCGATCGTCAAACAACGACGCCGTTCTTGTTGCGACTTTTCTATAAGAATGGCACATTCCACCGGTAGGTTCCCCAAAATCAACATCTCCCAAACATCCTACAACAACTTTCTCTTTCACGCTCTTCTGTCAAATCAACGCATACCCAGCCATCCCATCACGAGCAAGCAAACAATCCGACGTACTGACCCCGATCCTCCCTCACCAGCCTCGAAGACTTCACCTCCCCACGCCTACCACCACACCTCCAAATCTACACCTGGCCCACCTGCTCCCTCTCCGAACTCTCCCACCTCCTCCTCACCGCACTCCCCACGCTCCTCCCCGCCGAGTACGCCGGCACGCGCATCGCCTTCCGCCTCGTGTACGCCGACCTGCAGGGTCCGTCGCGCCCGGGCTCAACACCACGCTACATATCGCGAGACCTCGGGAGTGTCGTAGTGGGCGCGGTGCCGCACGACGACCCGTCTCTCGATGATCAAGATACGCCAATGACGGGCGAAGCGGACGCCGCGACCGTGAAAGAGGCGCTGAAGCAGTTGAGAGGGGAGTTGGAGAAGACGCTCGGCGACGCGAAGTTCGTTATTGGCGATTACGTCTCCGTGGCCATTCTGCCGCCGGGCCCTGATGGTTCGGTCGCCGCGCCGCCGCCGCCGCCGCCGACTGGGCCTAGGGATAGGGGTCCTCCGCCTAGGGATGGGTATGGTGGACGCGGTGGGAGGGAGAATGGGTTTGGAGGTGGTAGGGGGGACTATGCATTTGGGGGACGGGGCGGAAGAGGAGGCGGGAGATTCGACGACAGGAGGGCTGGCGGAGTGCCGTCTGGGGAGTGGAGACGCGGAGAGGCGCCGCCGGAGAGAGAGCGTGATCGTGAGGGCTTTTGGCCGCGCGGCGGCGGCGGTGGTGGTGGGGGAGGTCGAGGACGGGGACGCGGCAGGTGGTAGAGCGGGGATTTGGTACTGAAAACAAGGTCCCATCCAACAGCCAGCAAGACTCGCCAACGAACGCTAATTCGCTTCGATGATGCGGTCCTAACCACCCGCTCGTGGGTACACAATCCGCAAAAGAAGCCGTGAGAGATGGAAGATGCCGTTATGCAGCCATCATTGTTATGATGGCCGGACATCGCACATCGCATGGCAACGAACTCGCCTTTCAACCCAGAAAATATAACGGGCAATTGGCCAGATCGTCTTGTCCGCACCGGAACACGAACTCCAGATTCGTATTCCCGCAACATCAATCGACAGGAGAGGAAGGAAACAGGAAAAGTCCAAATTTGGATTGTATACCCCTTCCCTAGGTAGTCACAAGTACATAGGTAGTCACGCTTCGTTCACTCGGCACAGTAGCTGAAAGCACCGAAGACGCACGTACGCACCAATACAAACAAGTTAAATTGCAACAAAGATCCAACAAGTATGCATTTCACTATCTGCCGCCGCGTGTGCTACGAGAATCTAGCAGATGGATGTATGGTATTTCTAACGACAAAGATGAAAATCCCCCTATGACGAAAAGGAAAACGTCGAAGCGTGAACGCTCAATCAATCATTCAAACAAAACAAAACATCATCCCTACAGCTCCATGCGAATGAAAGCTCTAACCTAACGAAAATTACACAACGGTCCTAGATTTCGCGCCGGGATTCACGTATCGGTGGGAGGTTGCGTAGGACACTCGTCCAATGCGTCCATGCCCAAGCCAAAGGCCGCTTTGTTCGCCTTTGCGCCGCATGTCCCATCGTCGGGTACAGTCTCGCGTTTTTGTCCTAGACCGACTCCCTTTTGTCTCGCGCCGACGACGGCACTGAGACACCTTCCCACGGCCTCGAGGTCGCCGAGGAGCGTGATGTGGCCGCGGTCCGAACTCACGACGCCGCCCCTGACGACGGAGTATCCCTTCGGGACTTGGGAGGCGCGGGCGAGGACGACGCCATCGCCGCTTGCGAAGGCGAGGTCGTCGTATGCGTCGGTCCGCTTGGCGCCTTCGATGCCGTCGACCTTTGCGCCATAGACGGTTGGTATCGACTTGCCGTACATCAGAGCGATCGGTGGGTAGCGGTTCGCTTCTGTGTGCTCCGGTCGGTGGGCAAGTTCGAGCTTGAACTGCTTTACCTCAGCTAGGGTTCGGGTCAGGTACTCCACGGCCTTGTCGTAGGGAATGGTGACGGCAGTTGCGGCGCTCGTCGGACTTGTGGGCGTATCCAGGCTGTTGGAAGTGGAGGGGAGGGCAGTCGTGATATGAGGAGTCACGCCAGACACTTGCGCAGTGCCTTCGGCAGCGATGTTGGTGGCGTTTGTAAATGCATCTTGGGCTGCGCTAAGCGTTGATTGCGCTGGATTTGATGCGGTCGGTGAGGAAATAGATGGCGCAGAAGAGTCTTCTTGCGAGAGGACGTTGAGGTCAACACCTTCTTTTAGGGCGATTGATCTCCGCTTGGTTGGTAGGGCAGATGACATGGCGTTGAACAGTCCGCTAACACTTGTCAGTGGTTGCAGATTATGGCCTTGTTGGAGAGCTGGTAGAGCTGGTGCAATGCATGGCGAAAGGCGGAGCTCCTTCCATGTGTTGATGTCAAAGAAATCGACTATGTAGTCTTCCTTCGTCTTCTTATCAATGAACCCCTTGCCATCCAGTGGTAGTAAAGCATACGAGGTTCGTATAGTGAAATTCACTTGTGCTGTCAGGACGCGCGATGAAAGCAGCACCGCATCGCCACAGCGAAGTGGGCCCAGGATGTTGATACAATCTTGGGGTACTCCTGCATATATCACGCCCGCAAAGAGATCTGGGCGTTGGTTGACTGCATGTCTCGTGATAAGTCCTCCAAGTGAATGCGCAATGACGGTGGCACCACGCTTTTCGGGAGGAACACCAGGTTGGTTGCACGGTAGCGATTCCAGATACTTGATCATGCGACGACTGAGTAAATGTGGGGAAAGTCTCCAGTCATAGCCATAGTTATGAACCCTGAGACTTCCATTTTGTGCGTTTTCTGAAGCTTGAAGTCTCTTGAAAAGTCGCCGGGCAATATCCACAGGGCCAATGTGCGTGAGCATTCCTGCAGGAATAATGCGTTCTTCCTCAGTTTCCTCGTCCTCCGGGTTAAGACCGACCTCTAGGTCGACCTTTCGAAGGTTCAACCCGACCTTTATGGGTACCCACAATTGACGATTAGGTGCTTGGGCTGAGCGGAGTATCGAACCTCGGTAGCCACCCAGAATGACCAAGTCACCTGTCAATTCCTGTGTCGCCTTGGTGAAAAGTGGATGCGTGGCTGCTGGGCCTGAGGCTGTCCCCGGAAGATTCGTTGATGAGTCTTTCGCCCGGTTCGAGCTACCAGAAAAGAAACTTGCCCTACTAGCATTGCTAAAACTAGCACGACTATCGTTGGGTTCTCGCGGAAGACTTTTGACTCTGGAGACATCTTCCTTGGAACCAAGGCCGAAGTTTGGTAGCGTAGGCAGGCTGGGAAGCTTAAAAGTAGAATCTTGCCAACTGTCTTTGATTGCCCTGAGACGACTATTGGCGTGGTTTGTTACATTCTCGAATCGCGAATCGTCACCGAGAGACGAGACAAGCGAGAGGCTTCGATATACTGCGAGGGAGCCTTCAGAATTAGATCTGCGAAGCTGAGGTGCGGGTCGGCCAACTGGTGGCACTGTTTCATGAGAGCGGCCGGTACTTAATGGTGGTTTGGATCCGGTTTGGTGATGCGGTAGTGGAGCTGTGGCGGGGTGCATTAATCGATGTTTTGGATCCACCTCTTTTGATGACGAGGTTCCATCGCGCTGGGGAATGCTCCCATATGGGTTCTTTAGAGGTAGAGAAGCAACCCGCTTGCGCTGCAAAACTGCAGGGGAGTGACTACGGCTGCCTTCTTTAGACGAACCAGAGAAACTCGAAAGAGAGAAGTTGAAGAAGTAGGGCGATTTAGACATGGATGGTAAGTTGAACGTGAGGTACTTCTTCAGCGTTTCGCTTGTAGATCCACCAGACATCGCCCGTCTCCGCGAGCCTCCACTGAAACTGTCTCTCAGTATTCCTCTATGATCAGGCTCCTCCGCTATTTGCACCCTTGGCCTGGTTCGTTCTGGGGAGGGTATTTGTATGGGCGAATCGTGCTTTGTGAGAACGGGTTCCTCTAACGAAGCATTCTCTGCCGTGCCCTTGACGTGTACCGCATTGGCTTGGGGCGTAACGTCCTGTTCATTAACGGCCTCCTGAGATTGCGACCAGCTGCCAAAGAATGCGCCGCCATCGATTTCGTCCAGAGCGGCCGCCTTTTCTGCAGCGGGTGTTTTTGGAGAGATCAGATACCTCTGCTGTTCTCCGATACTGACCCCAATAGCCGATTGGACGGAATCCAACTGAAACTCCTTCTCGTCCGGTGTCTCGTCACCTTCAGAGGATGTGAGGTCGGTATCGGTAAGGGACGTGAACTGGATCTCTGCGAGGGCAGTCTGGCGGCCTGTTCGAGGGGTCGCGGATTGGGTCGTCGAATCCGCCATGGCCGGTGAAGAGTAGTGCGGACGGGGGCTGCGAATGGGTTGTGACTGGATGGGATCAGAGCAACATCAGGCCCAGGGGTACTGATGGTATTGTGTGAGGAGCAAGAGAGAGGAAAAGAGGTGTAGCAATTAGGTAGACAAGAAGTGTATCGTGTGCCGCGGTGGCAGAGTAGGATTTAGTTCAATGAGCTTGTCTTGCTTCCCGGAGCTGCCGTCGGCGGGGGTGTTTGGGGCAGTCGGGCCTTACAGCACCCATCTTTCGGCAGGAATTGAGCAGCGTCATTATTGGAGAGCAAGACACGGTGGCCGGGACGATTGCGAGACTAAGGCCGAGTTGCGATTGACAGAGAGAGAGGCAACTGTCCAATGCTGCTTAGTAGTCGTCGCCTGGACTGTGACTGTCTCTGTGCTTGCTGTTGAATGTCGTCAATCACATGCAGATAGTCTGCTTACCTCATCCCCCCTTCGTCCAGGGTTACCCTCTGGGGATACATCGATTGTGATTGGTGGAGTTGAGGACGAAAGGCAAGACTAAACCGTATTGGACAGAGCTAAGCCTCTTACGGTACGGCAGATCAGCTACTAACCGAGTGCTAAGATCTCTTAATTCAGTCTCCGTCTGTTGTCAGCTCTCTTCATCAGTCTCAGTCAGCCAGCAGTGGCACTCTTCTAAACAGTACAGTCCAAAACCCTGAAGCGATCCCTCGTTTAATAATAATCCTCACCAGAAAACACTTTGATTGAATTGCCATCATGATGGAATTCTCTGTCTTTTCTTTTCGACTGTGGCCATTTTACGAGGAGTATGATCTCATCCTGAGGACCCCACTAACCCAACCTAAAATTAGGTAGGTAGACAGACATAACTACCTACCTACACAGACCGGATGACACAGATGCCATAAATCATCCAGTGCAAAACCCAAAACATTTCGTCATAGAGTGCACAGTACTCGTAGGTCTGGAAAGACATGCTCTGTTTTCGACTGCATGACTCGACACCGCTGAATTTACCGCACCTGCAGTACCCGGAATTGGTGACCTCGCTCACCGCCTGGACGTCCTCTCATACAAGTCTCTCCATCTCTCTATCTCTTGCACCTGTGCCATTAATCGTTAAGCTTCTGCTTTGCGAGAGAAGATAGAAAGGCTCTCCAGTCACGCAACCTCATCATGGGTAGTACGCTGCAAGATTTATGCACTGTGAAAGGATTTGTACCGATTGTCGCCCATATCACGAGTCCAGCTGGTCAGCGTTCTGATTCCACCGCATGAAACGAACAAACAAAAAAGAACACGAGAGGCAAAAATGAAAACAAGATATGCCTCATATCTGCGGGGTCGTCAATGATAGAGTGATAAGTTGATAAGATATGTTCAATGATCTTGTTCTTGTGTGGAGCAATCGAAACCCAGTCTGGGCCTTGAACGCGCGACATCATTCGATCTCAGGGCATTTCCCCCGCCATTTGCACTACCAAAGTAGGTATGCATGTATGTAAAATGTACATGCCAGGCACACACACCCATCCACCACCCACCACCTACTACAGTTACTACTTTATACATTTGTTGGTCTCCAATTATATTCTTCCCTACAAACATCGACAGTTGCAGTCGCAGGAATTCCGGGATCCCAATGTGGCAACGCGTCTCGTGTGAGTCCGGGTGGAATCGGGACCTCCCATTCACGCTGGCGACGACCATTTTTCCACGACTCCCACCCCCAACCACTAACCACTGACTACTAGACGACACTCTGCGACACCTCCTGCAATCCCAATCCCGGAACAGCTCGCCATGTGCAGGCAATTCCGTCAACGTCGACCGGCGACAACCGATGCCACCCTCCCTTTGTCGTCTGCAGTAAATTGCTCTCGTGCATGTTCCTGTGTCCTGAGAGCCAAGCATCTGCCGATCCTCCCCACCTCCATCGATCAGACTAGATTCCCTCCGGCCGACTCGCCTGATCATGATGTGAGTAGTGCCACCTGGAACTCCAGTCCATGTACGCGTCTATTATGGAGATTTTGATGCGGGAGACCAAGCGACCGGCCGGTGCCTGCTCTTACTGTTTTCCGGCATCCGGTTGCATTAGGCCATGATTTGTAGTCATGGAAGGTAGATATATAACTTGCCTCAGCTGTCCAGCTAGAAATCACAACCCAACAATCCCCGTTCCCATCACACGCAAATATCATTCACCATGCCTGGTCTCGTGCTTCTTCCTACGCCTCTGGCACCAAACACCTTGGCCTTGGGTCAATTGCTCGTCGACCCCCTGGACCCATCATCAACATCCTTCACCAGCACATCCACTCCTGCTCTCCGGAAACCCGAGATCCAAGCACAGTACAGAGATGTAGTCACTCACGACCACGAGGGCCACTTCATCTCCAGCATCTCAGGGGATCTCTCTACCCTGGACAGCCACCTCCTCATGGTGCAAGCCGACGAGGCAGAGTACTCCTCCGTTACCAGCCCATCCGCCTCCTTCGACGCACTACGACAAGATCCCTCTGCCCGGCGATTCCTCCGGAAGATGGGCCAGCAGAACCAACCACTGTACTACGTCGTCGGCATCCAGAAGCTCAGGAACCCAACCTTCAAGCGCGCAGTCCTGCAGGACGGAACCGTAGCCGAGGCTAAGAACGCCTCGGATCCCAAGATCCGCCTCCCCTCGCACATGCGCCGTGACTCCGGCATGGATGTCGAGCAGAGCGAGGCCGTCGTCGGCGTCGAGCTCATGAAGGTCATGTGCCATGTTGGCTCCCCCAATGAGCCCCATGCCCTCTCAGACATCGGATACAGCTGGAGCTACCACAGCGCGAAGGCGGACCACGATGACCAGCTGTCTATTGGCTTTGGCAGTCCGCTCAGCGGTGCAGAGCTGCGAGCGCTGGCCGGCATCTCGAGTGATGCTGATCTCACCGACGACAGTCACTTCGACGAGCCTGAATCAGACGGCTTTGGCGGTTTCTAGACCGTATGTCGTCTTCTCATGAGCATGAATTGAACAAAAGAATGAAAAGCAAAACTTGGTTAAGAGGGAAGGGGTTTTATCATAGCGTTAACATTTCCAATGTCCATTACGACGGCAAAGACGATTACTTCTAATTTCTGGCTGATATGGTCATTTCCTTCTCATGTACTATATCCATCCATACGACGGTGTTCTTTTTATCCTTTCATCTATCGCCATCTCTCACCCCAAGTTGCAAATGCAATCATCAATTCATAATTCAAATCCTCGAACCACACCTAACCTACAAACGTGAAGAAAAAAAAACCATCTTTGCATTTACTATTCTCGAAGGAACCCGATCACCACGGCTCTCATGACGATATACGAACTAACACACTTCCCCACACCAACATAGCCAAACCAAGTCCACCACACTCCACAATAAAAGAAATCCTTTTAAAAAAGAAATCAATTTCCCTCAGCTCCCCATCAAGGGTCCACACATATGACACCATACACACATTTCTTACCCCATTTATTCATTCTTATTAAAATTATTGAAAAAAAGCGTGGCACCTGCAGCGAGCTACGTAAGAACATCATCCTTTTGCCTCTTGCGGGGATTGATGACCCACTATACCGTAACCGCAGCCTAACGGACTCGTAAGAATCACACACCCTTCCTTCAACACACTCACACGGAACAGTTTAGAGATTAATCATGACTAACACCCTCCTATCATTCATCAGTTACTCGATAAAAGGTCTTTTCCCTTCCTACGTCGGAAAATAAAAAAGCAAATATTGACAAGGGGAGAACTCGCAGGACTCGGGAAATGGTCCCCGACGCAGTTGTGGCATCTCACTAGTTACCCTTACCTCGGTGCCTACCTAGTCAGGTACAAATTCCAGAACGAAACACATCAACAGATAAACAAGAAAACAAATAAACAAGAAACACTCGGAAACCCGTTCATTTGCACCTCCACAACGGCCTTAACGCACGTAACGTTTTTCGTTTCCAGCTGAAGAAGACATTCGAGGGTAAAAACCAAAACCGGCTAATGCGTGCGAATTATCCACTCGGAACGCTGTCCGAGGAGTCTTTTTATTTCCTCTGCGTATACACTGTACATGCATAGAAAAGACGAGTTAGTGTTATGAGGGATATTCGACTTCATACGGGTTGGAATAAGATTCCCGTACATAGACGCAGTAGGAGGATGTGTTTATTGATTTATTCTAAAGTGTTGTAACTTGTTAGTATGTACTTTGATGGGCGGTAGCACCGACTCATTATTGAATAGACCCCGAAGGTAATTGAAGTGGGTAGTCTGGGAAGAGTGTGTACTGAAACATCCCCTTCTTCTTTCTGTATGAATGTGGACGACGAGGATATCAACCGATGAGATGTTCAGACATCAGATTGAATATGATTTAGGTTGTGCGATCATCATTCTTCTCTTCTCTCCTCCGTAGGATTTCTACGCAAAGAACAGTGACAAGGAATCGAAGGTGGGTATAATGTCGCACTGCGGAATCTCGTTCAGGGAGGTGCATAAGCACCGTGCTAGCATTGTACCTGGAGAGCCAAATCTTTTGATGTACGGAATTCTTCGATTGGTCAAATTAACAGCTACAACTCGCGCTTACGAGAATTTTAAAGAGCCCACGCTAGAGCCTCGATTGACGGTTCGCAAACCTTCTCATCGCCATGGCCAATTCAGTGTATGTCCCCGTGATATGAATAAATGGTCTACTACTGCCGTCGCCCTTCTCTCTAAACGTCTTGGACTGCCTACAAATGACTCTCGGGAAGATCATCTGGTGCTAGTTTTTCTAAACTGTCCCGGGTCGTCTGACGCTTCCATCCCGCCAGATCGGAATTTGCCCAAGATAATCCTTCAAATGATGGTATGGGTCCATCTGATTGCTTTGCCTCTCGCCTTCGTTCCGTGCTTTTCAATGAAATTGCCATCAGTTCTACTACAGAAAGCCTATTTTCCTGAGCAGGACCACTGGTCAATGCCTCTGACCATGTGACTGTCTTCGGAGACGTTAGTGCTGTGCAAGAGAGCGCCGGAGATGGGCCCGCTATACTGGGCAGAACGCTTGCTGGTGAGATGGGCAACAGAAATTTGGATACCTTGTCGCGATCATGGTCGAACATAGGCATGTCCTCGCCGGAGGTAGGCACAGAATGTGACGAGAAAGCGATCGGTCCCAGAGATTCCATGGGAGGGGAAGCCTCGATGTCGGAAAGATCCAATGAAATACGGCGATACTGTGCAAGAATCTCGCTGGAAGTTGCATAGTGACGTATGGGAGTTGGACTCAAAGGTCTCAGTCCATCAGAAGATGAAGTGCGTTGACGAATATATTCTGGCCTAGACAAGTCAGAGGCGACTGATGCTGATTTAGAGCGTGTCCAAGTAAAATAAAACCGGTTTTCTCCAGCAGCCGTTTCTCCGGATCCATCAAACAACTTAACAAGCCGTTTGCGACTCAGCGACCGAATGACAGCCGTTCCTGTTCCATGGCGAGGAACAGTGCCTGGCACTGGAGCCAACGTATTGTAGGCCTTGTCCGTAGAATGATCTTGATCAATTTGCCGCGGGAGGTCGTCTCTGCTAAAAGCACGCACTGTACTTTTGGGCCATGAGCGCGACCTTGATTTCGACCATGTCACATCACGTTTTGTCTTCACAGATGGGTACTGAGGCATCCTTTTCTCATTTGTTGAGCTTGTTGTATCCATTGTATCCAACGGTATGTTAGAGTCCTCGACTTCCCATGGCGCAATTTCCCGAATAGGACTTGCATCACTATGTGTCCTCAAAGGATTGATTTCGAAACTAGGGAACTTTGCGATTTGGCGCTTCGAGTACCCAAGAGACAACGCCAGCGTTGGACTATTTGGAGCAGTTCCTGATAAGAAAGGCTGAACGTCTTCGTTCCTACGTATGGGAATGTCGAGATATGATGTAATCTCAGCCTCGACCATCCCTCTAGGCGATCCGATACTGGATCTTGGTACGGTGGATGTTGGCGAGGCGGGCAGCACTGACGCAATGGGAATCTTGAATGTGGTATTACGATTCGAAACTAGTGAGGGCCTCCGGGAAGACGTCAGTAAACTTGGTGGTGGTATTGGTGGCGCAGTCTTAACAGGAGGGAGACGAAGATCGAAGTTCTGAAGTTTGTTGCGCAAGTTGAAATTTTCGCGATGAAGATGTTTCAGCCGCTTGTATTCAGTGTAGTCGTCTACTTCTGCAGCAGTCGGATGCTTCATGACCTCGCTCATTGGCACGGGGTCGATCCGCTCAAACTTGACCTCAAAGATGATATCGCCAATCTTTGTATCATTAATCATGGCATCCTGGCTGGTAACGCTGCGGATAATCCATCCATCAACTCGGTACCTTGGAAAAAGTCAGCACGGTTGTGCACGTATAATCCATCGATGACTTACAAGCCCTCGTAGCGGACACCTGCCTTTGGCGCCCATTCACTGTTCAGACTGTGGCTTCGAAGCACGCGGATCGGGAAACGACTTCTCCAGGTTGCAGATGTCAGACAGAAACGAGCCTTGTCATGTGTACCACATCGATATGTGAAAGCGTTTTCAGTCAGTGCCTCGATTTCCGAAGCGTCTTTCAACAACACTGCGTACGCGCCGTCTCTATCATAGCAAACACCTCCGTCTGTTGTTGCCGAATCAATTATACCTGCATGCGATGCGAACAGTGGGTTAAGCCACCACCTATTCGGTTCAGTGTCGAGGTCCGTCAAGCTGGGGCAATAACCTACGACCCTGGTCTGAAGCCTAGATGGCCATGACGATGTGACCGCTTAAGTGACAAATTGTCTGGGCAGCTACTCTGCCATCGTTTGAGAAGGGACTGGTCGATTGACATCAGCACTTCATGGGTAGCACATTAGGGAGGATGACTTACGGCTTTAGAGAATTCTCCAGAACTAGCAATGCCTTCCAGTCTCCCGCCTCTACCATAGAGAAAGGGATGTAGGTCATTGAGGTTCCCGAACTTTGCACTCCAGACAGACATGATCTTTTCACAGTCGTCAGCGAGGCGGCTGGGCCATCTGGTAGCTTTACCAGCAACTTCTATCACTGCCCGGTGGATATGGGTTGCCCGTAGGTCCAATGCGGAAATCGTCTGAGAGACACGCAGAGCCTTGAAGGTGTCATGCAATTGTAAGACATCATCCGCATGCAGCATGTTTGGGCCGTCTCTGGCGACTATTGGATCGAGGTCATCGCGAATCCATGACGAGAGTTGTTTCAATCGTGCGCGTGTGAAGTCACTGAAAGGAGGCGGAGAGACAGCAAGTAGCCTTTGAGCCATGCTTGCAACGTGATTAAGAGGAGGGGCTAATGCGGAACGAGATGAATGAGACAATGATGAACCGTTTGAGTTTGATGTCAAAGTTGAGTTGAAGGGAAAGAAACAACAGAGGGTGTGCGAATAGAAGGTTCATGTCATCATGTTAGAATGGCAGGTACGTGACAGCTTGGGAGACTGGGACTTGGAATACGATCATGGTTAAAACAGAACCATCACCCAAAGACCTACATGAACAGTTCCGCGACAAGTACAGATGAAACAGTTCAATACCATGATAGACATACACCTCGGTTCGTGGATATAGCTAAGACATGCGCCCACTGCCGACATCAAACATTCATATTTCGTTACTTTTACTAGCAAATAGCAACATAAATTACTCACAGAAAAGGGTTATCATATGTAAAACATTCCGTCTCAGACACTCAGCATTTACTCGCGACCTCCAACCCTTCTTTCGAAATCGTCAGTCAGTCTGGAAGCATCGACTACTTCCACGCCCTTTCCGAGTCCGACCATGTCGGCACTCTCCCACCAATTGTTGCTGGCGAGATGGCTGTGCTCTGATTTCGACTTAGACACAGGGCCTTCATCGTCTGTATCAACCAGGCCTCCGAGGCCAGTGCCGTCACTGCCTACAACTACGATCGTCTGGCCGACCCAGCGCTTAATGTCCTCTACGTTGGCGCCACGGGGTCCACTCAATGCATCCACGATATATACAAGATCTGGGCTGAGGTGCTTCAGCATATGTACATGGCCAGTAGGTGTGGTAAAAGGCATGACCATCGCGGGGTCTTCGACCAACCGAAGTGCCTGGGCATGTAGAGTGTTCCAGAGGACGTTGTCGGAGCTCCTGGCCGATAGTGCAGGGGTATAGATGGTGTCCTCGGGCTGGGGATCAATTGACTTGAGTTCTTCGCCAGGCGTCTGCGCTGGAGTCGATATGGCGGAGTATGAGGATCCAAGCGAAGCAGCACCAACACGAGAATTGGGACGCGAACGCAAAGAAGGCGAGTAGATCAGGACAAAGACTTTGGTGCGACTGAAGTCAACATTGGGAAGGTGGGATAGAATGGTCTAAGTCGATTAGTAGGTATTCTATGTTCAAGAGCAGCGTGATACGTACAGCATTTTCTGATCGATAAGAACCATCATCGTCGTGTAAATCCATGAGTGATTCGGCGGATACCACCAACACGACCGTCTTCCTCTTACCAGAGTACTGTGGGCCACTGCGAACCGAGGCTGCAAATGATCTGGTCTGGGCATCGACGGCGGCATTGCTCTGGGAAGACTGCGCTTCGACGTTGCGCCGAAGAGCTGCTTCCTCAGACCATCTGGTGTGGTCACCGTTCAAGTCGTCCCTGTCCTCTTCGCGAATGGATGCCAAAGCAGCACCGGCCATGGCTCCAGCTGCAGCAACACCCGCGACGGTCTTCTTGCTGACGGTGTCAAAGAATTGTTGTGGGCTGGGGGTTCGTCGGATGACACCCTGTACGCGTCCCATCAGGGAATCGTCCTCGCGCGCAATGCCATGAGAAGCAGCGTCGCGCGAACCCTGCGAGGCTTTGTAGTCTCTCTGCTCTTCGCCATAGCTCAAGTCGGCATCGTCAGAGGAATCATCCTCGTCCTGGCGGGCGCTCCAAACCCAAGCGGCAACGCCAGCGGTGGCGACGGTGACGGTGAAGACTAAGGGGACCCAGTAACCAAAGGTGGTTCGGCGTGAAGGCTGACGGCGGTCATAGCGGTCATAGGAGAAGGACATTGTGTGCGAGATTAGATCATGTTCTGCCGGGAGAGGTGACGCGCATGTGCAGCTGGATGCGTTGCGCTGGGTTGCGTTGCGCTGGATGAAGAGGGAAGAGCGTCTTCGTGGTAGGTGGTTAGGTACCTAGGTAGTTATTGCTGGGTGGTCGAGTACGAGGTAGGTTCAGCTTGGAAGGACGGGTGGCGGCTGGTGTTGTTGTTGTTGGAGGTGGTTGTGCCAATGGCTGGTGGCTGGGGGGTTGGTAGTAGGTACTCGTAGCAAAGTGGAGAGCTGGGGAAAACAATAGGGAGAGAGGAGCTTGTGTTGTTACCCGTCACGGTTAGCCCCTTGTATTCACAACAAATTGCCTAGGTAGGGGGAGATACCGTATGTCATGTGATGCCGAGGGAGCCATGGAGCATAGTTACCTTAGGTACCTAACTAACTGTATAGAGAACAACAATCGCCGACTCTCCGACCTCCACCGAAACAGTCATCCAAAACTTTTGGTGGGGGTTCTCTCAATTCACACATCCCACCACCCATTTACCACATTTACCACTACCAAAGCACTCACATCTGGACCCGGAACAAAACTACCTTTCGCTACATTGGTCGTCTCTCATCTCTACTTCTTGTCTTTGTTTATAACTTCTTTGATCCTCCCTCGGCGCAATGCCGCACGCCAACCTTCCTCCGCCTGGATTCCAGGCCCTCATTCTCTGTGGGCCTGGAGCTTCTTTTACCACATTCACATCCACTCCTCATGAGATACCCAAAGCTCTTCTACCCATCGCAAATAGGCCAATGGTGTGGTATCCTCTGGAATACTGCTACCGTATGGGAATTACAGGTAATCCGGGTCTTCTTCATTGCTGTCAAGCTGTCTCGCTAATGATCAAAAACAGATATTACTGTCATCACTCCGCCAGAATCCCTCGAAGCCATTGAGGCTGCCATGTCGCAGAACCCCCATCTGACCTCTCTTCCCGCCCCGAAACCAGATATTCTTGCGCCCAAAGATCTTCACCATGCCTCTGGAACCACCGAACTTTTCAGGCTCCCCGAGGTACAAGCTGCGATCAAAGGCGACTTCGTTGTTCTTCCCTGCGATTTGGTATGCGAACAAGATGGTGCACCTCTCATAGATGCTTGGATGGTTGAACAGGCCGGTTTGGGAGCTGCAAGCGGAGGGGTGAATGAATTGGGACCCGTGCCTCTTGGAATCGCTGGAGAGAAATCACGCCGTCGAGGCGGACTGGGCGTTTGGTATCAGACCAAAGGAGAAGCCAGCGCAAAAGGAGAAGAGACGGACTTCATTGCTACCACACCCCTCCCACCTGGGCCCGTCCCTGCACCAGCAGACTCGTTGCGCCGCAACATCTCCAACCTGGTATACACGGTTCCTACGGACACACTCAAGGACATAACGGAAGAGAACAAGTGCTTACCTATCCGACACACCCTCATTCGAAAGCATGCTCGTGTGCGGATGTTGACCACCTACCGTGATTCTCATCTGTACTTCTTTCCCTACTGGGTCATCGAGATGATGAGGAAGAACGAAACCTTTGAGAGTGTCAGCGAGGATGTCCTAGGCTGGTGGGCAAAGGCCGGATGGCAGGATGGGCTTGGCGATAAACTTGGTCTTCGTGACATTTTCTACCCTGATGAGGCTTCGGACGGAGAGGGTGAGGGCAGGCTTGAGTCTTCACAATTCATCGAAGAAGAGATTGATGTTTCAAAACTGAGTTCGACTTGGTCCTCCACTCTGGAGTCTTCTCCGTCAACAGCCCTCGCCTCCCGAGTCCAAAATTCTAACATCCCTGAGGCAGCTAAGTCCATCTCTACGGGATCAAAATTGCCCGTACCACCAATTCTGGCCTATGTTCAACCATCGGACCCCTCGCTACCGCTGATTCGAAGAGTCGATACCGCACATCTCCTCCTCACTGTTTCACTCCGCCTAGCAAAACTTCCATCAATAGAAGAAGCCGGTAAAGATGCCTCTCCTTTCGCGCATCAAGCAAAGATCGCACACAAAGCTGCTATTCCTCTGAGGTGCAGGGTGGAAGCTGAGAACTCGTTGTTGGCCGAGAACGTCATTGTGCAGGAGAAATCAAACATCAAAGAGTCCGTCATTGGTACAGGCTGCACTATTGGCGAAGGTGCACGCTTACTTCGCTGTTTGCTGATGGACGGTGTTGAGGTTGGTCCGAATGTCCAGCTCACTGACTGCATCCTGGGACGAAGATGCAAGATTGAAGGTGGACCCACAAAGAGTGACGAGAAGACCGTGTTGACAAAGTGCGAAGTTCAGGATGGCCAGGTCGTAGAGTGGGGAAGTAAGTTTCGACACAGCTCTTACTATTATTGATTGATACTGACGAATTGTTATAGCGGAAGCCAAGGGCGAGAAGATCATGCGTTTCGACATGGGCAGTGATATGGGAGATGACGTGGGTATGGATATGGGAGATAATGGTGGTTTCGATGGAGCTGAAGACGAAGGCATTCCTCTTTGAACGTGCCGCATCAGTAAAAGAGATGCTAAGAAGAGTTCTCAAGTCTACTCGTTAAGTAAGCACTACGCTTGTAGCCACGGGCTATGAACAAGATGACACAAAACATGAAGTCGGCGGCGCTCCGTTTCAGGACACTGGGGCCTCTTTCACCTCATTTTGCTTCCAAGTTCGAGACCTCCAAGGCTGCAATGGCTGACTACACAGTCGCTTTCGAACCTACCGCTTCTTCTACAAACCGCGACGCCTACGCTTCCCCACCAATCTCTCCGTACGACCGCCAATCGTAGACAGAGAACATGTACACTTGCCCTGGCGACAATGGCATGCGGGACCAAGCCAGTAAATGGTGACAAAGACAAGCTTTCCATCATTGGTAAGGTATACCACGCAATCTCGAACGCTTCTCAAAGGCCTGTTTAGGCCAGTGTTCTTGCAAGCTGTTGAAGAAGAAGAAGAAGACATGAGAGGGCCGTTGTTATATAGTAGGCCTTGAATGGCGTACGCCCAATGCATAAAATTACGCTTGTCCCATCATGGCTCCTGAAGGCCTTCATCTTCCTGTCCGTGTTTGATCTATCAAATAATAAAAATTGCTCAAAAACCAAAATCGAACGCGCTACAGACGTTGACATATGCTCATTATCGCAGCAATCAACATCAATTGAGCATATAGGGCAATTATCTATATATATGCTTTTCACATTCTCATGAGCGTCCCAAGCCTTGCAGCAACTCATCCAGAGCTCCCTGTTCCTTCTCCCCAGTCGGATCTGGATATTTTGTATCTTCCTCATGTTCCCTAATCTGCTCACAATCCCTCCAATGCCCATAGTCCTCCCAACTCCTCCCGCTATATTCCAACCACGCGCTGGGTCCAATCCCATAGTTAAAAACAATATATCTCGTCTTCTCCAACTTCGCCGGGAGCTCATATCTCTCTTCGAACGCCCGATCGTTGTCCCAATTCCCATGCCCAATCGCAAACCTCCTCAACCTCAGCAACTCCGTCTGGAACCTTCTGAACAACGCGCCCCAGCGCATGGAAGGGAACATGTAACGGTCACTGTCAAAGTCACCACCTCTCCCCGTCCCGCCGCGCGGCGCAGGCCACCTATTGTCCGCGATCGCGACGTCCATTCTTGCTGTATGCACGATCGGACAATCATCCAGCACCAACTCCTCCAGCGTGTCGCCGTGCGCAATCACCCACTCAATCTGATGCTCATACGCAATCGACCAGTTGCCGAACGCCAGCGACTTCAGCCGCGGGAGCTTGAGACCGGTGAGGTCGCAGTGGGGATACATACCCCAGTAGTCGTTCGCGAAGATGCTGAGGTGCGTGAGGTTCTCCCTCATCGGCTCGAGGAAGTACTTGCGGAGGTAATTGCCGAAGAAGTGGTGCCGGCCGATGATCGACATGCTGTTCTCGGGCGATGCGTCGTCTGTCTCTGTCGCGATCTGTAAGTGCAATTTGCGGATCCTTGCCCTCACGCTCTTGAAATCCTCGTTCGATTCGAGGAAGGCTTCAGACGTGCCGTCCTGAAAATTGACAAGCGTGAGCGTGTCTAGTTTTCCCTCCGTCGCAGCGGGGCAATCTTCCCGGTTCAAAGCTTTGAAGAATTTCTCGAGCACGGCGACTCGGAAGTCTTGCGTGTCGCCGACTTCTTTGGACCAGTATCCATAGTATCCGGAATCGTCTGTGCACTCGACTGAAAACATGAGCTCCGCGTGCGTGACGTTGGGGAACCTGCCGATCTTTGCGAGGGCTTTCTTCCAGGGCTTAAGATCGGGGTCGTAGATGTCTCGGGCTTCTTCTGGCCTGGAGGTGTCCCAGCCGGGTCGAGCCCAGGGTGTCAGGGTGGTGTTGACCGTCACCTAGATGTCCATTGCGTGAGCATTATTCCTACATCATACTTCGTTTCCGCTTACGACAGACAAAAGAACGAAAGGACATAATTGTCTCGTCATATCGTGTCCTTTGAGCAACGAATCCGCACCCAAATCAAACAGATTCCAAACAAATGAAACATTCTCGACTAACCTTCCTAACCCTCGTCTTCAAGTCCTCATCCTCAAGCACATGATTGAATCTCTCCGGGCTCTGCTCCGTGGGCAGGAGATTCACGACGCGGAACAGCGCGTCCGTGGCACTCGACGCAACGTCCTTGCGCACAAGACGAAGAGCTTTGAGGGATTCGAAGTCGAGGTAGCTAGACACATGGCGCTGAAGCTCGACAGGGAGGCGCGTGAAAGGGGAGAAGACTGGCGCGTCTGGAGTTGACATGTGTGCGGGATAGGGGATGACAATTGCAGTCAATGGAAAAAGAATGTTGGGATTGGGGACTGTAAAATAAAAGATGAGAGTTATAAGAGATACTGTTGATATTTCTCGATGTTTGGATTGTTGTATGGGATGATGCCTCGCCTCATCTTGTCCGATTTGGGGTTGATGCCTTGTGGGAGATTAGGCAGGCGACGTCTATCGGGCGTAGTGTGTAATCTAAAGCAGGCAGACATGCCCATTATCGTCCACGGACCTACAGAAGCATCGTACTCTAATCGGAAAGAAGCGATTGAGTTTACTGCTTGTATATTTTCATGTATCGAGCGAGTATCACCGAAACTACAATCGAAGTATGTATATGATGCATCGTCGTGCTAGATTGATGCCCTATACCATTTCAGGTTAAGATCATATTAAGATGTAGGGATCTTGTCTTAATTCAGCCAGACGTAGAACTTGAACATACACATCGCTTTCTCTGACTCGCAACAATGTTCTGTTGTGTCACGTTACCTTGTAGTCTATGGTATAGTACAACCTCTTATGCAAACTCCAGGCCAAAACCTAATGTCAAAAGAGTATTCGCCGCCAATGACATTGGGAGGAAATCATGCCGCAGTTAGCTGCCGATCATCTAGCTTTGCATTACCCCAATGACAACGTCACTATGGAATTCGTCCAAGGCTTTCGGACCCGTTATCGGCCATTCTTATGGATCAACTTCCCCATGCTGTACATCACGCCGGGGAGAGTCTCGCGTCTCCGGGTGCCTAAATGCGGGGAATAAGCATCTAGGGGTATTCCAGTTACGCAGACAATGTTGGTGCGAGGTCATGAAGATTTAAAAAGGCATACATTCCAGCGAAAGTCAGATATCTTCTCGCTTTGCGACTAGATTTGCTTCGCTACATAATTTCTCACGCAAAGATGTCGAAATTTATATCATGTAGTACAATCTTACTTAGCCTGGCAGCATCAGCATTGGCTGACGACTCTCTTCAGCGAATGAATGCCGCTCTTGCAGATGTCTTCAAAGGCGTAACAAACACCACAATCCTCCATGTCCAGCACTTCGTAACCGGTGATTTCTTGCTTCCCGTCAGTCCTCCCAACGGAGCCGTGCCCGTTGTCCCTCGCGCGTCCAACGGCGCAACTGTAGTCAAACTCTTCATCCGCACCACTGGGAACGCCCCCGCAACACCAAATGCCACTGCGGGAACCGACGTAGGAATAGAGCTTTGGTTCCCAGAGGTTGATGCCTGGACGGGGAGGATTGTGAATTTCGTGCATGGTGGCTGGCAAGGGTATGCTGGGGTCACGGCGACCAATTTCTCATCACCGCAGATAGACACCTCGATATCAGAGTACTCTGAGTGGGCGTCTAGTAATGGCTATGTGTCTGCCATCTCTGATGGAGGCCATGTCGCGAAAGATCTCCTCGATACGTCGTACCTGGTCACTGCAAATAACGAGCCCAACTACGAAGGATGGAAGAACCAGGCATGGCAGTCCGCTCACCTCATGGCCGAGACATCGAAGTCAATTGCTAAGGCGTACTACGGCCGCGAGCAAAACAAGACGTATCTTCAAGGCTGTTCGACAGGTGGCCGGGCAGCATATCAGATGGCACAACAATTCCCAGCAGACTACGACGGCATAGTCGCCATTTCACCATCAATCACAGGCTCCCGTCTCTACGAAAGCATCGGAAACCCCACACTCATCCTGAACAACGACAAACATGAACCATTCACGACCACCCAGCTCAGCATCCTCGGCCAGAAAGCAATCGCAGCAGGCGACACATCAATAACCGGCCAGCACGATGGCTACATCACGGACTGGCAAAACAACACCTACGATGCAACCAAAGACCCCACAATCCTCCGCGTCGAAGACGGCGGCAACTGTACCGAGCCCTGGGCCATCACCCTCGCCCAAGCCAACGCCATCAACAAAATCTGGTACGGCATAACCCGCGACGGGCAGATCCCCTCCCCCTCACAGGACAACGGCTACGGCCTCAACCTCAACTCCCACAAACTCTACTGGGGCCCGATGCGTGGATCGCAGCTCACCTTCGCCAACACCCCCTTCGCCATCGTGGGAAACTGGTGGGCGTCCGTCTTCCGCGACGCATCCCTCGGCGACCCGGATTACTTCCCCGGCGGCACCAACGCATGGCAGAACTTCACGTACGAGCAGTTTGCAGAGAAGATGCTGGAGGGCCAGAGGCTCGACCACGAGTGGATCAATATGGACGCAGACAACCCCGACCTTTCGGCTTTTCACGACCAGGGCGGGAAAATCATGGTGTATCACGGGCTCGCGGACCCAAATGTGCCACCGCATGCTACAATTTCGTACTATGAGCGGTCAAGCGCCATTAGTGGTGGGTATGAGCGCGCGAGAGAATTCCATAGGTTGTTTCTTGTGCCTGGGATGGGTCACTGTGCGCCTGTCTCTGGGCAGTATGGAGATGCGAATGTTCCGTTTGTTGGCGGGGACGACCTGGTAGAGGAGGTCGCGAGGTGGGTTGAGGATGGAAAGGGGCCGGACTCCGTATTGGCTACTTCGAGTGATGGGAAGGTTTCGAGGCCGGTGTGCGTGTATCCGGGTCTACCAAGGTATGATAGGGAGGGGGATGTAGGGAGTGCTTCCAGTTTTAGTTGCTAGAGGAATGAAAGGGGTGTAAATCTTTGTTTCAACCCCAAGTTGCAATCATGTAAAGAAATCATACTGCTTCACGAAAGGCTTTGGGGGTCAGTGGTGGTATACTATTTGGGGTAGAGGGAAGAATCTTGTGCGGAATGGAAACAAATCCTGATTGATATTTCATTTGTGTCTACAAGAAAATAGCTACTTTAGACAAATGGTGATGGCTGTCCTGTAAGCGCCCAAAACTCTGCAGACTGCGCTTGATCCTTCATCCTCTTAATCTCATTTCTATAAAGAGGCAAACATGTGTCCACATTCTCGAACGTTATCCTCTTGCTCACAACAACATATCTATCCGATCCTGACCCATATGACTCACTCTCCAGACCTAGATCATACGCCACATGATGCTGCAAAGCCCTCTCATCTTTCCTCACCGGTTCGAAGCTCATGGACTCACTCTTCTCATCCATCTCAAACTTTGCGAAGGCTGTCAGAATTTCCATAGCCCTATCATTACCCCAGTCATGCACCACCTTCGCAAATGCCCACTTTGTCGGCCATGACCACTTGATCCTCATGAACCGCGTAAGCCTATTCGCCCCTTTCCCTTTCCCTTTCCCTTTCTTCACTTGCCCTAGATGCGCGAGCGTTGAGGCTGCATAAGCAATACTGGGCCACAGCGCGTCGATAGCTGTCACCCACGTGCCTTTGAATTTGATATCAACGCCTGACTTCGACCGCACATTGTTCACGAAGAATTCGCTCTTCTCGCTCAAAGAGCCAGTGAGATGAATGGGGACGCGACCACCGAACCGCTTGTTGATATCTCTAACTAGGCGTGAGACACCGTCAATGTGGGAATCGAGGAAGTGTTCGCGTGCGCTCCTTTCATGGACATACGACCTGAGCTGGAGCGGATGCTTGCGTCGGGAATCAGCAGGCACGGGCGTGACATCGAGATGGATCTCCTCAGGGTTCGAGGGGAGGTTCGGAACGGCATCGATCCAAGCCTGGACGAGTTCGGCGTGAGGGACCCATCCTCGGGGAGCCCAGAGTACCAATTGATTTGCCCATGTAATGGGCCTCGCCTTTGAGTCTTCGAAGATAGACAGAGTGAGCTGGCGTGATTTTGCCGTGTAGGGGTTGCCATCAATCAGAAAGTTTGGACGGAAGTTACAGTTGGAAGCTTGAAGTTGCGATAGGCGGGATACGGCGGAAGTAGGTACTCCACAAGTCTTCAGGACACTCGTGCTCAATTGTAGATTGTGGTTTGCAAGGAAGGGGGTAATGAGAGACCGCCACGGGAAGGATATAGACAGTAGTGAATCTGGAATGAGGTATACAGGAATATCTTGCCGGAAGTCATTGTTGGGAGCCTGTAGTTGCGACGGACGGGATACGAAGGAAACAGGCGTCCATATGTTGATCAGGAGAGCGGTGTCGTGGCGTAAGATGCGATTGATATGGAGGAGGATTACCAGAGACCGCCACGGGTGGGATATAGATATTGAATCGGGGAAGAGGCGCACGAGGATATCCTGGCGAATCTCTGCCGGAAGAGATGTAAGACAAGCCATGATGAAGGGTTGGGAGTGGAATTCTCGTTGGAGAGAATGTGAGATACCAACCCGACGCAGGCTGTACGAGTCTGAGGTTTCGCAGTTGTGATAGAAGCAATGAGGTTGGATTGAATGTGGTTGTCGGGTTGATTAAACAAGGCAGCTTGCGAGGGGAGAAGGAAACAGTCTGCCGACGGTTCTTTTATAAAACAGCAGAAGAGAATGCTAGTTGGTGTTCATTTAATATACACAATGCTGGGGTGAAACAAAGCAGTGAAGTTGGAAACGAGAAGGTGTACACTGACCATTGTCTCAACTGTAGCCTTAAGAATGATTCATTCACTGGAACAAGGGCGCAGAAGGGCTGAACGTGAACAGACCTGGTGGCCCCATCTCTGGACCATGATCGCGAGGCGTTCAACGCGAATAATGATACAAATTAGAGGTATGATATGTATATATATATATATATATATATGTTTGGCATCTCCGACGAAGTATTATCGACGAAAATGGAGCGATGGAAGGATGCGAGCTTTTCTTGATAGACTAGCACTCGAGGGATGGTACCATTCTTGATTGGTTCATTCATCCAACCTTAATCGGACCTTGGCTGGCACCCCGGGAATGCCAACGTCGATGCTCCATGGTAAGAATGATTCCAATTTCCCCAAACATCAATTATTCTGTCTGCAATCTGCCTAGGAAATTAAAGAGGGAATGACATGATCAAAGACACACAACACTTTTTTGTAGAATGTGTCCAACGTGCATGCAAACCTTGACCACAAGCCGGAAGGCGGATAGAGACGGGCCGGTAGCGTCTTGCCAGAAATACTTACTTGGTCGAACGATTGATATCTTATAATTAGTTATACAAGTGTCGACATAAGGCATTACTTCTCTCGAAATAATTCTGTCTACGTCAAAATGGCGGCGGGACATCTTCCCGGTCTAGTAAAAGACGGCTTCAAAGCATTGCAATTGGTACCTGATCTAACCATTTTATACTTACTGTCACTGACATCACCTCGAGGTCGGGTCATCATCTTGGCGCCGCATGCTCCACGCCTGGATAATAGTTCCATTTGGGGTCTTCTCTATCATGATGGCAATCTTTGGGGTCGAAAGACTCATCAGTCTGACCGGTGTGCCATTTCCAGCCTCTGTGGCCTGCATGGTTCTTCTATTCTTCGGTCTCATCCTGAGCGATCTCATTCTCGGCGACAAACGTACCAAAAGATTCATTCGTCTCATTGAGCCTTCGGTATGTTGATTCCACCCATTCACAATACCAGACATATCCTTTGATGCTATGTAGACTGGCTTTCTGCTGCGCTGGATCAACATCTTCTTCTGCCCTTCCTTCATCCTGCTGCCGCTAAGTCCCGCTATCGGCGCGGTGGAAGTCGGAAAGATTCTCGCTGTCCTATGTGAGTAACTCAACACAACATGTGTTTGGTATATACTCACCGTCTACAACTCAGTCATTGGATACGTCGTAGTCACAGCAGCAACCGCATTCTTTGTCCGAGGACTCTCCCTCCTTCTAGGATCCCCAAAGCGAGCAATGGTCGAACGAGCTGAGGAGACAGGTCCGCAGACCGACACCATCCCTCTGACAGCGACGACGCCCCAACCATCCGGAACCTCAACACCCAATCCCTCCCGGACAGGTTCATCAATATGGAACGTGTCCAACATAGACACCCCTCTATCGCCCCCAAGCCCAACACTCCAGGACCTTCAACACCCACTCCACATCCAAGACCTCTCCACCATCAACGGGACAACGCACGATGGTAACACTTCAACACCACAACCCCGACAGGACCCTCCTCCCCTAAGCCGCTCCCAAAGATGGGCCGCGACGATAAACTACCACCTCGACACCGCAACCTACCTGACCATCTTCACCCTGATCGGCCTCCCACTCTACTACACGACACCGTACGTGACCCCCGCCCAGCTCCCCCTAAATGTTCTCGCATTCTTCGCCGCGCAATCCCTCCCGCCTAAATACCAACGCGTCCTCCACCCCGTCCTCCTCTCATCATGCCTCACCATCCTCCTACTCTACCTCCTTGCATTGTCCCAATCCCAAAGCCTCGCCGTGGCCCTAAGATCGTACCAATCGGGGCCCACCCTCTCCTCACTCCTCTTAAACTCACGCCCCTCATCTTCCCACCATCCAGGGACGGGGACAGGCACATCCCAAATCTTCAGCGCCATCCTCTCGGCGTCCATCGTCGCCCTCGCCCTCCCCATGTACACCCACCGCCACGACCTGCGCTCCCACGTCCCCGTGCTCCTCCTGCCGACGCTCTCTCTCGCCTTGGCATCGCTGTTCCTGTATCCGCCCCTGTGCTCGGCCATTGGAATCGCGGCCCCCCGTGCGCTGTCGTTCGCGAGCCGGAGTCTCACGCTCGCGCTCGCGAGCCCCGCGACGAGGAACCTCGGCGGCGATGAGTCGGTCGTGGCGGTGTTGTGTATTGTCAGTGGTGTGCTGGGGGTGTTGGTCGGAGGGAGGGTGCTGGATTGGTGTAGGGTGCCGAGTGGTATGTATTTTATGTCTCCCTTTTCCCCGAGATGTTTAATGGCTTTGATATGTGGCGTAAGAGACTGATTCGTGGGGATAGATGACTATATCACGCGCGGTATTACGCTCGGGGCGAATAGCTCGGCGCTGGCGACGGCCATGCTGCTGAGGACGGATCCTCGCGCTGCGGCGTTTTCGAGTCTGGCGATGAGTGTGTTTGGGTTGGTGATGGTGGCGTTGACGAGTGTGTCGACTGTCGTCAAAGTGGTCGGTGGGTTGGCGGGACTGTGAAGTGCTACTGCTAGTTAAATGTGCTGGTGAGTGCAAGATTTCAAGGGGTGAGAGAGACCCAGATGACTGTAAGAAACGAATTGATGAGAGAACGATGTTGTTCATTTAACATATATAGCTATAGCTATGTAGGTAAGATTCTATTGGAGTATCCTTAGGGTTTCAGATGAATGGCATTTCTCTTCGTCGTACTGATGACTTGCTACGAAGATCGCATTTTGAGAATTTTTGAACATACAATTGTTGTTGGCTGAAGATTTGAAGGGTACAGGTAAGTGGGGGTCTCATATACACATTTCCGTTTTTCTATTCGTTCATCGTCTCCTTCACGACTCTATAGTTCGTCGTGCTTGGCCTCAGCATCCTTGTCCTTCTCCTGGGTAGCGGCATTCAACGCTGCGAGGATCTCCTCCTCAGTGGCGTCCTCACCGAGGTCGAGACGGGTCAGGATCCGGCCATCTTCGGACTCAATGTTCTTCTTGAACTTGTCGCCCAGGTTCTTGAACTTGACTCCCTCACCCTTGATGCCCGCCTTCTCGAGAGCTTCTTGTAGCTCCTCCTCCGTTGGCTCCTTCGCGGGCTTCTCTGCCTCGGCGGCCTTCTTCTTCTTCTCGTCCTTAGCAGCCTTCTTGGACTTCTTGGACTTCTTGGGTTTGGAGGCCTTAGGCTTCTTGGGCTTCTGCTGCTGGTTCATGGCGTTGAACTTCTTGGTCATCATCTGCATAACAACGTCGTTGAGCTTCTTTGTCTGCTCCTTGAGTTCCTGGATGCTGACCGCGGCGTCGTCTGATGCGCCCAATTTCGATTGCGCAGTCTCCTTCTCCAGGATCCAGGCTTTAGCTTTTGATACAGTTTCCTCGAGGATGGTCACGTCTTGTTCGGTGTAGATGTTGATGGCAGTAGGGAAAACGGGCTCCTCGGTGGTAGAAGACGCAGATGAGGACTTGAGAAGATCATCATCCTCAAGCTCGGCGAGAGGGTCAGGAGATGGTGTCTCAGATGCCGCAGCACTGGCTGCTGCGGCAGAGGCAGAAGCCTCAGCGGCGGATTTGGAAGCCTCTTCGGCGGCCTTGGATGCGCTCTCGATAGACTCCTTAACCATGGGAATGACACTCTCCAAGCCGGCGAGACCTTCCTTGAGCTCTTTGATGGCGCCGGGACGGCTCTCGGCTTCGTTCTGACGAGCGAGAACAGGGTCGACGAGATCCTTCAACTCCTTGAGACGGGCACTGAGAACATCCTCTGCAGCATCCGCACCCTCAGAGTAGATCCAGTCAGAGGCAGCGCTGAGCTTCTCCTCGAGCTGAGAGCGGATCGATGCGGTGGATGCGGCGATGAAGGACTCGTCCTCGAGGTAGTCACGTGCACGGTATGTAAAGGCCTCAAGGGAGTTGAGAACCTCTTCACGGGTGCGACGGGAACGGTCAGACTTGTCAAAAGCCTCGAGTCTGGGTTCTTATTAGCTTCTGCGTAAATGTGATCTTTGTATGTAAGGACTCACCTATCCTGCATTCTCTTCATCTCCTTTCGGGGGTGCTTCTCATAGCCTTGCTGAGTGACCTGGTATGTGATGGCCGACTTGATCTCAGTCTTCTTCTTGCCGCCCTTTGCTGCCTCAGAAGGCTCAGCATCGGCTGCGCTCGATGAACCAGACGCCGTTGAGGACGAAGAGGATTCCGAAGCGCTCTCACCCTCCTTAATAGGCTCCTGCTCCTTCTTACCACCGCCAAAGAAGCCCTTGATGCCATCGACGATGCCACCCTTGGATTCCTCAACTTCCGCAACGCAAGTGACCCAAGCGGAAGTGACCTCGGGCGTGCCGGTGATGGGGCTCAGACGGACCTGAACGTAGTTGTTGAAGCTGTCCCTGTCACAGCCGTCGGTGTCGATCATCTTGGTGACAGCGCGGGTAAGGTTGCCGCTCTTGAAGTGCAAGACAGGCTCCTTGGTGACAGAGTCGCCAGCTCCAGGAACAGCCTGGTACATGGTGAACTCAAACTCGCCCATCATCTGGAATGGAATGTCCTTGGTGGCGCCGATCTTGGTCAAAGGGGTGAAGATCTTCTGATCGCGGTCCTTGAGATTGAATTGGTATTGAATTCCGTGGGTGTAGCCCTGAGTGTCCTGGTCACGGATCTCCTTGACACGGAACGATGGGCTGAGACCAGCGGCCTTGAAGGCAGCTCCGAACACAGCAGCCTCGTCTGAGTTGACGTTGGCCCTGATCTTGGACTTTCCAGCAATTGCCTCGAGGCGGCTCTGGACGAAAGGAGTGCGAGTAGCGCCACCGTGGACGATGAAAGAGTCAATGTCGGCAACGGTAAGTCCAGCGGCCTCAAGAGCACGGTTGATGGGGCCGTCGACTCTGGCAGCGTGCTCTGCAGCAAGTTCCTCGAATCTTGCCCGGGTGGCCTTGTAGCGGAAATCAACATCATCGTAGAGGCCCTCGAAGAATGCGTGAGTCTCGGTGTTGGCACTCAGGACCTGGCGCAACTTCTCCGCGTCCTTCCAGAGCTTCGAAGCGGCACGACCATGAGCCTTGACCTGCTCAGTAGTGACCGATGCGCTCTTCGCAGCCGGGGATGCCACGAAGCTCTCCACCATATCGTTCACAATAAGCTGGTTCAATGCGTCGCCACCAAGAGTCCTGTCCCAGCCAGTGCCGAGGACCTGAATCTCCTGGATAGTCTTGTTGAAACGTCCAACATCCTTGACCTGCTTGCCCTGGAACTTGAGAACGGTAGCAGAGGCGGAGCCAGCACCCATGTCGAAGACCAAATGGATCTCTGGCTTTCCACCGTCTGTGACGACGGGGAAGGTCCTGCTGGTCGCATAGTTGATACCGACCGCCAGACCATCAGTGACCACATTGAGGACATTCAAGCCCGCAAGCTTGGCCGAAACCTCAAGAGCGCGCCTCTCCTCGACAGTGAAGAACGGCGGGACCGTGAAGACGACGTCCCGGACGGTCGAATCCTTGCCCGCGAGAGCGAGCGCATTTTCCTTAAGGTTCTGGAGCTCCATGGCGAGCAATTCCTCCACGGAGAAGGAGCCCTCGCCCTCGGCGAAGATGCCACTGTTCAAGCTGACCGTCGTCCTGCCCTCGGTGCCGGTGACCTGCAGCGCAGGGTATCTCTCAGAGAACAGGCCAACAGCCGTGTCGTCGGCCTTGACGCCCAGGAGCTGCTTCAGGTTCGGGTATACATTGCTGGGGAATCGCGCCGCGAGGGCGACCGCATCGCTGCCGTAGAATCGCTCGGGGAAGGAGCCCGAGGCAAGAGCACCGCTCTTGGAGGGCTTGAATGCGACGGCGCTGGTCTCCTTTCGCTTGGAGTCCTTGGTTAGGACGATTTCGAGGGGGATTCCTGGCTTTACGAGAACGGCTTTGATATATTCTGTTCCGAGATCGACTCCGAGGACTGCTGAAGCGGCGGAGGCGGTGGAGGAGAAGAGGAAGATGAGGCCGAGAAGAATTGTTAGAGGGGACATGGCGCCTCTCCGTCGGCCTGGAGGAGCCATTGTGAGTGTGTGATTTTGGGGAAGTGGAGAAGAGGAAGAGAGAATGTGTGGTTGTGGAAGTAGAAGAGGATTGCGGAGAGGATTCGGAGGTGAGGTGGGATGTATGCTCGTGGCTAGCTCCAAAATGTTACGTAGGAGGAGCAACAAGTGTGTAGTGGTAGGAACAAAGCAGAAATCAAAGATTGTTCGGGGGGAACTGAGGGAAGGAAATGGGAACTCTATTCCCTAGAGGACAGGTATACGCATCCAGCAGCAGTGAGGCTATGGAGTGATGTGCTTGTATAATAAGATAATAAGATTGAAATGCTGTGGGGAGTGTGATGATAGTCGACCACCCAAGAGATTCAGGTTCCCCCTGCACGATGACACCTGGCTCTTTGGCGTTTCCGAAAGGCCACCTTTGACTACGCCCGCCACAGCGTAGGCAACTCTATGCCCAGAGATCACGCTGGTGGCCCTTATTATTTATGTAATTGTACGTAAATAATGTGCACAGAAGCTGCTGGAATATACATGTCTATGACTCTATATAATTCGAGGGTTTCTATGTGGTAATTGACCCAATATTCTCTTCCTCGAGATATCTCGAAGGGCAGCTCCGACCACCTCCGGCCTCCAGCCAATCAGAAGCATTTCCTTCACCGCATCCGACCACCACCATCTCTATCTCCCAATGCGGCATTCCCATTCCCATTCCATGACTAACTGACCGACTGAGTCAGTTCATCAGTATTCTATGTTGCTGTGTATAACTATATACTCATCATCTGCCCTCCAATAATACCGTCAGGCCTGTTGGTAAACATCGTCCCATGAAGACATTGTACCTACAGGACGCTAGAATCTGTAAGGTCGTGGCCTCTCCTCACTAAGGAAATTCTTCCAGCCTTTATGTGCAATGATGAACTACGTTCATATGCCACGATTAAATTCAACCAATCCATCCTTTCCGCCTCGCTCGTGGAACTCCGGCTCCAGCGAGTTAGCACTGACAGCCTGACGTTGCGGGAACGCAGCGAGTGCCAACGGGAGAGCGAATATCGAGGTGCCGAAGATAAGACCTAAGCCCCTCACTGTTAGCCCTTTCAATCCCCCAATGCATTTCAAAAAGTAGAACATACCAAGGTTAACCGGCGTGACCATCCTCGGCCTCTGCTTCAACCACTCCGTCTTCTGCAGCCTGACCAGCACCAATGGCGGCAGCACCATGATAGGCGTGGCATTGAGCACGCGACTAATCGCCGTCTCTCCGACCGCCAGCGTCGCCGCCTTCCTACTCTTTCCCAACGGCGCGACCTCCAACTCCCCGCTCTCCACCCTCTTCTTCTCCTCCTCGCTGAGCACGGGGAACACGTTGATGCCCTGGCGGATCTCCTCGCCGCGCATGAGGAATACGTTGAGGACACCCGCGACTGCGACGGCCGCGAAGGGGACGAGACGGCCGGCGACCATCTTGGCGTTCGGGGAGAGGCTCTTCATGCGCGGGACGAGGGAGTTGAGGCCGAGGGCTACACCGCAGGAGGCGCTGACGGCGAGGAAGTAGGACTTTACGATTGTGCTGGTGGAGAGGGGGGTCGACTTGTTTGCGTTGGAGAAGTTGATGGCGACGTTAAGGGACTGGTTAGTGATTTGCCAGCCCAGTGTTCCCGCCGTCTGTGGTTCCCGATGTCAGCCTTTTGCTCTCCATTTTCTCATAATGGAACCAACTCCTCCCCCACAGTCGAAGTATAGAAAAGAAAAGAAAAGAGAAAACTTACCCCAAGACCCGGCGTAAGCATACCCGCCGTGACGACCAAATTCGTCAAGATGAAGCACGACATGCGAAACGGCAAGAACACAGGTTCACCAGTATCTATCCCCACCCGTCACCAAATCAGCTTCTCTTCTTTCAAAACACCTTATCGTCCACCTTTCCCATATCTTAAATACCCGTTTTCTCCAATTGTAACGTAACCGGTAGAGGAGGGCGGCGAGAAAACGAACCTGGATGTATCGTCGAATCGATGATCTTCTTCGCCTGCCACAGCTCCGGCGTCATCTCCTGCGCCTTGCCCATCTTGTACGAGGTGATGAGTCGCTTCGCATTGTCGAGGCCCGCCGCGGACGTGAGGAGCGTTCTGTTGCGTTCGCATTAGCCTTCCGTGTCCAGAATTCAATTCCTACTCCCCATATTTACAATCCCCCTCCCGTGGTGTATGTGTGTGCAGTTTCGCATGCGATCGTGTGACATCCACAATGCCTTTCACTCGCGCGCTTTGCGTAGACCAATCCATAGCACCACTACCGCCGCCCCAAAAAAAAACCATACAGCAAAGTGTATAATCATTTTCCCCCACAACAACAAAAAAGTATTGTAATCCTCACCTCGGGTCCGAAATATTCGCCGCATGCTTGACACGACCCCAGTACGTGCTGAGGTCGAACTGCGATACCGGCGGGTCGCGAGTCCCCGGGAGCGAAGAAGTCATCTTCCTTTTCCTTTCCTTTCCCTCTCACTCTTCCTCTCTTGTCCAATTGCGTGCGGTCGGGGATTGCGACTCGGGCGAGCGAGGCGTCGAGGTAGAGGGAAGTCGTGCGCGACGGGAGAACGAAAGGGTTGGCGGCGGGGGAGTGCGATTGGTATTGTATGTGGAAGATGATAATGAATTTCAGGTGGATTATATTTACCAGCTGCGATTTGGTTGGCTGGCGCGTGTGGTTGGTGGTGGTGGCCCCGGCACCAACCGTGTCCAAGCGTATCTTATGGGAGGGACATCCGATAAGAAGGTTCCAATCTACGGGAGGACTTCCGTCATATTGTACATTAGGTCAAGGTATGTATGCAGTATGTATGCACCTTGTGACCTCGTGTTGGGTTGTATTTCCATTTATGGGTACGTGTAGCATGGAGGGGATTTATGTACCTGAATTGTAAGTAATCGGCAAATATCTTCTGCAGTAACATCACAGGATATGTTTCAATGCATGTTTGTCTCGTTTGTATGTACTTCTTTTCGTATATACTTTCTAATCTCGAGGTTCTACTACCCTCTGTAGTTGTATATATTCTATGTGTACCTGTTATGGAACATGAATGCGTTGGTCACCCAACGTCGTCAAGGACAATTGACTGATCCCATCCGCTTTTTTTCTGATATGCAAATGCCATGCGGGAATAATGAAGGAAACGAAAAGGATATTAACTATACAATGATTACGCTGCGCTCATCTTTTTACCCCTTTTTATGTTCGATACCATATACAGAATTCGTGGTGTATGTCTACAATATATGTACACATGATGTATGTGCAACATTTCGAATCCGGGGTCTATGCTATATGTTCGTGGCTCATTTCTTCTTCTTTCCTTTTGGCGGCGTCTGCTGCAGTTCGGCCGATTGCAGAATCGCATCGAAGGTCTTGCTTGGATCGTTGCTAGAAGCAGGTCGCATAACGAGCGGATTGGCGGGACCGGCTGGCACGGGTAGCGCTTCCAAGCCGAAGTCCATGACGGACTCGCGTCGTCGATCTGGGCTGGATGAGCGGGCCCTCGGGGCGCCGTTCGCTGCCAGCATGCCTCCGGGCGGGGGCGGTAGTGGTGCTGAGTTCATCGACTCTTGGACTGCAGCATTCAGAAGGACATCATACTGGGACCACTTCTCTGCCATGGCCCAACAGTGCGAGCGACGGAAAACGCCTTCAACGCCGTGCTGAACAATGTCAGTCGGAAGGCTGACAACTTGCGTTCCACCAGCGACTCCGAACCAAGTACGGGCCCTGGTCGTATCGTCTCTTCCCCAAGGGGCACCCGACCTAGGCGGCTCGCAGAGGAAGTACTCAACGCCTTGTGTGTAGCGCACACCCGGCGCATCGATGACCAACATGGGTAGTGACTGGATCACGGCGTAGAGGAACAGCCAGTGGCCTGTCCGCATTTCCCACAACTCGTCCATCGTGCTGCCGCTTGCCTGCTTGTGCTCGAACGCACGGAAAGCCTCTAAGAAAGCGGTCTGCTGCTCAGCGTCAGGGTTGTGTGACCGTTTCATGATACGCGCAATCTCGTCGGATTTGAGCTTCTTGCTGCGGGCTTTAGCGTCCTTCTTGGGGTCGTTGGAAGGGTAGTCGCTCTTGATGCCCTTCAAGGTCGGGAACAGTGGTAGATCGAAAGGAATGGGCGGCTGCACTGGAGGTACGCTTCGATCATATTCGCTCAAAACCTTCCGCAACGCACGATAGGCAATGCACTCGAAACCAGTTCCCTCATCTTCTGTGGTGAATCCATCGGCTGTGCGTGTGGTTAAGTTGGTACGATCAGCGAGGAGGTCGTACAATGTAGACAAGTCGCGATAGATTTCTAGTAAGACAAGTCGATTCAAGCCGCTGGTCGTGAGGTTGTTCTTCTTCGACTTGGCTTTGGGAAGCCATGATCCGTACTTGCTCTTATAATAGTCAATAGCGAACGACCTGCATGACATGAACGAGGCCCTCCAATTCTTAAAGCGAATCAACTTCTTTTCATCCGCGGTATCGCTGTTCATCAAGCCAGAGAATATCGCTGGGAAGTCGAAATCGGTCAACTTGGTGTCGATGTTCTTCGTACGCATTTCCAGGTCCATGGCCGCACGAGCGAGTCTTGTGCTGGTTTTGGGGCTGATCATCTCATATTTAGGATGGTTAAGCTCCTTAATGCTGTCCAATTTCCCTGCCGCGTGCACGAAGCCTTCTGTATATAGAACCATAGACCGCATGTGCTCTCCGAGGACGATAGCTTCAATTGTTTTCTCCCGGCTGCTGCGAACATCGGCGAGGGCGAGTTCATCCACATAGCTGTCAAAACTTGAAGAAGCGATCTCGCCATACGTCGACCCATCGACGTTCGAAAACTGATAGTGGTTAAGGATATCAGAGATTCGCAAGAAGATTTCGAAGATTCCGTGATGTCGCTCTGTCGCAACCAAGGACTGGCCCATGAGAAAAGCGATGAAGTTACGATATGTGATCAGGGTGTCAATGTCCTTCGTTGAGAGCCTTGGTTCCTGCGCGCTGGGTGTGATTGCAGCTTGGTCGGTGCTCAATTGAATAGGTAGGTACAGGTGTTTCTCGGAATGATCGTCCTCTGTGGCATCGCTGAGAGCTCGTGATCCCTTCGATCCATCGGAACTGCTTCCATTGACAACAGGCTCAGGGGATTCGGTTCGAATAGATGGGAACGTCTCAGATCGCTCTGGGGCTTCTACGTCATGATTTGTGCCGTGAGCGGGTTCGCTGTATAGAGACCCATGCACGAGTTTGGTCATGTAGAGGGAATCTGCGTATAGTGAAGAATCGATGCGGAAGGAAGGTCCCTTTCCAGACGTACGCGGGAATAGATATACCAGAGTATCACCCTGGTCGTCCCATAGCTCGTCAACCTATTCAAACATGTTAGCGACAATGCTACGTTGTCGAATCAACTTATGTATATTGCATGCTTACCTTTTCTCCATTCAGGAGCATAGTGAGATTGTACGGGACTTGCCCGCTGTGACCAATTATCCATGCTAGAGGTCCACCGGGAATATTTGCATGGCCTTTCACCGGACCTCGACCTGAAGTTTCATGGACCCCCTCGTCGCTGGTCTGGGCTCCGCCAAAGAGTCCGCTTCGCCTCTTCAATTTTCGCAGTTTTGTCTCGCCAGTTGCAGGCACCTGTAACCCTGCACCGCCATAGTTGTCTCTTAAGCCGTCTCGTGTTCCAGGTCGACTTGTTGTCTGGCTTCCTGGTCGGCTACCGGAACGGGTCGTAGAGGCGGGGCGGGCGGGTGAGCTAGAGCGAGAGTTTGCAGCGGACGAAATTGGGGGTGGAGGATCGAGTGCGGCCGGCGCAGACTCAACGGGGTGAATGGTAGGCTGGAGAGTATTTCCATGTTGTTTTGGGGGCGGTGGTGGGGGATACTCGGGCGTGAGGTGTGTTGCGGACGAGATGCGATTCTTCACCTTGGTAAGGCGACTGCTTGATTCGGATGAACCGGCGGAACCTGCACCAGAATCGGAACCTCCCAGGCTGAAGAGCGAGGAAATTCGACGACTCGACCGCTTCTTTTCCATTGTGAAGGCTGTGGAAGAATTTGGAGGAAGAAGATTGGGAGATCGTGGAGGTCGTGGATGTCGCGGAGGAGTAGGTTAGGAATAAGGCGGGACAGCGAGCGAAGACGCAATGGAATGGAATGAATCGGTATGGGTATGAATGTTTTTCCAAACAGTTGAGGAGAGTAGTAGTGGTAGCCTCGGAGGGCTTAAGAATAGTGAATGCGCCACCCGCAAGGGACGGACGGTCAGTCTCACAGTGGAGGGAGAAAGAACGAACTAGGAGGAGGCCAAACAGGAGATTGGGTGGGCAGATGTGTGTTATTTAGGTGAATGTTGGCCGCCAGCGGGAGTCGGTACGAGGAGTAAGTACTTGTAGGGTATGGCTGTATGGCAGGGTACTGTGTGGTAGTGGACTGTGGACTGTGGACTGGAATAGGATTGTCGGCAGTGAAGGATCATCGCTGTCTCCCGATGACGAAACAGGCGACTTATAGGGTTTAGTTCCTGGCCAGGCCCCGGTTTCGCCGCGCGCACTGTGAACTAACCATGCATGTCCACACTATTCGGTACTGTTTACTGTGTACCTACATACACACTGCATAGTATATAGTTATATATAATGTTACATATATATAACGGGTTGTCCTGTTGTGTTGTTGATCACATATGTGTGGTGGATGGTGAAGATGACAATAGTAATAGCCATAATCATAATCGTGATCATAATACACTGTGGTTTTATTATATCTCTTCACACCGGTCGAAGAAGACAGACCTCCATTGGCTTTCATCCCGTGTCGGACGTCGAGATTACGGTAGTACATGGAGCCTGGCTTGTAGTAAGTATACTGTGTGCTGTGCAGGTAGCTGTCAGCTGTGCCGTTTGGGGCAACGGTGAGATGAGTGCTCGATATAGAGCTGAGTTGAAGGATAGGACAGGACATGACAGGACATGGCAAAACAAGACAAAGACAAAGACTGGCGGCCTACGAAAATCTGAGACACATTGTTGAGATCGCCGAGTTGTTCTTTTCGGCCCAATCCTCTACCCTGCGTACGCCTCTACCCTCCTATCATGTCGCGATTTACGATACCATCCGTAGTCGACTGTAGTGACTACTCTCCATAGTATTCGAAGCTGTAGTCTGTACGTGGTGGCTCACTAAAGGATACTATTTGACGCTGGCTGGGCTGGAGAGGCTGCGGCCCTGCCCGCACCAGAACGTGTTCGTGCCTGCATATAGTTACAGCACCGCACTTCCCTACGTCTGAAGTCGGATATTCGATATTCGATACAAACTCGGGTGCGCTGCGTTACGGTGGGATGTACGGATAGTGTAGTGTGGTCACTGTGGTGTGGTGTGTGGTGTGTGGTGAGGGAAGGCCGCGCGGTGGCGAATGGGGTGGCTGTAATAAGCATTGTGAAGCCGCAGTCCAGGGCTCCAGGGCATCAGGTTACGAGATTAGCGATCAGGGCCCGCAGGTAGGACCCTCCTGTGCCTCCCCCCATAGCCTCACAAAAGGTTGAAAAGGAGTATAGAGCGCGTGGTTAGTGATGCCAATAGCGTGTTGACTCTAGTATGTATACTTGTAATGTACAGGGCCATGTTTGGTGTGGATATATGAGGTTAGGTGTATTCGGTAAAGGGAACCTAGGAATGTAGAACGAGGGAATAAATAGAAACATTGGAAGAATGCTACATCCCTAGGTACCGTCCGCTACGATACGAGTAACTACACTACCCCGTAGCTAGGTAGATACCTATAGGTATTATACAATACAAGTACCTCTTAGGGAAGACGAGGTTTCGGTGAAAGGGGGAGAGTAGACTCAGTTGGGGAGATGAGAGTGAGAGAGAGTGTGTGTGTGTGTGTGCTCGGGGATGCAAAAAGGGAAAGAGATGACGTCGCCACAATTGAAACACTCACTCGTAAATAGATTAGATACCGTACCTTTGCACAGTTTCTTCAACAAAACAGGATTATCATCAATGGCAATATCTCACTTACCATTGCTTTTCTTCTATTTCCTTCTCATCAATAGTAACCATTAACTACTACGGAGCACATAGTACAAGAAGACATTACGACGCCGCACGCACAACATCCACGGTGACATTGACAATATTGACACGACACGACACGACACGACACGGCAAACCACGACGTATGCACATTTGTCTATTCTTGGCTATGCCGTGAAAAATTGCCCTAACGCACATGATTAAGGGAACAACAAGCAAAAAAAGGTCTCCTGTTCTAGACACCACCACATTATTCGATGGCATCTCGTTCAACCTTCTTTCACGCAAACTGGGTTTCAAACTAAGTGCGAGGTCGCTCGCGAGTCAATGCCCAAGACTCTGCTGAACACTTCTGGATATCCAATACATACATTCCGGAGCTCCATTATTAGCACTGTTTTAGTAGATCCGCAACTGTGCATCTCAAAAGGCCGCCAAACACGCAGATCCAGACATCAGACAATCAGACGGTACAGACTCGCACCAGACCGCAGCTCGGCACTCACGGCCATCCGAATTCCGGTGCAGCCACAACCGCAATTCACGTCTGTCTTGCAAGTTGCCACACATTCACAGTCCAGTCACCTCCTACTGCGCATCATCTCAGCATTATCTCCTTGTCACCATTCTATCTTTTCCCTAGTAAGCCTGCGGTACAACATTATTCCAGCTTCCAGCTTCTCATCGTTCCATTGATTGGTCCCCTGCTTGCATTGTACCATATCCCCAATTCGTCCATCTAGACCCTTCTGTCTAACACCCCCCGCCCTCCAAACGTTACTTCGATTCTCATCGGAGTTTCTCCTGAACCATATCTCCAGCCGTCTACTTTAGGTAGCTGGAGTCGATTGGTAGTACACATTGACAGCTGAAGCTCGGACTGGCCCATTGGGGTACGCATACGTCTTAAAACGCAATCCTCAAACGCGCGTCCAATAATAACCACCACACGCTACATACGGAGACGAGAAAAGAAACAGTCCAAGGAGAGAAAAAATGCCGGCATTCTCGGATGTTGCTGGGTCGCTCACCAGTACGAAGCCATTGATTAATCTCTTACGAGGGTCAGCATTTATTTCCTACCATTACTACTGCTGCCCTGTTGCAATCTTTTTGCTGCGTTTTGCCTTGTTGTTCGCCAGAGTGGAAATTGCTATGCTTGCAGCTTACCTACAGAACATCCTACTCCCCATGCAGCAGGGATTAATGCAGCATATCGCTGATGCACTCTCTGTAGGTGGCCGAACTTCTCGCTGCTTCCAAAACATATTTTGCAAAAGGCAACCAACACGGTCCTTGCCAACCACGCAATAGCGGATCCAGGCCTGGAATACGGCCCTGATCCTGGAGACCTCAAATGTGCGGCCCCACTCGACCTGTTCCCCCGTGATGAACGTCCACAATAATGACTGCCCCACCCAGTACGCAAGAACGTCGCGTCCCTTTTGACAAATTTCTATCACTTCTCGAATCCTATTTCTGAAGACCGCGTCTGCATCACGGGCGGTGCCTCCCAGAATCTGGCCTGCTTGCTCCAGGTGTTCACTGACCCCGTGTACACGCGTAATGTCTGGATAGTTGCGCCGAGCTATATGCTAGCCTTCCGAATCTTCGACGACAGTGGCTTTTCTACCAAACTTAGAGCCGTGCCGGAAGATGAAGAGGGAATTGACCTCGAGTTTCTGAAGAGGGAGATCCAGAAAAGTGAAGAGAAGGCCGAAGCTGAAGGCAATAACAGGCCTGTACGTCTACACCTTCTGGAGTCGTGATCTTCAAATGATTGTAGACGTGATGAACGTGAACATAACTGAGTATTGTTAGATCTTTAAACCCGCTCGCCCATGGGGGAAGGTGTACAAACATGTCATCTACTGTGTCCCTACCTTCTCCAACCCTTCCTTCAAGACCATGACCGTGCGAAGAAGGGAGGGACTGGTGAGGCTAGCAAGAGAATATGACGCTCTCATCATCTCAGATGATGTCTATGATTTCTTGCGTTTTCCGTCGAGCCTCACTGCCGAGACGTTGACTTCCGAGAAAGCAAATGTTCCTCGAATTGTCGACGTCGACAGAACCCTTGACGGGGGAGCTGAGAGGGAGGGTGCCGATGGCTTTGGCAACGCTGCGTCGAATGGAAGCTTCTCCAAGATATGCGGCCCCGGTCTACGTACGGGCTGGTTAGAAGGCACAGCAAAGATGGCATATGGTGTATCACAGACGTGAGTCCCTATCTTCGCATCTCTATTCCCTTCTTCTTGTCAAACATGCGATGGCCGCATCGAGATGAGATCTTCGTCCGTCGTCAGTTATGATACAGACACCCCTGTTGTAGCCCACCAACAGTCCTTTTCTATCAACCACATACCAAATCCACTCACTGCCTCATAAACAAGCTAACGTGCCGTAAACCAGAGGTTCAAGCCGTTCAGGCGGCGCACCCTCCCAACTAACCGCAACATTCGTCGCAGAAGCCCTCGAGACAGGCGAGCTCCAGCGCCACATCTTCGACGTCTTGCAGCCTGCCTATGCCCTTCGCTACCGTAAGATGGTCGCCGCAATCACAAAGTACCTAACACCTCTAGGCGTCAAGATCCCGCAGACAGACCGAGAGGTCGTCGGCGGGTACTTTATCTGGCTGACGTTGCCGCAGCCGCTCAAAGGTGCCGTTGTGGCGCAACGGGCGAAGGACGACGAGAACGTCATCGTTGCTCAGGGAGAAAGTAAGTCCAACCTTTCACCTTCGTTTCCCTCCATTTTTGTTCTTCTCCAAAGAAAACCAGCTAACAATACCCCTCCCTAGTTTTCGAAGCAAGTACCCTCCTCACTCCCCTCTCCCCACACTTCCCCAGTATCCCTACTAACAGTCCCATCTTATCTCACAACAGGTCCCCAACGACACCCAAAACGCGCATTTCGAAAACTGTCTCCGCGTCTGCTTCGCATGGGAGGACGAGGACCTGCTAGCTGAGGGCATCGAAAGGCTCGCGAACGTCATCCGCGCGTTGTTGTCTGAGGAGCAGCGGCAGGAGGGCGTGAAAGCGAAGGTTGCGACGAGGGAGGGGATGGGGGAGTTTATGTAGATGTTCTTGTTATTGCAACATTCATACACTACAATTCCCTCTACTCAAAGCTTCTATGAGTTTTCGCCCGCTTACAATTCGTTTTGACGATACTCTACTCCCACAACTTCATACATGAATTTCAGTCTCGATTTCTGACCGTCCGCTTTCGTAGCACGAAGACCTCATTGTGACCTCTCTCTCGTAGTATCCGTACCACCGCATAGTCACGCGGGACACGTAATTCGAGTACAAAAGCTGTGCCCGCTTTCCAAAAACCTGATTCCTTCCCCGCCCTCAGAAGTCGCCACCCCACAACCCCCTCAACTGCAAGAACCAAACGACCAAGAACCAAACCACGATATCAGCCGCCTCCATGTCTGACAATATCATCTACGAAAGCTTGCCCCAGGACGTACCTTCGGTTCGGCTGCTCGAGATATCGCCGGCGGAGGGAATCGATGACCGTCTTTCGTGTCGTCTCGCCACTGTGCCTTTGGACACCGATAAGGCGTACACAGCGCTGTCTTACAGATGGGACAAAAAGATTCCCCCCGAGGAAATCTCTGTAAACGATATTGACATGACCGTTGGGGGAAATCTGGCGTCGGCCCTGCGGCATATACGTGCTGAAATAGCTCGGTCATCTAGCCCACTGTCACCGCTTGTCTGGGCTGATGGTGTCTGCATCAATCAGAGCGATGTGGAAGAAAGATCGAGCCAGGTCCAACTTATGGGAGCTGTATACTCGAATGCTTCGACGGTCGTCTCATGGCTAGGAATTTGGGGCAATAGATACACAGATGCCATCGACCTCATTCGACGCATGCAGATAGCCTTTCCAGACCTGCTGAAAGATCCATATTGGATGGTCGGTCATCCCCTCTTGGACAAAGATAACGAGATTAGGAAATATGAAAGAGGTTGGAGTGCGTTCGGGAAGTTCCTCAGGGCACAGTATTGGTGTCGAATATGGGTGCTCCAAGAAGTGGTGCTCGCCAGGAATCTTTGGGTCATGGTTGATCAACAAATTGTTGATTATGAATCTGAGGGCCTGTGCCGAAGTGGTCACATATTTCGCAACGAGTGGCGAGAAACTTTTCCCTGAAGGCCACATTTCGCATATGGAGGATAGGGAGCTGCTCAAAAGCAATGGTTTCAATATCATCCTTGGTTTTCGAAAACTTTTCAAGAATTCTGGACAGATGAGCGATATGGACAAAATTGAGGCTGTCTTTACTACCCTGACGTACCAAGCCACGGATCCTAGGGACAAGATATTCGCGCTGCAAGGCCTTCTCGGGAATTTCATCACTCCGCATTACACAAAAAGCACACTTGAAGTGTATTTAGAATTTGCATCCAAATGCATTGCAGTCGTTGGGGGCCTAAGTCTGCTGCGTTTTGCCGGGTCATTCTTCCCCCAATCCTGGGAACTGCGACCAAAGCTGCCATCTTGGGTTCCCAACTGGCACGTGATGCCCATTTATGGGTGGGAAGCATTTCCAGCCCTGGATGCTACACAGCATTCGGACCGCAACATGACAGTGTCTTCTTCCTCCGGTCCGCGAGTGCTAAATGAGCACCAGTTACGAGTTAGTGTATGCATATGCGATACTGTTACAGACGCAAAGGATATACGTGAAAAAAATGCGAAAAAATTCAAAGACCTCTACCAGAGGTTTGTGGACAAGCGTTTGACCATCGAGAGTCGCACCAAAGTCGTCTACCTGGAGGCAATTCTGCAGGCCTTGTGGTCAGGCAACGAGATCAAACGCCGAGAGTATTGCGGCGACCAAGATGACTTGTTCATGGAAAGGTGGCTTGTTACAACGGTCTGCATCATCGATGTTATGTTGGCGGCACGTGCCAGCGAGAGTTCGTTGCGATCCAGTCTTAAAGATTTAGAGGTGTGCTATGAAAGCGCACTGACGTCGCGACTTGTAGAATTGTCGTTCGGGATAGCAGCCTCAGATGAAGCGTCGTTGTACAGAGCATTACAGGACCAAGGCTTCTTAACCCGCATGTTCAGGAAAGCTCTAATAAGCCCTGCTTTTCTACAAGATCTCCATCTATTCTGTACACGCGACGGATACATAGGATCCAGTCGACGTTCCATCGAAGTCGGGGACGTGATTGGGGTGATTCCAGGTTGTCCCTGCCCAGTACTTCTCCGCAAAGAAGGGGACGGGTATTTACACATAGGCACATGCTATGTTGTGGGATTGATGAATGGAGAGGCTGCTTTGAGAGTGGAAGAAGGATCTCTGGCGATGGAAGAGATCGATCTGATTTAAGTGTGTTTTGCCTATCTTGTCCATAAGGAGGGAGTTTCAATTGTTTCTTTGTTATTGTGCTGGGATAAAAGTACTGATTAAGTGTCGAATTTGCTTGAATCGAATGCATTGGAATTTGCTATGAGTAAAAGTGCACCTAATTGTATGTGCTGAACACACCATCAAATGGAGTTACCATGCTACAAGGTTCTGAATCAAGATTTCAACCCTACTCACAGTAAACAATGTTGAAGTACAGATTGTCTAGTAGTTCTTATATTGCAAGATATGGACATATTTTTCGAAATGTGAAACAATCCACTTAAAAGTCAAGGCCGTATTACTTCTTTAGCTGCAATCTCTCATGGTAGAAGCACTATATACGCAACTTCTTACATATAAGGTTAAAGACAGAAATGCTTAAGGGTATTCATTATATACGATGTACCTTCTCGTCCTAAATGTCCGAAACATATGGAAGAAATAAAATTCTATGGTGGGATGACAGTCCAATCTAGGTGGAGTGGAAGTCATGCATTCAGATGTGTAGTTGCTCTGTGTATTCTAAAATCTAGCTTGCGTACAATGAGGTCTGATCCATGGCTTCCGCGGAAGCATCCAACAAGGCTAGGGTGGTCATCATCCTTCTGGATTCGTCAGCGACCAACTGATAAGTAGGTAACTATGTGCCTCCATGGAACCTCGAAAAGGACCTCAACTCATACCACAATTCATCTCTCATCAGATTAAACAATTACAATTACGAGAACATTTATTACATACTTAATAAGCTGAAGTGACGACATTGGAAAGAAGAATGGACAAAGTCACCAAGGCTTCGAGAAAGGTACGGACTGCGACTCGTACATTATCTCGATGTCAGATTCATCTAGCTAATGGCGAAAAAGTCCTGCGATTTATGCTACCGGCGCAAGTTAAAGTGCAGTGGGGAGAAGCCTCGCTGCTCGAATTGCGTCACGTATGAGATGGAGTGTACATACACAGCGCCTAGCCGCAAGTCAGCACCTAAAAAACGACGGGGCATTGCGAAGGGCGAGGCTGGTGTCAGCGATACACAAGGTCGGCTGGGACGACTGGAGTCTGTGATCCAACAAGTCGCCGAGCGTTTGGATGCCGTCGAAAGTAGAACTGATGTTGAACCGCTGCCTCATTACGAGGAGGCAAGTGCGGGTGCGACAGTGTTACCGTCAAATATCACAAGAAGCGAAGATGACAATGACTCTCCAAAATTGTTGGTTCTACCACATCTAGAGCAGATCTTGCCAGTCATTCAGATCTACCTCAGAGATTTCAACTCCGTATTACCACTGTTTCATCCCGATACGCTCTTGAGGTTAGTGCACGATTGTTATAGTGTTGGGCCCCTTCAACGCGATCCAGTAGCATGGGCTGCTATTAACATCGTGCTGGCTCTCGCGCGGCGGCACGACTTAGTAGTCGATCAGGATATCCCTTCTTCCGCCACATGTCTTAGCAGGGCAGAGTCAGTGCTGTCGAGGGTAGTTTTGGGCAGTGTCCAGCTCCTTAACGTCCAAGTGCTGGTGGGCATGGTGATGCTGCTTCAGGCTTCACACGATCTGAAGCCTTCGCTGATCTTAATTGCTACAACACTACGTCTCGCACACTCGATTGGCCTGCATGACCGGGACTACTCAGCGCACTTGGATATTCGGGAGGCAAGGCAGCGAGATTATGTGTTCTGGTTGGCGTATATCCTCGACAAAGACCTCAGCATGCGCTCAAAACAACCCTCAATCCAGAATGATGACGATATCAATCTTGACATGCCTTCGCCGGAAGTCCTCAACTACGACGAAAACAAGAGAAAAATTAACAAAATCCAAGATGACCAAACCTCAGGTGTTATCACTACCGTCGATGGAAACCTGCAGATGAATTTTCTCACAGCACGCATTCAATTAGCTGCTGTCGAAGGCGGTGTATATGACTACATCTATTCAACGCGGTCTCGAAAACGCAGTCCTGAGGAACGGTCACGTGCACTACAAAGCGTGTCACATGCACTCGAGCAGTGGAAAGCCTCCATTCCATCCGAGTTCAACGCCGAAGTGGGCTCAAAAAGTGTAGCTCCTAGTACGCGCCGCTTCCTAGGGATGTTACATGCTACGAGTCTCACTTGTACAACTCTTGTGAACCAGGCTCATGCCTGGGATGCCGGGTGGATTGCCAGTATCCGTAGGTATGGTAGTCATGGGATTGCACCGCAGCTGCCGCCAGAGTGGGAGACATTGGTAGATGAGGCACGCGGTTTGCTGGTGCTGTTTAGGGACTTGAGAGAGACGAACCGCTGGAATTGGTGGTGAGTACCCGCCGTTGCACCTACTTCCTAATCCAACCTATCCCCCCCCCCCCAATATGTCATCCGTCGAAAGAAAGAGTTCACCATTAACCATATTATAACAGGATGACCGGGTGTGCGTACATGACAGCTATGGTGCTTTTAACAACCAACAGCATGCACGAACCGAGACACAGTGATTTGTCTTTAGACAGCGATCTTGTGGAAATCGGGTTGCAGACCGTTGGAAGAATGGCGAAGGAGACCGGGCATGAAGGGCTGCATTCATTCCATGCTACTTGCACTGAACTGCATCAACGGACGCAACAAAAATGTGCCGAAGCGGCCATCGATGGCGATAATTTCGGTCGTTCTTCGTATATTTTGAATATCTAGTATGAACTGAAGGAAGATTAACATTAATGGCCATCAAAATATGTAAAACTGTGTCTTGTCCATATCTAAGTCGATAAAGTACGATCAATTTTCTAGAAATATCAAGCAGTTTTTGAGTGACCTTCGAGGGTAAATAATGTAATTTTCGTAGCATGGAAACGACATACATATTGATTTTATAATCCAAAACGCCACGGAACCTCCTCCATTTTGGTGCATTCTGTACGCATTATCAATCCATCAGGTTATATGTAGTGCTTATGAAGGCGACTATCAGCGTCTACCTCCCCGCTATGGGACTGTCACTTATCTTAGCGTACCATGTTCCACGGAACCACGATACAATGGAATTATCATGTTTTCCACGTCGAACTGGATTTGAAATGGGTCCGCCACTCGTTGAAGCAATTCGTGTACTCTGGTTTGAAATTCTAGTAAAACGTTATTGCTAGATATGTATTTAATCAGTCTCAATTGTCGCAGAATCAGAATCTATTCTCTTCATCACAACAAGCAAGCAAAAGACATCGAAACTTCAATCGTATCATACATTCTATATTCTGTCTCCTCGCTCCATACAGTGTACTTCCGCAAAGATGACCACCTACAACGGGCCCTATCAAGGAAATGAAATGTTCAAGTCCTTCACCAAAACTTGGCACACCGAGCCTTATTCTGAGATCAGCCCTTCTCGTCCTGAGCTAAGCGCCGCTGGAAAAGTCGTCTTCATCACGGGTGGCGGCAGCGGAATTGGCAAGGCTACGGCAATTGCTTTCGCGCAGGCAGGTGCTAAAGCGATCGCTATCTTCGGACGTCGCATCGAAAGACTGCAGTCTGCTGCTGAGGAAATCAGAAAGGCCAATCCTGCGGGGACTACCACTGTGATCTTTGAGAGTGTTGATATCAGCCAACGTCAAGCTTTGGAGGCCGCTTTCACCAGTGCCAGCAAGAAAGCTGGCGAGGCCAAGGTCGACGTCTTCGTCAATAACGCCGGTTCGATCAAGCCACTGAACTCCCTCACAACATACGGCGAGAAAGAATTGCGCGAGAGTATTGAGGAGAACTTAATGGGCTCCTTCTACGTGGTCCAGACGATTTTGCCCTTGCTCTCGCCCAAAGCAAAGATCTTGAACATCAGCTCCGGCATTGCGCACATCGAACCAGTACCCGGAGTGTGGGCTTATGCAGCGCTTAAGTTAGCCATAGCCAAGATGTTCGACTATCTCCAGTCCGAACATCCTGATCTCGACATTTTCAATATCCAGCCTGGGGTAGTTACGACTGAGCTGAACCAGGTTTCTGATTTTGCAGGGCAAGATGACGGTAAGCTACATGCTTTTTAACTTTCAAGTTATATCCCGTGTCATCAACAAACCTCTTGTATCGCTTTTTATTATTATGTTTACTGACCAACATATTAGTTGCGCTGCCGGGCCATTTCCATGTTTGGATCGCATCCCCCGAAGCCGAATTCCTCAAGGGTAAATTCGTCTGGGTTAATTGGGACGTGAATGAGCTGAAATCTCATGCTAAGGAGATTGAAGAGTCGCACCTTCTGAAGATCTCTTTGCAGGGCGTGCCGATGTAGAGCTCATGCGAACGACGACATATTGACTCTGAAAAGGTGGAAGTTGCTAGTGCTTCACCAGTCGTCACCACGAAGTTTGCTTTGTGCAGAATAGCCACAACTCAATTCTTACAACTCATCGTAGCCCTCGGGTCTTTGTAGTGTTACGGAAAATTCCCTTCAATCTTCGCGAAATAAGGCTTCCACTCACTCAGTCCTTGGTCGGTATTATGTCGGGAACAGTCATTACCTTTATATACGTCATTAGAATCAATTGTTTAAGCAGTATCACCGGAGTCATTTTTATTAGTACTGTTTACTGCATCACAGTCAAGAACTGAGTGATTTTTTGAATCGTATTGGAAAATTCTCTCCAAAGACAGCGAAATTGCGGTCTTGCATCACGATTTTCATCGGTGCAACACTTTCTTGACGCTATCTCAGCTGTGACGGGTAGCTGCACTGATGAGTTGGTCACAACCCTCTTGGCTACCGGCATATCGGGAGGATTGTACTCCAACAATGGACTGAATATTACTACTACTGATTTTCGCTCTCGACGAGGACCTCGTGAAAACCTGGCGTCATTTAACCAACCCTTAGGTGTCAAGAATTAACGCGTTGCTTGTAGAATACATACATCTAGGTACGATACTGATGCAGTTACCAACGCAACGATTGCCCTTATGCACCTGTGACCCGATGAAAACACTCTTTTCTCCATCAATATACTGGCTGAAACACATACAAGCGCCTGTGTATCACACACGGATATCGTTATTGGGTGTTTCTTCCTTTGCCCATGTCGGTTGACCATGGTTGTCAATGACCCCGCGTTGTGTCCAATCACGTTAAGTCTCGTAATTTCACTAGGCTTAATATCGCCTAGAAATGTTTCCTTGTGTATGTTCCACATGAAAGAGCAAACAATTACGGTTTTCCTCGAAATCGAGGTCTCGCTGTATATAATAGCGTGGTAACGATTGCATGGAAATCGATCCTCCTCTTGCGAATTTAACCCCTGCCAATCACTAGGTCATATACAAGAGACACCCTCAGCATCAATCAAATACCAACCCCATCGACTAGTCCCAAGCACAATGTTCCCATCCACCTTGACCAATACTTACCATCGCTATAAGCAGGATACCGACAATATTGCGACATGGCTTGCTACAACTGCACAAAGATTCGGGTTTTGCGGAGATCTGGTCTCTGCGGATCTGATCACTAGGAATAGTCACAATCAAGTCCAGAAAAGCAAACGCCTCAAAGGAAAGGCTCGGGCAAAGGCCAAGCAAGATGCCAAAGTCAATGCTGCGAGTATGCCGAATTCCCCTTCAAGGTCCATGCAGAAGTACGCCGTTTCCGTCAAGGACTTTGTGACGCTGGCAGACTATTTGGCATCCAAGCCAGGTGTCACAGTTCCTGCACAAGTCTGGACATCAATCGAAAGGGCAATCCACCTTCGACAGATTAAGGATTACGACGCTCTCTGAAAGGCAACCGAAGCTGGAAGTGACAGCGACGAGAGGCAATCCTATTTTCTATCGATTCTAAAGAAAGTGAGACATGCTCTCGAACCGCGCCTCCAGACTGGGTCCGTCAAATCTCAGGACAAACCCACGACAGTCCTGGATTCGGACAAGGAGATCGAAGGTCGCCTGAAGAACCTGTTCGCTGTTCTAACAGTTGAAGAACCTTCCAAGGAATTTCTCAATGTTCCAGACGTGGCGCCGGCTGTCGAAGAGGCGGAGTCAGCTGGCGCCCTCTACGAAGTGGAGCCTTTCGACGACCCGCTTGAGTTGTATCTCGCAACTGCTGCACTCTTGCAGGACTTGTCAGAGATTCGGAGCACTCTCCGACAGATTTGGCATTCATATTCCCAGAACTGCACCAGTCTCATTTCCGCCGCCGCTACCACCAACGTAGCAATCCAATTGACGCTAGAACTAGAAAAGCAGTTTTTGACGGATCATCCATCGGAATCAGATACCATACAGGCCAGAACTACGTTCTTGGGAACGCAGTGCTTACTCCAAGAACAGGCTCCGTCAGCGGACTCTCCACCATTAGATCCTTTTGATCTTACCCTCTACGAAACCGCGGAAACTTCTCTCATAGTTTCTCATATCGTTCTTGATTCTTTCGGACACGTTTTCGATCACTACCCCTTACCAATGTACAAGCCAGGATATTTTGGTGTCTATGACCCCAAGCAAGATCGAGGAAAGATGAGTCATTCTGAAAAGTATGAAGAGGATAAAATCCTCCTTCTAGAAATTCTTTTAGATATAACCTTCTTCGACCACGCGAACAAAAAGACGGGTCTACCAGCCACTGATGCACTGACGAAATCCGTGAGCGTATTTAGGGAGCGACGTCGTCACACGCTGACACTAGATTTCGCCGCCCAAATCTATTTGGATATCCAGCACACCCTCCGCGGCAAATCTCATATGGCTTGGGCAGAGCTCCAAAGGTATGCTCACAATGCCAAAGCCTCCCTGGAGGAAAACTTCAGATTTCATGAAAATCTGAGGGTGGATGCCTGGCCACGAGTGAATGATGTGTGTATGAAAACAATAATAAGGAAAGTTGAGCGTTGGTTCGAGGAGGACATGCTCCAAAAGTTGACAACAGATGCGGTAAGTAACCTACTTGATTGAAGTGAAGCTGTGATCCGCTGACGTTAGAATAGATGATCAAGGCTGGCGTGGTAAGCCATTCTCATGAACACAGAAATCTACGATCCGTACGCTAATGATCGTACATAGCACCCCGAAACGCATAAGCGACATGCTTTCTTTACCAAACACCCTTGGCTCTGCGGTTCCCTCCTTTTTGGAATGAAACTCGACATGCAAGAAGTCGGTACAAGCTTCCTCAATGCCTGGGGTTCTGCAAAAACAGCTGCACAAATCTACAACGCTGCGCGGGGAGAGAATTTCTTGGGCAAGGAGTGGCGAGACATGGAAGTCGCTTTAACGCTTTACAAGGATTCTACGATGTTTGTTGGCAGTAGGCCAAAAACTACAGAAGATTACTGCGAACGCTTCTACCTCTCAATGGGCTATTCTGCTGATGGCGATACGCGCTCAAAACAAGACCCACCCCACATTGAGGGGCGGATCATAAGCCCAGTTGCATACGAACTACGGCTCGGATATTCAACCTTCGACCTCGGGAAAGCCAATCCAAACATTGATCAAGTGCTAGCAAAGTGTGCTCTTGACGAAGACGACTTAGACGTTGCCAACATCGCGGAAACGACTAAGGTTCCAAGACGCCACAAAGGTTCAGGAAAATCGAAAGTGCAAACGACTTCAGAGGTGCTCAATTTGATCTGCCAGTCACTCAAGTCTGAAGAGTTAGCACTCACATTTGACCATTTCCACCTGCACCGTTCGGCCTGGAGAGTGCTGCGGGCCATCAAAGAGGCCAGTTCTGACGAATTGAGACGCATATACGGTCCTAGGTATATCAAAAAGGAGAGTCGACTTCCACTCGTGGCAGGCTACATCTTGTTGACAGCTACTCAGACCAAGAAGCTTGGGACGCCCTTGCATCCAAAGAAAAAGGATGTCGTGAGCTCGGAGCTCTTGAAGCAAGCTGCAGGCACTATAGAGGAAATGATTGAAACTGGCAGGGGCGGGTCAGAAGTCAAGATTCTTTTGAAGCATTACGGCATGAGGAGGGAGTTCGAATAGGGCGCGAGGGAGAGTTTGGAGCCGCTTGATTCTTAACTGCGGCCGATGGAACAGAGCTCAAATAATGTTGTTTCACTATTCAATCCATCGCTTTCTTTTCTCAGGAACCTTTCGAAATGACGCAACTTAGAATTGCAAGCTCAGTCGCGCATTGGGCACACATCAACAACGGAGTAGGTTCAAAGTAGAATAGAAATGAAAATTGACCAGATTACCTGCTCTACGCTCAGCTGTTCTTTCCCAAGTAAAAACCGAAAGAGGGCATGACCGATGTTGCAGGCTCGTCATAATGATAAAAGAACAATCTAGTCGCAAACCATTTCTTCGTCCCAAGGCACGGTCCCAGGGTGGATGAGGGAATCGGAAAGGGAAAGATCCCGTTTTAGGTAGCGAAATATTCAAGGTCGCGGAGTGCCAATAGCAAACCACTCCCACTCCGCACTCTACTGTGCCGCAAGTTCTCGACAAAAAACAAAACAATCAAAAAGCCTGGGGTCTTTTGTATGCATCCATTCTGATTTCATAGCATGATTGAATGGCGCTCTCACTCTATATCCATCACTGCATTTCCAACCCAGCTCATCCCCACGATCCTCCTCGTGATAAGCCACTACGTAACTGCATTCAACAAGTAGCATCGTTAAACTAGATAATGATAGTTGGGCGTTTGCACGGGAGGTTCTTCGAGTTGTAAATATTGCTCCCAAAGACTATACAGGGAGACAAGTAATGGCTGTACCAAGATGCTGTCAATATAAGAAGGGTACAACGGATCGGGCAAGGATTAATGGCTTAGTGGTTGAAAGACGTCAAAATGGGAAAGAGGCCATCCTCAGAATCTATAGTAGATAGGAAATAAATCTATCCTTAAGGTATAGAACCATTTCATATTATGATGTCCTCTTCTATGCGCAGGCTAAATCTTTCCAAATGTACCGAAAATATTCTTCGTTCTTTTTACCGTGGTATTCTGAAGTATATCGACATGAATGGACGAAAGTTCACAAGTGATATGATTGGTCAGTCCTAAATGCGTATAGCCTAATCTGCGCTACATGCCAATGTCACAGTGCTACATGTTTGATTACCTTCCTGGATAATATATATTCCTTGGAAAGCCTTCCAAAGCGCTTCGGATGCTGCCTAGTCGCTGAAGCATGGCCCAACACCTCTGTGAACCATCTTAGCGTCCACCAAGATGGTCATTCCGATGGACAGAATCATTATAAAAGCTGCGAGGGCTGAAAGAAGGCAGAAAAAACGTGCTGAATCCAAATTAAAGCACCGAGAGTGCTGTTTCCACGCGTCCGGTCATTTGGACATATCTGCAGACCGCCCCGAGACCCAACCGTCGTCATCTGAAGAGTTAGAAAGGTATAAAAAGCAGATGACCTCAAAGGGATGGTGCCAACATCAGGTCGAACATCTTTCCAGAACCTACGACGTCAATACTTTCTCGTATCTGGCTTCTCTGGAGAGATCACCAAAGCGGCTCGCTGATCATAATCGCTGCTCGAACTACTCTGCGTGCGTTGCCTACCATACTGATGCGGCAACGTACAGGACTCGACACACAAAAGAAGGTTGCGAATGTTCAATGATTTCGACGCCGTATGATGAGCTTGTCAGGGTCATCCGGCGAGGCGGAGTTCCACTCGTCTCACTTGACAGGCATCGTTGCTTAAACCCGACGGATACGCTGCAAGTCCATTATAGGTCGATGAAATCTAAATACATAGCCATTTCCCACGTTTGGGCTGATGGGCTTGGAAATCCGAGCGAGAATGGGCTTCCCTTGTGCCAGGTAAAACGATTAAGAGCCAACCTTCTGAAACTACAACGTTTGCTTGTTGGAGACGATGTAAGATTAGGTTCTGATCTAATATCAAGCTGCTTGAAAGCTGAGCACTAATAAAATCATAGGCTAATGTTTTGTTTTGGATGGACACATTATGTATTCCGGTTGGACCAGATGAATACTCTCTTCGTCTCGTGCAGATCGATAAAATGGCGTCAATATACAAAAGAGCCATGACAAGTCTCGTATTGGACGCGGAACTCATGGCCACCGTTTCTGACGACAACTTCCCATCTGCTGAACCTCATGATGTAGACACACGAATGTGTCGTAACATCTCAAGAGAACTCTCTCTTGAGGCTCGAGCTCGCCTTACATGCAGTGTTTGGATGTGCCGCAGCTGGACTCTTCAAGAAGGCGAATTGCCCGCAACCATTGCCGTTCAGTTTCTGGATAATTCAGTAGTCTTAGGGAGAACCTCTAATTTGAATGGGACATACTGCGAACGTTTCACCGATGGACTGAGTTCAAACCTTCAAATACCTGGAGGAGGATTGGAGACAAACAGTCCTGATCCAGATCTACGAAGCACTCACGAACAAAGCGATAGTACGCGAGGTTCACATTGCGAGTGCGTCGACATAGTCCTTCAACGTACTCTTTTCGAAACATTTTTCAGAGAATACAGCGAGCTAGCGACAGTGTGGAACGAGCTTTCTGGTCGCTCCACTACCATGTCAAACGACCTTCCCATAATCATCACGAATATACTCGACCTCGACAATCGCAATCTGCTCACGTACCATGATACTGCGGACATGTTCCAAGCTATTTTGCTTAGTTTGAAGCGTTTACCCATGTCCCTCTTCTTCAATACTGGGCCAAGGAAGAGCGGAAATCACCAGAATAGATGGGTTCCAATCAAAATCGGCGCTGACACCCTGGCACTGGAGAACCAGTTGGTAGTTCGTCGGAATCATCTACTGTATCGTCATAGGGCAGAAGATACTTGTTCAAACTTGTCAGTCTTCACTATTAACAAAATTCTTTCCTTGAAATCTACCGTCTATCTTCATTCTGCAAGCGAAAATGTCTTTTATACTGCAGAACTACCCGGAGATAGTGCAGATCCACTCGACACAGAAGGATACACCTCCACTTGTGTGATCATCGAGAACGTAATCTCGCCCAGTGATCCAGATGTCCGAAAGGGAGCCTGCTTCTACGCCCGACCAAAGCGGAAAATTGACTATAGACGAGGACTCCGTGGACGCAGGCTATTTTGTTCTCGCGGCTATGTGGAGACTCCTGGACTGGAATTGACCTTTCTCTACCCAATTCGACTCCGAAAATCAGGAATCGACACGTTGCAAACAGTAAATCAAGAGCGAATACTTCTTTTAAATTCTATTGACGAATGCGATATCAAGATAAATTACGGTATATCATCCTTCCTCGTAAATCTCTTCGGGTCGGACAACTAACGCCGAAGAACCTAGACTCCATCCCCAACTTCAAGCCTCTCCATCGGCGCGAGAAGGTGTTATTTTCAGGACTCCGCAATAACGGGATCTATAGAGTACTGGGTCTTTACTTTGGTGTGGCCTATATGATGACGTGTTTGGTCGCTGCCGGGGTCATGGGGGATCGTGGTCGAGATGTTTCGGTTGGTTTTATATTTTGGTTCGTCAGCATAATCCCCTTATATATAGTTTCGACGGCCATCCGGGGTGCCGTAAAGTTCTTAGATGACTGGACATACATGCGCTCGATTGAGGCTATTGCAGCCCAGAGACCTCGTGAAGGTATTGCATAGATGTGATTTTGTTCGTCAATTTAGCTAGCATAATTCCAACACAGCTTTCTCTCTAAAACCTCCCTTGCTCATGGATCCATATATCATTTCCTTCATACTTGTGAACTCTTTTTATTTCCCTTTACGATAGCTACTGTTTACCTATAAATCTTCAAAATTTGTCTCCCTATCCCAGTTGAAATAGCGTTCAATTTCTATCGTGATCGAGGGCAAGAGTTGATCCTGGGCGATACTCGGAATTTTCAATCCAGGCTGTCCTCGCGTTTTCCCTGCTGTAGGTAGAAGTTCGATTGATTCTAATTGATATTCAATTACTCAACCGATTCGCGTCACCACCGTAGGTAGAAATCTAGAATATTCCTCTAGATAGACAGCCTCCGCACTCTCAATGTCACAGCAAAATACCCACTCTGCTAGGCTAAGAACTGCTATCACTGTGTTAAGCTGAATTTTTTTTAGCTGTGCAACCTATCTGCATTCCTCTGTCTGCTAAAACTTATCCATTAGTTTGTGTTGTGTCTTTGGAGATGAATGTATATAGCCGATCGCGATAGATATCATTGGTTTGAATGTTTGAAATGGGACTGTCGTCTCGTTTCAATATGGAAGATCGAAATTTGATTGGTTCTGATCGGTATTCGGAAACCCAATTGATTCATCAATCAACACTGTTAAAGGTGAAAATTTCCTGTGGATGCCAATGTTATAAGAAAACACCAGCTCTTCTGGTCTATATATATACGTAATACTTGCTCTAGAGCCTACGTACTGGCAGGTTCAACATAGTGAATGGCTCTGTTGGCTACCCTCGAAGACATTGCCTCGTATATCTTCATATGCAAGGGTAATAATCAACAACTTTCGCCTTGAGAGGAAACAAGCGTTTGCTTCGATTGTAATTGCAGGTGGATGTTGAGCGCAGGTTTCGAAATAATTAATACCTAGTAAATACGAAAAAGGCAGTGAGTGTGTCTGGCAGCTGATTGGTCAGAAGATTAATCGCCCAACGGTTAAGGCATGAAAATCGATCAGGGCATTATGATCCCTCTAATCAAAGCAACCGTCCGGAGTCAGTCCTGGAATTTCTAAAAACAGCTGTTTGAAAACAGACTAAATATCCCCCGAGCAGGGAAGCAAGCATGTAGAATCTAACTTTTTGAGAAAGGAGAGAACTCGCATGTGCTGATGCTGATTCGTCTTTTAGGTGGGAGATTCGCGCAAGGGTAGGAGGAGCACGGCGGCAGATCACCCTCGAATCAATCACGCTCCTACGAACCTGTGCGATGGATGATGGAAAGTCATGTAGGCGCGCATGTCTTCGCTGCGTACAGCTTACGACCACGCGCGCCCACGGCGTAGTCACATACCTCTCGCCCTAACTTATGGCCACTGCGGTTGACATTTATCGGATGTAGCCAGGTTTCCTTTGTTCATGCAAAGTCCACGTATGTCCGATGGGTTTTTTGACATGTTGGTGGGCACTGCACTATGCCTGCAGGATCACTTGTGCCCAATACACGCATGATAGGATGAAAAGGGTGCGGCGGAGTCAAAAGGCACGTTGCCTTGAGTCCCTGTTTCTGTGCGACAATGACCACCTAATTGGTCATTTTGTCCTGTCTTTCTTCTTTCACTCGGACATGTGGATCATATGGAGATTGAGTTATTATCGATATGTTTGGTACTAACGATCGGATGTTTAGACTTGGCCGCGTTTCGCTGGCCATGGTGGCGCCAGCCGTGGGTGGGCTTCGCGGGCCGTCGCACGTCGTCAAGTGGGATGTCTCGCCAGCAGTCGTATGGTTGTGGGCGCTTCATCGCTTGCAGCACAATTAGAGCTCAATGAATAGAGTAAATCCGGAGTAGGGTAGGACAGCCTTGACCTGGTGGTGAAGGACCAGTCAGCGGCCAAAGGTGTTGTGGCAGGATGGAAAGGCGAGGCAAAGGAGGCGGCGGTTGAATGGGAATGAGAGGATGAGGATGGATTGGGCGTATCAACGGTCGCGTTTCAAAAAGCTTGTTTACTGCAGGGATCATGAAACGGGGCTAGTCCTGAACAAACATCCCTGTCCCCGTCTTGTGGTGCCTTTTTGCCAAGTATCGGACTCACCCTTTCACCACAATCCCCAGGGCCCAGGAGTGCCAGGAACCCCCTTCCTTTGCCTTCAACCCTTTCGTCTCTCTTCCGAATTGCAGTACTCAAAACGAAAATTCACTGGCCCATGAGCTTCTAATGTTTCACCCGCGGCTTCGAAATTTTGGCTAACCATCCCCAAAGCCTCCCTGTCATACATGCCCCCCTACCAGTGGCAGGGTCCACGGGCATAACAGCCACACAGGGTTGCATTCCTCGGCTCTTGTCTGTGAACTGAACATTACGTTGAAAGACGGACACGCACTCATTGCGGCGGGGAGGTATGGCTCGGTGGCAGTACCGTGATGTCAGCGAGAATGATGCTTTGCTGGAAGAGTCGGGCATTGCAAGAGAGGCTGGCACGATGGCAAAAGATCACTGCTGGCTCAGCAATGCGGAAGATGCGGCAGATATAAAATCCAAATGTAGAGCCACCGACCGTGACTGGGGTGAGAGATTTACAGCCAAAGCAGAGCAAACGGCGGCTCGCAGTGATCTACGTCTTGAAACACGGGGTCGCAGAAACGTCCACATTGATTGGCGATTTGATTCTATTGTAGGTCCCTCATTCCATTGCCTTGTATATATCAATAATACAAACGCCGCCCCATTCCCTCCCTTATTCACCACGTCGCCTTTGACGTTGCTTGCTTCGCACCGCACTTCTGTGCACAATTCTTTCTTATTTTCGCATTGTGTCGACAAACTTTCTCATTCTTCTTCTCTTCTATTGTCATTCTCTGATTGTCATTGTCGATCACACACCACTCATTCATACATTGAAAAGGACTCATCTTCTACCTGGCGCCTGGCTCGCCCATTCTGTTCCCATATCAAGCGCGCGTGCGTTGTTACAACCTCACTTCTCAACACTTGCATCTGCCCCACATCTTTTTTTCCTCTTCTTCTATACAAGCTTCGGAGCATTTTCAAATCTAGCTTCCAAGGACTACTTCGTCTTTGCTGGACACTGACGTTCGTATCTTCCACAGTCATCAAGACAGTCATTTTTTGAAACAGTCAATCACTTCCTCCATTCCCCAAAAAGCTTCGTCATGGTAGCTTTCAGCGCTGGAGCGCTCCTCCTCACGCTACGAGTGCTTCTCACGGCCTCGTCAGCATCTGCTGCCCCCATCGCGCAGCCACAAACGCCTGCACCCCCTGCCTCTGGATCAGGCTTCTGGATCGGGGATATCAAACGCCAGGGCCAGGTTGCTTTTGGCGGGAACACGAGCTATACCATTTTCCGCAATGTCAAGGATTTCGGCGCCACAGGTGACGGTACGACTGATGATACCGCTGCCATCAACCGTGCAGTCAGTGAGGGAGGCCGATGCGGAGAGGGCTGCGACTCTTCCACGATCACTCCTGCTATTGTTTACTTCCCTCCCGGTACCTATGTAGTCAGCGACCCTATCATCCAGTACTACTACACTCAGTTCATTGGTGATGCGAACCAGCTACCTACTATCAAGGCTTCTGGCACCTTCAAGGGTATGGGGATGATCGACGCCGACCCTTACATCGAGGGTGGTAATGGCGCCAACTGGTACACGAACCAAAACAACTTCTACCGCCAGATCCGTAATTTCATTCTCGACATATCTGCTGCCCCGGGTCCGGCTTCCGCCATCCATTGGCAAGTCTCCCAAGCCACTAGTCTCCAGAACATCAAATTCGTCATGGAAAAGGGTGAGGCTGGCGCGCAGCAACAGGGTATCTTTCAGGACAATGGATCTGGTGGCTTCATGGCCGACCTCACCTTCACTGGTGGTAAAATCGGGGCGTTCCTCGGTAGCCAGCAGTTCACCACTCGCAACCTCACCTTTAACGACTGCGGCGTTGGTATTTACATGAACTGGAACTGGCTGTGGACTCTCAAGTCGGTTACGTTCAACAACTGCAAGGTCGGTCTCGATATGGCCAACGCGCCCGAGAACCAGACAGTTGGCTCCGTCATCCTCATGGACAGCAAATTCGTCGGTACACCAATCGGCGTCAATACGTCTTTCTCCCAGGATAGCATCCCTCACACTGGTGGCTCACTTATCCTAGACAACGTCGACTTCACTGGATCTAATACCGCCGTTCAGGACTTCACTGGCAAGGCTATTCTCCCTGGTGGAAAGGAGGTCTCCATGTGGGCTCAGGGAAATGCTCTCGCGGCTGGTGCTCAGCTTGGTCGCGTCCAGGGTGATGTCTCTGGGGCTCCCCAGAAGCCTGCTAGCCTCCAGGGTACCAATGGTTTCTTCGAACGCAGCAAGCCGCAGTACGAGAACGTTGCTGCCTCTTCCTTCGTCAGCCTCAAAGCTGCCGGTGCGAAGGGTGACGGTCAAACCGACGACACGAAAGCGATTCAAGATGCTATCAACAGTCTTGAAGAAGGCCAGATTCTTTACGCTGACCATGGCGCATATCTCATCAAAGAGACCATCGTCATCCCCGCCGAGAAGAACATCAAGATGACTGGTGAGATCTGGCCGTTGTTCATGGCAACGGGTGACTTCTTCAAAGACCAGGCCGATCCCAAGCCGGCTATTCAAGTTGGTGCTCAGTCAGGCGACAAGGGATCTTTCGAGATGAGCGACATCATTGTCACCACTGCGGGACCTGCCCCTGGCGCCATCCTCATGGAGTGGAACATTAACGGAAATGAAGCTGGAACTGCTGGCCTCTGGGATGTTCACTTCCGTGTCGGTGGTTTCGAAGGCACCCAACTCCAGTCATCCAACTGCGCAAAGAACCCCAATGCCACCCACCCCCCTAACGAAGAGTGTATCGGTTCTTTCATGCAACTCCACGTCACCAAGCAAGCCAGCGGGTACTTCGAGAACGTCTGGCTATGGACCGCCGACCACGAGCTTGACCAGGACGACCACGGCCAAATCGACATCTACAACGGTCGCGGTATGCTCGTCGAATCTCAAGGGCCCGTCTGGCTCTGGGGCACTGCATCCGAGCACTCGCAGCTCAGCCAGTACCACTTCCAAGGCGCAAAGGACATTTTCTTCGGCGCCATCCAGACCGAGACGCCCTACTACCAGCCCAACCCCTCCGCCGCCGTTCCCTTCAAGAAGAACGACAAATACTTCGACCCCGACTTCGAAGCCTGCACGACCGAAGCATGCAAGTCCGCCTGGGGCGTCCGCATCATCGACTCGGAGAGCATCTGGAACTACGGCGCCGGCGTGTACTCGTTCTTCTCCAACTACGACCAGAAGTGCGTGCCCGGCCAGAACTGCCAGTCCGACATCAACCAGATCGAGAACTCCACCAACGTCAACATCTTCGCGCTCTCGACCAAGGCGTCCGTCAATATGATCACCTCCGGCGGCCAAGGCATCGTCAAGGACGAGGACAACCGCTCCAACTTCTGCGCTACGCTGGCTATCTTCGCCCAAGCTTAACTCGCTCCTTCCCGATCTTGATGATGGGATCACGTGGGTGCCTGGTCGTTACTGCCCATGCAGCGACTAGATCTTTCTTCGTTTTCGTCTTCTATTCTCTTCTTTCCCTAAAACATCTTGATTGATGCTCGGGCCTTTTGTTCTTTCTTTTTCCCCTTTCTACATGTCTCTTGACGTCCACCCGCCCCGCACGCTTCCTCGCACTCCGCAAACACATTTCAAGGCACGAATACATGTCCATATCCTACCCCATCTCCATCCACCAACTGAGCGTCGGGCGGGGTGGTTGTCAAGAACGACGGTCGAAAGTGGACTGAACTGTACATGATATACCCAATTTGTCTCCTTGTTTTTTTCTTCTTACTTCGCCACTGCCGCTTCATGGCGGCTAGCATAGCTTTTAGCATAGCATAGCACACGATGCATGGTCGCGTGATGCATGAAACATGAAAAATCTATATGAACATTGATGAGAAAGATTTGGCTTGTTTTGTCGTGTGATGTGTGATGGATTTGTTTGTTGTGATGAACCTATGAGCTACTCACCACAGATGAAGAGCATTGTGTTACCCCAATTCTATCTGTGTCCATCAGTGTGATTGTTAGAAGATGATATACCCCGTCCCTCTTACCACAACCCGCCATATAATCAATCCCCTTTTGTTCAGCATACTAGCACATCACGACTCCAGATTCGAACATTAGGGCATCAAACCATTATCAGTTATCACGTGGTATCACTCAATCAGTATCAGATATGCATTGTGGGCGAAAAAGATAAAAAGCAGGAAGAATGCATTCAAGCATGTACATTACATAGTGTGTTCAACTGTAAAAAGGAGGGAGGGGGTATCGAGAAAGAAACGGCGCATAAGAAAGAAGAAGCAAAGATATTTGCATTGCGGGTAGGGGATGGTAGGATGGATAGGGGCCGCGTGAGGTGGTGATGGAACGCCGGCGAAAATATAGAAATGAATGGAAGTGAACGATTAACGTGCGCAGGAAGATTCGAAGGATAGCGATAATTCATTACGACTTAGACTCTGACTTCGCGACCAGCGCATCGACCTTCGCATACAGCTCTCCCGGATCCGTAAACACATACCACACACTCTCGGGAACATCCTTAAACGCCTCTTTGAACCTATCCGGCTCGTTCTTCTTGTTCTCGTCCATCTCAGCCACGCCCTCGACCTTGCGGATGTAGATGGCCGCGATCCACTTAGGGTACTTGCGGTACATGGTGGCGTAGGCCTCTGGGTCGGACTGCGTGCTGTCGCCGATGAGGATGAACTTGCGCTTAGGGAACTCCTCATGCACTTTCTCTATGCGGTCGACTTTGTAGGCTTCCGTGCCTTGGGTTAGATTGGCGAGGAAGCCGGCGAGGTTCATCCACGAGGCTTCGCGGAGGATCATGGTGCCGCGCGGGTAGTAGGTGTCGCGGAAGTTGCGGAGGAAGGGGTAGAGGTTGTAGGGGGAGGCGGAGAGGTACCAGAAGGGTGGGTTGTCGAGTTTCTGGACGAGGTGCTTGTAGAACTCGGGCATTCCCTTGATGGGTTCGGGCTCCTCCACGAATGTGGTCTTCAGGATCCCGATGGGGTCGGAGGTCAAGGTTTTCTTGATGGTGTCGTCTACATCAGAGAGAACGGCCCATCCCTTGGGCACGGCGAAGGTTGTGTTGAGGTTCGTGGCGTCGGCGTTGATGGCCTTATTGACGATGATCTCGTTATCCTTGTAGCCGTGGCCTGGGATCGCGATCTCGTCAGAGCTGATGCCGTCACGTCCGCTGGGTCCCAGGCGGACGTTGACGCCCTGGAGGTCGATGGTCACGGCATGGGCTGGGAGGATCGAGTCGACGAAGGGTTGAACTCTCTTAGCGATGGTGGCCTCGGCCGCGTCGTCCTTTGCAAGTCCTATCTTGTCGCTGATCCAGGCCACAACTTCTCCCAGATCCTTTCCGCTATTCTTGACGAAATAGGCGGCAGTGAAATCCGCCTTCCATCGCCCGATGCGATTCTGGTAGGCGGTGTTGTCGAAGAGCCATACAAAATCGGTCTCCGGGTTGACGTCGGTGTAGAATGGGTTGCGGGTGCCTAGGTAGGAGGTCAAGTTGTCCTTGAGGGAGAACTGGAAGCGGTTCTTAAGGGCAGGCATGTCGTGTTCGAATTCTGCAAACTTGCCAGCGGCTCGTACTCGTCGGTCTCCTTCTGTTTCCTGGAAGCGCTGTCTGGCATGGCCTGCCATCGCGTTCGCAGGGGCGGGCTTATGGGCCATTTTTGTGGGAGATGTCTTGGTATACGGGTTGAGTCCTTGGGTAAGAATAAGGCGGTGGTGACTGGTATTGTGATCAGGTGTCTTGATGCTGGTGTAGGTCAGATGGAGTGTTGTTTTGCACGAGATGTGGAGAGAAAGTCGTTTGGTGGGCACAACGTAGGTAGGTAGGTAGGTAGGTGGGTGTGCAGGTAGAAAAGGCAACGATGTCAATGATATTAACAATAACGACGACGATGACCTAGGTATATCTATTTCCTGGAACACTTCATGTACCTGGCTATCCCTACCTTATCCTACCGTGCCCTATTCGTACTTTTTGCATGATACATTACCTACGTAGTCGCGCATGGTTGGCTCGGGTACTTAAACCTCAAATATAGGGCTAGCACTCACATACCCACATCGACTCCGCCCTCTAATGATTAAGAGAAAGAGGAAGAGCTTATGCGTGTCTCATAGTCGTAGCTGCAGCGGAGACCAGAAGCGAGCATCTAGTCTGCCAGTCCTGTCGCAAGGCATCTATGATCGTCCATGATCGTCACCCAGTGTGTGCTAGCTGATGCTGGCGTTTTGCTGGGCATCCAAGTCGAGTGACGTCGGACAAGCATTGTTAGTTGCACACGACGAGGTGCCTCCAAGGCTACAAACAACACACCACCTACACTACGAGTAACCATACCTGTTATCGCAAACGGCATTGTCTTGTCCTACACACTGAGCAGGCAGTACGGTATGGTCTTAGTATGGTATGGTTATGGTTGTGTACAAGGTGCATGTGCTTGCGCTTGCGCGTGCGTGTGCAAATCTGTGTGGAGCGCAGGAGGCGCAGAGGCAGCTCCCGATGTTGATCGATCTCGCTTATGACTCCGGTTGGGTGCATTCACCTTTCAAGTAATATTTAGTTACCTTGTCGTGCTGGTCCTCGTATCACAAGTACGGGGAAGAAGGGGAAAATTAAGGAAACGGGGGCGTCAGCCTCACATGCTCGTAGCCTCATAGCCTCGTCCCCAGCCGTAGCCTTCCATCATGACAGCGCCACGCCGATTCCGTATCTGCATACTCCGTACTATGTGTGCTCGTAATGGTGGGACAGTCAAGTCACAGCCGTGGGTGGCTGCGCACCGGATGGCGATTCTTCAAGGTCGAACTCTACATCTGTACGAAAGCAGATGGATTTAGTCAGTTGTGTGTCTCTTCAAATGAGTAGCCAAGTCTGGGGCGGCCTTCCGAAGTGTCTTGATGAGTGCGATACTTCATCATGTGGTCTGCTGTTCGTGACCACCAACATCATTGGACGAGGTCGCTTGATTGGTCATTGACGCCATATAAATGCTTGGACGCTCTCCGCCTGTTCACGGGTGAGATCAAGATCAGTCTGCTCCAAGATGAGAAACCTGAATCCGACTACAATACTTATAAGACTAGACATGTGTCCTTTTCGACGGATTTGGTGACAGCTTCGAGGTTTTGGCTGTAGTCGAAAGCAGGTTCATAGACAGCGTGTGATACTTGCAGTACTCCGTACTCCGTGCACTGTACTCGTACCACCAACAAAGCAATACCGTTGAGACGAGGTCGTACAGCGCGCCCAGGGTCGATAGTCGTAACTACCTGAAGCCGTTGCCGTTCGCCGGGGGCTTGCTTCATGTTTCTAATCCATGACCGCTTTGACAAGAAGTTTGCTTACACGAGCATTATGGAGATGTCCCACGATGTTGTCTGCGTTATGTACAGAGTCTCTGAGTTGCGTAAGACCATGTACATAGGTTCTAGTATCTGTCTAGACTCCATCGTAGAGGTGCAAAGCGGAGATCAGATTGGACGATGAGATGCCGAGCATTCGAACGCGTGTATACCGAACCACAAGACAAGCAGAGAAAGGCAAACACAACCGTTGGCGAATCCGGCAGAGGCGTAGAGACAAATAAGAACAAAGCGTCGCCACACTCCCAAGGAATGTTTGACGCGGCCAGTTGACGTCGCTGCCCTAGATCCGCTTAGTACTCGATACACATACGAGTACCGCGCAAGTATCTATTCGTCTCCATGAGACTTCTGTGACAATCTCAGTTGTTATATCACCCGGATCTTGCAGTAGCAAAATAATAATGGAAAGGATCAAAGCTGCTTGTACATACTGGTAACCTTGCGGTGGTTATTCCTTTGGGGCTGTGCATCTCCCAAACGGTCTTTTTTTTTAAACGAGTCCATTTCACCCCATTCCGGAGCGACATCCTCCTATTCGTTTCGCTTTGCCTTTTTTTTTTTCATACGGCAATTACTTTTGATATTGCCACTGATATTGACATTTAAATTGATATCGCACAATTGCCATATATCTCCTCGCATAATCTCCTTTGTCTTCTCATTTGGGCGGAGGATCCGAGCTTTGCGGAGGATTTAACTTGTACCCAAGAGTAGTAATCTACCTACTCGTACCTTAACCTTAAGTAGGACGACGTTGACTAGGCCACCCTCACCACCAACAAACGTCGTCGTCAACTCACTCACTCGCCGCAAAACATCTCGTCAACTTCCCGCCAATACCTTATTACCCTCCTCTCTTCACTCCACTTCTCTTCCCTTTCTCTTCCCTCTCCCCATCCTATCGTGCGCCGACTGATTCCTACCGGATTGCAAAACAACAACAACACACTCCCTCCGCATCATAGGGGGACCCCGCTCGGCAACTTCCACCATGGCCATCAAGAAGCGATTGACCAATCTGGGGAGCTTGATGAGGAAACCTACCTGTATGTTCTACGCGTCTTCAATCTACATATCTCTGACTCTTGACTGACTGTTCTCTCTTTCTCTCATTAGCGGCGCAAGACACAGAACACTCGTCCGATGCGGACACACCAGAAGCCAATGCGCAACGAGGAGTGGTATGCGCGCCATTCCTACCTTCACTTTATCCCACTGCCGCTGGACGGCGCTGATCAAGCGACAGAGACTCTTTTGCGAATCTGGCGCCGCAAATTCTGTATGTCTACATGGATAATTATTTGGAAAATTAGGCATAATAACCTCCAGCAGGGCGAAGAGGTCCTACACCTTCCCACCATCGTCGAAGCCGCCGTCGCAAGCCCCCATGCTGCCGCCTCCGCTGCCTCGCAGATTCGCAAGTTCCTCTCCAAGGACAACTACTCGAAGCCACACGTCCAGTACAATGCGGTCATGCTCATCAGGATCCTCGCAGATAACCCAGGGGCCTCCTTCACCAAGAACCTCGACAAGCAATTCGCCGACACGGTCAAACATCTGCTGCGGAATGGACAAGACCCGAGTGTGGCGCAGATTCTGAGGGAGACACTGGATGCTATGGAGCGCGAGAAGGCGTACGACACCAATCTCAATACGCTATTCGCAATGTGGAGGAAGGAGAAAGGCCTAATGGCAAATGCCCAGAAGCAATGGGGCCCCCGCACACTCAACGCACCAGCCTGGAACGGTCAACAAATTCAAGGTGGATTCAACTCGGGAGGCGGAGGTGGAAGTCGGACTCGCAGCCTGCCACCGCCGATAGAGCTGGCCGGCCGCATCGAGGAGGCGCGTACATCTGCCAAACTTCTCCTACAGCTCGTACAATCGACACCCGCGAACGAGCTCATAGGAAACGAGCTCGTCAAGGAGTTTTCGGAGCGGTGCATATCCGCGCAGCGGAGCGTACAGGGTTACATCAATTGCGACAATCCAGCACCCGACGATGATACCATGTTGACCCTGATCGAGACGAACGAGCAGCTATCTCTCGCTGCCTCGAAACACCAGCGTGCAATCCTCCAGGCCAGGCGAATGCAGGGACAGTCTCCCACTCCCCCGATCTCCACTGCCAATAACCCACCGCAGAGCATGTACAACCCGCCTCCGCAACCGCCGCCTCGTCAGGATCCCTCCCCGGTCGCGCCCGTCAACGCCGGCTCAACCAGCCCAACAAATAGCTATGACAAGACCGAGCTACCGCTACCGCCGTCCCTCCAAGCCGGAGGAGGCAACCGAAGACCACAAGCCGCCGCTCAGCCCGAGGATAACCCATTCGCAGACACCTATGCCGCCCCCTCTGGCCCACCTCCTGGTCGCGCCGCGGACGACGACGACGCACCTACGAATGGACACCGCGGAGGATCGCCGACATCGTACAACCCAGGCTACCAGTCCACTCCCTCGTATCTGGGCCGCCAGGAGAGTTCTGCGAACCACCTCACGATGCACGGGGGTGCGCAACCGATCGCGGAGGGCAACGAAGGTGGCAACCGCCCCGCGACGCCGGATCAGAACCGCCCGAGGAACCGCGACAGCGACGTCTCGCCCATTGCGGAGCGTGCGCCCGTGACATACAGATTCTGAGCATTTCGACGTGGAATTGATACTTACTGAGTTGCGAAGCGGCGGCGGATAAGGGAGCGAGATCTGCAGAAATCATGTCATGTGTTTTTTCAGCCTTTCATCCACCCATCATCGGATAAGTAATCTGTCTGCGCCAGCGAGGGGGAATGTTTTCTCAGACATCGGGAGAGAGTTTGCTCTCATTCCCCGAGTTCATTGTTTTATATCTGGTGTTTGGATCGATCATACAAGCGCGAAATACCTCTTCATCTTCTTTCCTCCTTTTTCATTGATCAATTTTCCTTTTTTTTCTTGTCTCGTCAAATTCCCCCCTCCCCTTTCCATTGATCCACCCAATTGTTTCATATATACCTACAGTCGTTAGCCGTGCCGTGGATTCGCTCTTGCGAAACGGCATGTCCTTATACATATGGGCCTACATACCCACCCCTCAATATATACTTACACCATGACAGTCGATCGTCTGTATTTGCTCTAATAACCGTACATCTAGTGTTTGTGAATCGTAAGGGATACTGAAGCACCACCTTCATGACCATCTCACGTGCCCACCCCTCCCTCCCTTCCTTCGCATCACAATACGAAACAACCCTCGTGGCTCTCGAACGAGGCCTGGCCTTTCCCCCCCACGCTACGTTACGCAGCATGCATGCACACATGGGGATGTTCGATATGGGGGCGGGGAAATGGGGGCGTGAGGCTTGTATGTCGTGCTACGTGCATATGCGCGAGTACAGTTGGGGTAGGGGAATCGTATGGGATGAGATTGGGGATGCAGCCTGGGCGACCTCAACTAATAGATTGAGGATGATAAATCGTGAGTGTGCTGTTTGCTGCTGAGGGAGGCCTTATGGAGATGTATGTGTGATACGTTCTTGTCCTGAATGGATGGGTGGGTGGAGGAGTGACGTGAGGTGTGAAAGTGAGGGAGGGGTATTAATGTGTCTACTGTATGTTTACACTCTAAGATACTACACACAGAAGTTACATTCTCGTAGGTATATAAAACTGTCGTTTTAAAGATGCTCTCCCTATCATATAAAGTTCCATTATATTTAAGTCCCTTGTAGTTAACTATAGATACGAGTATAAGTAATACTAATACTCCGTACTTTATGTATGCATTTGGAAAGAAATGCCGAAAGGACGACCATTTAGATATTGCCCCACCAAGATTGATCGTCCAACTACACACTACACGTACACTACACTACACTGTACAAACCCTTCCCCCAATTTCTAGGCTTGTTAACTTGTTCCTACGACGTCAACCGATCCTACTAGCACCACACTTAGCACCGTAGGCGCATAGAAAGCCACCCTCTTATTCCTTCGAGGCATCCTATCGTATCTACCGTTGCCGGCGCCAAAAAAAGATGATCTATCTCCCCCGCGGGATTCATCTGGCTCTGGCTGGCATCTGGAACTACCCTTGATCCGATCCGACCTCCGCGAACCGCCATCCCTACCGCAAAGAGTATAAGTAGGGTAAGTAAGTAATGATGAAAAGTCTTTGACGACACAGGAAAAAGGTGATGAGGAAAAAAGGCCGTACATATGAGCTACGGAACTCCCGCCGCAGCCTTCTATTTTCCTTTTCTCTTCATCTTCACCCATCCGCTTTTCGCCCGTATGAGAACGACAGATCCTAGGACAGGTGATTGACAATATAACTACAACCACCTATACCCACCTACCTAGGCATCTATCCTGTTGGGGAAGAATCTAGCTGGGGTGGCTTTTTTTTCTTCTATTCTCTGTCTATACCAAATCGACTATCTCCCCACCCAGAACCCGCTGCTACCCACCTTTGAATTACCAATCAAAATAATTAGTCCTTTCACTCTCAACACGCCGTATGCGCGGAACGACCCTCGACGGTTGCTAAGTTTAAATATACGATCCTCACCTGCATATATCTCCCTCTTCTCTCCCTCGTGTCCAGCCATTGGGGTCTTTTCCCAATAATCCCCAAGGAAACTCTCCGGCCCATTCCCATCACCCCATGGCACCTGGCCTTGCTACCTCGATCGGCCGTCGTCCATGGCAAAGGAACTTCCACGATACGTGGACACGGTGATTATAGGTACTTTAGATTTCCTCTACTTACAGTTTCTTGCTTGGTCCTTCCTCGTCCTATTCGTTGTGTTACCTCTGCATCTGCAGCCTTAATATCTGCAGTTCCGCATTGCTTTTTCTTCCTCTAGTTCTACGTCATTGAAAAGCGCCTGCGGGTCCGAGATCGCGGCTCACGCTCGGCGATAAGCAATGCGATCTCTCTCTTCCACTATTACTGCAAGCAAACCAAATTGACAATTTCGCTGACCAAGTCCCTCCAATCGGCAGGCAATGGGCCTTCTGCACTGATTCTATCATACATACTACACGGCTGGATTCCATACTACATCGGCGGCCACTATGATTCCATCCTCGATGCGAAGCTGCAGGAACGCACTTGTCTTCTCGACCTGACGCCCGACCTGTACGCACATTTCCAAGCCTCGTTGAGATACTCGACGCAGGCGCTCCCCGTAAACACTCTGCTCGACACTCTGCTGAGGCCGAATGCGGACACGGAGATCAACCCGACATCATGCATTGAGTGGCGCTTCGAGCCCGAGAGGGCGATCGAGCACGTCGCGATCGGGCAGACGGCGAGGCCCGGCGGGCAATGGGCGGAGGACACGATCGAAGCGAGCAGAGACATAGGCACGCTGAGCTATGCGGAGCAATTGTCTCTGCCCGGATACACGTATTCCGATCATGTGAAAAGAGCAGGGACGGAAGGGCAGCAGTGCGATTTCGTGCGGCCCTCCCGCAAGCAGGTTGCGGAGTATCTCGAGGCGTACCCGCAGGCTGTCGGGATCGCAGACGCGATATACACTGCGACGGAAGTGAAGGATGTTCGACGGACGAGCAGCGGGGGGTTCGAGATTGGGAATCTGGGGGTGCGATGTAAACATCTGGTTTTGGCGTCGGGCATCTTCACGGTCAATCTTCCGCCTCCGCCCTTGCTTGAACCCGTCTCGCGCCTGGAGGACACCCGGGAACCGCTGTTGGTCATTGGGTCTGGGTTCTCAGCAGCGGATGTTATTATATCTGCCGCCACGGATCGCAAGATCATACACATCTTCCAATGGGCGCCAGAAAGTCGAGCGTCACCACTCCGCGGATGCCACCACACTGCGTATCCAGAGTACGCGACCGTATACCGCCAGATGAAGCTGTCGACCATCAACAACAGCAAAGCCCTAGCCGCCAAATCCCCCATGCTGCGACGAAAATCGAACCCTTTTTTCACCCAGCGAGACTGGACCTCACTCTACGAAGGTCTCCCCAACGCTGAAATCCTCTCCGTCGCCATGGCCCCCGACTCCACCTCTGCCAGTGTCGAAATCCGCACCTCCTCCGGCGACATCATCACCCGCCGCGTCGGGGGCCTAGAGTACGTCGTCGGCCGCCGCGGAACCCTAGACTACCTCTCTCCGCCCCTACGCGTCTCCGTGCTCGACGGAGCAGCAACAACGCAAGCCCCTCACCCACAATCCACGAGCATAATCTCCGGCCGCACCCTCCGCAGCAAAGCCGAATCCACCCTCGAAGTCTCCCCTAACGTCTTCATCATCGGCTCTCTAGCCGGCGACTCGCTGATCCGGCACGCGGTCGGCGGGTGCGTCTACGCCGCAGGCCGCATCCTCGACGCCATACCGACATCGCTATCCTCTCACCCCTCACCCACACTACTCCCCTGCTCGTCTACAGAGACGCCAACCACGACGACCGCATCGTCCTCTCACAAAGCAGATAGCGATGCAGGTGGCTCCACGTCGCCGACGACGACGGAGGCTTCGTGCGCGAGCCAGCACTCCGCGGCGGTGCTGACGAACGGACACTCCGATCTGCATCTCGACAGGCGGAAGCTGGCGCGCGCGGTTGAGCAGGCGAGCGAGCAGAATAGAGCGTGGGTTGAGACCGGGTGGTGGGCTGGGGGTGGGAGCGTGGGAGGATGGCCGGGGACGTTGAATTGAATGAAGTATATTCTGCTTTTGAAACGAATTTTTAGAATAGCATCGGGAGGTGGTGAAGCATGGAGGTATATATTTGTGAATTTTAGAAAAAAGGACTCCGAGAAGGGGCATCTGTGAATAATTAGGCATCACGAAAGAGCATGAGGTGATGGTAGAGGAAGAAGGCGTTGATACATAGGTGCATTGGTGGTTTTGAATATTAAATAATTCGTCGCATTACATAGCATATGCATCACATATATACACAAACACATACACATACATAGAAGAGGAAACAAGTTCACTTTCACACCCTCGCCGTTACTTATGAGATCCATAACGCAAATTCAATCCCTTCACCTTATCCTTCTCACCCGGTTTCCTAGACTTTGGTAACGTAGTTGATACTCTTTACCCAACGGTGCAACTCACATCCCACCCATCTTTTCATCTCTCACACACCTGGCACCAACCGAAAGAACATACGAATCCATATCACAAAACACCCCCACATCATTCCCGAATCACACAACCCTAATTCAAGCCCAAAAATCCACACGCACCTCCACTACTTTAATTAAACTTGCCCAACTCACTCAAGTCCACTCCAAACCTCAAACACCACAAATCATGTCTCCAGCAGGAGCGACAGGACCAGGAGGGAGTATGGCATCAGGCGAGTACGCACTGACGGTACTAGCCGTCGTGTTCGTGCTGTATGGCGGGCTGTTGGGGTATGTTGTTGGGAAGGTTTTGGTGATGTTGTAAGCATTGTTTGCTTTCTTGGGGGAGAAGGGGGAGGGGAGTGATAGTGATGCGAATGTATTAAAGACAGAGTGCGAAATGGATGGAAAGTTACGTGAAGTATGGATTGGAGTTGTTACAAGGCGAGTGGCTGCCACGACAAGGCACTGTTGTTTAGTGGGATATGAAGGTGTGCAGGTAGACGTGGATTTGGCAATTATGGATGTAGATTGTTCGGTGGACTGGAAGAGTATGTACATGTGCACCTTTCATGGCTTCTCGGATGTGATGACTACGTCGTGGTAGAAGGCTAGACAAGACAACGAAGTGACTAGTGATGACTTGTACAATACGCTCATGGCAATACCAGTCACAGCCTTATGAGTACATTAATCGCACCAGCAAGCAAGAGAGTACTGGGTTTGACATCAGTACTCTGGTCTTCAATTCCTACGTCTGTGTCTGTACGTCATAGAATCGTCCATAATAATGTTCGAAAAATCCTGTCGTCTGATGGATATCATGTACCTTTGTTGAAGATACAACCCTCTCATAGCCTGTTTCAAAAGAGAAAAACCCCTAAACTCCACGCCGAAAACCGAGTTGATGCCTTTGATGTTCGCGGGAGAGGAAACCCCGCCCGGGGGATGGGAAACGTTTCAGCAACAAAAGCCGACCGTCTTTGCTCCTAGAACTGGTCGAGAGTCATGCTCATCGAAATGTCCGTGTTCTCGACCATCTTCGTGAATTCCTCGAAGCTGATCTTGCCGTCGCGGTCCAGGTCGGCCTCCATGATGGTCTTGTCGACAATCTGTTCACTACGTTAGTCGAATCCTTACGTCATGTTGGAGAGTGCCGCAATCAAGTCGGTAAATCTCCCTCTAGGTCTGTGGATCGTACCTGCTGGAGCTGTTGGTCCTTCAAGTTGCTTCCCACCATCATCTTCAACACGATGAACAGCTCTCCGTTGCTGATAAATCCATCGCGATCAATATCGTACACCCGGAAAGCGAACCTCAGTTTCTCCTCCTTGTTGCCCTTGCTGCTGAACGCCGACAGTCCAGACACAAACTCCTGGAAATCGACGCTGCCGCCACCGTCTTCGTCGAAAATGGCGATCATGCGTGTTGCTAGCGGGTTCGATGAGATCTGTGGGAGGGCAAGGAATTCGTCTCGCTCAATGGTACCGGAATTGTCCTGGACGATTCAATCAGCAACGTTACGAACCGGCCAGGGGTGCTCCCTCATACCTTATCGAGCTTCATGAAGCGCTTCCGCAGGCGGTCAACCTCATCTCGATCAACTATTCAATCGCCGTCAGCTCATGCCCATGGCAATCAGCCCCGCGGGCAGCGCACACCGGCGGCGAGGCGCGACCCCGCAAAATTACGTACAATTCGAGCCAGAGGCGATGTTGTCGAGTATAGCAGAAGGTTGGTTTCCCATGTTGGCGGCTGTGTGCGTCTGTGGGAAAAAGAATATTATGTCGGGGGGGTGTTTGCTTCGGTTTTCGTGGAGTCTTAACTATAGGGGAGTTTGTTTGAGGTTCGCGGGGGTGGGATTTCTGGGCTGGATACGGTCCCACTGGTTTAAGCTTGCCAGGACTGAGCCAATCACGGTCACCATTTTTCCGCTCCGATTTCCGCCAAGCCTTTCGACATTCACGTCCGAGGTTTGTCGTCACTGCGCGCATCTACGGAGACTTGCAATTGAATTGATATAGAATCCTTCGAGATGGCGAATGACCCCGCGGTGGAGATAGCCTCCGTGCTACAGTTCGCCCACATCAACCGCCAGCCATCACCCAGGCACGACATCAACCCATCGACAGCTGCGTCAGAGAAAGAGCCGGTCCGCCTCCATTCACAGCACGACCCAGACGCAATTTCAGAGGCCGATGAAGATGAGATCCCCATCAGCGTGCTACAGCCCCTCCCGAGGCGGAAGACGATGCCACCTCTTCCCGACCTACGATTCGAGCAAAGCTACCTGAAGAGCATCGAACACGCGGAGAGCTGGAAAGGTGTTTTGTGGATTACATTCCGCGACCAGGTCCTGATGTGCTTCACGCAAGGTATGCTGTGGGCGCTCACGGTCAGCGGATGGCAACATTTCAACCGGAGCTCCAAGTTCAGCGGACAGACCATGGGCGCGCGGATACGACGGTGGTGGTGGGGCGTGAACAAGTGGTCGCTTCCGAAGCAGAACTCGGGACTAAGGAACAAGAATCTGGGGAGGAAAGCTGCGGAGGTGAGTGTTGATTTCCTGGGTGTCTGTAGACCTACTACTGGCATGCGAAACATGAGCAAGACTGACATTATACTCAGTATTACAAGGATCAGGCTGTCGACTAGAGAATTTAAGAGAACATGGGAGGATATACCAGCATTAAAGGCGTTTTTATTGGCGTGGAATGTATCCATATTCAAAATCATCAAATCGTCAACGAATCACAAAATGGGAGTTTTCAAGCAACGAATGAATATAACATATGGATGGGTCAAATTCCCTGTCGACAGAGGCCCTCTGTTCAACATTCCCGTGATTTATTACAATGACATAGACTGAATTCCCGTCAAACACATCCAAAAATGCGAGGAGCGTTTGCCTCGTTACATGGATATATGCTTTGAAGGGTGATATACGCCATCAGATGAAAAGCAAGTGGCCACTCTAAAAAGCAAGTTTTAGGAATATCGCGTTTCGAGACAGATCGGACTACAAGAATTCTAGTCGCAATCATTCAATCTGCAGGATCTAAACAAAATCAACCACTGAGAAAAGATCCCATCATACGTAACTAAAACATCTGTTAGACAAATTAGGTTTTTTTGCAAGTTGTGATGATAAATCATGTACCCAATCCTTCCGGCCCCGGATAACTGCTCCTCCGGTCAAGATCACAAATCTAGTAGTGGAGCAATAGAAGCCTTATGCCATATATGTTTCTAAATCCGAAATTGCATGTCTATAGGACATGAATCCATCATGCAAATGTTTGGCAAGACGTTATTTAGAAACGGCGTTACACATTATTGCTCAAGAACCCCGAAACGGAAATCCTACCCCACTTCTCAGTTGGGAGTCCAACCTCGGTCTACCACGTAAATAAGAACCATAACCATGCCTTTCCCAGTACTTTTCATCAACAAACAAGATTCATCAATATGGCTAATAATACGGAGCAAAAGTGGCAAATAATTGCAAAGAAAAAGAAGGATGAACAATACTCACGTCTGCCTACCGAATGGCTGCTGAACAGCTCTCCATCACCCGATGTCAGGACATACATCGACATACCGAGGAAGAGTGGAATCTTGAGCCAGGAAGAACTCAGAATCACAGAGGAGTTCGATGCTACCGCGCTGGCCGAGGCTATCAGAAGAAAAGAATTGAAATGCGTAGATGTCACAAAAGCATTTTGCAAGGCATGTCGTCTTCTCCTAATATTCGACAGCAATAGCTGACTAGCTATGTAGAGAGCTGCAATTGCACACCAACTAACGAACTGTCTTACCGAAATATTGTTCGATGAGGCTCTGTCCCGTGCCAAAGAACTAGATGCACATCTAGCTGCTGGAAAGTCCCCCTTAGGTCCGCTCCATGGGGTACCCGTCTCGCTGAAAGACACGTTCAAAATCAAAGGCTATGACGCATCTATTGGTATTGCGGCATTAGCTTTCAATCCAGCAACCGAGAACTCTGTACTCGTGGATGCTCTTTTGAAAGCAGGTGCAGTCCTATACTGCAAGACCAATGTTCCGCAAACACTCATGGCTCTCGATTCCCATAATAACACTTTCGGCCGTACCCTTAACCCCTTTAACACGCTCGTCACGGCCGGTGGAAGCAGCGGTGGCGAGGGTGCATTACTGGGTATGAGAGGTTCTGTTCTGGGAGTGGGAACGGATGTCGGGGGATCAATTCGAATTCCTGCCATGTGTAACGGCACGTTGGGCTTGAAGCCTAGCTGGCAACGTATCTCGTATGCCGGACAGGAAGGCGGTACGCTCCCGGCAATCGCCAAACTTGGTATTCCCGCGAGTGCAGGTCCGTTGGCCCACTCTGCGAGGGACATCGAGCTCTTCTTTAAGGCGCTCGCCGAGCAGAAATCCTGGGAGCAGGACCCGGATGTTTTGCCATCACCTTGGAACACGCTGTCTTCAACTTCGGGACGCAAACTTCGTATTGGTGTCGTGAGGAGGGATGGAGTGATCGAGCCGCATCCACCGATCGCAAGACTTTTGGATGAAGTTGCATCGAAGATGCGCCACGCGGGTATTGAGGTAGTCGAGATGGATATTACACCCATCTTCTCCCAATGCCAGTCACTGGCAAATTCTCTCTTCGGCATCGAGGGCGGGAATGCAATGTTCGATCTCCTAGAATCCGCCAACGAACCCCTTTCCCCGTGGCTTTCCACAAGATTGCGACGCAAAGAGCCACTTTCGCTCGAGAAGGTGCGCCAACTTCACGCCAAAAAGACGGAACTACAAACAAAGTTCCTGAAGATCTGGAAGGATGCAACTGGCCAAGAAATCGATGCCTTGATCACGCCTGTGGCTCCACATCCAGTGCCACCAATCGATCGTTGGAATGGCGTAAGCTACACAAGCAGCTTCGTCCTGCTAGACTATCCTGCGGGCACAGTTCCGGTTAGGTTCTTCGAGCGAGCAGACATGCAAGGCGAGCTTCCAAATACAAAGCCGCTGGGTAGTTGGGACAAGGCAAATCGCGAGCTATGTACGTCTCCTACTCCAAACAACATGAAAGTAACCATACTGACAAAAGTCCAGGGAACAATGTCGATCGCGAAACATATCTGGGCACACCACTATGCGTGCAAGTCGTGGCTCCCAAACTCGAAGAGCGAAAGCTATGTGAGGCCATGGCTGCCATTGAAACTGCAATCAAGGGTACTGGAAAGGGGCCAGCGTCGAAATTGTAGATGGAATCAGCTCTCGGGAAATATATGTAAATATTAAAAAGGGTATCTTTAAGTAAGAATTAAATCATTCATCCACCACCTCTACTATTGCTGTTCAAATCTCTCGTTCTCCCTTCCCCAGCATCACTCCACGTCCCACTCTCCAACACCAACGTCGTAACGAACTCTTCCTCCCTCCCAAACCCCATCGCCCTACCCCGCCACAGATTCCTGTCCACGAAACTGGGCAACTCCCACGACGCCAATCGTCCAAAGCCACCACCAGCATTGCCTCCGTCATATTCATCGACGCCCCTGCCCGTCCGTAGTGGCCGAGGAAAGATGCCGCGGAAGAGAGGTCGTGTAAGCGGCACGCAGGCTACGGTCATGCCAAGAGAGGGTTCGATGATGGTGAGGATCAGAGCTGGCGCGTTGGTGTAGCGTGATACCCTGGTTAAAGTATGCATACGGACGATCGAGATGGCTGCTATACTGTTGACCCTCAGTAAACTCTTCATCGGTCTTCAGAACTCAAACGAAAGAGTTCAAAATCTTGGAGTTGGACACCTACCATATTCCAGTACCAAAAATTATTATGAGGGCAACCTTGTCGGGAATTCTGACGTTGAGTTTGTACAGCATGTGGAGCGGAAGAATGAGTATCACGATGTCCACAAGAGCGTCCAGCGCTCCTATTACCATGAACGGCGTGGTTCTGTCTTTGACGCAAGTGCCACCTGCAATGTTTGGATTCCAGAAATATGCGAGTGGCCTGCAGGATACCAGAACGAAGGTGATGTATCCAATCGCCCAGGCACTGGCGAGACCGATTGTGATCCAAGAAGCGATGCGAAACTGTTTGGAAGGAAAGATGCGGTTGTAGAATAAGCAAATGGAGATTTTTATTGAGGCTACCGAGGCGGCGAAGAGACATTGGATGGAGATTAGTAACTGCGTTTCGGTCAGTTGGTGTTGGTATGTCGTTTGGAATGGAATTGGCCATTCTACCTTCAGAGCTGTAGGTGATTTTGAGATACGAGTACTATGAGATGCGTATGGCCATTCTGTTGCTTTATTGCCAGCACCTCCTATTGAAGTCTCTGTGAGTCATGTCAGCCTCAATACCAATGATGGGGATAATTATCATACGAAGTATACATAGCACAGCCAATCCATATAGGCAAGCCTGTATAATTTCTTAGCATACTTGCCTACCAGCAAGACTATGAACATACCTGAGCCACGATGATGAACCAATCCTCAGAAGATAACCTCGTTCTCTTGAACCTCTTCCCAATAAACCTAAGCACCAGCGAAATAGTCGATGTAACAGCAAAAGCCAACGAAACACCCAAGATCGCCTTTCCACTACCGGTATCAAAAGCACTCGTCGCGCGTTCACTCAACGCCATTATCGCAGGACCGAGATCGAAGAAGCATTGAAGATTAGAATTAAAATATGAGAGCATTGATGAACACCAGGCCGCACTACAGCATCTTGAACCTCGTACCATACCACTCTTTAAGGCATACCGTGTATCCCACGCTGATCAATCCCATCCTCTTCCACCACCGGCAGTCATCGCTATCTTCTCGGAGACCCCTTTCCCTAGCACCCTCAGCTGCACAGGTACACCCGACCACATGCACATTAGCGACAACACGCACGTTGAGAAGTGCGGAAATGGCGTCTGACACGCTCGGCGTGGAATTCATCTTAATGATCGTGCGTCGCTGGAGCTGAGGTGTATGGACGTTGTGATTGGTGGATGTGGGGTGTAAGCAATTTCGAGGGTGTTTGGCGTCAAGGAGGGCAGCTGAGAGGGATGGCGCGAACGCATGGCGAACAGGCGCGAAGTGGATCTGATAGGATTCTAGGATGATGGAATCATTTAGGGCGCTGGCCTTATGGGTGGTAGCTGTGTATTATTGATTGGAGCGTTCTCCCGCGTTCTCCTGTCGCTCTACGCGTTTCGAAATGTTCTATGAAGCTTCTTTGGGATGAGACGTTTTATTACTGACAAGTGCAAGCTAGAACACGATTGGCTATACATGCAAAAAAGGGGGAAGAGAGGTATGAAATAAGTTGTTATCCAATTGACTTTTTTATCTACTACTTTTTTATTATTTTTAAAATAGGAACATTTTCCAAATGACAACTACAACCCCCTATGCATTAAACGACAAATCAGATTGCAAAGTCGGGCTTCTATGCTATGATCTTGATGGATGATGCAATATATCGCAGGCTCGAATGCAAAATTATGGGGCTTCTATGCAGTGATCTTGATGGCTGGTGCAACAGATCTGAGGCTAGAATGAAAATATATATAGAGGGTTTATGGGCCCTCAATCAATCCGGGTCCAAAGAGAGCAGCCTGTGCAACTGCATCGGCATCGGCAAACGGTCCCGAGCCCTGGGTCACAGCAGCGATCGTGAGGCCAGTGAGCAGATTCTCCTCATATGGGAATGGAGCAGTGAAAGTGAGAGTCTCACCCTCGACCGATGTGTTGCTGAGCGGCTCGACGATGGGGACGTTCTGCTGGTTGATATAGACAAGGCTGAGAGAGCTCCAGTCCTCGATTCCGCTGATGTTGATCGAGAACTGGATTTCCTTAGTTTCGGCGGAGATGTCCGATGTCAAGACGTTGAGGGGTTTGAAGGTCTTGAGGGGGATGGTATCGATATTGGGGCAACTTCCAGGAACGACGAAGGACTGGATGGCTGTGAAGGCGAAGTCGCGGACTGATGTGGTAAGGAAGGGCTGCGAGCTGGGGCGTTTGCCTTGAGTGAGGCGGAAGAAGCCTTCCTGCTCTCCTTCGTTGCCAATGACCGAGGCAATGACGCGCACAAGACCAATGTCACCGTTCTGTGCAAAGATTTGGTCGACATCTTGTAGCGTTCCAAGGACGACATCGGTGAAAGTTCCCGCGAGTGCGATCGCAGAGCTGAAGCTATCGACTGGGAAGGTGTACTTGCAAGGCTGAATTTCTTCGAAGCCAAAGGCCTTGAGGGGTCCGTTGGCGCTCAATGCATGTAGTTCCTCTTGCGCAACAATGGCCTGTAGGGAAGAGAGGATGTAGTCCTGACCGTCCCCAAGGTCGTAGCCGGAGACTTTGTTGGTAATGTTGGAAATGAGCTGAGTGAAGAAATCAACCTCGAACAACTCGTTGAAGGCAATGAGCTTCAGGTTGGTGATACCCTCGTTGCTGATCTGGCTGGGTGGGGGACCGTTGGGCAAAGTACCGAAGGCTGCCTTCTCGATACTGAGAAGTTGCTCATCGCTTGGGTTGGGGAACCCGTCTGGTAGAGGGAAGACACTGTCACTTTCTGCCGTAGGGTAGGCAGAGACGAAGGCCGCGAAGGCAGCAAACGAGAGGAATGAACGCATCTTGGATGGGTTAAGTACGACGAAAAGGATTAATGGTAAAGAGAAGATCTCGATGTAATGATAAGAAGTCAAGATAACTGAATAAGATGCTGGATGAATATAGACTTGAAACAGGGTAAGATTGACATTTTTATATCAAGATTGTGAAGCCTCCAGAGAGGTACCGGAAACGGACTTGACAGATGCAGTCAAGGTTTAATTTTGGGCACCATTGCCCCTCTGTCACTTCAAAGTTCTTGACTAACAAATCGGGTCCAGAGAAGTCTCCACGGTAATGACTTCCCCAGAAAAGATTCGGGTCCATTGGCTCCCGTACCATGATCCCACATATGGTGCCTGATACTGGTGGCTGGTGAGAGCAGTGGCGTCAAGACTTTGAACTGGAAAACACGTAGAAGGCTGGGGAAAGAATCTCAAGCGCTCACCGTGCACCTTTTCCTACCTAGAATAGAACAACAAAGTCTTACTGATTGGACCATGGTTGAGAGGCGTCCATTCCAGATGAATTTAGTGCTAGCTATGAAAAGCTTAGCGAATGCCTATGTAAAGGTTAAGGTCTGTTCGGATGCAACGGGAAAGAAGGGGGTCGGGCCTGTAAATGGTCGATTATGCATTCCATTACTCCTTTGGCTCTTACGACATACCTCGTAGGGCAAATTGTGGTACTCCGTCTAGACACTACGCGTTTGATATGAGCAAAGAGAAGTCATGGAGCAAAAACCGTCAAGCTTGATTCGCGTTCAATTACCCGTAGAGTCAAATAGAACTCCGTACCTGTTGCTGCTCAAGGTCCTAGTATCCTTTCGATCATCACTGCCCATATCTGAAGCGATGCAGCTCCGAGTTATTTGCATCATCAAAGTTGAGAAGTTTGAGACTTATGGGAGAACGCGTCAAAGCCTTCCAGTTGGGCTTCGTTTGAAGGTAAGATCTTGGTAACCTTGTTACCGGTAGTTGCGGGAGGAAATTCACATCATCATTCTTTGTGACGACAGTGACGTTGGTTCCAGATCAAGTATTCTCACATGAGAGAGGCATGTACCTACCCAATTGGGTAATCGAATATCTACCTATTCGAGTGGTAACCCTATTAGGAACAATAAAGACAGCTTTGATTAAAGAAAACACCAACTGCCAGCGCTTAAATGACGAAATTACAACAATTGACTAGGTATACGAAGGAAATTTCTGCGAAAGAGAAACGTAGGAAAGTGACGACCAGAGATTGGTTCATCACCAATCATCAATCATGTCATTCGACTCTTCGCTCTCGAACTCCATGATCTTTCTTGCTGCTTCCGACCCCGCTACGGGAAGCATCTCAATCCCTTCTTTCTTTAGGTCTTCGGGCACCTCTTCCGGGTCTAAAAGACCGACTTGAAAGAGAACGCTTGCTTGGTCCCAGTATACTCTCTCGTGCCAGATCTTCCCACCCCGCAAACCCACAATCGATACTACCACGATCTCCACCTTCTGCTTGGTTGGCGGTATTCCGGGTAGTATCCATGGCATCTCGCATGTATGTTTGAATTGGATATATAGCTCATCCACGATGCGATCGACGCCGATGGTGCGTGACACCAGTCGCATATGGAACGACGGAGGTGAAGCTGAAAGAAAGTACTCGGAATAGAATCGCTTCAAATCCTCCTGCCCGATTCCGCCAGTCATGGTGGGGGTGTAATTCACGAACGGAGTGGGCTCCGCTGTGAATGTTTCCATCAATTTGTCCACATTCTGCGTATGGAACTTGTCTAGAGAGTAAGTTAGCGAAGGACTTCCTTTGGGACACAATTGCGTAATTCAATCTATGGACATACACTCTTCATTTTGGTCCCACACGCGCTCGATGTCAACCTCCGCACCGAATCCGCGTCGGACCATGCTCAAACTCCTGCTCCACGCCAGCGCGTCAGCAACTGGGTCATATTCGTCCAAGTCGTGCTCCGCAAAACCTGGGTCAACACCTTCGTAAGAGTACACGGGGTACGCAATCTTGGACTGCAGACCACCGGCACCTATGCCCGCAGTGATGCGCTTCTGGACGGTCCTCCGCTTTCCTTGTATGCCCAGTACCTCAGGCCTCTTAGTGACGCCGACGGTGGGTTCCGAGGGGCCGGTGCCATGCGCCAGATGTACGAGCACCCGGAATGACGCGCTCATACGATGTGTCGGATCTGGTATCGAGGTGGGGTAGTATGCGACGAGGGAACAGAGTTTCGAGGTCGAGGTTTTCGGTTCGGAATATACATCAAGGCATATAGCTGCTGCGTCCCCGAATGCTAGTATTCATTGTCAGCCTTTTCATATGCGCTGGAGGTTTTGTGCAGTGGACTGCTGTGGATGGGTTGTATACCGACGATCGCATACCTCTCTCCGATGCTCATGCCATCTCCGAGGTGGTGCAGCGTATTTACATATGTCTTCCCTCCTTTGCCCATTGGTATGTACTTAACAATGAAGCCCTCTTCCCGCCATGCGCGCAATGTTTCTAGGTCGAACTCCTCGTCTTCGGCTGTGACGTAGAGTATCGGGGTGCTATGGTTGAAGCTCAACCAGCCATTGGCGTCGGCCAGATACTGGAGGGCCATCTGTGGTGTTGAGTAATCTGATGCTATACTAATTTAACGGACGTATGAGCCCACAGCCGGTTGCGCGCGGTATGTCCAGTGTTCTGGGATGCAATGCGATATGTTACGATATGTTGCGACACGGAGCGATGCGATGCACGCGATAATTATGGGATATACAGGTAGTAGGTAGAGATGTGAAGAGGGGTAGTGGGTGGCATAATGGGCATCTTAAGCCTTCAGGTGAGGCATGCCTGGGTCCACAGGAATCAACTCCTGCCATGGTACAAGAATGGATCATGTGGGGTTGAAGCTTGCCCGCTCTCCAGTATCCTAGATACATGACGCATGAGGCGGCTTGCCTGTCCTCTAGATACGCACACATGCCATCTCATATCAGGTCAGGTCAGGCAGCCTCACGCACTGTACCTGGATTACTTCGGACCCTCAACACCACCATCGTTTATCGCAAAGTTCTATTATTGCATCTTCTTTTACAAGATACTGCATTTGCCCTACAACCGGCATCCCGCTACTTGAGAGGGTAAACGAGGGAACGATAGATGGTCTGGCCTGGTCTGGTAAAGATAGGCTGATGTGGCTTATGTGGGGTTTGTTAGGTGGAACTACTCGTACAAGTATTATTAGTCGCCGTAGCACGTCATTAGTCCATTACACTACTCGTACTCATCCATAAGAAAGCAGCACATAACATAATCCTCTCATTATCACCGTTACCAATTGAACCCTCGAGGTAACTCCAGATACAACAGAAAGGTAAATCAACCGAAAGTCCACATTGAGCTATCATACAGCTCCTCCGGCGTCGTGTGCGCAGGAAGGATATCCGGATCATCTTTACCTCGCTTGATGAACGCTGCTTCTCCGACATCATCGCCACACTGAAGGACCAATAAATCATCATTATCCTCCTCCTCATACGACCGCCTTGAAAACTGTCTTAGCCATGTTCTACACCGACGCAATGACGATTGGCCCTCCTCCACCTGTGTATCTCGAGCTCGTGCCCGCTGCGACTTGATAGGTATCGGTTTGGACGACGCAACCACAGGATCAGCATGCTGTTCGCGCGTTCTGGTAGTCCGACCTGGAGAACGAGTAAGAGTCGGGTGAGAGGGGATCGAAATGGGTTCGGCCATCATCGTCGGTTCGTCGTACGAGTGCTGAGGGGCTCTTTGTCGTCTCTGGATCGTGACCGTGGCCTTGACGGTCTTTGGCGTGGCGACTCGAGCGTGGGAAATGGAAAGCCTGGCAGGTAGATTCAATGTCTCTTGACGGTCGTGTTTCGAAACTGGTTGCCTCGTCGCTACTACTAGAAGACTTGAGCGTCTGTTACGGGTTCGTGCAGTTCGTGAAGGGGGTTGGGCCCCCGCTGTACGCCGTCGGGAGCTGTCGAGAGCACATGTCTCGTCTTGAATCGGCGTACGTGTTTCCAACGTGTTGTCTTGTGCGTTGTCCCAAGCGATGGGCGTTGGGTAAAACACCCAATAGGCTCCGTTGCGTGATGAATCTCTCTCGAAGCTAAACCGCATATCTAAACCAAGATACCATGACGTAAGGTTAGTATCAATTGAGGGAACCAGCGCTGCATAGTGTTCGGCATATGAGCATCAGAAATAGTGCTTGACATATGAGTATCTGAAATAGATAAAGGGTTGTTGGCGCAATAGCGACATCGTGAGGACAATTACTCTCAACAATCGGACATTGTCATTGTCACAAGTTTATTTCGCGGTTTCGGTTCGCATATTGTGGTTGCTCAACAACTTACGTAGGACATCTCGTGGCCAATGATTTCACCATCATTGCAACTGTCATGATATATTGGTCCCATACAAGAATTGTTGTCTCATAGCTTATCTATAGAGTCATGAAGTGCGGAGTATACGGAGTACACTTTAACATATGCAAGACCTCTAAATCATGAGATTCATCAAAATCACCTGATCAAGAAAATTGCATGTATATTCAACTATCCAATCACCAATTCCAACTCCCCTTTGCCCTCCTCGTGCGTGATCCCCTCTCGCGAGCAATCACGAAACCCCGCCTTTCCTACACCGCACGTAAGCAAGCACGCTGCGTCCCCAAATCGTGGTCACACAACATAAATAAGCATCGGCCGGTCCAAGGGTCGGACGGACGATCAAGTGCCCCCGCAAAACATCAATTGGAGTCGGAAGGACATCACGCTTACACACACGGCACGCACGTTTTGGACTCGGGTCGGGGCCGAACGAATGAGCTGCGTTCGACGATTTATAGCACGCGATTGACACCCACCCCGCTCGAATAGATAAGATTGAATTGATGGGGAGGGCAGAGAGAGCGATGTGATAAAGTGGTGCCGATCATGCATGATGCATATCGGGGTTCATGTAATGTGTATGCTGGCTGATTGGCTGTATACCATCTTTCTATATCATTTTCGTGAAGGAGAGGGGTTTGTACCACTCTCGCAACGACAGCCAGAGGTTCAATCAGACGATTGTGTGTATCTCGCATACGAATTATTGCATGGGCGTTGGAAGCACCAGGATATCAACGGCCCTTCTTTGCTTTGCACATGCTCGTTGTTTCTGCTTCGTACCTAACGTTCCCGACTTTACGTTTCTGCCAGCCAACCAAACCAAAGTCCCCTCTCCAAATATACCCTTTTCGAGAAAGACCATCCGGAGCATTCTCTCGAGGGTTATCTGAGATTATCTAGCCTCCCAGGCATGTTTCGAGGTTTCAATTGGAACACTAGGGACCAGCCCATTCGGAACCCCGCGGCGGCGGCCATGGTACATGAAAGTATTTTGCGACGGACAAGCTACAGCACCACAACCAGGGCCTTTCTGCAGACGCAACGTGCGAAGAGAGAGTTGGCCTTGTTCGCAAGAGTGTGCTGGTTCGAGCATGGTGTTGGCTTAAGAAAAGTCGCCTTGTCGGTATTGGGATAATATAGTCATTCGGTAGGATCTACGAACGACCAGGCCCCATCCCAGGCCAGGCAATCCCATGCTCAACTCCCCCCTCATCCCTCCCCGTCTCCTCCACTCACGAGACGCGACGCAAAGTAAACATAAGCGCAATAAAGTTATTGTGTCTCCCAATAATAACGTATGTATGTACGGAAGGATGTGCGTAAGGGTAAAATCTACGAAAACCGAACGGGACCGCACAAGAGAAATGCGGAGAAAGGGACCTGGAGACCCGGACTCTGGGGGCGCCACAGACCATACTGCACCACCATTCATACGCATCACAACTACACCATGTCCGCAGGCCGCAGGGGGTTTGAGATTCAATTCAATTAACTAATGTCCATCTCTAGCGGTGAGCTGAGCTGATCGAACGAAGCAAGCGGAGAAGCTGTGTGTCATGTCGTGTCATTGTCTGTTAGACAGAAAGGGAGGACTAAACATAAAATGCTGGCTGAATGCCCCCTTCTTGACACTGCTTGTTGGACTTTCCTGGTTTGCCGTTACTGGATCCACGGTTTGCTCGTTACTTCTATTTCAAGGACTGTAACTTGTTCTAGTGCTTACTACTGGGTAACATTCGTTGTTGTGTCATCGAACCAAACTACACGACGAGCAGTGAATAAGTCTATCACGTGACGATATCAGTCTTGTAGGGAATTGCATCTATCATTGCCTTATCTCTTTGAGTGTCGATATAAATCGGATATACCCACGTATATATACCTCTCAATCTCCCAAGACCTCAAAAACAACAATATCTACCACAACATCCATCTCCTTTAATTCAACTTCCTCTCCACAACTTCAACTACAATACGCTCTATATCAACCACCACCACCAACAAACACACCCGAACCCATAATCCAGGAACCCGAACCCGAACCGCAAATCCCCAAACCCAACAACACCCCACAAAACAAACAAACAAACAAACAAACAAACAAACACCACAATGCCCGGTCCACGAACCCGCGGCCTCGACCTCCTCGTCCTGCAAGCCCACCGCGCAAAAGGCGTCCGCTACCCGCCCGCCGCGCAGAAGGAGTGCTTCAAGACGTGGTACTCGTACGCGCTGCGTCGCGGGGAGCCCAGCGCGACGACCACGCCCGCGGACCTGTCTCGCCATGGGAGGGAGCGAATGGAGGGGAGGAGTGCTGTGCCTAGTTTGACGTCGGCTGCTGCTGCGGGGGCGAGGACGTATCTGTGAGGGGTGGGAGTATGGGGGTTTTGTAAGATGGGACGGTGGTTGTTTTTTATGGTGTTTCGAGTTCTAAATTGTGTGCATGGAGAGGCGAGGGTTTGAAGTCATTGGGGACTGGGCGGCGTTTTTCATATCTGTGTTTAGGCGTTCTTGGGTGTGGCTTTCTCTTGTTCATTTCAAAGAGAAAGTACTGGGAAGCTGGCTCTTGTTTGCCGATGAGTGCGTATACAAGTTCTTGTAAGAATGTCATACAATAAATTGTAATTGATCACTTTGAATGACAGTACGGTTAACTTGTGAGTGATGCTTGAGGACTTACAAAGTAACACAGCACGCCATCTTTGCTCAGAGAGCGCTCTGGAAGAACGAGCGACGCTGTGCAGATAAAGATAAACTATTAGGAGGAAGGTGTCGACGAGAAAGTACAACTGGGACGACCGAATCTCGAAATAAAGATAAAATTTGCCATATCCATATCCATATCCAGGGGTATCATAAATCTACGTATATATCCAAGAAAAGTAAGGTCCTTCAAAACCCACAAGCTGGCCCACTGGTTCATGCTCAAGCCCCCACTGAGTAACCAACCAACGCACTCAAGAAACAGAGATTCCCCTATCTACGGAACGAGATCAAACCCACTGATCTCAAGACTGACCTCCACCCCATGCAACTTCCTGAACCGGGTCCTCGCATCGCCGTTCCGGTCCACGCTCAGCTCCTCGGGGTACAGGCGGCACAGGCGGCCCACCTCGGGTTTGGGGAGGCGCATAATGCACACGATCTTGACGTCTGCCTCTGCGGGGCGCGTCTCCTGGAGGGAGAGGCAGAGGTTCTCGAGGCCGAGCTCGCGCTCCCAGCGGAAGAAGGAGTTGTAGAATGTCCCGTGGAATGCGTTGTCCTGGCCGTTTCCTTGGGAGCCGTGGGGCTGGGGGTGGTGCTGGGGATCGTGGTTGTGCTGGTGGTGTTGCTGCGCCATTTGCGCAAGCGGTGAGATGTTCGGAGGGTTGTTCTGTACGCCGTGTGCGTGAGGCTGTCCAGGTGGAGGGTGGTGATGATGGTGATGCTGTTGTTGTAAGTGGTGTAGCTGGTGAGCCTGTCCTTGGGCCGGGAAAGCTGCTGCAAATTGATGGAACGACATGACAGGGGGATGTGCTTGGTGATCCGGATTCGCATCTCCGGCATGGGCTCCTGGGAAGGGACCTTGTTGCATCGGAGGCGCATTTCCTTGCCCCGCAGCGGCAGCGATAGCTTGGTTCAGATTCTGAACCTGTTGCTGCAGCGCCTGCACCTGTTGTCCCAACGCATTCTGGACGGCATGGACCTGTGCTGCCAATGCCGGCGGCAAGCCAATCCCACCCTGCACACCGTGATGGCCGCCTCCCGCCACACTCGCCTGCCCGATAGCGCCGCACTTCAAGAATATCCATAGACTCTTCAATTTCGGAAGATCAGCTTCCAGCGACCGGTCCTTCGACCTCGACCCCAGGTATGTCGTCCAGAGTCTCAAATCCCTCTCACGGAATCGGAAGTACACAGCCGACATGAGCGCAGAGTATTTGGGAGACGAGATGATGCGGAATATGTTGCAGTCGGACGGATGTGTGAAGAGGAATTTGTTCTTCGCGTACAGGATCGGAGCAGCTTCGTCGTACACCTGGCGGGAGGTCGTGAGAAGCCCCAGCGAGATATCATGTTTGACGGGCGCCGGGTTAGGCCACCAGAACGGATACTGGGATATGAGCGCGTAGGAGTAGATTCGATTCCGCAGTTCGCGAGGGAGGGATAGGAGGAGAGAGAATGTAGGGTCCTTCGCTGATGTTCGAGCAGCGGGTGTCGCAGGATTGCTGTGGCTCAATGGCCTCGGACGAACGGGGGTGAGCGGTGTGGTTTCGAGCATGGTGGTGTCTGAAGAGTCTTCGCTGGTTGTCGAGGATTGTGAGTGTGACCGCGACCTTGAATTTGACCGCGGTGTCGATACTTGGGACGCCATTGTGAATTTCAATCAAGGTATGTACGGCTGGAAGGTATGGTCTCGTGGGGAGAGGTAAGCGGGGCAGAATCGAGCAGGAGAACAATACAGGGAAAGAAGGATAAGGTAGGGTATATATTCATAGGTGATAATAATAGGGAGGGAATGGGGTATAAATCCCTTGACAGGAGAAGCAAGCAAATGCCCTCAAAAGAGGCGGGAAAAGGGCGTGAAGTATCAAACGCAAGCGAAGAAGGGATGGAAGACGTAGGTAGATATGTGATATGTGTATGACCGTATGAGTAATTAGAGGGGCATCAGATGGCATTGGCAGGAAACAGTGCGTTTGACTCGTCCTCCAATCAGAGTCGTCCAAATTGGCGGAGCCCAATCAACATCATCCTTGGCACTGACCAACTCCTCCTTCTCTTGCTATTCTTCCTTGAGTCATGACATATATAATAGTTTCAAGACTTCATATGTGTTCTTGAGTTTATGTTCACTGTGAAATACTTCGGCCTTACCATATTATCTCTATCCCCTTTAAGCATATGCACGCCTTGTGATCAATCAATCAATCAATCAATACCCAGCCTCGCCCTTATACATTCCCACAATAGGTTCATTCACATGTTAGAATACTGCGGGCACGCGGGACATGCCTCAAAGAAGAAAAGAACTAGGCACTAACGACTAACGATCGAACGGATCATCCGGATGTCCCAACTCTTCAAGATGGTGAGACAATGTCCAAGAAATGACCAAAGTATCACCACGGCCGCTTTCAGCCTCACGCGCGCTAGGCCCCAACAAGGTCGATCATGGAATCTTGCATGTATCGAATTACTAATATGTAACATATTCTGTGAGGTCTGTGAGGAAGAGGTGTGTTTTGTTCATGTACATAATTTGGCCACCCAAATGGCCAACATCAGCACTATCAGCGTCCTTTTCGAACGGAGCTTACTGCTGATTCCATCTTGCCTCATGGCTCCTTGCGTACTCGGTATCGGGAGTTCATTGTCATGGTCAGCACTTCTAGCTTGCGAGTTCCCTTTCTCATCCCCAGCGTGTCCAGTGATGCTGGCAGTCAAGACCTTTGTGCCTTTTGACACTTTCCACGCACACCAAACTAGTATCGGAGCCAACAGCACAAGCTCTTTCCACCTGCCCATCAAAACCGTCAATTTCTCACCCCCGAGTCCTAGACTAAGCGTTCCGTGCCCATCTGCGGCGAGGAATATATGCTGAGAAAGGAGGTGCAACTCGAGTGACATCCGCCCTACCCAGGCAAACGCTCTACAGTGGCGGGTCCTCAGAAATTGCAACGAGTTCCGCAATATTACAATGGACACCACCGGCATCCATGAGAGGAACGGCATGAACCAATCGTAGTCTTTCTTCTTTGTATGTGACTGGGCTGTTATCCAGAAGAGGGGTCCAATGATAAGGGCGCAGAAGACGAAGAGGCGTCGGAAAGTGTCAAAGCAGTCCACGAGGACTTCGACCGAGAGGCTTCGCTGTGCTGGCGGTGTCTCGAACATGCCCACGATCTGGAAAGCAATCACAGCGGCTAGCATGCCAACGAAAACGATATACGTCTCGGTTCCAACATGGCCTCTCCAGTCGTCTATGACGAAATCCGTTCGGAAGAATACCTTGAGCATAAGCCATACTAGGTGTAGAGGACCCTTCACATATACTACTACAGTAACGGCCAAGGCAGAGACGAATATTTTGGCGACAAGAAACGCCACTGAATCGTTCCGATAATGTACTACACGCATGGTAACATAAACCACAAAGAACCAGAAGCTGACTAGTGGCGCCCAGTAGTATGACAGGTAAGGGCGGCTCATGACGAATGAGAGGCAGACGGCGAGTAGATTCATCCGGACGAGCACGATTGCAACTCGATCAAAAGAAAAGTCCCTCTTTTGCAAGAAGTACATCGTGTGGCCATATCCAAGCAGGAACAGATACATAGCGAAACATACCCGGAATAGCTCGTACAGGTCGAGTACATCACTGGCCCCGAGAAAGCCGTATATAAGGATAAAGATCTGCATGAATCCCCTAATCTCGTCTCCTTGGATCCGTGGTAGAAATTGATGCTCGGTCCGCGGGCCTCCAGAGAACTCTGATAAACGTCGTTCCTGAGAATCCGGCGGAGAAGATGGTTCACGATAAATTGTGAATAGACAGGCAAGAGTGATAGTTCCCAGTAGTATCCGATAATCCAGCGTCGAGTAAACGCCGGGAATTTTGTCGAGCGTATGCGTCCTATCGGCCAACACGCAAAAAAAAAGCACAACGAGGAGATCTCGAATTGCAATCGTGACCCCTTGCAACGACCCCTTTCCAGAGTCAGAGAGAGCAGAATGGCGGGACTTAGATAAAACAATGGACCCCAGGCGGGCAAGGAGAGTGAATGTCGGGATGAAGTAAAGCCATCTTGGAGAGCTGTAGCTACTACAGCACGTCTTATTTACTGGGTATGTCAAATGTTGTGTCGCTTTGCCATTGCACCGGAGGTTAAGCAAGACATCAGTCATCCTGGTCGCAACTGGATCCATGACGTGAAGTCCACTCATGCTGTAGGCTGCCGGCTGATCTTTCATCATCTTCGCGTAGCTCCAGACGACGTTCAATCCTGCTCTCGAGAGAAGACCTAGGTATTCGTTCATGGCACTGATCTTCTCCGGAGTGATGGTGCTCTGGCGGGCTGGGCTTAGCATGTAATACAAAGGCTCGATTACAGGTGCAATGAAGACTTGAGGGCCCACGCCCTCCGTAGATTGAGGCAACGTCCGCAAGTCCGAGAAGTCGTGTGCCAAAGAGATCCGGTCAATCGATTGTGAATACGCCTCGATAGATGTATTTTCCATGTGCCGTGCGTACCACAGTCCACCTCCTATTAACATAGTAACGGGTCTGCGGGGTCCAGTTTCCAGGTATGACCCATTGGATGGAACATTGTCGTTCACGATTGTTTCGTTTACCACCCCGCCCTCCAGCAAAGTCAATTCACGGAACATGGCCGTGGAGTTCAGCCACGGATCCCAGATGAACTTCAAATGGACCCCACCCTTCGAGTACTCCAAGTCCCCATGGTTATCCGGCTTGTTTCTTTCCTCTTCTACCCATCCCTCGTCGTCTTCTATTTTTCTCGCCAGCGCCCAGAAGATCTGTCGAACCGTAGAGTCTCCAACAATGGTTATGTCACCGTCCTGACTGCATTCTGCTATTTCTGGCGCTGAGTATTGGTGGAACATGCAACCCGACGGCTGCCACTTCGTATACGGTTTGTTGTCTGGGCTTTCGAGCCACTGGCCTTGATTGAGGAGGGCATCACACTTATACGGATCACGGGTATCTGGACATGACGGATGAGAATCAATATCAATTGGGTTGGGGAGGAAGTAAGATCGAACCTAAGAAGTAATCTCTATAGCAACTTGCAACAACGATAGTCAAGAGAAGCAGCAGAGCGCCTTTACTGAAAGCATCGGCGAAGCCCACGCGAAACATGCCCGATACTCATGTGCTCGACCCCCGCTCTAAAGACGGACAAGAAGATACCCAACTGGAAATCGGAACGCTGCCAACACGCTTCTCCGAAATGCAGACAAGCCTCAAAAAAGCAAGGGTATAATGTCAAAACAGAGACACAAATGAGTGAACAAAACGTCAAGGCGACCAGTAGTTAGTTAGTCGACGAAGAAACGAAGGAAAAAGCGACAAAAGGCCTGACGCGCGGCAACGATGAAGAAAGACGAAGCTTCATGGCAGGCGGCGTCAGTTGATAGTTAGGCAAGTCCTGACTTGGCTTGGCTGTGCCCTGCCTGCCCTGCCATGCCACGCGGCATGGGTAGATACTAGGCAAGCAATCCGCAATCCGACTCGTAAGTGTCAGAAGTGCTTGTGGGTGAAAAGGTTGAAGGATGGAGGGAGGTAGGGATTACGTAGAGTGGATGCTAGTCCGTCTAACTATTTAAGGAAGCATACCACGCGAGCGAGCGTCTCGGAATGAGGTTCCGACCAATATGTTTCTTGTGATGGTTGGATTTATCCACTGCTTGGGCGCATGGCTGTGGCAAGAGTATGTCTTTGTGTCATGCATTTTGAAACATCCCTATCCACTATGCAGAAGTCCAGGTGCGAGTTCAACTCACCGTTCTTTTTGTGTCACGCTCAGGTTCATAATGTCCTGATAGTTATCGTTCCCCCTGTCGGCCGCTGCCAGCCTTACACCATTAACGGGAGCGCTAGGCCCGCACTGTTTGCCGTTACGCCGGCTCGGCGGATCGCCCAAGTCAATCAACCATTCAGGGCCTGCTCATCAATACGAGTATTATGTACCGGAAAGCCGTTCGGTCAGCATGGGATTCTTGATGGTTGGATACGAGTGTATGTTTATTGGGGTCCGTGTGTCGCGAATACTGACATCAGAAGACCATTATATGTATCTACTCTCTCGAATATCTATGGCACGAACCTAATTAATTACTTCGTCTTGAACATACATTTCCCCATTTCTCTAGCTCAAAGCACATATCTGAAGTAAGGGTTCTCCTTATCCGTCAGATCCATGAATGCAAACTTATCCCTTTCGTCCTCGTCAATTGGCAATCCCTCCCTCTTCTTGTTCTCCCTCCAAAGCACCACGTACAATGCCACTGAAGCCAGGATCGTAATACAGTAACTACAATGAAATCAGCACTACTTTCTCAAGAACGATCGTTCGATCATGGAAACATGAAAGGAGGGGAAAGGGGTAAAACTCACAATATGATCAAACCCGTCCACAGCGCAGGATAATGGTCCTTCTTCGTCTGACTGTAAATCAACTGCGGCCCAACGATGTTACCCACGCAGTACGCGACGAAGATGGCGGCCGCCATTGCAGACTTCTTGGTTGCGCCGGCGACGTTGGACATGCCGATGACGATGGTCTGGCTGACGACGGCGCCGAAGGTGCCGATGATGCTGTACCCTGCGACGGGGGTGGGCGCGTGGTGCGTCCACTTGCTCTTCCAGATCATGGCGCAGCCCGCGATGACGGGGAGGCAGTTGACGATGAGCAGGATAATGCGGATGTTAGGGATCTTAGAGGAGAGGTAGCCGCAGAGGAGGATGTCGAAGAGGCAGAGGCCGCCAAGCGGGAATTGCCAGAGGATGGACTCGAGTGTCGACCAGCCGAATGTGCTCACGATCAGGGGCCCGAAGCCGGATACGGCGCCGTTGACGGTGTACGCTGAGCCCATCATGATGAAGACGAGCCAGAGTTTGATGTCGAGGAAGGCTTCTTTGAGCTGCGAGAGTTTGATCTTCTGGCACCGGACGCCGGTCTGACCTCGGCGGAGTCGTTCGACGGCTACGATGCGCTCGGTAGGAGTGAGGAACCATGCTGATACTGGGGAGTTGGGGATCAGGAAGCACCAAATGCCGAATAAGAAGGTCAGGCAGCCAGCGAGGAGGTAGATGTACTGCCATCGTTTCAGGCTGCCAGACGAGATCTGCGCGAACCCGTAGTTGAGAGCGCCGCCGATGATGGTGAATAGTCCGGTGGATGAGAACCACCATGACTGTCGAAGGGCTTGTTCCCCTTGCGTGTAGTACCCAGAAACGATGCACATGAAGCCGGTGGGGATGATAGACTCCACGAATCCCAAGAAGAACCTCTGGACATACAGACCTTGGTGCGTAGAGACAGCTGCAGTCAACATACAAATCAAAGCCCAAAGCACAACGACGCCGCCCAAGATACGTCCGAGATTGAAACGCTGCAGCGCAAACGTCATGGGATACAACCCCGCCAACATGCCGAAGTAGAACAGCGAAGTCGCCCAACTAAGCCTCGACGTGTTCGTCGTGGGAGGTCTCGTCGAAGTATCGACCACGCTCAGCGAGAGGTCTTTGGTCATTCCGAACAGGACCGCACTTCCCAGGATAGCTTTGTCGTAGTATACGAGTCCATAACCTGGAACAAGAAACGTCAAAAACCACTTCTCCACGATCCACACGACACAAAAGCCCATCATTCAGGGCCAGGGGAAATCAACATACCAACAATCATAGCCGGAATCAGAAACCAATCAATCTTCCTCAGCACTCGTCTCTCGACCTCAGGGTCAATTTCCCTCGCATGCTCTCCGACAAGACCAATCGCCACGTCCTTATCTAACGAGAGCGAACTCTGCGCCGACGCGGGCTCACGGTTTCCATGGTCATCTTGTCGCACGGGTGTTGAGGAGGATGACGCACTGGTGTCCACGGCTTTCTCAGCGGCGCTATTGTCGTGCGTCGTCGACATGTTTGGCAGTCGCTTTGGGATTTTTCTCTCGATTCTCCTCTCTTATGCTCGAAGACAAATGATTCCTCTCTCAAAGTCACGGAATCCCGAAGAGGATAAACCCGTATAAGCACCAGAAGTGTTACACGACAAAATCTGAGAATGAACTAAACGATCAAGGCTGGATATTCCAGGGCAGGGGTCCAATTTATACTCCTTAAGCCATAAAAAATAATAGTTAGATGTATACACTCGTATCACCACGACACGGGATACCGTATCAAGCGAACGAGAACCAAGGCTTTTTAATTACAAGAGAGGGAGAAAAAACCTTCTCACGATTATGCCATTCTATTATAGCAACCTCTCGTTAAAAAGAAAAAAAAAGGATTGGCGCGCGAGGTCGGAGGAGGGGTTAGTAGGAACTTGGTTGGGACGGGTGGGTGAGGGGCGGGAGGATAATAGCTTCTAGAGCTCTTAGCTACAAGGTAGCTAGCCCATTGGACGACGCATCGTTCAGCCCAGCGTGATTTCGCCTACCTAGCACCCGAATTGGACGGACTGCTTTTCCGAATATCTACGGTTTTCGTAGGCTTTTGAAGGCGTCTCGCAGGGTCTTCCGCGGAAGATGATGATGGTGCGAGTTGACTATTGAGCATGTGCGTGGTTTCGAGGCTTGACGTCCACGGCCTATTGGATCGATGCAAGCGAGGATATGACGCTATGCCGTATATGGAGTAGGGTAAATTATATAATCCTGAGCGACATCTCCAACAAAAAACTTTCCTCAAGCAAGCAAAGCTCCATCGTGCATAGTATATTCAGCATCAGTATCATCGGCATCAGCGTCAGCGCCCTCATCGCGCCCTCTCATCGTATCACGCAACCGGACCAATACATTATCCACGAACGTCCACGCCCCAAATATCCGATACGATGACAGCCCGACTGTAGTAGCCTTCGATGAGAACATTGATACACTTCGCACGCATGCCGAACCAACACCCTCACCACCTCCTCATTCGAGCGTGAGATGAAGTAGATTCTTAATACCATGGCTTCTTGAAAAAGAATAAACAATACACCTGCCGGTCTCATGCCTCGCTCAACCCACCGTCCCATCGATAGGTTTCGAGCTGGATGCATTCGTTTTCCCACGTCTTCTAGACCTCGGGAAATCAAATGTACGAGACGAGAATGATATCTTCGACGATCTTTGAGTACGATGCCGTTTAACTTTTCAGCATGGCGGAGTTTTTCGTAATTTATCTGTCGAGACATATTTGTACTTGTGTATATATATACATGTATACATGTGCACTGTGATGTGGTAGATGGATGACCGGGTACATGGTTGATAGATGAGATAGGTGTAAAGGTATATACGCACGACGTTCGCCCGCCCATTTCAAAAAATAAAAGCAATGATCAATCATGTAAATGTGCCGCAGGATAAGATAGGAAATCCAATGTAGACGAGACGAGAGCGAGCAAGCGTATTTCTTTGCAGTACGGACAAATATGGAAAAAAAGTGTCTTCATCAATCGTTTCATCGACAAGTATCAACATCCTCGATGCTAATGAACAAAACCCCAGAAAAAGGCAACACCCGCCTGCCTGCGCGCTTCGATGTCCCCTGCCCTCCCCCTTCCGCTTCAAAGTAGTATGGTATGTATAGTACAGGAGTGGCTTGAATGTACCAAAAATATAACGTCACTGCTGCCTGCTGTTGCTGTTTCCGCTGCTTCTGCCCCTTCCTATTTTATTTGCATAAGCACAAAATGGAGGGAACCACCGTCCCAGCCTGGCCCGGGCCCAATCCGAACGGAATTTCTGCAAGTTTCCAGTGGCCCAAAAACAAAAGGAAAGTGGTGAGATGAGGATATGCTGAGAGAGATGATATGGGGTATAGTGTAGATCCAAGTTATCGAAAATAAAAGAAACCATGACATTGGCATCATGTGGTAGTCGGGGAAAGAGGAGAGAGAGTAAAAGGAAAGAAAGCTACGGTCAGCTTTGTGGACTGAGTGCATATCATCACGATCGCCTTGGCCCTCGTGATGGGGCGGATCGTGAGTTTGTTGTTGCGCTTCGGACGCGGATCTGTGGTGTGTCTGACGAGCCGGCCACGGCTGCGTCATATGTTGGGATAGGTGGGGATGGGTGCTCGGATTGCGATGATTGAGGTGGTTGGTCTAGTAACGGTGCTCGTTCGCTCCAGTAGTCTTCGTCTTCATGACCTTCTCGTTGGCTGATCCGCGGCGAACTTTGGGGGCTGGTATATTCGGGAGGGAGATCGCCTGGTTGAAGGAATCCAAGACCGTGTACGCCTGCTTGATGCTGAGCCGCTGCGGCTGCCGCGGAAGCTTCGGCGCTTGTTCCTTCTCCAACATCTTCATTCGAATCGACGAGACTGAGCTGGGCAAGAGAAATGTCGGTAGGGCTGCGTTGCGGACCAGGGCTGGTGGGTTGATTACGACCTAGGCGCATCTGTTGACTGCTTGACCTTCCGTGACCATATCCAGTAAAGTATGTTCCAGCCATGCCCTCCCGGACGCCCTCACGGCCGCCTTCTAGGAGGATAGAACCTTGTTCACTGCCATACGGAGGCGGGGGAGCGAGACTGCCTGTCATCGGTGCCAAACCCCACTTCTTCACGTTCGCCTCGATGAAAACGAAACCCATCTGACCGAAATTGACGTGAACCTGGCAGGGGCCGTTGGCGCCGACTGTAGGGAAGAAGTTCTGAGACTTCAACCCGTGAGCAACGTCGTCCAGTTTCTTGCCATTCCGAGTGAAGAAGATCGTTCCAGTGCGAGGCCTGTATCCGACTCCGATGACGTCTCCCTGGACGAAGGCAGGACCGTAGGGTGTGGGCGTGAAGGGTTGATTATATCGCCGCGAGCCATGGGAAGTGTAAGCTATCGACCACCTGTGCTGGCCTGTAATTGTTAGAGGAAAGCGAAGCCATAGACAACAGTTCTCGGGACCTACCTGGAAGCCTGAACAGTGGATATGGTTTTGTGCTGACGCCGATGCCAATGCTAGTATTCTCGGGTTTATCATATATCTTCGCTTCCCAGTAATAGACTTCGTTTTGCTTGGGTATCGGGAGGTTGCTCTGAACGCTGCATTCGGAATCGAAGAACTCAATCTCTGTGCGGCCCTCGACGAAACAATTCGCTATTTCCAGCTCCGGCTCGAACTCCCACGCGGAAACGCCCTTCTCTTGAATTGCCAAGAACTGCGATAAGGATATGTCGGTCTGAATGGACTCGGGGGGATTCGCTTGCACAAACGCTGTAGAGGTTTAGTAAAGGGCATGCAACAACACGATGACGGCGGACATGCTAACCTTTTGCTCGAAGATACTCCATGCGCTCCATGTCATCCATCTCTTCCAAGGCCTCGGCCTCCTCCTTTGCGAACTGCTGCTCGTCATCGTACTCGCCGGGCCGTGTTATCCGGTCTAAGAAAATGCGTCCTTGCTGGGTGTAGCGGAAGTAATATACAATGGCGGCGAGGATGAGACAGAATCCGGCGGCTCCGAGGACAGAGAAGATGCCGATCATGATGCCCTTGGCCGTCGAGCTGAGAGGCTGGTAGTGTATCCGCACGGGTTCGTTGAACGATCGCTGGGTGCCTTCGGAAGTCGCGAATACGATATTTGGATGTGAGGAGGGCGCATGTTCGATGGGTAGGTACGACCTAGAGAGGGTTGTGGGCAATGAAGCCACCCGTTGTGGTTGTGGCGAAGACATGGTGAATAGGAAATGTTGTCACTCTCGGGGGGGGAGCGACGGCGTGGCCAGGTGGATGAGGATGAGTAGAAGTCAACAGCGCAGCGTGCCAGCAGGCGCAGCTGTTCCTGTTGTCCAGTGTGTTTCGATTGTGCGCCGGTAATACTGCTGCGGAGAGTGCTGTGCCTGATTGTGTGCCTGTGCTGTTGGAGCGAATCCTGGCAGCGGGGCCAAGATGGCTTGCGTCACGAACAGGCGGATGTCGGGGATGCAGCGAAAGGAGGAGAACGCAGGCGAAGGATGTGAATGATGAGGGCGATGATTACGGTGCCTGCACGCGATGGAAAGAAGTCAACGGGTTGGTGGAAGGAATGGAAAGGGTCGAGGTCGATGGTGGTGGTGATAAGAGGAAGGATGCAGTGGAGGTACGAGTAGGTAGGAGGTGGAGGTTGAGAGATACACGAGTACGTACGGTAGTAGTAGTGAACAGCAGTAGCAGCACCTCGCAGTTAATGCTCGCGCTCGCAAAGTGTCTCAAGGCTGGTCTCAGGCCGACCCACGACCGTATCGGGGGGCGGCTTAAGGGAAAGGAAGGGAAGGGAAGGCTGAGAAAGAAGCCCTGGCCAAGGACCGATGGCCACAGATTATACCCAAGTCGATCGGTAGCCCCAGATGAAGCCCAGCAGTCCCTTGCCACAAGCCAGTAACAGCCCTTCAAAACATCCAGTAGCGCATGTAAATCGCAGTAGTATTACCAAGTACAGTAGTATTACAGTAGTAATAGGGACCAGATTCCCAATGGTGGTGGCGACAGACTGTAGGAAACTCCACCGACGGATACGGAATCGCGGGAGCCGGCCTAGATTCTCAATCAATCAATCCACCACACCTCGCAACTCAAAGATGTCGATGTCGATGTCGATGTCGATGTTGCGGACTTTTGCAGATTGCCGTTATATATATATAACACGCGCACAGTCGCCGGTCGGGCGAGCAAAGTGTGTGTGTCTTTCAACAAGGACGAGACGGACGTCGCGTGTGTTCAGCGCTCTCTCTCTCTCTCTCTCTCTCTCTCTCTCTCTCTCTCTCTCTCTCTTCTGCTTTGGTGAGGTCTCGAGCGTCGCAGGTCGGTCTTCCGCAAACGGCACAGTAGCGGACGGATAATACACCTAATCCCAATAACGACAACGATGATGACGAAAACAACAGGAACAACAGAGTCTGAGACGGTGTCTTTAAAGGCCTCTTCTTACATCTCTCTCGTGTACGTTGTCCTGCGCTGTCTGTGCTATGCATATCCATCCCTTCAGGCTTCAGCCCTGGCATCCCCAAATGAGATCCGTCCCACAATCGCGTCCTGCCTTACGAGCTGAACTGGCATGGCATTGAGAGAACCGCGCGGTACACAGTACTCCGTAGACAGATAGAATAATACATCGACGCTCAATGCTACGTTCGCCCTCTCTGATGTCCTCGTTCCCCTTTCCTTTTCCCCTTGCGCCCAAAGGCACCATCCAATCACCGCGTTTCACAGCCTCTCCGAGCGAGCGCGTATCATAATTCTGAAACGCTGACACTGCTTGCTGGCTTTTCGCAGAGCCGCCCTGCCCTGTATCAGAATTGGAACTATGAATAGATCTGCAGGGCTAATTGCCAGACTAGAGTCCAGAGGTCTGTTTTGTTAGATGCTCATCACTTGTGGAGGCGTGCGTCCATCTATCCTTTAGGACGGGATGGGCTGTTAGGTTCGACTGTGTCACATGATGTTTTCATGGTTGATAGAAGATCTTGAGAGCTATGATCCTCCCGCGAACGTTTTCGTGAGTCAATTGCTCGAGTCCCAGATGCGAGGTGATAGATCGGCTAGCTTTTCGAGTATCATTGTGTGTGAAGTGCCGCATTTTAGTATTATACGAATGTACGAGGTATGTTCGAGGCTTCGAGTAGCGATACGCCACTAGGTATGTCTAGCATGGGCTGGGCGAGCTGCGGATTGCCGACTCGATAGAAAAGCTTAATCTTCTTCGTCATTCAAATCAAGAGCAGGCGTCGGAGATTTCGCACCAAATTGCCCAAGACTCGAATTGAAGCCCTTTTGAAGAACGTGCAAAGTACGAGCAAAGTTTGTTCGGACTCTTCGCGGTTGGAGATGTACCTATGATGCTGCTCCACTGTGCAGTAGGCCTTAGCCTTGGACGGGGGCTGGACGCCCAATCAATCCGCATATGCTGCGATAACGGCATAACCTCCTGCGATGCGGTGATAAACTTAGTCTTGAATGAATTTGCGTTGTCGTTTATTCGTCGAAGTTAGGGTAGTCGTGGGAACATGTCTGATGAGTTGATAGTGGGTACAATTGGATAAAGGACACATTGGGGGACAGATCCATTGTGGAAGATTCCAACTCGACCGAGTCCCCACATGGAATGAAGAGAAGTGCAGTCTCCGCGAATCTGTTCTTACCGTATCTATGAAACGACAGGGAAAGTAAACGGGTCATGTCTGCTACCGTTTCGCAGATAAACAAAGTAAATTTTACGGTCCTTGTCATGTGTTGAACACAGTTGGAGGGTATCATCTGTAGAAAGGGAACCTGCCGGTGGAGGCAGATCCGTCCTACAGAAGAGCAATGACTACTCCGTACTCTGTACATTTGCAGTTTTCTACAGTTGGTCATGCGGTACCTAGAAAGTGGGCATTTGGCATTGAGCATCGGAGAACCCCTGTCTGTGGTCCATGGGGATGTGGGAAGTGGTGAAGAGGGACATGGACCCCGGCCACCAATGTTCTCCATGCTTGACTGAGGAGTCCTAGAGAGTGAATTGGGTGGGAGAAAAAGTGGTTCTATGGTCGCAGTGCAGATTTATTGTATTTGTGCAACGGGCGGGCGGGCATCTCCGCAGCATCTCCCGTTTGGTACGTACGCCGTACCAATGTAGTACTACATACGTAGAGGAGATGAGTCTAGGTATGATGGGAAGATTTCTCCGTCCTCCGTAATGGGTATATGGTTGAGCTTCAAAGAGAGCGAACAAAGTGATGGTATAGATGGCGAATTATGAAATAGTTGTAATGATTAAGCAATTGGAGACACATCCAAAGTTGAAGTTGAAGTTGATGACGATAGAAGAATGAATGGAGAATGGTAGGATGAAAGGGGGCTAGTTCCGGATTGGGCATAGTGGCAGATGGAGATCAGGTAAGGACCGTAAGGCAGTTGTCATCACAGTAACAGACAGAGAGTAACAGTAGACAATCAATATACCTTCAACCACAACCTCTTAGAACTGAATAAATAGAGAAGAAAGAGAAAAGACATCAACAGCAACATCTATCTTTCTTTCTTCCATCCATCTACTCCGTACTTACCCAGGTGAATGCATTTTCCTTTGCGATACCCTCAACCTCCTCCCCTGCCAAGTACCTCCCTCACTCGAGCCTTGTCCATGATTTCACCAGCATCATCACTATTATTCTACTACTGGTGCTACTACGAGTACAAAGTAAAGTAATAAGCAATTACTCCCGTACTGCAATCTCTGCAAGATTGTCGTCGCACAGCATCTCCGGTCTCCCGCAACGTCTGATTGTACACCGCACTGCCGCTGCAATTGTTCTGCTAATCAAGGCTGTGTACCCCTCGCACCTGCAACTACCCGCTTCCTCCTTCATAGAGCAAACCCGCTTCCACTCTTCCTCTCCCTACGAGTTACCCTACTCTGACTTCTGCTACCAGTCCCAGGACTCCGTATCTTGATAAATATTGACATCTCCTCCTGATAGTAACCCTTTTCCTTCTCTGCCTTTCTCGCCAGAATGGTTGTCGACTTGTAGGACAAAGTCAAAGCTACGCCAGGTGGTAAGTGACTTCTTTTTCTTGATCCCCCACCGCCAATAGGTCACCACACTACATTTACTTACCATTACCACACACTGAATGCTAACAATGAACCTACCAGAAATCACAGCGCAAGCCGACTCCACGACCTTCTCTTCCTATTCTTTTTCTCTCTTCTGATCCGCCTCTTACCTTTCCTCTTCCTCCATCGCAGATAGAGTGTTCCAACCTTACACTCGCTCCGCTAATCTTTGCTTTGCCGCCGCCGCCTTTTTCGACGGTCCCGCCGTCACTTTTTTCCCCCCCCCCGCATCACTACCTATCCTATCCACCCTTTCAACACATCACCACCATTCCCACCGCAACAACACTTACCGCCCACCATGTCGTGGCAACCAGAAGAGCAGCCTTTGAGGCAGCTTGCTCAATGCCTCAAGGACTCTCTCAGTGGTCATGATATCAACGCACAGAAAAATGCCGAGCTCGCAAGTTCCCCCAAATCCTTCCCCATCTCACAAGTTTTAAAAGTCTCTTGCGACTAACCGTTGCCCATGATACAGTTGCTCAAGCAGGCCAGGCAATCGCCTGACATTGACAAATACCTCGCTTTCGTCTTCTCGAGTAGTTCGCCCCCGCCCGCCGTCAATATGGACGCCACTAGCTACTTTTCAGCCAGAGCTGCCGCTGCCGTCATGCTAAAGAACAACGTCCGAACGTCATACAAGGCCATCCCAGACTCGTCCAAGGACTATATGCGATCGATCATCTTGCACACTCTCCGAGACGACAACTCGCAAATGCGAGGCTATGCCGGAAACGTTATAACCGAAATGGTTCGCCAGGGAGGCATCATGGGTTGGCCCCAGGTCCTCTCTGAGTTGATCAATTTGGTGAGCAATGCAGAAGGCAATGTCCCCAAGCAAGCTCAGGAGGGTGGCATGAGTGCGTTGTTGAAGATCTGCGAGGATAACAAAAAGGCACTCGATAAGGACTACCAGGGACAGCGACCTTTGAACTTCATGTTCCCGAAGCTGCTTGAATCCACTACGAGTGAACTGCCAAAGGTACGATCGGACGCGCTTGCCAGCATGAATGTCTTCATCCCCGAGAAACCCCAAGCCGTGGTTGAGAATCTGGATGCCGTCATGCAGCAGCTCTTCCGACTGGCCAGTGACCCCAGCGATGAAGTGCGCAAGCACGTTTGTCGCTCCTTTGTCCACATTGCAGATATCGCCCCGCAGAAGATCATCCCACACATGGAAGGTCTGGTGGATTATATGGTCACCCAACAGCGAAACGTGGAAAACGCCGACCTTGCATTGGACGCGGCGGAATTCTGGCTGTGCGTCGGCGAGGACGAAAAGCTGCGTAACTGCCTGGGACCCCATCTTCCAAAGATTGTGCCGGTTCTCCTCGAAAGCATGGTGTATGGCGAAGACGACATTCTGCGACTCGAGGGTGAAAAGGAGGATGCCGAACTCGAGGACAAAGAGGAGGATATAAAGCCCGCATTTGCGACGAGCAAAGCAGGGAGGGGGACAAACGCCAATGGTGAGCCCACTTCGGGCGCAAATGGAAATGGCGGTGCGTCCGCTATGCCAGACGATGACGACGATCTCAGTGAAGGAGAGATTGACGACTTTGATGACGACGATTCTCTGGCCGACCCCGAAGAGATGTGGAATCTGCGCAAATGTTCCGCTGCTGCGCTTGATGTGCTTGCTTCCGTCTTCCACGAACCCGTTTTTGCCGCCACTCTACCATATCTTACCACCAACCTCATGCACCCCGACTGGCCGAACAGAGAAGCTGCTGTCCTTGCCCTCGGTGCCATCGCTGATGGCTGCATGGACGATGTGACGCCCCATCTCCCATCGTTGACTCCTTTTCTGCTTTCATTATTAGACGATTCCGAACCCGTCGTTCGGCAGATTACGTGTTGGGCACTCGGTCGATATTCTGGCTGGGCTGCTGGATTGAATGACGCCGGCAAGAAAGAGTTTTTCGAGCCCATGATGGCCGGTCTCTTGAAGAAGATGTTGGACAAGAACAAGCGCGTTCAGGAAGCTGCGGCATCCGGCTTTGCCAATCTCGAAGAGAAATCGATGGGCAAATTGAAGGACTACTGCCAGGTGATTGTGCAGCACTTCGTTGAATGCTTTGCTCGATACAAAGACCGTAACATGTTCATACTCTACGACTGCGTCCAGACGTTGGCCGAACATGTTGGCCCCGCCTTGGCCCAACCAAATCTCGTCAATATCCTCATGCCAGCTCTCATTCAACGGTGGAACAAGGTCTCCGACCAGTCGAAGGAGATGTTTCCCCTCCTCGAATGTTTGTCCTACGTTGCAACAGCACTTGGAGAGCTATTTGCGCCATATGCACCTGGCATCTTCTCAAAATGTATCAACATTATACACCGCAACCTGGAGGAAACAATGATGGCAGAAACCAACCCCGGATTGGACATACCCGATAAGGACTTCCTCGTGACAAGTTTGGACCTTCTCAGTGCTATTATCCAAGCACTCGACAGGCCATCAGGTACTCAGCTCGTTGCATCGACGCAGAACTTCTTCCAACTACTTGCTCTCTGCATGCGAGACACCAACAACGACGTAAGGCAATCAGCATATGCCCTCCTCGGAGACTGTGCCATCTATGTCTTCATCCAGCTCCAGCCACACCTCCCCAACATACTCGAGATTCTGATCTCCCAACTGGACCTCGCACAGGTCGCCCGGGATGCTGAGGAGACTGGCTACTCCGTAATCAACAATGCCTGCTGGTCTGTTGGAGAAATCTCCATGAGGCATCGCGAGGGCATGCAACCTTATGTCGATCAATTGCTCCAGAAGATTGGAACAATCCTCTTCGACGGAAAGGTCCCTGAGTCGTTGAACGAAAATGCAGCCATTGCTCTTGGTAGACTCGGCATTGGTTGCGCATCGAATCTTGCACCCCATCTTGCCCAGATTGCCCCTCCATTCCTCCGCTCGATCAAGCACGTAATGTGGACCGACGAAAAGGGACATGCACTCACTGGCTTCATGAGGATCATGCTCGCTAACCCTGGCGCTATGGAGCAAAGCTTGCTTGAGTTCTTCAGCGAAATGGCGAAGGCAGACAGGAGTCTTGTCAACGGACCAACAGAAGAGCAGGCATGGTTCCGAGACGATTTCCAGAAGGTAAGTTCGAACGACCCAAATCATCTTCCATACGCCAGAATCCTATTCACCACAACTCCACTTTACATTTGTCGATTTTAACGTAATTTTGAACAGGTCCTGCAGCAGTACAAGAGTATGATTCCGGATTTCAACAGCTTTCTAGGCAATCTACCTGCCGATGAGCAGAGGAATTTCCGTGACCTCTACGGCTTGTGATCGTCTTACCCATACCTTGCCTCTCTTTGCAATGCTATTTCATCTTCCAGGTTTCATAAGTCACTCAGAAGCATGCGAGAAGGGCACAACTTTTGGATTTGGGCGTTGCGCTGTGCACGGAAAAGATGAACGGGTGGGCGCTAAGGGATAGAGTCGACCATATGACGAAGCAGAAATAAGCTCTGGTAAGAGGAGGAGTCACTTGCAGGGTGAGCAAAGCGGAGACGGGTATTGATATCGCGGGGAAGGGAAGGAAAGGAAAGAAAGGAGAAAAAAAACCGCCCGTTGGCAAAAGGAAGTCACTTCAGAATCTGGCATCCCTGATTTACGACCTATTCGGGCAAAAGAAAGAATCAAACAAACACAGAAAGAGATGAAAACATTCCCATTACGCTCGTTCCTTCCTTTCCCCATGGACCATGTTCTTATAAATGGCGAAGGGGGGGTCACATCGGTTTGTTCCAGCGACAGGATGACCGAGAGCGAGAATTCAAAAAGCAAAGGGTATATATAGCATTCCAGGATCCGAAGGGGGAGGATTTTCATATTTGGGCCTTCACGATGAATGAACGCAAAAGTGCGCCTGGGGGTACACACATATACCTCCCTGCAATATTTAATGGTATCAGCACACATAAAAGAGATGGAACAAACGTTGGATCACACATTGGCGGGTGGCATATTAGATAGATTTTCCTTTTTCTTTCCCTCCCAATTTTCTTCACTTCATCAAGCGTACGCTCTCGGAAGGCGACTTTCTCCACTCGTCATCTCAACATCTTCGGCGATTGTTTTCTCGGCAACTATTTCATTTTTTTCTTTCCTCTTCATCTCCCAAAGCGTTACGTCGAAGTACGTTTTCTTTCCCTCCTGGATCGACTCAGAACAGGACAAGACGACATCACACTCTCGACTTCATTTCCACCGGCGTCTTCACCTCCTCCTCATCCTTCTCTCTCACCCCATCGCCCGGAAAGGCAATTCAGAACACATCACAAGCTTTCCTCCCGCTCGCGGGCAGAGAGAGAAAACTACTCACATATCCATAGTTTTTTATATAGTCAAAACCCCCCCTTCACCCCTTCAACTCACGTAGGTAGCTTCACATCTCCTCCCGATACTGGGACACAAACCACCACCACCACCACCACCATCAACGTAGATAGCCATAGGTAGCCGTAGGTAGCCATAGGTAGCCATAGGTAGAATAAATAAAATAAATTTTTTAAATGTCCGAGTGCCTTTTGTGTGAAAGGGGGGTTTGGTGGTCTTGGGAACGTGACTGTTGTTGGCTTGTTGATCGTGTGGAGTGATCCTCTACTGTTCAGATTGGGGGGAAAAGGGAGCGCGTGGAGCGATGGCCGGGAGCGAAAGGAAGTCTATGGCTATTTTGTGGAGTAGGTTGTTGATCCATCAAATGCTACTGTAGGTTATTGATTGAGGTAGTCAATAGAGGTGGTCAATCAATCACTGTTGCAGATAGTCAATCGAGTAAATGTAAATTGTATCGATTCCGGTCAATCTTCGGAACATCAATCGACTACGGTTGATATTTTAGGTAGAAGTTCCATCAACATTAAGATATATTGCAGGTGGAAAAATCAATCAGTTTCTAATCATGATTGAAGGTAGAAACTGGTTCTAATCACTCACTACTGTAGGTTGAAATTCCACATATTAATACTGATCATGTACTTTTACAGGTAGAAATCCGATAGGTTCCAATAACTATTGGAGGTAGAATCAAACCAGGCTAATCGATATTGTAAGTATAATCAAATCACGCTTACAAGGTAGGTACGTACCTCCCCATCTAGTGGAAATTTAGCTAAGTAGGTAGGAAGCTGACTGAAAGCAAGCTCCTCTCAAGGCTGTTTATGACTTACAGACTATTTCATCGTATATATTGTGGTGTAGCAGAATAGATGAAGCTATTCGGGGATCACGTATAGTGTGAAAGGCACTGGGCAGAGCATAGATAGATCAATCAGGGCTGCCGAGAGAGATCGAGGCATCATACATCTACCTCCAGGTGTCTATCAACAGAGGCAAATATCTACTTATCCTACCCATCATCCACCGATCGCGGGCTGCGCCTGTGACGCTCCCTACTACAGAGGCGTCTTGGACATACGCCACGATATACGTACATGTGTAGATATAGAGTAGTTATACGTCAACACCGTCGATCAATCACAACTCCCTCTTTACTTATCAACCGCCTGCATAGAGAGAGGGAGAGGGAGAGAGAGGAGTCCGTATATCAGAACTTCATTCGTTCTCCCGACTCCCTCAACTCACAACCTAATCCATCGACCCACATCTTCCAGTTCTCGTTCGTGGGTATGTGTCCTCTGATGTCGGGAACGCCGTGGAATGCTCTTCTTGCTTCCTCCCCTGCTTTCTCCTTATCTTTTGGATGCGGTTGGTAATAGGCTATTTACATATCGTGCTGTGTCGTGCTTGCTCGCTTGGAGTCTTCACTTGTGCTTCGGCCTGCCCGTGAGTGTGCGCGTAGGAGTCGGCACGCAAGATGCACATGCCATTCTACAGAAGACAGGCACGTGGGACTGGCCATCTATTAGCATCATGTATCTTCACACCTCAAGCTAGCTCCACTACAGCGTATTAGAGGCTGTGAATGCACGTATTCTGCCTTGTATAGGCTATGAAACACTAGCAGGCGGCCTGCCGGGCGCGCCTACCCTCTGGGCCTCTGTACCTATGTTACATTTGCGTCCCGCGTCTTTCACCTCCGCTATGACGCTGTGGCGTTCGCATTTCTGCCTGCCTGTCTGCCTGTCTGCCTGCCTGCTTGCTTGCTGGGTCGGCGACTATATATGTACATATGCATTGGGAACTATTGGACTGGGAGTGGGACTGTACTGGGACTGCATTGGGACTGGACTACGACTACGTTTGGAAGAGACGGGAAAAAGCTTCGTCTCAGTGTTGGTTCAGTCATATGTTCGATTCAACTCGTTCGACTCAGTTCGTTCGATCTTGCTTTCTTATCTGGTAGTGTCTCTCGATCTTCCCCTTTGAGAGAAGGGGTGTGAGGCAGAGGCACAGGGTAGCCACATGCTAGCATCATGTATGTACACTTTAAGCCCAATCGACTTCTTTACAAAGAAATGTGTAATCAAGAAGCTACATAATGCACGTGTCGTTCCTTGCATCCACAGGAAGAAAAGCAGTAGAATCCTGGCACTCGGCCAGTCCGGCGGGTCTAGAGTGCCCTCTCTGCCGGGAAAGGGGGGGCAGGGGCGTGCGGGATGGGTGGAGGGTTTCCAATTTCGATTATGGGAAGGGAACAAATGTGATGTTATGTCTGCATGGGAAGCTGGGTTGTGGGGATGATGCTCGAGGGGGTGTTGTTGAAAGGGGCGGATGCTATTTGCATCCGCGACGATCGCGATGGTTGGAGGAGCGGATCCTGTTAGCATCCGAGATGGCGGAGTGCGCTGCTTGGTAAGTCCCTGTATTTGGTGTTTGATAATATGTGTTTGGTGTACATTATCTCTGTCGCCGTTAGGGGCTGATGATGCCACTCACCAACAAACTCGTTGTTGCACCAGGTTTCACGATGGCATGGAGAGGATGTAGATGATGATGTAGTTAGATCAGAGCTGTATTATCTGCATGTACGCTTTTGCATGTGCCTCGTAAGTCTCGTAAAGCGCGAGCCAAGCCGTCGTGTTGTTGTCGTTCCGATTAGCACCGTGGTTTCCGACAGGCCGTCCGTATTCTCCAGGAAGACTAATCGAACTCCTGGAAAATGTCGAGTGCCCTGCTGTGGGGGATGGTTCAAAATTGCGGAGGTGGGCCAGATCCTCGCAAGGCCTCTGCAGGCAGTCGATCACTCAATGTCGTCGCCTCCGAGACCCTTCTTCCTGCGATCCTCAACTCTCCTCCGAGTCTTTGCCTTCGAATCCTCAACCCACTTCTCATAAACACCGTCTCCCTGGCTGAGCTTGTCCTTGACCACACCTTTGAGAAGTTCGCCCACAAAGCCAACGAAGTTATGCCGTCGGAGTGCGTTCTCCCAAAGCCAATCTGAGCGTTTCGAATCTTCGGCCTCCAATGCTTCCTCGTCTCCCATTTCCCGAGCACGGATGCGGAGGTCGCGAACGCATGCGAGTAGATTGAACCGGATTTCTGTGGCGGGGTAGCGTGCGATGCGACGCTGAAGGACGGGAATGACTTTGTCTGGGAATTCGGACGTGGTGCAAGCGCCGTGTGATATGGGTGCTGGTTGGAGGCCATCGAGTTCATAGAGGGTATTGTTTATCGAGGTGTAGCTGTGAAACATTAGTATCAGTCCAGTAGAATATTCCGCGACGGAGCTCTTACGCTATGAAGTGGTAGACGTCGTCGTCCTCGGTGGCGGTTCGTTGCGTCTCGTCGACGAAAGGCGATGATCTAGCAAAAGAGTTGTGCGTTTCCCGAATGAGATCCGAATTCGATAATGTCTCACCCCTCAACTGTAGAAAGCTCAGCTCAACATCATAGAGTGTTTTGCATGCCCACGGCAGGTGCTGACAAACTCACCTCAGGAGGGAACTCCCCAGCGAATTCTTTGAACTCTCGAAGCTCTTTTCCGATATCTACCTCCCCATCCTTGTTGAGAAGTACACTCAACAGTGCTTGTGTTCCACACGCATTTTGTATTGTCTGTGCAGCAAAGAAGATATTACTCGATGCATCGTGATCGTAGGTCCCGTCGTTTGGCTTGTCCGACCGCTTTTCGCCCGTTGGGTATTTAAAGAGGAAGATAACTCCATATATCTTTCCAGCCTGGCGCAGTTCTACAGGCTCAAGGGTCATGAGCTCCTCGAACTGGACATCCTTGACGCCGAGCTTCTCTATAAGATAGGTGAAGACACCCTGTGGGGAACGTTAGGATGAAAGTCACTGCTGGCTTAGCCCTGGACCACAGGATCCAAGCCTTTCGGGGCGGTAGTGTTCACTTACTGCATCGCTTTCGATGGTATTCCAGCCCCCGGACATGTTTGTTTTGTCTGTTTGTTGATGATCGCCAGCTGCTTCAACTGTGATGTCGACAGCTCCACGCAGGCGCCAATCCGCCGGAGAAGGTCGGCCCGGCCATTTGATATCTTGGCATTCGGAAAGAGTTCCGATGCTGTCGGAATAGAAAGTTTTATAGCATCTTACACCAACCAGAGACAGTCTTGCAAGTTGTTTGTCCCATTACTTTCATCTTCATCTTGCTATATACCTTGTCTACTTGGTGACGTCTAGTAGACTCATATCTCGCCCATCTAGCATTCACCGAGCCATCTCCTCAAAATCTAAGGAATCGTTTTGAGGTACTTGAGTACATTGACATTAATTAGATCATAACTGCCCTGTAATATACTCAATAATCGTCACAAACTTGGATTGGCCTCTAGGTCATTTTTCAATCAGTTTACCGAAGGGCTTTTGCTGTTCGAAGCCCTCGCTACTATATCACGATGTTAATCGAGGGTTGAGATTAAGTCAATCTAGGACCAGCGGATTCAATGAGGGACAGTACCAAAAACATAGATGATATTACCGGTCCAGATGTCACCGCATCACTCTTAGGCATAAGACATGCGGTAAGTCATGTCAATTATCAACGTGGATCACGCACACTGTCAAGTTTAGTACATCTCAAAGTCGAAAAAGGTGGTTTCAAGATTACAGTTTCAACAATGAGCAAAGGTGATGTAGTAAAGTCTGCAGAGTTTTTCGATAGTAATAATGGAGTAAGTGCTTGCGTTGATGTCATGTTCTAGCTTGACGTATTTCATAGCAATTAGACGAAGCATTATGGAGTGCTTAGAGCATGAATGCAAGCTACCTTACAAGTTCTCTACGGTCTCTATAACTGTACATAATGGCATGAATAGAAGACTTGCTATCCTCAAAATTCGTTGACTGTGATACGTAGTCTGCACAGCATGGTTGGACAAGCCACTTGGAGCTTGAGAACCAACCCATATGACAGATGGATCTGTCGCTTTTAGCAAACCGGGATTTTAGTCCCAATATAAAAGGCGGTAATTAACTATAGAGGTGTCCCTGTCTCAACTGTGGAGGCCAAAGGTTTCCTGCATAGCATGGTGCAGACGGCATCATTTGCTCTACATCATCAGTTATCTTAGATCAGGTTATAGTATTCATACCAAAGGTTGTTTTGCAGCCAAGTTTCAAACTTGTCCTTATCTCTAGCTCTCATAATACATCCACATATTTCTAGGATGAACTATTGAGTGGGACCTTGAATTTCTGTCACTACATCTGTGCAATATTGTGTTTCTAGGGATATGCCGCACGGCTCTTCAAGCTCGAAGTCAGGAAGTGGTTTGTCGTGCCGCAATGCCGACGATGACAATATTGAGATCATGCCGAGATCTATTTCCATCGCCCATAGCTCCCTGCTTCATACAATCGGCAATTCCAAATATTTTGGCGAAGATCCGTGCACTTGAACAACATCTCTAATTTCACGTGCTGTTGACTTCCGACCACTGACTCTTACCATTAGTTAGTCTCCTCTTCATCGACTACGTCTCAAGCTTGCCTTTTTTAAGCACTGGAATCAAGCATTCAGATATTGTATTGGCATCATCTATTACATGCTTCTAATTCTTACCCCATCGAATGCATCGATTAGCATCCCAGCCCCCCAGCATGACAAACCTTCCGGCCTCGTACAGAACAGATGCTCGACCCATAATCGACCCATTTACAGACCCGAAACACATGTTTCCCCATTTCCGCCGCTGAGGAACCTTTCCGCTGGTCATCGTCTCCTTGACCCTGCTAATGTGATGTGTTCCCGTCCCTAGCGCTTACGCATTCTCTACGAAAGCAGGGTCAGATGTTAGAACGCTTACGAGTCAAGATGCTGTAAAGTCTCTCTACAGGGACTACACCAAATCTATGCACAGGACCCATCTGCAACTGTTCGCCCACCTAGAACGCAACTATTGACGACAATCGGGAAATTGATGAAACTTAAAATGGTAGACGAGGGTCATTGCTTTCCTTGCTTGCATGGTTCAGAGCGACACGGGAACTTGATGCAAGCGAACACCACTAACAGACCTGTGCCGTGCTGATCGGAAGATGAGCGTTTGCCGTATGCATAAAGGTAGTGGGTCAACATTCAACGGCAGTGTTGGTGCATTTCAACTGTAACCAAATAGGAATGTCAAAAAGTCTATGGATTTTCCTGTTGGTCAGTTACTTGGAGTCATTTCGGCATATCAGAATGACCTAGAATTCCAGATGGACGACGGTCCGATGACTCTGTACCGCACAGCTCAATGGATCAAGATTCGTAGCAGCTGCTTCTGGAGGATGTCGGTACAGGACCCGGTACCATGTACCCGCGTCTAATCCTTACTACGCAGGATGACGGTGCGGGAACCCAAGATCAACGGTGAAGAACCGCTTGATGGCCGACTTGAAGTTGCACGACTCAGAGGCAGGTTGCACATGCGTTTGTTGTTTGGTCAGGCCATTGACAGACCATGGAGAGATAAAACCGATCAGATCTGGATCTTGATCTTATGAGGAGAATATTGTACTGTCTCTAATCCCTGCAACCGACTGTCGTCATGGTTGAAGTCGCCAAAGCCGCAGTCAACCTCACCTCAACCAGTTTGGTCGTTAATTTCGATAACATCATCCGCAGCATCACACGGCATCATAAACCAACTTGGTAAATACTGTCCCATGCGCAGGCTTCATAAGACACTGTACATACAGATGTGCACCAACATGCACTCGAAGGGTGTTGGTGTTGTTCTCGCCTCACTTACCTCAATGCTATGCGTTCCCAGCTGCTTCCCCAACTCCACCAACACGTGCCCAAGCAATAATGAAAACAATAATTGCTGCATGAAATGCACGCACGGAATTTTTCTCGATATGCGAGGACAAACACCATTGTCAACGCAGGTTTCTGCCATGGCGCCAACTAAGTCTAGCAATCCCTGCGATGTCTGCCTTGGTTGTCGGAAAGCGCCCCACGTGACGTAGAGAGGTACCTGGTAGGTATTGATTTTGGTTTGCACAATTAGGAATGGTTCCAAGTGCTCTTCATTCGACAAGAACTAACACAGTAACAAAACCCGGACGCTGGTTAGCCATGGATGGCAATGCATCCCCTGGGCTCAACATTATCCGCTACTTCCTTTCGGTAGCACCCGGATGCGAAGCACTTCCATGATTCTAGAGTGCGTATCCGCTTTGGGTTTCTACGGAGGTATTTGCGGTTAGTAGCACACAATGTCGAAGTCCCAAAAAGTGAAAGTGGAGCGAGTGTGGAAAAGCATCCAGGTCCCCTTCCCAAAGGCTAAATAATCAATACATCGCAAGGAATCATGCACCCGCATAGGCAAGAGAAATACAGGGCAAACGGCGACTAAAAGAAGCCCAAACTAGATGTAAATACATGCTTCTTCCATCAGCGCTGGCGAGCATCTCCAACAGAAGCTGGGTTGGATTATCTGCAATGAATCATGGGAACCAATCTCCATCGATTGCGGTTGTTAAACCGCAATGGGACGACTGATGGAGTGTGTGGCGTCCGAGGGTTGGGCCGGCACACCGAAGATCAACCCTCCGCTCCGACCTACTCCCTTCTCGCTCCTGATTTTATTCCGAAGCTGCTCTTGCTATTCGTACTGCTTCAACTCCACCGTCGTCATTGTCGCTACAAGTACAACTAGACGTCTTTGACTGGCTCCACTCGAACCTCAGTCACGGAACCATCAGGGCCACGAAGTGGGTCGGAACATAGAACTCCGAAGCTGCCCTTAGCGGTCATGAATGCAGTTAATCAAACGGTGCGTATCGAGCTTGGGAGTTTTGGGGAGAGAGCATTAGAAGCTGCAGTGGAGTGGGTGGCGCGACCGGGGGCCGGCCCTCCTGGCTACGCAGTACAATATTTCGAGACATTTACGGTGTAATCGTGTGGCTGGACTAGCTGGGCGGAACGAGGAGCAAGCTCACGGTCGGTAATTGTTACGAGAGGGCGGACGGTGGTCTCGGTCGTGGTTCTAATACGACAAAGGGTTGATACTTTCCCAGCACCCATATCATATTCAACATGTATCTGGATTCTGGAAGGACATGGGGAAACATATATCCCTGATTGATATCGAGCCATGTCAATTACTCATGCTTGAATGCTCAGGCTAGACGCCTAGGTACAGCTTGACATGGAATGAATGCAAGGGCCCACGTGGTCATTGGAATGCTGTGCTTCTTATCTACAACATACATTATTGAAAGTCATGTGTATGCATGTGGTGCATACGTAGATCTGCAGAAGCTTTCCAAGAGACTGAAGAAGGAAATCCGGCCTCTCCCAACATTAGACTTATGAAGAAATAGGGATGATGAAACACTTCATTTTAAGTAGAGGATTACGATCGTAGTGTGAAACATTCCATCACGACTGGGTATATTCAGTCATACGTCAATTACATTTTTGAACGACAAACCTCTTGTAGCCCCAACTGACATTTCCCATTTCCCCTCCTTGTACCATATGCCTGGGAATAGAGTCACTTTCAGGGTCCTTGGACTAAGGTTCCTAGCCCTTGACACACGAGGAAAGTACCGACGCCATAATAATCCTCCCCTTCCCCTAAACTTGCCAAACATCTTTCAACCTTTCGTGTCTGCTGGCCGGGGACGCACGTCCGCGAGATATGGTTGGTCTACAAAAGGGTGCACCCCGCTGGCCTGGCCTTTACGGAATTGCGGTGCGGATTCTCGCTGAAAAGCCCATCATCCATGTCCCTTGTCCATGCCCAAGTGTCTGGGCCCGTACAGTCCAGCATTATCCTAAGATGTCGGTGAATCACTAACCCACATAATCAAAATCATGAACATGTATCATCCCAGCTCCATAGCGTTTCACAACAGGGAAGCTGCTGGGAGGCAGTTGAATGGCAGATGCATGCCGGGCATGCATGCATGTTGCTTGCTGCCAAACCCTCACAAGGGACATTTGACCTCGACTCGGAGTCGGACTCTGGGACGCCACGCGGGAAATCCAGAGACATGGAATATTCCATTCCTTCTTCTTGAGGCTCGAACGATATATCAATTCTTCCACCTGTAGACTAATGTCGGTGGATTGACTGTCCGATGGAGGCTCCATCTCTCATGCCTAAGAAGGGGGTCTGCGCTATTCGAAGCAAGCTAATTGTTCGTCCAGACTAACAGACCGCAACTTTAGACTTTCCTGCCGTTTCCCGCGTTGTACAGCCAAAATTTTATGTGTGGAAGAGTCCGTGTGTCAATCAACCTTGACCTTGACCTCGACCTTGACCATGACGACTGCCTATGGATGAACTCGCCTAACGTGATTCTAAAATTGAGGGGGAAACTGGTTCGATACGACGATTGGGAGCCTTCAGGTCGATTCGGATGAGGAAGCGAATAATTAAAGTTTCAGTCAACAGAATCTGGCATGGAAACAAGTTATCCACGCTCTACACCGACGGCCAATACCGCATGAGAATGAACCGCAGCTACCGTACGAATACGGAGTGGGTATGTACCACCAAGGACGACGGCCATCACCAACAACAGCAACCCGCTACAATGGTGATGATCGCGGCATGGCTCTCCGGGAGCCTATGAAACGTTGAAAGGATAGACAACTGTGACAAAAGCCTCTTCCACTTAATCATGATTCACCACTTTCCCACCACTGTTGTGGCATTTCGCCATCGCACACACCTTTAGGATCCCGCACCGTTTGAAGATCCTCGTAATTAAGGAGAAAAACGAGGCACGGGATCTGCGCTTTCCGAATGTAGAAATCGTAAGCAACCTCACATGTCTGTCTCTCTCTATCTCTGCAAAATCTGCCTTGCGTTTTTGTTTCTTGATGAACGGAAAGTGCGGAATTGAACCCCCCCACAATCCATGCCCAACATACCATCTTTGGATCGTCTGAAACTTTACTCCTCGTCGAGAGGAATTAAGAGCAGCGGTTGGTATCCACATGGCCGGTGCCGCTCAATCGTCTACGCTGCATCCGTCACTTTGTGGTTATTACCGCTACTAGTAAATGCTGCCATTGCTTCTGCTGTTGGTTGCCAACTACCTCTCGATTCGATAATCTCATATCATAATTAGAAAGTAGGTTGACGGCGGAGAGTTGCGGATGGCAAGAATAGATAGGATATGATCGGCTATGATAGGGACAGTAAAATGTATCGTCGTCATCGCATAGAATAGTTAGTTCCGAAAGAGCGGAGTGGGAAAGAAGCACGACAAACAATCTTGAATCAACTGACTACGAAGACTATTGCTTCACGGTCACAAGTGCATATCCAACAGACAAGAGAGATGCCTACCAATAATGTGTCGCGAGGAGATAGAAACCCACCAGTTGGGGAAGAGTAGGGTATGGTGCGGTGCTCCTCCCGCCGTAAATTGCCAGCAGGGAAACGCTAACGACGGATTATCCCATGGCCCCCAGACCTACAATTTCTTCCGCAATAGGACAAAACAAGCGAGAGCGAACATGTCAATCCTCATGCATCTATCGGTCTAAAGCTTCGTTTGGAGTGTCGGACTGTCAGTCAGTCAGGGTTATGGAATAATATGGAAGGATTCCTTGAGCGTATCGGAGACGGAGTTCAAGAACGAACGAATGAACAGGAGTAGCTGGAGCGATAGCGACCACAGCAACAGCAAGAACAACAACAACACATGCATATGCAGGTTTTGCTCGTGCATACACACACCATGCTTGCAATAATGCATGCATACCTAGATAACTCCGTAGTGCGAGGTGCGAGGTGCGTACAACAACAAGCACCTAGGTAGGGAACATGACATGCGACTATGTAAAGTAGTTTGGTGTGTTGTGTGCCCAGCATTCTATTCATCGCCAAACGGCACAAGACTCTTAGAGTAGTGGGTTTACTTGGATGGGATGTTCAATGTCCGACGGTGTACGTGGGTGAGCGTCAACTCAGTCTCGAGCGAGAGAGGGAGAGCGCTGCAGCCGCACGCATGATGATCGGCCGCTAGAATAGAAAGAAACTTAGGATGGAATGGAAGGCAGCAAGCGGAGCGTCCTTGCTTGCTTGCTTTGCCCTGCTGGCCAGGCATTTTTGTCCTTGTCGGACCATCAAACCTCATGGTGGGAGATGATGATGAGACGGGGGCCGGGGAGCAATCGAGGGTCTCCATGGAATTGCGGCCCTCATGGCCCTACCTGTTGGAAGGGGCGGTTGGGATTTTGGTGGTGAGGGGAGGTGTTTGAGGTATCAGCATGGGCAATCAGGCATGGGTAAGGGGAGGTTAGGGTAGGTGTCTGTGCAAGGAAGTGGATACCTATGGTATGCATGGCATGGTTGGTCTTGATGATGGCGGCCGTCGTCTCCTTCGACGACGTCGTTCGATGTCGACCGTGGCGGCAGCAATTGGCTGTCGGGGTCGATGTTGGCCTAGCGTGGGTAGGGCACTTGTGCATGGCATAGATAATTCCCGCCCCTTGCAGAGATGGGCACTGGAGAATAAACGATCAAGATAGTCAGCGACGGTGACATGGTCGGACCAGTAGCCGCACTATCAGCAGCAGCAACAGTAGTAGTACCAGTAACAGTAGCAACAGAACATGCCACCATCAATTTATTGACAATGTGGTGTTACTGTCGTAGTAGTGTTTATCATGCATCTGGACCTATTCCCAGCGCTGCTATTTTCGAGCATCTGTTCTTCAAAATCAGGAGTTGCAGTTTTGTTGTTTAAAGAATTGTTTAAGTCTAGTCTCCGACTTTTAGTAGAGACACAAAAGGGTAAGGCCATCAGATGTACTCCGTAGAGCCATCATGAGCATGTACAGGTAGGGCAGGGGAGTGGTGTCGAAAGAATTAAGTATTACCCGATCAGGAAGTCAGTCGGGCTAAGCCAAACGCTCCAACCAATCGCGAACCGGCTTGGGCGACGTCCCCAAAAAACCCAACCACCAACGAACCGAACGTTTGGCGGGAGCATCCCTCGCCCCGTGCACGTAATGCAAAGGACACCAGGCAAGTGTTTGTCGCGCGGCGATTATTGGCCATCGGGCAAGTTCCGAGAGACAGACAGACGGGGGCAAGATTTTTGTTGTTAGTTTAGAAGAGGTATTTTGGGTTGGAGGAGAGAATAGTTACTCCGTAGATGGAGGGAGACAGTAGTTTCTCCGTTGATGAGCGGCGCGATGGTCGCAATGAGGACATGGCATCGTCACCGTCATCGTCGTTGTCTTCGGTAATGCAGAAGTGTGGATTCACCTGTTTCTTCCCTTCCCTTCCTTTGCTGGTGCTTCTGCTAGCCAACGAACGAGCGATCGAACCGAGCCCATCGCAGTCGCCATCGTCCCATCGGGCCATCGTCCATGCCCGTACGCCACCGACCGCATCGCCGCCGCCGCCAGGTGCGGTGCAATATTGTAGTGCACTGTAGTGTATCCATTCCATCCACGATGGCGACGACGAAGCAACCGACTGACGGCGATGGACGGATGGCAACTGACAGCGAGTCCGGAAGAAGCGCCGCCGTTAATTAGAGTGGTGTAGCTCACACCGCGATTTGGATCAAAGAGGAAAGTGACGTTGTTACTCCCTATTTTCTTTCCTCTTTGCTCTAGTTATTTCCCTCAATTAGAATCTTTCAAAGCAATTACAGATCGTGGTGGTCCCATCGCGCGCTCCGCTTTTTGCCTCTGTGGAGAAGAAACATTTCACACCACCCCACAGTTTTGGCCTAAGTTACTTGTTAACTATCTCAAATAATATATCCATGTGGGCAACACAGTTACTACCACTAGGCGCCGGACATAATAAGAATATATCATCATTACCATTTTGCTTTGCGAGCATGTCGTGATAGACGACAAATCTAGTCGGGCTTTGCTCCACCACAGTCTACGCAGTAGTAGGTATAGGTAGTTGCACACAGTAGTTACTCGTAATACAAAGTACACCGACCCAGCATGAAAAAAAAAGGATGACTACAACGACCTGGAAGAGCCGAGGAATCCGTTCTGACTCGTCCGGTACTTTGGCGATGCCACGAGTGGTCAGTTCGCTTATTGTTTTGCCGGTGGTAGTGCTGTGATTGGACGGTCGAGATAGCTTCCTTTAGCGCCGTTCCCTAACTTGCAGTATAGCATGTACCCAGAAGCCAGAACCCATCCCATCCCATGCGGACAGGGGGTGGAAGCGCAGATCGGATTGGGTCGCGTGCGGGATCAAGAGAAGAACCAGGGCCCAAGTGCATGGATATCCAATCAGGTTAGGTAGGGGTTGCGCTTCTAGTCTCTTTCACTTACCCACCTACGAGTAGTATCCACACTGCTATCTAATCTACTCTCGGCTAGCTTCGTCTGTACCGAATGGCCAAAGTATCTAGGTATGGGTCCCTTGGGAAATCTCCAATACCTCTCCAAGTGTTGACGACGAGGGCACGTGGGGTAGTTGGAGTTGGGCAAGGACGGTTGATTGATATCTTGAATCCCTGATGTTCCCAAGCGAACAACCACAACATCAACAACAATAACGGCAACACCAACGTCTATCAAACCATCCACCCTAGCAATAGAACACAATCCAGACAATAGTACTAGATGTCCGATGTGCTCTAGAGTTGAAGAAACTTTTTACCTTTCCAACATTGTCCGATAGCTAGGAAGGACCACATGGTCACTTTCGCGATCTGGTTCGAGTATCCAACAATGTCGGGGCTCTCTCGTGTCGATGCGCAGGAGATGGTTCATGCTCCACTTGCATGCACACCTACATACATCGAGATCGTTTCATGTTCGAGGGCACTCTCCCTGGATAGCAATGCTTGTTTATATCGCCTCTCATCAGGAAAAGATCAACAATGTCATTCAACCACCCAGTATAGACACAGAAGTCCTCTATTCTCCAAAACCTCTGATGATATTATTCATGATAGACACACACACCAATTCCGGATCTCAGAAGTCCGTAGACTCCATAAAACAAGAAACGCGATAGGTTGAACGAACAAAGATGTGAGGCAAAAACGGCCGAGAGGTAGGCAATTACGTACAGCCCAGTATGCAATTGCGCATGCATGCCCATCCGGCTCCAGATGGGCCCCTCTCCCTCCCTCCACTCCACTCCCCCTCTAGCACCGTCCTGTCCTCTGCCGGGCGAGGCAGGTTTGCGAAAATCCGTACAAGATAATCCGTACTGTGTTTCCCTCTCTGCCAATAGGCGTCGTTACAACGTTTGCGGTACCTCGGATATGCAGCTTTCGAGCAATCAGCTGCAGAGAATTGGGTACAGGGTCGTCGTCGTAGTTGTCTATCAGTTCCACACTCCACTATGTCCTCCGAGTATGTACTGTCTATTTCCTTGTGCCGGCCGGTTCTGCGTCCTTAACCAATCCTAGGGAAGCAGTTGATGCAGACATACATGTTGTTCACGTTAGCCGGTCCCGTGCACCGTGCTCTTCCGATACTTTGTGGGTGAGTGAGTAAGGAAGCTAGGAAGCAGATATGCGATGGAGAGTATGGACGTTGAATGTATCGCTATGCGACCGACTTCCTATTTGTCCATGATGTGTATGTGTAGCTTTCCCGCTTTATGGTTCTAGTTCTTTTTTCAAGGGTTTACAAAATTCGAATAGTTTGTATAATGTCTTAGATTCCTTCCCTTCTGGGCCAGTCAGCTAAACCCAGCCGTCCTAACGCGCGCGCGCACGCTGGCGCCCACTCAGCTAGCCTTCCAGCTCCGCTCCGGTCCAGTGCAACTAGCCACCTGGACCTTTTGCTTCTAACCTAGGAATATCTGCATCAGATCCTTCGTCGACCTCTGCTCCCGGCGATCGACCGACCCTGTGGAGAAACGTTAAGTGAAATGGGTATGCAACGCTACGCCTCCCTCTGTTCCCACACCCCTCCCCTCCCCTTCCTATGTACCCCCCGGCACCCTCCCAGCCCCAGATAGTGAGACGATGAATAACACTAATGACGATAACATGATCACCACCGAAATGCGCCCATGACAATGCAAGCCCACCGCAACATCGCGCCGCCCGCCCTCTTTTTTCTCATCAGCCTCGTCACCTCTAGGTCAATGGGTACGACTCGGTGCCGGGCAACTGGGCTCTCCCGCCCCCTGGAGACGCTTGAATGCCGAAATGAAATCTGGAACTGAAGATCTCATTTTCGTTCTCCAGGAGGAAACTGGAAACTGGGTATTCAAGAGAGATTGGCACTGACTAAACCGAGACGGTGCCGCAACGCGCGCCCTCGCTCGGTACGAGTACTACCGCCTCGTCTCGTCTCTCTTCTGGGCCACTTCCAGGCGGCGCAATTCCGCGTGGCCAATTAGGAACAAATAAACGAAATATGTAAATTGCAGGAGGAAAATAAAACTGTACAACGGGTGGGTGTTCATTGACGATTTCAATGATGTAGTCGTAAAATTCGTAAAGTGACGATCATCGATCGCTTTGGTGATACGGGTCGCTGTAACATGACGTTGGTAGACGTCTATTACAAGCCTGACGACTGTGTCTTCGATAGAGTGGGGTGTATTTTCGGGGCCTTCGTATCCCAGAGCCAGTAGACGTATCCTCCTCTTCTATTATGGTATGTGCGGTGCGTGATGTATATACTCGGAAGGTTGAGAGGTCGAAAGGTGGTTGTGTGCCGCCGTGTTGGTGCTTCCTACATTCGAAGGGTGGGGAGGCTGAGACCTTAACTTGAATTCATTCCTGGAAGCTCGTTCAGCCTGTTGTTCGTTTACGTCCAGATGGGTGTAGGAGTGGCCACGAACCCGCTGGGGTGGTATCCCATTGGCATACCAAAATTGAATACATGATCGTCGTGAACCGAATACGGCGGGGGCACAGTTGCAGGAGACCCCAGCGGCGATGCGTAGCTAGTCGACCCGAACGCTTCTACTACCGTGCGCGGAACCTCAAGGTATGGCGACGTCTGTCCAGATGGAATGCCATGCGGCAACGAGGTTAACGGCGACGGCGCAAATGCTGGACTCAAACTCTGCGACTGCCCGTAGCTGTACGCTGCGATCTGGTTTTCAAGATCTAGATTCAACGTTTCAAGGCCGTATGGTGACTGCTGCACTGGCGAGCTATCGTTTGTCTGCTGACGAACCCAATCCCGTCTGGTCTTATATGAAGATGCGATATTGCTGGGGAACTGGATGAGGTACGACACCCCCTGTGTCCGCTGGTCGTACCGTGGATCTTGATAGCCTTGTACGATGTGGATGATGTCTTCTAAAGGACGGAGCGATAAGTTGGCGCAAAATACGGAACCGATATCTTTAAACATGGGTTCGAGGGCAAGGGCCGCCGAGTAGAAGTGAGCAAGAACAACCAACACGGTGGGATCACCACGCTTTGCGGCCAGCAAGGAGATGGGGACCCAGAATAACCATTTGCGCAACGCATACAACTGACCAAACTGTTCCTCGGCCGTCTGTGGCGGGCTTGATGTCCTCAGACGATCAATGTAACTCCGTAGCTGGTCGACCCACTTGCTCTCTTGGTCTTGTCGATTCAAGTATGGCTGGAGTCGCTGGAGGGCGCTTTGGAGATCTGAGAGAGTTTCCATGTGCTCACGGCGGGCATCTTGCGTTACTGGTGAGCTGATCGGGATCATGAAATTTCTGCTAGGCATAGGACTATGTTCTGCGATGAACTCGGCAAACAGTGACTCGTGTCGCCATGGTTGCATTGCCTGGATGACCTAGGAAAGTTAGCGAACAGCTAGACAGCGGTGACTCTATCGAACGTACTGTTTTGGTGCCTTGGACAAGTGACGCCCATCCACGCCTAGATAGTAATGTTAGCATTGCATGTCAATCTCAACGGCGACGTCTAGACTGACCAGTCTGTTGCTTGCCAGGCGAGCAAAAGAGAAGATGCAAGCACGGCGTCTGAGTTGATTCTTGTGAAAGTAGCTATGCCATCGTGCAGGCCCTTGAGGGCAATTCCTGCATGGTGGAACGCTAGATTACGCGTTTCGCTGGACTGAGAGATCCATGCCAAATGTGATGCAGAAAAGGCGAGTATCGAGTGCATCACGAAGGGATGAGACGCAGCGACGCTCAGGAATCTATGATGTTGGTCAGAGAAGCTCGGGCAACCGAACACGAAGGAGAGGCCTCCACAACGCAGGATACTTACTTTGGCATCAAGTCGGTCCAGACAGTGAGGCTCGAGGTCCTGTTTCTGAACATCTCGTTGGTAATGGACGAAAGGTGGTGTATCAGGCGGAGGTCAGTCTTAGGATATGCGCGCCAGTGAGGTTCCGGATACACTCTAAGCTCGGGGAATGGGAATTCTCCCGTTTGCTGCCAGAGCTCGACGGTTGCATTGATTTCCGCCGTCCAGAGAAGATTAGGTTGCTGAGGGGATTTGGGCGATTCTGGGACCAGTGCATTGGGACTGTCCATGTAATCGCAGCGAACCTGATGCTTTGTACAGTTTCGACTGCATGAGTGTCAGTGTACATGACGGGTTGCGCTCAGACGTTTTCCTTAGCATACCATTGTGGGAACGTCTCGTCGCAGCGAATGTGTCTCTTCTTGCAAGTCTTGCAACCCTTCCGGCTTTTGGTGTGGCTACGCCTTGAGGGGCCACCGCCAGGTCCTGCCATTTGGATTGATTGGAAAAGATGCCTCAACGGCAAAGGTAGCGAGCGTGGGTAACGAAACAGTTATCACTGAATCGTAAAATGAACAGAGGATTGGAATGGCAGTGCAGGAGGCCTTGAACTGCCAGACCAGGTGAAGGGAAGGAATGCTTCAAGTAGGCGAGGGGCTGAGAATATGCGGGCTGCAGATCCTCGAGCTGGGTAGAGGAAGCCTGAGGATTCTTGAGCTTTGTGAAAGGAAGTAGCCGAAGATGACTAAAGAGGGAGAGGAGCTGGTTCTTGGGAGGGGGAGAAATGCTGAGGAGGGCGGAATGGTGATATATGGCGCGCGGAAGCCTCTCGGAGTACGGTAGACGGGGAGTGATTAGATTGAAAGTAGGGCTGAATAGGTACTGACGCAGAAAGACAATGAACGCTCCTCTAGTAGTCCGTCAATCCAAGCTGGCAAAAAAGAGAGCGTGACAGGTGGATGCGGAAAGCAGTAGGGACCGACAACAGCCAACCCCTGCAGGATGGCCTATGCAGGATCCGGACAAGGCTTGAATGTCGAGGACGTGCTCGCAAGGGACAAGGGCGGGATGGAAGCAATTCACAGAGTGACTTGTGCTTCCTGGTGGAAGGGAAAGGAAGGAAAAGTGTCAGGGTAGGCCTGTCGAGGGTAGCGTAGTTGTTAGTACTGTAGGGATGGTGTAGGGTGGAATTGGGGACAGGGGATTCACAAATAGTAGCAGTAGTAGCAGCAGTAGGTACCAGGTAGTCAGGTAGGAGAAAGAGTTTCCGTAGCAGCAAGTGCACTGTGTGTACGGTCGCCACGAGAGGTGTATGGTCTGTGTGAGATGGACTGGTGCGCCTTTGTGGCAGCCGGTACAGACGGCCAGGCGGGAGAGGCTAGCAGGGAAAGGGATTTGAATCGGTTGCGGGAGCTATCACGATAGAGTGGTTGATTCACAGAGGCAGCCGTGCTGGCTCATGCTCGTATGACATAGCCCCGGTGTAACTCCCGTTGGAACCAAGTTGTGGTGTAGGTATTGTATCCAGGGCCATGGACCCCCCTCCGCTCTGAAGCGGAGTGAGAATTGGAATGGTAGGCTCCAGCCTGCTGTTTCCCGCTGGACCCCAGCCGTGGGTGAATGTCTCATCGGCTATCCAGCTAGGCAATTTCGAGCAGCGGCGGCCCGCGCACCAAAGAGATGCATCAGATGTCCCTGTCTGACTGTCTTTTTTGTACGTAGTACAACTGGAGAGAAGAAATGCAGGAGAGTTGTGGGCCTAAGCCATCCCTGCAGGCGCAGACGCAGTGCGCATTTGCACACCACGTTCGCTCTCGCTCCAGACGGTGACTATACTGTGTACACAGCAGAATAGATAGATACCTGGTTTACCTGGCACCGTTCGAAGCAGAGAAACCGAAGCGAGGGACCACACCTCTCTCTTCACGGCGTGACTAACGTTCCAACTGTCTCTCCTCTGAATGCGCACGGAGCGGTACGGCGCGGCAATCTTGCGGCCTTCTGCGGCTTCTTAGTTGTTCTAGAGGGGGTGGCCGGGATTCGACTCGCCTCCCCTGCAAATATTGACCGACCTTGTCAACGCGGAGAATGACAGACACAACTGCATGTAGGTATGGTCGTCAAGACGTTTTTGGGCGGCGGCTTGCAGGACAAGAATCGACGCCACAACTCGCTGCTTTCCAAAGAGAGGAGCGGGGCCAGGTAGCAATCGAATGCGCCAATAACGAATTCCATTACTGCTGAGCAGGAATCAGGATAGGACAGGACAGGACAAGGCGACACTGGCGTGCCAGCGTTTGGAGTTCAACGTTGGTGGAGGTGCACATGGCCACCTACCATGGCCACCGCCCACCTCCATCTCCACCTCCGCGACGCCCCATCCATCATGATGAATGATGCTTCAGGTAATTGGCGCCACCAGTGACAAAAATCCCCAGAGGCGACAGAGGCGCAACATTCAACGGTAGGCTCCGTGAGGGCGAAGGTCAGCACCTAGCAGCAGGACCGGGCGGCCGTCTAACCTGCCTGCCCGAGTTACCAACGTACCATTGGGCCGTGCGCACGATCATAGTGAATGGAGTGAGTGAAGAGCTTGGTGAGTTACGACTGTTACGAGCACGTCGTGGCCCACAATCTTAGGTCGCAACAATGAGATTTGGAAGGAGGCAAGAATCAAGACTGAAAATTAGTTCCGTGGACGGGCCACATTAGAAGAAGTGCGATAATGGTACGTATGTCATAGCAGCGGTGGAGTACTGTGTAGTAAGGGAAGGTTAAGCATTCATTATTGTTTTCTGGCCAAAGACGGAACCGGCAGGGTAGATTAGCGGTGGTGGGTACGATGCTTTCAAAGGTAGCATAGTTACTAGTTGCTTGCATTGTAATGGACATACCTATAGGCTATAGTAGGCACATACAACGTAGTAGTAGCCTGTAGGTATCTAGGTAGTTAGCTAGCAGGTAGAAGGATGAAGAGGCGGCGGCGGCGGCGATGGTATCGGCAACGATGGTAACGGCGCTGGCGATGGAAATGGCAATAGTAATGATTGCACGGAGTAGTAGACTGTAGGTAGTGTTAAACATAGTTTTGGGTATTTGGAAATAAGTGTGGCGGGCTCCAAGCAGAGCACTCCGCTGAAGCCCCATGGTGGTGTGGGTTAGGATCAGTCGGGCGGGTCAGTAAGCAACGACGGACGTGGAGTGATGGCAAGAGATGATGGAATGAAACCTTTTTCCCCGGTGACGAGAAGAATTCTATTTTTCTGGATGCATTGATGCATTGATACCAGCCCAATTTGGGAGCAGCGCGTCCGGCGGCTCATGAGGCCGTTAAGATCTGGCCAGGATTTAGAGGATGATGGAAGAAGAAAAGGCAATCAAGGCGACAATGGAAATTGGAAGTTGTTGACCTCGGACAGATGAGGGTTGTGGCCTTGGCATGCAATGGGAATATCCGGAAAGAGCAACCACCGAATCTACCATTGCAAAGTTGATGTGATCATTCCGGCCGAGAGAATTAGAGATGAGAAGAGGAAGAAAAAATGTATTAGGTTTACATGTTAGTAAATGGACATTGTTAGGGCGTTGTGATATCGTCGAGGGGCAGACAAGAGAGAAGAAAGAGAGGAAGAGGATGGAAAAGGAAGTTGGTTGGGCATCTTGCACAACGAGCCAATCACGTCTTTTGGATATTTAAAACATTCTTGACCATTCACTGTTTTGCTATATACATACCCACACTATGACTATCTGCTATGACTACATGTACTTTGGCTGAGTATGGAGGTGGGATCATATCTATTACGACTATGTATCTGCGTACGTACGCATGTACGTATGTACACACCGTATAGAACAGTAAGGTACATGTCATATTAGTATGTATAATTGATTCAATAGATATGATATAAGAATGGAATGGTCAATCAACAAGAGAATATCGAAGAACGGCCAAGACAATGGTCAATTGCATATGAAAAGGACAATGCCAAAGTCGATGGACCACAATAAAACAAGACCAAGTAGACAATAAATCATACTTAGGTTGGCCACCTATTGGTAGTAGTAACATGTGTATGTACATGCATTAGTGTATACATGCTCCATCAGCACATCGTAATTGAGTTGTTCCGGTTATCATGATGTTTGATATAGATCGTACACATACTCCGTAGACATATACGAATTCTCTCTCTCTCTCCATGTCCACATATGTAAAGTCTTACAATTATAGGCATTCGAATAATTACCACCAACCTGCAGCGGCATGTTCTAGTTCTAGAATCAGCACGATATGTAAGTAATCAGGCAAGCAATTCATCCACTTACATCTCTGGAATTAACCTGTCTTGTTTCCATCACCAATCAGAAACCCCCACCATCATCATTTCAATAGTAAAAGGATACACTCACATATATATATGCACTCACATATATACCTACATATTGTAAGGAGTACTGGATGTACATACTGTATGTATGTTCTCCGTACATGGACACACTATATTACTCATCTATTCCCTGTCTGCGTGTACGTATTCTGTATTCTCTCCATTCTTGTATGCACCTCGACTCCAAAAATAAACCGTCATCCATCTCATCAACCCGGCATGCCGCCTGCAATCTGCAATCTGCAATCTGCAAGCCTGCAGGCAGTCTGCGGGCCCTGTCACTCGTTCCGTTCCCTCTTCATCGTTCTCTTCGTATTCGACTCCAATCCAAACACAACATCACAGCATGTGAGAAACCCATGGTCAAAGATAGAGTCTGTTGATGGAGAAGCACAGAGATGGACTACATCTTTGTTCCGACTATGAGGACCCTCCAAGGACCAACTACGGCCGTGGCTGACGATCCCTCCCCCTTCTCTTGGCGATCACTGGACTGCATCGTCCCGCAACTCTTGCCGCCACCAGACTAGCTTTAGGTATACATCAATATCTACTCCGTACATACCTACGAGGTACAATATTCGACATCCACACGGTACATCTACTCCGTACGTGTGTTTACATACATACCTCCTGCATGCATGGCAGCTAACCCGGCTGTAGTAGCTGGGCATGCTGTACCACGGTGAATGAGGCTCCATTCTGCGTGGTGGCCTCTTGTGCCTCTCTATATTCCCCACCGTTAGCCAATCGCTTCCTGCCTACGCCCGTGAGCTGACCCAATCCTATGAGGGGACTGCGACGCCAGGCCAGCCAGGCCAGCCAGGCCATCCAAAAGGAGCCAGATGTAACATTCAACTGGCTAAATATCCGCACAGCAAATGACATCTCTCCCGCATCCTCGCAGGTCGCTTGACCTGGAAGGATCAAACTCTCTCTGCAACCTCTGTTTCGCGGAAGCAATCATCATTTTAAATCAAATGCATCCATCCTCTGCCTTTCTGTATCCGCTGCGCCTGCCGCTCCACCACCGCTTTCGCCTTTGCCTTCGCCTGATGGAACGTAGACGTAATAATTATCATGTACGCATTGCAGCGCAGGCGAATGAAGTCTTGGAAAGAGAAGGATTGCGACTTCTCCCCTGCTTATTGAATTGATTACTCCGTATGATTATTCTTGTTATTTTTGCGGCTGGCCGGTGAATCAGGAATGGGATGGCATCATTATTCGATTGGAAGGGAAGGAGCAGATTACGCGAACCTTCCTTCCTCCTTGTAATTGTATTACCTCCACCTTTCACCTTTACTTTCACGTCACCCCTCCTTCTCCCACACCCCTCTTCTCCCTTCCCTCACAATCATCATCATCATGATCATCATCACCACCCCCACCGCTTCAACACATCTTCCTTATCACTCACTTTAGCTTTAGCAAACATCGTCAAAGCCGCTCTATCTCTTCGTGTACAATGCTCACAAAGCGTGCACGCAAACCCATGCGAGGTTGTGCTACCACCAAACGGCAACGGGCTGCCGGCTTTCCCAAGGGTGAACATTATCGTCATACCTTGAATGCTCACCAGTTACGGCCATCAGCAGTGCAATGACGTCCGAGCCCTAGACATTTCACGAGCGTCAATACATCGGAGTATCCGTCAAATAAGCGATACGACATTTCCTCGAAACCAATAGCAAGCGGTTCTTTGACTCCGTCCATGCCGACAATATTGGCTCGCTGGCATGATAGCGATCAGGTGAAGGAGTAATGTAGGGGACTCTGACATCGAAGGTGCAACTACACGCGAACAGGCATCATTTATTTGCTGTTCTGTCGCTACAATTTCAAGCCGTGGGGACAGGTGCTGAAGTTGCCCAAGGTCAACGCCAAATCGCTATTAATAGACTTAGGCTTCTTTAAGCTTGGGGGCCTCTGCGCCTTCGAACTGGGGTCTTCCATGCGGCCCTGCCTCCTCTGGGGCATCCTTGTCCACCACTATCCAAACCTCTGCAACTGTCTCATCGATCTTGCGTCCAGTGATGACGGACTTTGCGCGTTGACAGCCTGTTCGCCAAGCCGGTCGCAGTGAATGATAGCGAACATTGTCTGCCAGCTCGCAATGAAAAACCCGTTCACCGCCTGCACAACATGCAAGCCATAGGTCGCCCGCACTAGAAGCTCCAGGCGATCCACAAGAGCATGTCCCATAGTACGGAGTATACAATGACCTAAAATAAGCACAACCACGCTCCCGGCGCAATGGAGCCGTGACTGCACGATACCGAATCTGACCGTTCACTTCTTAGCCTGTCATAGTAGACTGCTATCATCGTCCGTGGAAGGAAAAGCCAGCCTGGAACTTCATTATTTGCCAAATTACTCGAACCACCTGCGACTGCCTGAACACCCCCAGTCCCTGCTTAAAGCGCAAGCGCTGTATCCTCAAGTACACCAGCTCACCGTAGAAAGCAAAACTGGCAGACGACACCGACAACTGGATTTAGCTAGCCAGGTCGGCTCGCAGACTGAGGTGTGTCTCCCCGCGACGACACAGATCGCTTTGGCAGACGTGTAAGAATAAGAGCTGTCCTGCGATTTTGCTCCAACCTGATCCAAAACACCAATACTTCCGCTTGCCCAAACCAAACACGGTTAAGCATCCCTGCTCAACTCGCCTTCGACCCTTTTCTATTGCACTATTCCTCTCTGGACCAAGTTGCTTCAGATTGTCGAGTTTAGTAACTGTTAACAATCGAGCCAAAAATTACTTGGTTATTACCGATCTCTGCGGTAGTTTGCCTCCGAGCCTCTCAATTCAAATCATGCCTTAGCAATACATCAGTCAGTTGCGAATCCCCACCGAAGGTCGAGGCTACCATGATACCGTCGCACAAGATTCCCATGGAACTAGCAAGCTATGACATCGTCTTGCCCTCATGCCTGCCGTTCATCATTTCTCCCACTCTGACGCACGTTTGGCCTCCATTGCCCCCTTGACAACTTGGACGCCACCACGCATCACATGCAGCATACACGCCACAACATAGTAACCCCAGACATCGATTCCATTTCAGTTGCCTACATCGACGGGTCCGGTCCCCTGTATTGCTACCTCGCCGATTTGATGACCCCGACCAAGAAAATCCGAGAGGCATTGTTCGGAGTGCCTAGGCGTAATATCATTGCGCTCGCTCGTTGCGCTCGGCCGGCCCAACGGTCTCCATGCGTTTCTGTGCTCATTGTGTCCGGACGCCTCCTACCCCAGTTTCTTGTGGCGCACAGAAGATTGAAATGTTCGAATTCCAAATCCACTGTTGCAACTGCCAGTGACAGGGTTAAACGAAAAGAAGGTCTTGTGTCTGCAAGGTTTCCTTGTCAAGAAATCATATTCGTCGCGGCGGATGCGGACAACAACAATGGAATGCACTTGAGCTGTAAATAGAGCTGCGGTGCATTTGCATCCGGATGATTGCAACACTGTTCTGGATGTAGGCACTGCGGACATTGCATTTGGCGATTCGCACGCGGGTGGCATTCTTGATACGGCAGAGCTGACAGGCAGGTCATTGAAACTCGAACGTTTGCAGGCAAGCCATCGGGGTCGAAGCGAGCTGCATATTCTCATCGATGTTGTACATTAGATTTCCGTATGTCCACATCGCACACGAAGCTGAAGATGCCTACATCCGTTGCCCGATTAACGGGCACTGGTCCAGACATAACGTGTATGTCAAGCTAACACACGCAATTGACGACGCGGTATCCAGCGTGTTTTCGCCTGAATTACATGGGATCGAGAACAGTAGGGAACTGGGCAAATTGGGCATAACGAAGTATCTATCCTTGTTATACACCGGACAGCACCTCCGGTCCAGATTCTCAGGAATGGTCAAATATAGTGCTGGCCAGCCCATACATACAACCAAGAATTCAAACAATACATTGCACCTCAAATGCAAGAGAACTATGCATTACCGTAGAGTACCCCCTTTTGATAAAGCATCGCACAATTCAGTCTGAAGCACTCTCCAAGCAGATCTGCAATAACAATACTCCAGCGTGTGCTTCAACATCGACTCGCTTCCCCCCGCCTGCACCCTTGTATCTCTCGGACTTCATTCGCTTGCTGAGGGGAGGATCTACAGAAAATACCCCGTGGTTGGAGTCTACCTCTGGGGCAGATGGTGATCTTCCAATTCTCAACACAATTTCCGATCCTTCCGTTGCTTGGTATTGTGATGATTGGCGAGGGTTGATCCAACTATTTCCCAATAGAAATTTCTAGCATATAGGCTATGTTATCCAGCACACAGCGGTCTTTCTACTAGTATCTCGGGCAGACGATGATCGGAATTCTAGCCATATTCCAGTAAAATCCGAGTAGATTCGGAATCATAGAATTAGTTGAGTTGAATTAATCCGTGGTCTAAACGGCATTACCTTTCTTATGTCTAGACACAAAGATAGCCGCAAGAAATTCGCACTCTTCTTTGACCCTTTTTTCGTATTACTCAAACATGAACGGATGTCGAATTATGAACATTCTCATATTTAGAGTAGATGCTTGCTTCCGGCTTCCAAGACACCTACGAGAGAGAGAGGAGGAATCGTTCTGGCGATGGTCAAACAACCTGAGAGATACACTTTCCCCTACATTCTCTCTGAGTGTTGCAGCTAGTTCACATGGAACTGTACTGTATACAGGAAAAATCACCTATAGATATCAACTGTCTTCTCGTTTTGCTATTCACTTGCCCACTCGTTCATCCATTCAAACCCCTCCGTTCATTCCTAATAGAATAGCATACAATAGGACAGACCACAGCGAAGCATCGACGAGAAGACGACACAGTACGAGTAGTTCCATCCTCCGGCCGTGAGCCCATTTGTCTCGGTATAGACATACATCCGTATATACACATGTGTGTGGTATAGTTTGACGTACCGTTCTTACACGTTGTTTTCCCAATGGATGGCTTGGGAGGGAGCTGTTGTAAATTTACAACTAATAATGTCTACGTGTGTGTTCGTGTACCATTATTCGCTTCTGTCATCTTATGACCCATGATTTATGATGACTGTTCTCAACGTTTGAAGTTTTTAGATATCGCTGAGGGGTTTGGGGGAGTTGTTTTCATTGTTTGAATGGGATAGAAAAGGCTGGAAAAGGTTTTAGGGAGAGGGATCGCATTTGTTTGTTTGACACCATAGATGGAGGAGTGGGGAAGGGAATCCGCTGTCTATATACGGTTTAATACGATGGAAGTACAATGAAGCACACCGATACTTCAACTCTGGCATTCAGCAAAGAAGTATAACACATCACAGTCCGGCAAACAGGAGACGGAAAAGAGCATGGTCAATTGATTCATTTTTATTTCATTCTACGGATTGTAATATCGTTGGTCACTGCGTAAAGCTCCCGCCTCCTGAATTCATCGTGTCGGGAGAAACGGAACTTTCGTTTAATACCCCAATTCCGCTGTCTCCTGTTTCGTCCACTAAAATCGATTCCTCTTTCCTCGATTTATCTCATCAAGATGGAGAAGGGAGAAGGAAAACCAATCTTGTGAAAACTCCTATGCTATGATGTGTGTATATGTTGCTGTGATTTCATGTGTACTTCGTTCTGCGATAATATGGAAAACGCTTAAAGTTGAATTGGGGGAAGGAGAAGGGAAGTGGGGAGGCAATAGAACGCTATGCTGAAGGTTGATTGTTATGTTATCACTTCTGTGGGTTTCGTGATGGGGTGAGTGGTGCTTTGGAAGGTTTGGTGTGATCAAGTGCGTGAATAGTCATTCGTGGGGAGGTGTGATGGGTAGGCCACCCTTCCTTTTGTATTATCGAAGGCGAGAGGAGTCGGTGGGCGCCTTAAATGGAAATATCGAGACGTTGTTTATCGTTTAATCCAGCAGGTCGGTGGGCTGTGCTTGAAGCTCGGCTGGGAGGTACGATTTCAGACATGTCACGCCATCCAAAGACGACATAGGCTGTCCTAAGAACTTTTGAGTAGTCTTGTCGAATATTGATATGTCGTGAAGTTCCTCATCGGGTTCAGGCGAGAAAAGGGGTTCGTCGATAGGGAGGGGTGAGGGTATTGATGAAGGAGGCGCAGCATCCGTCAAGTCCAAGGCAGCGGTCGCAGCTACTTGATCCTGCCATGCTGACGCGGAAGCCACCACACTTGGTTCGATCGCTTCTGCTTCCGCATCCGTTTCTATTTCCTGCTCTAGATTGACCGGTACATCGCCAATCAAGCCTTCTGATGAGAATACAGGTGAAGGCTCTGCTGACGCTGAGATGGCAATTTCCGGTGAAGAGGTTGCCATATCATGAACAATCTCAGAGTAACGCTCAACATGCGTCACTGTGGTTGTGGATGTGGCTATTGCCGTAGCTGTAGTTGTCGCTGTGGTGGTAACTACTATCGAAGAAACCAGATCTGGTAGGCGGTCCTCAGGCAGTGCGTGAGGCAGACTCGAGGCTGGAAGCTGCATGTATACAGCTGGGTCGAGGTGCATGGCCAAGTAAACCACGACAACACTGAGGATCACAATGAAAACGTTCCTCTGGTCTTTTGCGAGAAGAACGAAATAGTTCTTGAGCAATGTGCCAAGGGAAAGCTCTTCCATGCGCGGTCGGCGAGAGGTCGACCGCAGGGTGCCTCGCGACCTACTACGGGAATAGGTATCTCGAGATCGAGGACGGGTACTAACTGCATCTCTGGATTCTGCCTCCTTGTTGACCCTACCCTCTAGAGCTCGGAATCGTTCGGCAACAGAGGCTGCTTCTGCGAGTGCTTGCGACTCGAATTGCAAACGCATAACCTCTGTGGCCTCGTCAATCTTCTCCTTCAGTGCTGCTTCAAATCGTAACTTTTCCTCGGCTTCATGTTGATCTTTCCTTTGGAGTTCAATCTCCTCTGCTTTGAGCTTCGCCTCTATAGAGATCTCCGCCAGACGCTTCTCCTCCACAGCGGCCTCTTCCAACTTCTTCAAGCGAACTGCTTCCTCCTCGACCTGTCTCTTCAGTTCAGCTTGGTAGAGTTCCTTGCGCTTTTTCGCCTCTGCCTCTTCCTTGATTTTCCTCTCGAGATCCTTCCGGACCTCGATCGGAATCCAGGGCGAGATTTCAACATCGCACCTCTCCATTTCGTTCCAGGCTGCAGCCCAGGCCCCGGAACGCATGAGTCCGTTCGCGGCATAGATCTTGATATCCCATTTTCTACTGCCCAAACCCACTCCCTTGCCTGGCTTTTTCATATGCTGATGACAGTCCATGCACATGCTCGTGTCAAGGTCGATGCTTGGTGCGGGTTTGTCGACATCCTCATCCACTGTAAGGGTGCCGCCGCTCATACGGCTACCGCGCCCTGCACTGTCACCGGCAACGCTGGTCTCCTCATCCTCGTCGGAAGATGACTCTTCCGAATCGGCAGGTGGGACGAAATGGCCGCATTTAAGTAGTCGGGGGGTCTTTAACTCCAAACTTTCCAATACTCTTTCTTCCAAGAGGTCATACTCGTCTCTTGGATGAGGGATTAGAACTCCGCGCCGCATCAGCACGATGTCCTGTAGCTTTTCCTCTAGAATTTTGTAGTTCTCGATCAGCCATTCTGGCATGACCTTCATCATAGCATCGGGCGAATAAGGAAATTGCATAGGTAATATAGTGACGTGCAAAAGAACCAGCGGCAAGGCCTGCTGGGGCGTAGGTGTCGCACGCGGACTCGGCAGCGCCTGTCCTTGAGAATCATGATAGCTTCTTGCCGATCGCCTTGAATCTGTAGTTGATGCTGGTGTCTCGGATCTCCCACTTCTGCTCGGTGTTGCTAGCTTGTACGTCCCTTTTATCCGCTCCCGGGGGTTGTCGTACGAGGCGAAAGGTGGAGGCGAAGACATCTGCATGGCTCGCACAGAAGACGGATTGCGGAATGGTGGCCGTTCTTTCCGTGGTGTGTATCGTGAGTCCGCCGACTGATTCGTTGATGAGATAGGTTTCGAGGCGACTGAGACTTCGGAAGGCAGACTTGAGATGAAACTTGTTGTCGTCACGGCAGAGATGTGGCGTTTTTGTGCAGACGAGAGTATAGAAGGTCGCGAGGTATAGGAGCCACGATATGGCTTAGGTTCGAGGTCACCCGCGTGATCGTTTTCGTTGTCGTGCTCCGCGTAATCGTCCTCAATGCTAGGAAGGGCTTCGTCGGCGCTGGGTAAAGACGGGTCGGAATTGAATGACATTTCGTCGTCGTAAACCTCGGAGGGGGAGGGAGGCCCCAGGTCATCTGAATCCTCATAGATGTGAAAGGGCGACGCGCCGGGTGGTGGGGTGTGGTGGATGGTAGTCATCGGAATGGAATGTAGGTAGGATCTGTACGTCGCGCGTGCGACGGAATGTGGTTGTACACAACAAATATGGTGGCGGGTTGCAGAATTTGGGTTGAGATCTCGATTCTAGACTTTCCGTCCCAATGATTGTATTAATTGGCGTAGTTATGCAATTAAGGATTCAATTGCGATTATCTTCAAGCGGTGTGGATTTGACGTGTGCTCTTGGGATTGTTGATGTTTAAATCGGACGTCTTGGTTGCAGGGGGTAACCGAAAGTGAACATCCAACCCCACATGGCGACCACGAACAACTCATCATACAGCCGCCGGACCAACAATCAATGGCGTTTAGTCCTTTCCGCAACGACTAATGGATTGGAAAGTGAGGCGTCAATCGAGGTCTCATTTCAAACCATAATTGGCGAGGATTCGTCATTGGATGAAGGACCAAACTGTCAGTATATTTCGAGTATGGTGCTTGAGCGCCTATTATATGTCTCCTGGATCAGGATCAAAATATTCTTCATGGTAACGATAGGTACGTAATAATATTCGGACTCGAAGACTCTATGATTTCAGCCCTACGTAGTACACTGCCTCTAATTGAGCTTCTTTCATGTCTTGTGGGCCGGTGGCATGCATGAGTTTGAACACACCTTCTACAGCACTTTGTATTCCAAGACAGCCATTATATCGTGAGAATGAATGCTAATGCATAGCTTGAAGTGGGAGGTCGATGACCTTGGCGTTGTATTTACTTCTTAAGGCTATTTCATCTAAATTCTCTTTCCGTTTGATTCATTGTATTCGATGTGACGCAGATCTCAACAAGGTGGTGCTGACGTTTGGCTGCAACACAATTCAAGCTGTGGGGTGCAATGTAGGCATGGTGATGTGAATATGGAATATTTGATCGAAGGTCACATCTTATTTGTGTCATCGTTCTCAAATTTTTGTTCAAAGAGACCTCATGAAATGTATTCTTCCCCCTTTTGGGAATTCTATTATGACAGTGAAGGTCACGTGAGCTCGCGACGCGCTACGCGTACCCCAATGTCACCTTTTCGAAGTTGTGGTGCGGAAGGATAACACCACAACTCATCAGCTCTCCGGAGTCAATAAAGACCGCCATAATGATAAGAAAGCCATTCCGGCTTCCCAGCTTCGTCCGACCCGCCCCAAAAAGCAGCGAACCACCAAAAAAAAAGCGGCGTATTTCCTCGGACTCCCACTCAGACGTAGAGCGCAAGCCGCTCGCGGCCGTGAAGAACTCGACAACGCCCTCAGTCCCAGCCGACGCAAACGAGCAATACTACACCGTTTTGTGGAGAAAATATACGACCAAAAAGAACAAAACATGGGACGGCGATGGCATATTGTCGGTCATTGGAGGCCAGGCAATACTAGCCAACAGTGAGACTGGGAAAGAGATGGGAAAGACTGCGTGTGCAAGGCCACTTCTACCCGGATCAACTCTCTCGATAGGAGGAAAAGATGTGGAAGTCGACGCATCAATGTCTAAGGAGGAATTTCTTTCAGGACGCGCGTTTCTTGGTGCTACAGCTGCAAAGCCTGTGCCAATACCCAAACCCACCGCACCAATCAACGATATCAAGTTCAAGAAACATTCAAGTGGGTTAAAGATCGATTCCAAACCCGGAGCCATTCTCAAGACTTCGGACAGAGCCGGTGTGGCATTGCGTGACGAGGAAAATGAAGACACACCATTTCGACCGGAACTCAAGCCAAAAGCTGCGCGAATGCAGTTCAAGACACCCATGTTGAACAGCACTGTCGTGCCCAAAGGGAATCCTTCAATTCCCCAACCACGCCATGACCCAACGTTGCCTAATGCTCTGATCATGAAAAAACCAACGATCGTTCCAAAAGGAAAGCAGGTGGTAGATGTTGTTGTCGACCCTTTACTGAGCAAACACCTCCGTGAGCACCAACGGGAGGGTGTTCAATTTCTTTACGAATGCGTGATGGGCATGCGTTGCGAAGGCGAGGGTGCAATCATGGCCGATGAGATGGGTTTAGGGAAAACATTGCAGACCATTGCATTACTCTGGACTTTAATGAAACAGAATCCGATTCACGACAGTCCACCAGTAGTCAGAAAAGCACTGGTTGTCTGCCCTGCCGGCTTGGTGGAGAACTGGAGACGCGAATTTCGGAAATGGCTGGGCAATGAGCGCATAGGTGTCTTTGTGGCAGATGCAAAGAACAAAAAGATCACGAATTTTACCAAGGGAAAGGCGTACAATGTCATGATTGTGGGATACGAGATGCTCCGCGTAGTACAGGAGGACCTCAAGAAAGGCCACGGAGTTGACATCGTCATCGCTGACGAAGGACATCGATTAAAGACGGCGAATAACAAGGCCATGCTCGCCATCCAGTCTCTCAACACTGAGCGAAGGATTATTCTCTCCGGAACCCCGCTCCAGAATGACTTGAGTGAATTTTATACTGCCATCGACTTTGTTAATCCAGGTCTACTCGGAAAGCGACCCGCTTTCAAACGTGAATTCGAGGTGCCGATTGTACGCAGTCGTCAGCCGAATGCTAGCGAAGCGGAGCTTGAAAAGGGGGAGGCGCGATGGAAAGAACTGGTCAATTTGACCAGTCAATTCATGATACGCCGGACGGCAGAAGTTCTCTCCAAGTATCTCCCTCCCAAGACTGAGCACATTGTTTTCTGCAAGCCAACTACCGCCCAATCGAATGCTTACCGGAGCATCCTCGCCTCGCCCTATTTTACCGCTGCCCTCGGAAATGCAAATAACGAAATGGCACTCCAGCTAATCACTATCCTGAAGAAGATGTGCAACAGTCCGTCTTTGCTCAAATCGTCAAAGGATGGAGAGGATACCCCATCAGAGATGCTTCAAAGTCTTCTTCCTTTGATTCCACCTCCTATCCTCAGATCGCATGCCTGCAGTACCAAGCTCCGTGTCCTCGACTCTCTGCTCCATCGCATATTCAACACAACGAAAGAGAAGATAGTGATCGTGTCCAACTACACCACCACTCTCGACATGATCGAACAACTCCTCACTTCCCTCAGTTACAAATACTTACGTCTAGATGGTAGTATACCCTCCTCCAAACGACAGCCGCTCGTGGAAAAGTTCAACCGCACTGACCAGCGCACTGCCTTCGCCTTCCTTCTCTCCGCCAAATCGGGCGGCGTGGGTCTCAATCTGATCGGAGCAAGCCGCATCGTTCTCTTCGACATCGATTGGAACCCCGCCACCGATCTCCAGGCGATGGCGCGTATCCACCGCGATGGCCAGAAGCTTCCGTGCAAAATCTATCGCTTTCTCGTGCAAGGTGGGTTAGACGAGAAGATCTATCAGCGCCAAGTCATGAAGATGGGTCTGGCGAATGCGGTCGTCGATAATAAAGCTAGCGCGTCGTCCTTCTCGCGAGAAGAGCTGAGGGATCTCTTCAGATTGGATGAACGGGAGACGTGTCAGACGCATGACTTGCTCGGTTGTAAATGTGGAATGAAAGGTGCGCCGGAATTGGACGACATTGACGAATCTTCTGCTGATACCGGGGATATGACCATTGGCGACGATGAGGATGAAGAAGACGACGATGCGTTCCCCGTGCTCCAACCCGCAAGTAAAGTCGATATGGCGGCTCAGGAAGCTAAAATCGCGCAACGCGCACAGAACAAGCAACCAAAGCTGAAGATGCTAATGGAGTACGCACACATTAACACAGAGTATCTCCGCGATACTACCAATCCGGATAAGAGTCAAGATGATGACGATATGGCGCTTCTTGTCGACGATGATGTCCTGCTTGAGGTATTGAGGGAGCCAGATTGCAGGGTTGGGTTCCTTCTCACGAAGAGTTCGTCGTAAGGATGTCAACAGTAATCTTCATCATTTTATGACAGGGGAAAGCTATTAATAAGTAACCTGGGATTTTCATGTATCATAGATATAGAGGCCTTTATTTCCATATATTCATGGGATTGATTCTTCCCCTACATTAGACGTAAGATACTCTTTGAAGATCACCGCTTTAGCCCTCTCATATTACATTAGTTTAAATGATAACACAGAATACATTAGCTGCTGATCTCCTACGCGTTCTGTCTCAAAGTTTTATACCGCCGTTAAAGCAAGCTTGACTTCCATGCTCGTTATAATTCGTAGTGCAGCGTGCAGCAACCTTGATATTATGTTGTACGTACATGTAAAACAATAAAATATATGCTATCCTGATGCTTTGCTTAGGAGACGTGTCATTCAGATAATGGAGTAAAGGTCATGGATCAACCTTAGACTGGCAATGTCCGATACTGCGATGTGATAGTGAAACGGATGTATCTAGGTGAATTGTACATAGGGCCAGTCTCGATGCTTTAAACGTCGAAGAGAAAAGTGACAGGATTGAGAAGCATGCATCAACTATAGTCCTTGGAAACTCGAGCTTTTCCTCGCTAGGCCCATATCATGCCCCTCTTTCAAATCGCGATTCGATATCATGGTGCCAGCTCTGTTTAGGGAATCTTTGTTCGCCGATTTGATATGTTTGAGCTGCTTCGCCACCGCCTCTGGTGGGAGAAAATTGCACTACTGTCTTGGGTGGGATTGCTAGAAAGACATAGAATTGCTTCTAATAGATTTATCGTGTACTTGAAGTTGCAAGATGTCAAGGTACTCCAGTCAGTCTGCTCGCTTGACATTGAGCAATCTGGATACTACTAGAATATTGCATATCGCTATCATATTATATGACTGAGACGACTGTATTAGGTTTGCATCAACGAGGGCTATTTTTTTATCAAAGATTGGAGTGTAATTACAACAGGCATCGTAGAAAGTTTGTTAAGGTAATGATCAATCATGCTTTGAGGTGCTTTGTTCTACGTACTTAATCTAAGTATCTGGTATCCCCGCTTGCGTCATCCCGTCAAAGCCGATCAGCTCTGTCAACCACAACCACAACACTAGACACAGCCATGCTTGGACTTCGCGTGGCATACGCAAAGAACCAAACTTTTGTGAAAGGTCTCTACTATTTGAAACCCATCTAGTCGTTCACAACAATGCAAGGGAACATGGTTGCCTTTTACCTCAGTATTGTGTTATCTTCCATCCCAAACATCACAGATGACCCTCTCTTCAAAGCGAAGGATCCGTATATGGACCTCATGAAATCATTGACTCTGAACTGAATTACATCCAACGTCATTGAAATTTCCAACCTCCAATCGTGAGCGTCCGTATTGCAAGGCCAGTAGGGCAAAAAAAGAAAATCCTTTATCTATATATCACAATGAGTCCCTCGTCGTCGTCCCACACCGATCCTATGATCACTCCGACCCGATCACATCTCCTATCCCACGGCCTGAAGAACTTCCTCAGTAAATCAAACCTAACGCACCCGCAAAAGAACTTCACCGTAAACGAGCACAACGCCGAAGTCAGAGCCATAATGTCCACCCAAACGCAGCAGCAGAGCTTCGGGTTTCCCAAATCCAGCTCCGCTCCTGGCGAACATTTCGAGCCAAGGCAGACGGCTACGAGTGAAGATTACACGCCCGATCCGAGCAAGAGTATCAAGTTGTCGCCGGCCAGACAGAGACTCGTTGACGATGTATGCATTCTTCCTCGCCGTGAAGCCGAACAAAGACCCGTTTTACTAAGCAGCAATGTCCCAGATAATTGCACTGTACAGCTGCCAACCCACAGTCGAGCGCGTCAAGCGCTACACTCCAGATTGCGTCTACGACGACCAATTCGTGTACGCCAACGACCGATACAAGATGGCGGGGCAATGGTTCGCTCTGCCTAAGCTATTCAAATCGTCCATCAACGAGTCATACGAGGTCATTCGATCCGACGACGAGATCATCCAGTTCAAGAACAAGCAGTCATGGACGTTTCGACTGATCCCAAAGACGGCGACGATAACGGGGTTGGTGTCGTTGTCCTTGGATCCAGATTCCAGGGATGGAGAGTTCATGCAGATTAAGTACCATAAAGATCAGGCGAATGAGAAGGATTATAGTCACGAGGGGCTGGGGTTCTCGTTTAAAAAGTGGCAGGCGGATAATGTGGTGAAGCATATGGATACACCGGAGTTGAAGGAGTTCGAAGCTGATAAGTTGGCGGCGAAGGAACATGTCAGGAAGTATGGGACAGGTAAGGAGGAGGGCGATGCGCCGAAGCATGACTTTACGAGATGAGAATGTAAAGATCGCGTCTGTAATGGTCCAGGTCGGAGATTGATTGTGCACAACTGTTTATGAAGGGACAAATTTGATGCGGGATGATGAATGATGTATTTATGATTCATGTCTAAATGATATACTTTTCGTTTCGTCTATCGTCCACCCATGAATTGAGGCTGGTACGCTTTCACACCTCCAGCCTTCATGAGCTCTCGCAGCGCCACTGTCGCATACTGGCTGGAAGCCAGTTGCAAGCTCAGGACAACTGCAATCTTTTTCTGTCCCTGGATGTCCTCATTGCTTTCTACAGCAGGAATTTCCTTCTTGTCCCCAGCCGGCTCATCAGCTGGCTTTTTGCTTTGCTTCCTAAGCTTCTCGAGATCCGTCTCAACGAACTGTTCGTCCTCCTTGACATATTCATGCAGGGTGAAGGAAATGGGCTGGATCGGCTTGGCCAGGAACTTTCGGTATCCACCGCTGAGACTGATTTCTCTCCAACTGCGGCGCATCTTGTACGGATCAAGGTGACCACCACGGTCGCTGCCCATAAACTCCTTGTAGAACTCGCCAATAGCATTTCGTGGGTACTCGACATCAAACCCTGGTTGCGGAAGGACGACATCCCAAATGTTATACTGGCCGCTCTCTGCTTCCTTTTTAGTAAGAGGACGCGCTCGTTCGAATTGATCTTCGTCGTTCACGGCGCTGTCTTCCCCAGCGGGGTTGATAATCATCTCGCCATCCTGGTCAACCGTGTCGGGAGCTGCGTCGTCGCCTGAACCGTCCTTGTCCTTATGTTCGTCTACGAGGACGAGGTCTCCTTCGACGACCTTGGAACCGTAGGTTGTCCATCGCTTGCCGGCGACAACGTTCCACACGAGACTTTGGTAAGCGTGCACGTACATCAACCGCAAGTTCCTTGGAATGGTCATCAACGCTCCCCTGTAGTCGTTCAACCGATCATAGGCTCTGGTCCGGCTGTTCCTGGAGCTCAGATGCTGTATGATGTTGCGTTCAGCAGCGAGTTTCTTGGGGAGTAGACGAAGCGCTTCGTTGCCGTCCTGCTTGGTTTTCCAGGCATGGAGGCCTTTGGCGCGCGCGCGATCGTCTTTAGATACGAGGATCGCTGGGTCCTCCTCATCGTTCTCGGCAGCAGCGAGCGCAACCTCGCTGTAGGCTAATAGATCATCCACGGCGCCCTTGAAGTTCTCTTGCAGAAGCTTGATCCCGATGGCATCAGTGCTAGCAGCGAAAGATCCAAAACGCTGCAGTCCATAGTAATTGATAAACCCGTCTTTTGAAAAGCCCTCAACGGCCTGGGACACAATCTCGTTCGCTGATTGGAAGCGCTGTGCAGCATCCAACCCTTCCTCCTTTTCGAAGTGGCAGTCCCTGAGAGTGATGGTAAACTCGTTGCCCATCAAATCTCCCAATCGAAGATCATGCTTCTTATACTCGTAGTCTCCGAGTGCGGCATTGAAAAGCTTCTTGCTCACACCGGCCATTCTCTCAGCACTTTGCCTCTTAACGCAGACACGCTGAACCGTACAGGCTCGTCGGTCCTTTGTACCCGCGAAAGAATAGCTCTTCGACCCGCCGCCAGTGATGCTTCCGAGGAAACCCACGATCTCCATGGTATCCTTGTTCTCCTTGTACAACGTAAAGTGCAAGAACTCTCCCCCACGCTCTTCCCACGCCAGAGACCCTCTCATCCGCTCAGTATCTCTATCCCTATCCCCACCCCTCTTATTCTTATTGCCTCTCTCCGCAGGCGGCCTCGCCTTGATCCTAATCGACTGATCCGGCTCCATGCCGCTCTCAAGCATGTTCGGAAACACTCGTCGCAGTGTCTGATGTGCCTGCGTCCGCAACTCTTTATCCGCAATCGGCGCCGCCAGCACAGCCTTGAACTCCTTCGCCTTGCGCGCGGGGTGCTTGCGGACCTGCGCGACCAACTTGATAACCTCGGTCGTCGTGTCCTCTCCGAAAATCGCATGGAGAGCCGCGAGGTCTTCCTCTGAAACGTTGGTGCTGGCTTCGTCCTCGCCATTCGCTTTTGCGTCGCTCTCGCCAGTTCCATCTGTAGCACGCTTCTCTTCGACAGCGTCTGCTTCCTTTTTCTCGGGACCATAACCAATGTCCTTCATATCCACATCACCACCTTTGGTCTCCTCAGCTTCCCCTTGCTCGCCCCCACTCTTCTTCTTCGGCTCCCGACTAGGCCTTTTCACGCCAGTGCTAGTCAAATGCACGACGCGCCCATCAAGCCCGATCTCATTAACCAAGAAATCGGTGTACCGCTGCTTCAGCACGCCCGAGAAGCCAAGGCCCGGAGACACATACTCGGTTATTCCGGCGCGGAGCTCGCGATCCTGGTCTGTCGTCTGCGCTGCTGGTGTTGCTGTTGCTGATTGCAGAGACGAGGTGGTAGGAGTGGATGCAGTAGGCACGGCATTGGGAGTAGAGGATGGGGAGTCGAGACGCGCACGTTTGCTGGGACGCGGGTCCTCTTCGCGGTCGCCCATTTTCCTTTTTGCGAAGACTTTTCTTACGCAATTGGGTGGGTGTGAAGGAATAGGTGTGTTGAGAGTGAGGAGAATGTTCAATGGGATGGACGAGAAGTTTGGGGAAAGGAAAAGTTAGCGGGGGAAGTTTTTCGCGAGGTCCTCAGCACGGACTTGTAACGGATGGCATCTATCAAGCGCAGCTTCCTGCGCTTCATTTCATCACGAGTTTGTATGGAGAAATATTTATAATGTAGAGTATCGTGTTTGATATCTTCCATGTTTTCTTACATATTCGCCATTCCTTCTACTGTATCATCGTACAAATATTTCCCTACGGATCAATTATTTCTCTTCATTTTTTTCTTCTTCCCTCCACCCTCCTTACCGTCGCCATTCTTCTTTCCATTGCCATTCATGCCCTTTCCCTGCTCGGCATTGCCACCATCTTCTTCATCTTCTTCAGAAACAAGCAACTTGTTCAACGCGTCGTTGAACTTATCCAATTGCGCTATGTCGCCTATCCTAACGCGCATGTAGTCGAAGGCAATGGCGACTTTCATGTTCTTGTTGCTTCGGATCTTAATGATTTGCTCTTTACTTGCGCTGTGCTGCTGCTGTTGCACTGGAGTAGCAGTTGTGGTAGTGTCCATGGCTACTTCATCTACGTCCATGGGCCCGTCAGTATCCCCGGACGCACGATTCGTCGCGTTTCGCCTGCTTTCGCCATCATCCTGCACCGTCTCGATTACGGGAATCTTCTGGTACCGCTGCGAGAAATGCGTCAGTACAACAGCGGTAGCATTCATTGCCGCACCGATGCCCAGGGCTTCCGAGGTGGTGGAGTGTTTCTTCGCGATGGCGTCGCCACGAAGTTCATCATCGAAAGTAGCTTCGTGGATGAGGACGCTGGTGTTGCGACCTATGGTAGCAAAATTATCGCTCGGGCGGCAGTCTCCGGAATAAGAAATCTTCAGAGGAGGTACGGTTGCAGAGGAGGATTCGGGGGGGAACGTAAAAGAGACGGCCATGGCACCATGGCAATGCTTGACGCGGGTAGCCTGTATATCAGCGAAGCCAAATATTGATTCGTAGTCGTTACGATTAACGATTTGGACGGTCTGTGGATCAGCATAGTCGGACAGATGCAGCTTGGATCCCGTCGCGTTGCCTGCGGACACTGATGTAATCTGGAGTGGAAGAATGCGACTGTAGCCGAAGTCTTCAACAGAGGAGTATTCATGCAGCCATTGCAGCATGCCATCGTGTGATATGACAGCAAGTCCACGCTCAGAAGCAGTTTCTACAAGGTTGACTGCTGACGGCCTGGTTTTAGTCGGGACGCCCTTGTGAGCGACGGTGTACCAGGCTTTGATCAACGATGCCGTTCCAAGGTGATGGTCAGCATGGAGATGGCTTATCCATATCATACGCAGATTCCGAAGCACATCGACAAGTTCATCGGGTTTGAATACACGCTGTAGCTGCCCGATGGTATTCTCACCGCAGTCAAGTAAATAATTGCCGATTCCAGGGACACGGACAAGTGTGGCAGAGACATTTCGATATTTCGAAGGTAGCGCCGAACCCGTACCCAAAGTGATGACCTCTGTATCCGGGTGAGCTATCAGCTGCCTCCATGCCTGCAATCTTTCCTTGTCTTTCTCGATATTCTCGTGAGCCGCCTTCGCTAACTCAATAATTTCGGTAGGGGTTTCTTTCTCAACGGCTTGTATGTCTACGAGCGGAGGAACACCGTCCCGCTGCAGTTCGTACTTTGGCATTAAGCGTAACTTCATGCCCCTTTCTGCCAGGATAGCATTTGCGGGTATTCCCCCTTGTGTTCCTTTGTTGGAGCAATACTTTTGCTGTGGTACTGTAAAATTATCATGGACGGGAATATGATATCGCTCCCCATCGATTTGCGCAAGACGTGTTGTCTGTGCAGCCACGGAGTCTAGTGCGATCCGATTAGGGCTCTCGTCGCCAGATGAAATAACATGCTGAACCTGATCGAGCTTTTTTATGAAATCATTCAGTATAGGGTGTCCAGACACGCCGGGACCAAGAATCCAAATGACCGTTTGGACGCCCTCCATAACGCTGGTAGAAGTAAGTTCTTCCCTCTGCACCAGGTTCTCTATGTAGTCCACAGACGGCACATCCAATATGGCGGCACCCTGTCCTGGCCGATCTGGCCCAACGACCATGTCAGGGGTGATGGTTTCCCCATCCTCATTCTGCACAGAGTGGCCTGCCGTAAGCTTTGAGTATGCTTGTCCACGTGGAACACGGAGCTCCTGCGCTCGCTTTACGTCGAACTTCCCGCGGGCAGCGTGTGTGCGGACAATGTAAGAGAGAGACTCCTTTGATGGTTTTGTAGGTGGTAGCGCTCGCACCATTGCAGCAGGCCAAGGCGTTCGAGTCAAGACCTTCACATCGGGGAGAGGTTCTGAACCACCAGGCATTGGCCCATGATAGTTTTCAAGTTTGTTGGTCGATGGGTTACGGACATACATGGCGGCGGGCATCTCGACCTCCGAGATATGACGTTCGACCAGAGTATCGAAACTCCAGCTTGAGTCGAACATTTGTTTGAGTAAATCGGTGCGTATGTCATCGTATCTCTTTTCTCGCTGTTCCACACTTTCGCCATCTACTGGCTGGAAATCTTCAAAAGAATTCAGTTGTGTGTCAAATAACCGCTTTTGGGCCTCGATAGCTCCTTCTAAATCGGAATCAACGTCCTGGCTTTCTTCAGAAGGCGCAATGGACATTGCCCAAACATTAATCAGATCGTCTTGCCACGTGGGTGGGATATCGCCTTTTTCATCCTTACTAGCAGGAGCACTCTTATACTCGGTTGCGGTGATGGGCAGTCCTTTTCTAAAGATAAATCTCCGGCACGTAGACAGCATGTGCTTCAAGTTCGGTGCGCCATAGACATTCAACCTAGGTCGCGGGGGCGCCGAGGCACCCTTTACATCTCCCTTCTTGCGGTACAACTCCATCGCTGTCTCATATGATGTTGTGGAGGCATCCGCAAGGGTCAGAGTCATGCCAATCAGCCCGCCGATATTGTGCCATTCAGTCCTGCCTGTTATGAAAAACTCCTGAGCCTTCATAAGACGAGCGCCCATTTGCGTCATGGCTCGCTGTGTACCCTCCGCCTGGCTCCCGAAAAGATAATGTCGCTTGGGACATTGTAGCATCAATGTTGTGCCTGCTGTATCCGCTGTCGGAGTCGTGATGACCACGAGTGAGGTGTCCATTTCTCCAGCTCCAATCAGCAATCGTCGGCCGCGACGGTGTTTCTTTTTCGCCTTGGAAGGGTTCGTGATGTTCGGGAGGGGTGCAAGAAGCGGTTTGCGTATGCGGCTACTCCATTGGGAAGATGCAGCTACTGGGATCTGCTTCGAATTTCCTTCGGGTTCGACGAGATGCTCTTGAACGGTCTCAACTTCCTGTGCTAGAGTTCGTGTAGAGGGTATAATCTGGTCTAGAATGCTGCGGAAAACTGAGCTTTTCACGCTTGTCGTTGAAATGCCCCGCCGTACGCAGAGTAGGAAGCGTGGAGTGCGGGACCGAATTGTAAAGGCCGTGAAGGTCGTGAATTGCCCCACGACTGCTGGATTGAAAGCCAATATGGCAGGATTATAGCATGGACTTGAATGATGGTATTATATCTTCACAGCTCTATAAGGGTGATCGATTGGATTGTAGCGCTCCGCCGTGTAATCGTCGCTCCATAACTTTTTGATCGGAGGTATCAACGATTCGCCGATGACTGGCTGACTAACCACAAGAAGAAAGAATAAATAGGTACAAACCTCAAAGTCTCCGCAACTCAAAAATCTGGGGGAAACAGGACAGTGTCACAATTTGGGTTTGGACTACTACTGCTGAAAAGAATATAATTGTACTTTTCATGTGTGTTATATTCGAGTCGAACTATATACACGCCACATAGGACGTCCTTCGAGTCAATGCCAATAATGGAGCGCTATCCATGGTCCCTATGATAACCAGTATACACGATTGAAGTCCTTATAAAACCAAAGACCAAACGCCACCTCCCAATTGCTGAAACCTCTATATCAAGGCCAGCTTATTCAGTACAAAAGAAATCGTTCAAATCGTTTGATGAGACAGCTAAGAATAATGAAAATTGGGAATGATGCCAGCTTTAGACGAAGCAAGTGCTACGATCCCATCAAAAACCAAGGTACCAAGAAATATTAATCTCGCATCAAAGATGAACGAGAGCTCGAATATACAACTCAGTTCTAAGATTTCGAAAGAAGAGTAAGACAATGGCCAAGATGTGAAATTCACAAATCAAGGTGCGAAGTTAAAGAATCGACTCTTTGAAGCGCAGATGATGTAGCGGCACAAAGCTTCTCAAAACGGTCGAGAAGTAGTTGCGAATCCTCTTCGTTGGAAATGAAAAGTTCAAAATGGGCAAAGACCTTCTCGGGGTTCGCGTCGCCGAAGAGAGGCTCGTAATGTTCAGAAGGAGAGGTAGAACGTGTCGAGACTGGGGTGGAGTAGAGGTCAAACTCGTCATCCTCCTCCTCATCCACAACGGGAGAAGATTGTACAGACTGAACTGGACGCTCGATGACGGGGAAGTCAGGCTTCACCTCCTCGATTGAAGGCTCCTCCTCTTCGATGAGGAAAGAAGAGTAGCCCTTGCCAGACAGAGCGTCGGTATCAATGGGATTCGAGGGTCCCTCTGGAAGCTCGAGAACGGCGAAGACCTGAGGTTGCTGGTAGTTGAATCCATTCATGTTGTTCATTCCCCAGGTGCCGCTATTTCCATTGCTGTTGCCGTTGTTCAGGTTGAGCATGGACATATCGAGCTGTGTATCAGGTACAAGAGCCATGCCAATTTGAGGGTTCTCTGGTTGGGAAAGACCAGAGAACTGCTGGCCTTGGTAGGCATTCATGTCCTTACGAGGCTGGGGGGCGGTGGGAGTGGGGGTAGTGGACATGGAGGTCATAGCCGGCTTTGCCTGAAGGCTCTCGTCTCGGGAAAGCTCCTCGAGGAAGGGGGTAAAGGCTTGGTGACGAAGGAGACGCTCAATGAAGGCTCTTGAGCGCGCGTTCTCCTCCATGAGAGCACGGTTCTGAACACGAAGATCATTGCATTCGTTGTTCTTCATGGCGACCTCGCCTTCAAGTTGGCCAATGTATTCTGGGCAATGTTAGCAGTATTCATGAACCGAACATGTGGAAAATCTTACCCTTCCTCCTGGAACGGAACGCGCGAGCTGAGACTTTGTTACGTAGTTGACGTCGCTCCTTAGAAGTCAACTTCTTGCCTTCCTCCGAGGCCAGAAGCCTCTCGTCTTCGTCCATATCCTCCTCATCTTTCTTCATGCGCACAACGTGAGGTAGAAGGTTTTGGGGGTCGTTTGGTGAACCGAGGGAGGAGTTCTGGCTGTTGTGGCGGATTTGGGCGACAACGCGAGCAATGGTCTCTTCTGTGCGGGCATCGTTCAAGGGGCTTCCGCTCTTCTTGTTAGGATTTTGACGGTTCTGCTGTTGCTGCTGCTGCGTCTGCTTCTGTTGTTGTTGGGCAAGTTGCTGCTGGCGCTGTTGCTGGGCCTGGGCCTTGGCCAAGGCAGCCTGTTGTGCTTGTTGTTGATGCATACCGGGCCATACTCTGACCTGAGCGGGTTCTTCAATGGCGCTGGGATCAATGAAGTCGTCGGACTGCGACGCATCGGTTCCAGGGTAGAAATAGGCGGGTTGTGAGAAGGAAAGGTCCATGTTCATCTTGACATCCGAGTCCATTCCAATACCGCTATTCCAGCCAGCACCGCCCATCATAGTATCGCCCATCAAAGTCATCTCATCCAAGCCGGTCGAAGAAAACATCTGGTAGCCTGTGTTCAGGCCCGAATTGAGACCAGCGATGGAGCCGGAGGGCAGGCCGGTCTGCTGCTTGAAGCGCTCGTATTCATGGCTCGGTTTGGCAGGAGTCTGAAAATCTTCGCCGTCGAGGGCGGTATTGGAAGGGCTGGAGATTGTGGAGGCGACATTGGAGGGATGTTGTCGGACGTTGTTGCTCGGAGTTGGAGACGGAAGCTGGCTGAAGTCGAAAAATTCGGTGTCCGGATCGATGCATTGATTGTTATTGTTGAAAGATGGGCCCGACATGGTCATGGCAGGATGTATTGCAGTAGCCATGAGGAAGGATGCCTGGGGATAGGTCGTACTCTGGAGGCGACAGAGCGAGTAAATGAGAAAAATCAGGCGTCAACCAGGCGAGCGTTCGAAGGGAGGACCAAGAATCAATCCAAGATTCCAAGGAGTATGGTGTATAGTTACTTGAGGGTGTTACTTGAGGGTACGGCGTACGAGTAGAAGGTGGTGGGAAATCGTGGGGGAAGGAGAGTGTAGGTGACAGGTGTGGTTAGGCTCCTGAAGAAGCTGACGACGCTCGCTCGCTTCCTTTTTCCGGTTGATCCGCTTGAGTGGCTTAGTTGGTTAGCCCCGCCTTACTCGATTGGGTGATTAAAACGGGTGAGCAGGTTTTTGTCCTCGATCAAGAAATGTTCGAAGAATGGATGTAGAGTCGAATGATTGTTGTTGTGATGGCGAAATGGACGAAAGAAGTGTATGTACGGAGTAGGTGTGTGTGTGTGTATGAGGTGTGTACGGAGTAGTTGTAGGTAGATGGGAGGAATGCAAAAATGAAGGGGGAAGGGGGCCGCGGGCACAGCAGGCCTCTTGCTTTTACTACTCCTACAACACCGGTAGGTCCTCTTCGCTCGGTCGTATCGGCCATGTCGGGGAGGCGTTTCAAGAGAGGCGGAGCGCGCCAGGCAGGCTTGTCCAAAAATACCCAGGGGGTCCAGCTTGTCCACTCATGACGAGCCATATCCACGCCGTGCCCTGCCTAGGGATGCCAGTCCCAGTTTCCAAGCCCAAGCGCTGTTGCGGTCGACGATCTTCTCTCAGGTAAGGCCGCTACATCCCAGAGGACGCATGAGGGCTCCATACCCGATCTGGGCACTTCGCCCTGTCGTTGAGTTGCTGATGGAAGGTGTATGGAATCGTAATTTACCGTTTTTGCGCGGTACGGACGATTATCCTATCCACCACCCACAACGGCGGGTGTTTACTGCTCATCGATTGTCTTACTGTGGGCAGATGAAGTGCAACCGCTCGAAGACCGTTGTGCCCGCCGCGCTTCTTCCATCGATCGCATCGATAATGTGAATCATAGATCATCCTCACGGTTTTCACCATTTTCTTGTTAGTACTCACGCGTTCGTTATCAAGTTTCGAGCTGCGGTTCCATCAGTTCCCTCGTTTACATCATCAATCACACAGCACCGTCGCCGATATACTCGTAGTCGACTTCTCTGCAAATGCAAATACACTGTTCTGTAGAGAGAACGAGGCGCAAGGCAAGCAGGGGTGTCAGAAGCGACGTTACGCACGTATACCTTTGTGTGGCCAGGCGGTTGAATGTATTGCTATCTGATGTTAAGGACAATGAAGGAACCAAGTCCAGGACAAGAGGACAAGAGGACAAGAGGACAAGAGAACCCCCAGTTGGAGTCGGCGGTCGGTGAAATGGCTAGACCGATCGGTCCTACTGCTCCGTGTGCCACCGCTAAGCCTGTTCAAGGCTAATTCTACTTCATCCACCAATCACAATCACAGCAACTCAACTTGCATGCACAGCCTCTTTTTCGCTCTCTCTTTCTACCATCGCTTTTGGGCATACCTTGCGAGCATCAATCGATCAATCAATTCAGAGTTCAGGCGTGATATGTGAATGCTGTATGCTGTATGCGGCAGCAAAAGTACACTCGACTTTCATGCGAATGTTTTCGACCTTCTTCCTCTGCGTTCCATTCCTGGTTGACTCTGCCCAGCTGAACATGTCAACATGATATGATCTACGGAGTACCTACAGGCGAACTTGACGTCGCGACACCGCCTCAGCCGGTGACCGTGGATCGTGGTACACTCAGATTTCGCAATAATGCCAATACTTTGCGGTTGTGGGATTAAACGAGGCAATAAACGAGACAATAATGGCTATGCGAAGTTGCGAACGACACCTCTTGAGGTAGGTAATGTGTAAACTACCATAACGTAGATACATCTCACTGCGCCATGGAAATACCTGCCAGTTCCGCCTCTTTTCTATACGGTACGAGTATTATTTGATTTTCAACTCCAGCTTCTGACATCATCCTTGGTCTTAGTTATGATTCCGTTGGTGGTGCGGACATCTCGGACATAGATGGCGGAGATGGCATCGCTTGCAATTGCACGCATATTTCCCAACTTCGCAAAAGAGGCAGCAGAATGAATGAACGGTTCAACCATGCTCCGGCGGTGTGCCACCTGGCACTACTCATATGCTCGCCTCTCACTTCATCAGTTCTGACATGCCAACGCCCCGATCCTGCGTTGAGGAGTGTAGTGTCTACCGACTCACCAACGTCCATCTCGTTGGTCCCCAGATTCCCAACACGGAGCTTTTGAAACATTCTATAGCCGCCTTGTGGGTCAGACGAGATACACTTCAGCAGCAGCCCTCCGAACAAAACCCTTTATGCTGCCCAGGGCCAGCATCTACGAACCTTCCCTTGCCTTGTCCCTTTCGTTGTATTTTACCTCCCCCATCGTAACACCTTTTTGGCCGGATCACGCCGCACGCCTCCAGCAATCTACTCGTACCCGTCTCCCCGTCTTCCCGGCATGGGTCCCAGTGCTCAAGCTCCAACATTCTGGGTCACGACTTCGGTCCGCTTCACATCACCGACCCCCACTGGTCACCTACAATACTAATTGTATTCAATGTATTGTAAAATTCCTCAAGATCTCAGAACTGGTCCAATACTTCTCGAATCCTCTCATAGGGGTCGGCCGAAGTCTCTCCGAAGAAGTCCATGCTCCAAAAGATCGGCGGTTTATTTTGCTTGTGGAGTGATTTGACCATAGTCGATAATAATACTCTGTAGTCTTCATCTACATGCCGACAAACTACTGAACACTCCGTACATGATAGAAGATATTGTACGGATTTTGGCACTTGACTCGCATTGAAGATAAACCCACCAAATACCTCCTATAGCACACGTTCTTAGACAAATTGGACGTAGATACCTAGGTACCTAACTCATTCGATGATCATTGGAACTTGCTGCGCCTCAACAACACAATCTCCCAGCTCGGCCCCTTTACCAAATTCAATACCATCACGCAAAACCATCAATACCATCAAATGTCAGTGCGGATAGTAACGATCTTGCTTAGGCCCTTAGGGATGGATATTCTTCGGCGGGTGAAGTTTCAGCTATCGTGACCCTAGAGCCTTACGTGACATATGGGCCTCGATCTGTCTGTCACGCTATCATCTATTCGAGGGGCAAATGGAACTGCCGTAGTCGCTCGATTCTGAACTTTCCATCATCCTAGCCAGATTCAAACAACCACAATTACCTTTTCGGCGGTGGTCAAGATTGTCTCCAGATAGGTCAAGGCTCGAGTCGAGAATTAGATACAATATTGTCCGTTGGTTTTGTCCTGCTGTGCTGTGATAGTTGTGTCTTATTTGCATCTGTATGCTTATCCGTCTACGGAGTACCTTCTCACCAAAACCTCATCACAGAACCCCAATCAAGTATTAATCCAGTAATCAAGTCTATCAGAGCTGCGCACAATACTCTCAATCAGGAAAAAGATTCACAATCACCAACCCCCAAATCCTCATCCTATCCAAACGCCCATAAGCAGACAGACTCCAGGACAACCAGCTCGCGTAATCCTCCTCCTCCCAGGTCATCAATCCCTCAAAGTTCACCGCAATAATCATCCCCCCTCGCGCCATGTTTCCGCCCGTTTAAAGTTGATTTGATTTGCTGTCAGAGAGGATTTCAACCCTTCTCACTACGGCCGTGCACTAAACTTACTGAATCTCATCCGCGCGTAGTTGCCGTCAACTGATAGTTATCTGACCGCATGTGATACCTCGTTCCATCCTCTGGGGCACCGTACAGCACAGCCATACTCCATCCATCCCCTTCCCCAGCCCAACAATCATCAAATCTCACAACCACTTCCACCCATACACAAGTAAACAAACTAACAAAAAAACACGATTCCAATTTCTCCCCTGTAAACAAACTCTCATGTAAACAACCCCCCACCACTCATGCGCCCGTTCTTGGCGCGCGCCGCAAGTACAGGAGCAAGAAAAAAAGACAGAGAAAAAGCTGCGCCTCAACACCCATTGCGTACGCAATGCATCCCAACCCCAACCCACACCCGCATGTCACGTAACACAGACCACGACCGCGGCCACAACTACGGCCTTATGGTTTACCTACCTAGCTACAAACAAACAAAACCCCCCTGGAAGTGATAAAAATGGTTTTCCTTATCTGCTTTGATCAGGTGTGGATTGCAGTTAGCTAGGATGCTTTGCACACGTACTTCAAGCGTTGGGGGATGTGTGAGGCTGGGGGAGGTGTGGGCGAGTGTGTATGTAGGTTTTGACCGGAGCTGAAGTGGTTTTGGGTTAAGGGGGCTTTGACTCGTGGATAGTGAGATGAGTTGAGTAAGTTGAGATAATTGTTAATGCTATGTTTTTGAGATTCGGGGGTGATGGGAGTATAGGGGGTGGAGGTGGTGTGGTGTGTAAGTATGTGATATGGGTTTGCTGTAGAGAGTGAGCGAGCGAGCGAGTGAGTAATATGCTTTGTGATCTAATGTTTCTTGTCGTTCCCTTCTCATTCCATATAAGAAGGACTAATGGACAATTTGATATCGTGGTATGTAGGTGCCGCGTAAGGTTCATTGTGCAAGTCTGAAGGGCTTGGCTTTTGCTATTCGATACTACCATTAGGTACCATAGATATCTGGAAGTGCGGAGTAGATAGACTATTAGAGAGTGAAATATGCTCACTATTGTCACTTAACTGCATAAGTATAACTCATGTGCGAAGCTTTGCTTCCATGCTGCCGTTCTTCGACATAAATTGGGCAGTATTGCGGATAGATCTTTTCACCCGTAGATGTCATACTATACGTGCAGTCAGTTTACGTGAATGAGCTACACAGGAGCCTTTTTGTCTTTGGTATTTCGCTGGAGGCAAACACGTCCTCTCGTCATTGGTCATCACATATTCTCGGTTCTTCTCGAAGAGGGGAAACGGGTGGGCCTGCATTTATGCTGTGATAAGCTGATGATTGCTATAGTCTCCCTGCAGTAGTACAGTCTATTTCTCCATATTGGACTGTGGTTCAATGACTATGGAAACCTATCTTTGGTGCATTTGCTGCCCTATTGTTTACAATATTAGTTATCTTAGTTTATAGTGAATGGTTATAAGACAGAGAAAGTAAACGTTAAAGAACAGAAAAAACAATATTAAATACTTAATCAAGATATAAAATAAAGCACAAGAGGGCTATCGTGATAGTCAGTTCTCAAGTTAATAGGGTTTGCCATTTATGTATGTTTAAAGTTCTATTTAACCTATTTTATATATAATTTGGTACCTTTTCTTCTCGTAGACGTACATGCTTGCATGCACCAAAAGGATGAGGTATTGATTACCACCTCATATTCTCACGATCTCTTGACTACTCAAATGCTACACTTTGTCGTTTGCCTAAGCGCATAGATGGCATCTAGATCATAATTCAGATCCCGTTCGCTTCGGATTTCAGTGTCCGCCAGAATTGGGATCTTCTTGTTGAGCGGCCTCTAATGACTCGCCATCCTCAGTGAGCAGACCTAACTCGTTTACAACAACATGGAAGAAATTCTGCTCCCCGTGTTGCCCACCCGTGATTCCACCCTTCGCAACGCCCTCTCCGCTTCTCACATCTCTGACCACATTCCTGGCACGTTCCCTCTCCCCAGCGTGAACCAGAGCACGTACAACAGCGACAATGGCATCCCACCCGGGAAGCTTGCCATGTTTCGACATGCGCGTGAGAACCGTCATCATCCTGCCCACCTCACCAGCAGCGGCATAGCCCTCGATGATGCGATCGAAGAGAAACTTGTCCGTGCCTGCGCCGGGTGTTTGTAAGATCTGCAGCCAGAGAGAATCGGCAGCCGCGATGTTCGGGGGCGATTCTTGAAAGTAATGCGTGAAGAGCGAGGTGTAGATGTGGGGACCGGGAGACATGTTACGAGAGGTCATGTAGCTTATCACTGCACGGACAGCGGGGAAATTCTTGTACTGCTTGAGCATGGTATCGATGGTAGTTGCGTAAATGTAGGAGTTCAATCTGAGGCCGGAGGACTCTAGCTGTGTGAATAGAGTTGTGATGTGTGCTGCTTGAGCGTCTTGGTCGAGGGCAGCGAAGTCAGCATTGTCGAAGGAGGCCCGGACGAGCATAGTGTAAGTCGCAAGATCGGCTTGAATGCCCTGCGACTCCATTTGGCGGAGAAGCTTGAAGGTCGTTTCGTGGTCATTGCCGACAAGATAGACTTTTATCAAGCTGTTGTAGGTGCGGGCATCCGGGGAGATATCAAAAGTGCGGGCCCAGCTAAGGACTTTATGGATGAAGTCACGCTTGCGGTCGAATGAGAGCTGTCGTTGGGGGAGATTGGCCAGAGCTGTTATAGCGCCATTGATGACTTCAATTGAAGGCTTGGTGTGAATGACCGACTTGTTTGTTGGCGATTTCTTCTGCTTATGAGACATTTCTTGACTAGATGGAGAATGCTGTGAAGCAAGCCATGCTTTGCCCATTTCATCAAGTGTTGAGAAGCCAGCATTGATTTCGCGAAGAGAGATGAGGCCGTTGACTCGAGTAGTCCATGCGAAATTGTCGGGTTGAACACCAGACTGTATCATCCTTGCCCACATGGCGTTCAGACCGCGAAGATCCCGAGCTCTTACACATCCAGTGAGCATAGCGGTCCACGTTGTTACATCTGGCTTCACGCCATGTTCCATCATATGATTCCAGACTGTCACCGCCTGGTCTGAGGCGAACAAAGCCAGGAAGCCCGTTAAGAAGGAGTTATAGACGATTGGGGGAATGTTGGCAGCGCCATCCTCCTTTGTATAAGCCATGATGGTTTCGGCCCATATTCGTTCCACCTTGTGCTTATGAGATTTCTCATTGATGGCTCGGTCGATTCGTTTTAGTAGCATTTGCTCCTTGTTATCTGCTCGTTGCTCTTCGGTCAATGGGCCTCCTTCAAAGGTTTTTTCGCCTATCATGTTGATGGCTAGCGATGGCGCCAATGCGATCTGTTTGACGATATCAGTGCGGAAATCCTTTGGTAGCATTTTGAAATCAGATGACAGATCTGCGTGTGTAAGTGTGGATTGAATGGTGGAGCCTGGAAGTAGATATGTGATAAGCCTTAAGAAAGGGGCGTGTTGGGTTGCCAAATCTTTGGGGAGCACCGCAGTGAAGCTGTTCTGTCCTCTGAGGAGTATAAAGACTGTCAAAGCCGAAAATCCCAGGATAGTACTGCCCAAGCTTTTTGGATGGAAGATTTGCATTCGACGGTTGAAGTCCCGAGCGACGGATGCATCCCTCAATACCTCCTTGACGTCATCAACCTGAGGCATCGATTTCCATTCCGTATCGAGGGTTTCTAGTGGAAGTTCCACTTGCCCCTTGCACTGAAAGAAGAACCTCCATACAGATAGCAATTCGCTGAAAAGAGCTTCAGCATTCCCTTCTTTGGCATGTATGGCCGCTAAGGTAGTATCTGTGAGTTTTCGAAAGGTGCCTTTCCAATTGTTTGGAGTTTGAATGCCCAACAATTCGTACTTGTGCAATACCGAAGTTGGGCGGACTGGTACATGTGCTCCACGACAAAAAGCATGTACTAAGTTTGACAAGAGATCCTCAAACACCGAGTGGCTTCCCATCAATGATAAATCGTTATACGAAGGATGAGCAAGCGCAGGACAACCCCTTGCTGGATATGCCTCCAGAAACAAATCCCAAGCTCTTTGTAGATCCTTTTGCTTCAAATAGCGGTTGATCTGGACAGCATATGAACGTGTCCCAGAGTCTGCGCGCCTGTCGGGCTCGTGCTGCGATACCTCGCCCTCCAATTCTGAGCTCAAAGCAACTTCATTATCAAAGGTGGTGTACTTTGAATATCGCCCCCTATTGACCGGTCGCTGGAACTTCCGTTGTTCCAATGAGCTCGCGTTCGTAGTGTCCTCGGTATTCCTAGTAGGTACGTGGTTGTTATTCTGTGCTGTCTCTTGTGGTCCAAGAGATTCTCGTTCGGTAGAAGAAGCTTCTTGCTGGGGCGTCGTTGATTGTTCGTTTCGAAGGGAGATGAATGACGCTCTGGATTGCCATTGGGGGTTTGTGAAATTCGTGAGGCGCCCCGCGAGCCTGACTCTGCATTGTCTACACACGTACGAGTTCATCGTGATCGTAGGAAACGCTCAATGGACACGGGAAAGGTGGAGGAAATCATAGCTACAAATGTTGCATTAGCCTTCCGCCAGAGAACAGGACTCGTGGACACTGACAAATTGAAGGAAGTACAGATTCACACATTCCCCCCCATGCGCGCTCGCGGAGCAAAGCATGCGATCATTCGTTGAGGCCTTGAGACGTTATGCAATCAATCGTGCTTTAGCTGCCGATAAATTTCCTTGGTCACTGAGCGTTCTGTTATTCCGCACGTTGCAGTTGAAACTAATCCTGATTAGGACAAGCCGAAGTACCCTGTCGATGGTGACGCATGAGGACTCGAAGCTTTGGCAAGCTTCATACAACGTCTTCTCCTCTTGCTCTTTATATACCTAATTGGTCCGTTACAAGAGTATTTAGATCAACAATTATTATTATCTAGACTATGACCACCCATATTCCGCGTGCCCCGTACTCGCCAGCGGAGCTTGAGAAGCTATACCCGAAGGACGTCGAGCTTCAATTGGTCCAAGTTGTAAGTTCTTAGATAATTCTTGACGGCAACAGACGTATGCTGATTATATTATAGTTACTTCGTCATGGTATGTAGCGATGGATATTCGTATAAAAATAGTAGTTGAATATTTCCATAGGCGAACGGAGCCCTGTGTCACCTCGATTTCAGAATGTAAGCCCCCATGCATGCATGTGTTACCAAGAGCGCCACGAATTAATGTATTGACCCAGACTGGATTACGACCTTGTAAGCACGGCAACCAATGAAGAAGAGTTATTCTGATAACATCAAAGATTGGCCTTATTGCAACTCTGCCCGACAATTCACTAGTGTTGTAATGACTACAACGGACTGGACGAAATGGGATCATCTCAAATATCGCCGCAGGCTGGAAACGTTCGGTATCGATGATGGGCCTGGTACGATTATTATGAGGCAATTTCCTGAAGGCTAGCCTAATAGATAACAGTGATCGCGTCTGGTCCAGATGGTGAATTCGACGGCATCTGGTGCGCCCTCCGTCATCTCTGAATAGTATCAACACTAACAAGGTTCATAGCCAACCAGGCGAACTCACAGACAAGGGCCGTGAAACGACACTGGCTCTTGGTCAAAGACTGCGCCATCTCTACGTGGATCAACTCCATTTCATGCCTAAACTCATCGCCGGTAGCGACATGATCTATCTACGAGCAACCCCTATCCCACGTGCTTTGGAATCGGTTCAGCAAGCATTCTGGGGTTTCTATCCTCCCAGTGCAAGAACAGCCGACTTTCCTACTCCTACCATCGTTACCAGAACCCCAGCGGACGAGACTTTGTTCCCGAACGATGGTAACTGCCGAAGATTTGCCCATCTAAGCCGTGCATTTGCCAAAAGAGCAGCCCAAAATTGGAACGACACAGACGACATGGAGTACTTGTCAAGTCTCTACTCCAAGTGGATGCCCGGGAAGTCGAAAGTAGCGGTTGACTCCCACCCAAGAGTATCCGGAATCATGGACACTATCAACGCGACCGATGCTCACGGACCTAAGACCAAGCTCCCTAAGGAATTCTACGACCCCAAAGCCCGCGCCATTATCGACAAGATTGGCGTTGAAGAGTGGTACGCTGGATATAAAGAGTCGGCAGAGTATCGCATGCTTGGAATCGGCGGTTTGATGGGCGACATCACCAGTCGAATGATTGGATCCGTTGAGCGCGACGGCAACGATGGACTTATCGAGATTGGCGGCAACGACGGCGACCTTGGTCGGGGTAGAGGAGGCGAGACAGATATCAAGCTCGCGCTTTCTGGCTGCCACGACACAACGCTTGCAGCGATCCTTACCAGTCTTGGGGCCTTCGACGGCGAGAAATGGCCTCCGTTCACGAGTCACATAGCTTTTGAATTGTTCCGCAAGAAGAAGCTCGATAGCCCTGCCGTCATTTCCAAATCCGTCGCAGCCCCGCAACCTAAATCTCAGAGCTGGTGGTCATCCATCTTCGGCGGCGGCAGCAGCAAAACCAACACCGACCAGTCCTCCACTATTGCCCGTACACCAATAACCGAACTCTCCGAGAACAAAAAGAACGAACTGCGCGGCTACTACGTACGCATCCGGTACAATGATAAGATCATGCAGGTTCCAGGCTGCACGCCTGATGGCAATCATCTTGAGGGTGACACTTCGTTCTGTACACTTGTAAGTGCACATCCTCTTTCCAACCACCACAAACACTTTCTATATCGAATGAGACTACTCATTGGAGCTTAACTGTTGGCTGACTTTGTAACCTATTAGGAGGCATTCAAATCCATCGTCGACAAGTACGTGCCGAAGAACTGGAAACACGCATGTGCTTCCAATGTCGACGCCCCTGCCTTCCCTACACAAGCCGAACCCGCGGGATACTAGATTCCGTTATGTTAAATCATTGATCGTACACAAAGCCGAATCTATTGTACATAGGAAAGGAGATGAAAGGATGAAAGGCGGGATTGAACTTGGACAATTGTGCCAAACATGTTGAGAATTGTCACACTGACTTCGTATTTGCATTCCATGTTTTTTGAGAGTATGATACAATCGGACCTTAGTCGTTTTGAAACAGGCAAAAAGTACATACAATGCCAAACAGTCACATAGTCGAATTCGATAGTAGGGTTTATCTTCAATAAGTGTATTATCAGGCTGTATGAGCTCAGGTGCTCCCCTCCACCTCCTATTTCATGCTTGATTATTTGCAAGCAATCGGCTCTCTGTTGGGCTTAAGGCCCTATAACTCTCATTGAGATACCCAACGAAAAACAAGCGCATGAAAGATCTGGGAAACTTTTTTTTTGGTCGACGTAGAGGAAGGAGACAGACAACTCCCAGAAAATCTCGCCCACCAGCTCCACAGCCTGGCTAGGCCCCTCCAATTTGTTGACCTGGTGATGAACCCATCATTCTCTAGAGGAAATATGGTGCAGCTTCCGAAAAATAAAAGATAATCAGGACCAAGACAAATGCCTGAAAACAAACGCCGCCGCTGATGTAAAAAGTTTATAATAAGACAATTCAAGAATATAGAAAGAGTTGCTGTATCTCCACATGCTCCATCTCGTCCTGAGAGCAGTATTAGTGCTATAAAGTGGGGACATCATGGATGTCACACCAGCAAGGCCGTCAGGTAAAGGACCATGATGAAGAGGTAGTCCTTCCTGGTTCAAATGTGCTCCTCAATGTTGCCTCATCTTCCATGGCAAATCCAGAGCCACTGGGTATCATCGGTAACGCACTCTTCATGAGGCGTCTACATCCGCGTCGTTCATACATCGGGAGCTAGCAAGTTTCAGCGCCGCTTCTAACGAACACTACTTGTAGGCTTCTTCTCCTCGTCCTTCTCCACATTCTTTAGCCTTGCTAGCACTGTTGCGAGTGTCTTTCTTTCCTTGCCATCAACATGTAGGACATGAATGATGTCGCGTACTTGTAATCTCTTGCCTGGATCTCCAGTCTCCAGAGAGCCGCCGTACGTTCTCTTAAGACCTACGAGTGCACGATCAACTGGGACTTGTGCGGGAGTGCTGGCGCCGCTCGCGCTGCCTGCACTTGTGTTTATCCGACTAGGCGTAGAAGTACCTGACGCACCACCACCGCCGCCCCCTCCACCGCCTCCTGTCATCCAAGAGTACTTCTTCTTTCCACCGAGTGCCATGCTGGCTGTCTCGTTGGCTTTCCGATGAAGGACATCTTCTGTCTGACCAGCTTTGGCCATGCGCATCTGTTCTTTCTTTGTGATCTTGTCTGGGAGTTGAATTGGAGCGGCTGTGGGCGTTTCTGCAGGTGCGCCGGAGGCAGCTTGTAGCCTCTTCTTCCTCTTTGCAAGACGAGCTTCTTCCCATTTGTAGTCATCTGTGACTTTTCGCTTCAGTGCGTTCGCGATATGATTGGGTAGTGAGATCGTCGGCTGCGGAGTCGGGGGTGCTTCGGTTGGCGGGGTAGGTAGCCGTGCAGCGTTGACTTCTGAAACAAGCATTAGCAGGATGAATCGACACAACAAATATAGATTGACTTACTCTTATCCGTCGTGACCGTCAGGGGACTAATGGCACTGTCTGGTGCCTCCCATGCGGTCTTGGAAATGTTTGTCGGAACTGCAGTGGTCTGCCGTGAGCCAGCGCTAGCAATGGCAATGTCTGCCAGAGCAGGCGGCACAACACCGTGAGAGCTATTTTGGCGACCTTGGCTCAAAGTAAATGCATCTTCCAGCACACTTCGTAGGCGTTCCTCGGCAGCTAGAGATATAAGGCTGAGTATGTCGACGAAAGGCGCTCCGTGATTGAGCAAACTATCGGCCTGTAAGGCAGCAACTGATTCACCGTCCGATCCATTTATAGAAGCTCGTGTGACATTTTGTGGGGTGTCAGGAATCTTATCGAAGAGACCCTCGAGGTTCAATTTTAAGCCATGCTCATATACTCTAGTCGATATGCGCTGCCTGATCTGGGTTGCATGTAGGAACGGATCGGCCAACGGAGCCTGAGCAACCTCGGCATATGCGCGTGCCGCCTGCGAATGTTTTCGAGCAAGCTCTGCTTCCTGCTGTTCTTTGGTGACAGGTTGGCTCAATGGACCGGCACCCTGAAAAGCGCCAGCGCCATTTGCCCCCTGCGACCAATTATTGAAGCTGCCGTGGGGTGACAGAGTAGAACCGGACGCCTGGGAGTTGAACGAGTTTCCATAGGTCTGATTTCGGAATGTATGCAGCAGGTTGTCTTCCTCTGCCCGCAGATCGATACCTGAACCCGTCAAAACGTCACTGATGTTGTTAACATCCATGTCGCGCGGGTTCGCCTTTTCCAACTCTCCGTCGTTCTGAGCCTTGCTGTAGGGAACTTTGGGCGGTGGCATAGCACCAGGAGGCGGGCGAGCGTTTAAGTTGGAGTCGTTTGCATGCGGGTAAGGCTGGGGTTGGTGAAATGAGTGAGATGGATAGCCAGCGGCGGGTGACTGGGGCAATGAAGCATGATGGCCAACAGGTGGAGAGCCTGCAGCATAGGGCGAAGTGTTGCCATAGGAAGGAGCAGAGAAGGGCGACTGATACGGCGATGGTGGATTTGGCGAAAGACGCTGCCGTTTCGCTGGTGGGATGCCCATGCTGGGTGACATGGCGCCTGGCGACTGTTGATATGAGGGCGGGGAGAAGGGGCGTTGGGTCGGCTGCTGCTGCGGCGGGAGGTTGTTCGTCTGAAGCGGCGGAATGGTGGCCTGATTCTGATGGCTATGGCCGTACGGATTGCTGTATGGACTCGCCATGTTGGGCAGGAGGTCGTAGAGGCCTGATAATGGTGAAGTTGTGTCGGGGAGAGCGCGACTATGGGGTCGTCCCTCAGAAGAGGGATTGCTCGATGTTCGGGATCCTTTATGGGCGTGTCATCGACGGCGCGGATATATGCAGAGACTGACGCGATCTGCTTCGTGACTCTGGAAGGCTTGTGACTCGTGTTTTCGATGGGTGGGCGGTCGCGGCGTGTTGAAGTTGGAGATGGGAAAGTAAAGTTGAGGCGCACTTGCAACTCTGAGGTGACGCACGGATAACACCGAAGTAAACCCGGCTTAAGTAACCCTTAAAGACGCGACGACGAACAATAGAGAACCATCGCCAAGCCTGTGAACGTCGAAGAGCCTCATAAGCGCGACCACTTCTCATTGAATGATCGCAGTTCAGTCGCATTACCCTTCGACACGCGTTTCGAATATCACTGCTGTCTATTCAGATACAATAGGCTTCTAACAATACTCAGATGACCATCTATTGCGCGCGACGTAGCTTAGGTTGAATGCGCACCGTTGCGAACCCATCGAGGTCTACTTGAATCCATTCACAAATACATAGCCCGACCGCGGAATCGTCACAAATCTACACCTCGCTATCGTAAAACTCTCCTATCATAGTAGTCATGGCAGCCAAACGAAAGCATGCGGCGCTCGCACCGGAGGATGATGATCCAGTGGATCCCTCCGATGAGCTCATGTTTCTATGCCTAGGTGGTGGAAACGAAGTCGGTCGATCATGCCATATCATACAATACAAAGGGAAAACTGTTATGGTGCGCATGGATTTCTTATGGAGGGGTTGAAATGAGATGCTGATGGAGTTTAGCTTGACGCTGGCATGCACCCTGCTTACGAAGGACTGTCTGCCATGCCTTTTTACGATGAGTTCGACTTGAGCACGGTGGATGTGCTTCTGATCTCCCAGTAAGTGCAATGTGTTGTTTTCTTATGTTTTCTGATATTGTGGTGGAAAGACTGGCGCATCACCAGCAGTCGGACATTAAAGGCTTCGTTTGATTACCTCTTGTATACGAGAAACAATGGAAAATACATTTGCATCCTATCTGTTCGACTGCGGTGATGTGCCTATTGCTTAGCACATAGTTTTCTGCTTCCACTACAGCCCGTCCCGTCCCCTGCATCCATGTCCCCAATGACTTCAATAACTAATGGATGTTCAGTTTCCACGTGGATCACGCAGCCTCCCTCCCATATGTCCTCGCAAAAACCAACTTCAAAGGTCGAGTCTTCATGACGCATCCGACAAAAGCTATCTACAAATGGCTCATCCAAGATTCCGTCCGTGTCGGGAACATCTCATCCTCGTCTGAGACCAAAGTTCAGATGTACACCGAAGCGGACCATTTGAACACATTTCCAAGCATTGAGGCAATCGATTTCCACACCACACATACCATATCTGGTATACGGATAACACCATATCCTGCTGGCCATGTGCTTGGTGCGGCCATGTTTCTCATCGAGATCGCGGGGTTGAAGATACTGTTCACTGGAGACTATTCGAGAGAAGACGATCGGCATTTGGTCTCCGCAGCTGTTCCCAAGGGCGTCAAGATAGACGTACTCATCACGGAGTCGACGTTCGGTATCTCAACACATGTGCCGCGAGTACAAAGAGAGACGCAGCTTATGAAGTCCATTACGGATATCCTGAACAGAGGCGGGCGCGCTCTTCTCCCAGTGTTCGCGCTTGGCCGAGCCCAGGAACTCCTGCTCATCTTGGATGAGTACTGGCAGAAGCACCCGGAGTACCAGAAGATCCCCATCTATTACAACTCCAGTCTTGCCCGTAAATGTATGGTTGTGTATCAGACATACGTATCAGCAATGAACGATAACATCAAACGATTGTTTCGAGAGCGCATGGCTGAGGCCGAAGCAGCCGGTGACGTGGGCAAAGGAGGACCATGGGACTTCCGATTCGTTCGAAGTTTGAAAAATCTCGATCGTTTCGACGACATGGGCGGCTGCGTCATGTTGGCATCGCCAGGTATGTTGCAGTCAGGTATATCTCGCGAGCTGCTCGAGCGCTGGGCGCCAGATCCGAGGAACGGTGTCGTCATCACGGGTTACTCGGTCGAAGGGACAATGGCAAAGCAGATTGTCCACGAGCCAGAGCAAATTCCAGCGATCACTCAACGAGCGACGAATTCTGCACGACGGCCGGGTCAGAAAGAGGGCGAGCAAATAATGATCCCGCGACGATGCACAGTTCAAGAATACAGTTTTGCGGCACACGTCGACGGGAAGGAGAATATGGACTTTGTGCAAGAGGTGGCTGCACCAGTTGTAGTATGTCTAGTTTTGTATTAATCGAGAAGGAACGATACTAACCACTGACTAGATTCTCGTGCATGGCGAAAAAGGCAACATGACCCGCCTCAAGTCGAAGCTTCTTAGTTTCAACGCACAGAAGAAGACGCCCGTCAAGATTTACTCGCCAGCAAACTGTGAGGAGCTTCGTATACCATTCAAGACTGATAAGATCGCCAAAGTGGTCGGGAAACTCGCGAGCTTACACCCCCCCATGCCACCTAAAGGAATAGATGGTGACGACGAAGACATCTCCAGTGATACAGAAGAAGAGCAAAACCAGCTCATCAGCGGAGTGCTGATCCAGAACGACTTCAAGATCAGTCTGATGGCACCCGAAGATCTCAAAGAGTACGCAGGCCTGACGACGACGACGATCGTCTGCCGCCAACACCTCACATTATCCGCCGCGGGCGTTGAGCTCATCCGATGGGCACTCGAAGGGACATTCGGTGCCATCAAAGAACGCACCATAACCGACCACGCCATCAACGGCAAGGAAAGCGCAACAAACGGCACAGGGAACCACGAAGAAGCCGACGAGGAGGTGGAACGGTCGAGCAAAGCTTTCCAAGTCATGGACTGCGTAACGGTATATTGTCGACCAGGTGGTCGTGTAGAGGTGGAATGGGAAGGCAACATGATCAACGACGGCATCGCCGACGCTGTCCTGGCCGTCCTGTTCTCTGTGGAAAGCAGCCCAGCCTCCGTTCGACGTACGTATACCCACCTCTATGCATCCCAAAATTCTCCATCACAAAGTAGACTGACCAAACTCTATAGAATCATCACGCTCACATTCCCACTCGCACGCTGAACCCCCATCATCACCAACATCCCTCGCCCTACCCACCCACTTCAAATCCGACTCGACTTCCTCCGCCACCTCCGCCACCTCACCCTCATCCACCTCCCCGACCAAATCAACAACGCCACCCTCAGCGCCCTCGGAGTCGCCGACGAACCCACACAAGACCCCCGACCCATCCACCCGCCTCTCCCGCCTCTTCCTCTTCCTAGAAGCCCAATTCGGCGCCGACTCCGTCCACCCAATCACCTACCCCCGAAACTCACCCTCCGACCCTGCCAACAACCCCACAATAACAACATCACCAACACCTCCCCCCTCCGGCACCCCAACAGCAAACGAAACAGCAACAACACCAACCACAGTCTCAATATCCGGCAACCCCCTCACGCCCACATCACAACCCATCCTCTCCCCCTCCGACAAGGCCGAACTCAAACGCCTCCACTCCCTCGGCATACCGGTGCCCGGAATCGAAATCAGGTTCGACAGGTACGTAGCCAGGGTGTGGCTCGAGGACCTGGACGTCGAGTGCGCGAGCGTGCCGCTGCGGGCTAGGGTGAAAGCCGTCGTGGAGAGGGGCGTCGAGTGCGTTAGTGGGCTTTGGTCGTGAGGGGGCTTTGTCTCTTCTACCTTGTCTTGTCTTTCGAGTCTTTCATGTCCGTGGGGTGGTTTCTTTGCGGAAGGGTTGGGTGGATGGGTGGTCGTTTGTCTGTGATTGTGTGCTTTGCAGAAGGAGAAACAAGAGAATGAAATTTCATGGAGGGATATACTGGTGTCGAGGAAGCGGAGGATGAGGATATGAAAGTGGATGTGCATGGTACTATTATATCATATTCCCCCACCCCAGAATTTTATTAAAAATATACATATATACATGCACGCAGGCAATATGATCGATGCTCATTATTTTTGCCTTGTAGTCTTCTGAGAACGGTTTAGAGGGAGTGAGTAGGTGGTAGCGATGAAGATACAGAACCGATTGTCAAGTATTAGACTATGATAGATTTCTTTTCACTCACATTTCGTGATATCAATTCCACTGTCTCAACGAACATCTTCATCTCGTATTTTGGATTCAAGTCACCACAAAAACACTACAAAGTAACCGGCCATACAATGAAAAGATGTGATTCGATTTGATTATTTGATATTGTAATTAATCCATCCCCTGATGTTGCAGGCCCCATTGAGGCCCAAATGTGTGATATGCCCTTGATCCGTCTGAGCTATGCCGAGTCATCGTGATACCATTCCCCGATCGTATGCAATGCAATTGTGTACGCAAAAAGAAAAAGAAAGATTCGATCGTGCAATTTCGATGATAAGATCTGTTTGAGGGGGTATGAAGGGGATGGAATGGAGAAGGCTCATATATTGTGCTCCTCCTACTCTCTATGCGTGTGTGTCATCGATTCGGGTATGTGAGTTGAAAGTTGGGCTGTGAAAGGCCTTGAGAGGAAAGAAAAGAAAACCCACTGGATGTATCGTGTGATCAGGTCTTCTTCGAGAACAATCCGTTGGACATTCGGTTTGGAGATTGTAGACGCGTCGACTAGAGCGGATGGTCAGGCCTTTGGTCCGCGACAATCTCCTCAGTGGTGGAACGCTGAAAGATCGAAGTGTCGACTGTCTTGCCCAATTTGAACCCGACTTGGTGCAAATGACCAGAGGCCCTGAAACCAAAGCTCTTGAGCCATTTCTTGATGCTGTCGACTTGCTTAGGCTGGCCTTGGTCATTGGCATCGTGAGGAAATGTGAAGTTGATGGTCTTGACCACCCGCGATGGACCATTCTTGAGGTAGTCGTCCCGATTGATCCAGTCATAACCGCCCCTCAGGAAATGAGAAGTGTCACACATTTCGAGCATACGATCCAACAAGCAACTCCCAATACCCATCTTGCAGTAATCGACGTGAACGAAAATCTCTAGATCGAAGCTGTATCGATACATGCTTCCAGGCTCGACGAAATCTGTGTCGAGTCAGTTTTATCTGGGACAAAGTTTTATCTGATGAATTGCACTGGATCTTACCGTCAATATTTGCAAACCCTACCACCTGCTCCGTGAAGTAATCTTGATTATTCCGAGTTCCTGCACGGTGGATGGCGACGATCCAAGGTAGTCCGGCATTCATCACGTTCTGCACCCGAAGAGTCATCTGTGGTACAGTCCGAGGGAGAAATTCGTGTGCACTAATCGTGTTTGCGACATAGTAGTTGTAGAGTTCCATAATCTGCGGAATGTCTGCCACGATCACTGGGCGAAGGTAGACGTCTGTTTTCAGCTTGATGCTCCTATCAGGCACTTCGACCCGAGAAACGGGTCGCTCCGGTACAGCACGCGCTTTCTGAATCGCCCTTTGCCTACCCTTCTGCTTGTTTGCCATTGCAAGCATGGCAGAGCCTCGTGCAACTTGAGGAAGATTGTTTTCATGATCTTCCATGTCTAGTCGCGTCTCGGGCATGTCGATTGGATCATTCAAGCATGTAGATGGATTGTGGGTGTCCCACCAGGGGCGAGCCTCTGTGAGATCTATGTCGGACAGTGGAGGCGGCGCTCGCGATTGCAACGCAGCCCAGAAATGCTGAGGAGCCATGGCCTCTATTTTGGTCGGAACCCACGACTGCGGAACTAGATCACCGTTGACTTTGGCATGGTAGGCAGAGGTCTCAAACGTATGCTTGAGAGCGTCCTCGCGCGCACCCGCATCCATGTTTGTTGGAATCAGCCGCACTGCCGTCATCCAGTTCTCAGTGTCGATGCAACGATTCATCCAGCTCTGCGCATTTCAGTCAGCATGACTCAAGATAGGATGGATGAACTAAGCTTGAGGAAAGGAATAATTACCATGATGTGATCATAGAAATGCCGATCGTGGTAGGCTTTTCGAGAATCCCACTCGACAGGGGCGGGCATCCAATCGCCTTTCCAGTCAACAAGCTTGCGGATGTCGTACTCTGGGTCTCCATTGCTCTTCGATGCACATTCTATGCCGCCATCACTCTCCTCGCTCTCCGGAAGTGGTTTCATATCTTTGGCCTTGGGCCACCTGGTCTTTCCGCGTGGAGCTGGTTTCGGCCCATTGCCTCTCCACTGCTTAGGTTTGGCCCCCCTCTTCGTTTTCTGGTTGCCCCAATCCGTCGTGTTATCTTCTTCAACGGTCGTATCCCAGATGTCCACGGCAGGGTCCGGCTTGTAAACAAAGGACTTCTTCCAATTATCGTCAACAGGTACGTCCACCCCTTCCGTGTGCACCTCAGCCTTCACGCTTGGTGGTTGCGGTCCCATGTTATGCCACGCGTCGTGCCAATCCCCAAACCCTTTCGTTTCAGTACGAGCCGGAACGATAGGGGTGGTGGTAGGTCCTGCAGGAGCTTCGGCTGGGATGTTTGCCACGTTTGGTTCTGGTGCAAGCTGATGCTGTGGAGGAGATTGTGGTTTGCCCACTTGAATCCCGTTGGTCTTGTGGGGCTTACGGAGGTGAGGTGGTATAAGCGCATCACTCGACAGGTTCCCGTTGGCATGGCTGTTGCCGTTACGGTGAGGAGGCGGTGTGTGGTTGGGTGCCGGATTAGTTTTGACAGTGCCATCCTTATTACGAAGATGAGGTGGCACGCTGACGGGTTTTGGGCCATCGTCGTTGACTTGTTCTTTTGCTTTCACGCGAAGATGGGGAGGGATAAGTGTGCCATTGGGGTCCTCCACATCTGTCTTGCTGCCGTTTGTCTTACCTTCTGGTTGTGCGGCCATCTTAATTTTGCGCCTTGTCTTGCGACACCTCTTGCTCCGTGTTAATGACTGTGTTTCTTGCGGCTTGGTTGGACGAAGAAGTGCCTCTTCTAGTTCGTTGACTGCGGATTTGGGGAGCTGCTTGTTGGCGATACGTTTCGAAGTCGCGAGGGCTTCTGCTGCTACTTGGAACTCGTATTTACCCCAGGTGGACTCCGCAGTGGATTCCGAGAGATCGAGTGGTTTCCACTTCGTATTGCGCTTCTTGCGCTGCTTTCGTGACTTCTGCTCCTATGGACAGAGTGTGGTCAGGAAGAAGAAGAAGAAGGAAGGAAGTTTGGCGAGAGGAAGTGAGATTATATAGGCCGAAGTAAAGGGCAAAAAAAGTGGAGATATGGCGACGCAGGTAAGAAAGATTGGCGAGGTGAGAGAGCGGGAGAAGGGTAGCGGTGAGACAGAATCGTGAAGGTGAACGAGGTAAAGGAAGTGAGAGGGCGAGTGAAGGGGTTATAGCCAGTGCCAGCGACGAAGTAAAGAGCGGCCAATCAAAACGTAATGAAGGGAGAGGGCGTGAGAGAATGGGTATGATAGATGGATTTTAAGAAGCAAGGAAGATGTTGAAGTCACGAAATCACTTTCACTTACAGTATTAGTTTGATCGGCGGGAGTTGATTGTTGCGCAGGCTGGGAAGGAGCTGCGGGCACTGGAACAGTATTGTTCCGCTGTTGCCAATCTCGGGCGCACATTGCAAAGTGAGCCATGTTCGCTGTTACTATTGTTGAAGTGAGAGTTGAATGATTGTTGCAGCAAGTATGACACTGAATGGTCGGCAGACGAGACTGGGGCCGAGGGGGATATGCTGCGATGTATATTGTAATTGTCTCGCACGGAGAAGGAGGAGGAGCGATTCTGTCCCCCAGAACTGGGAAAGAGAAAGAAGAAATGAGAGGAAGAGTAGGAAAATCTGGTAGATGGTAGAAAATACCAGTACTATGGGTATGGATACATGGCAGGCAACTTACGAGCAGGAGGAGGTTGGTATTGTCGGCACCACACCGGTACCCGAGTCCGTGCAAACAGAGGTGAAGTGGAACAGAATGGACCGGAATAGAATAGAGTAGAGCAGAATGGAATAGAGCAGAGTAGAATGGAATAGAGTAGAGTTGAGATGATGGGACAATACAAAGTCGAATAGGCAAGTCTGCTGCGGTAACTGTTGGGATGGACGTCTCTCTCTACAGTGGCCAATTGCCTAGTATACATATCCCGTATACAACTCTGGGAAAGATCCATTGATTGACCTGATGGAAAATTTCGATTTCATTGACTTTGGATGGATTCACTGTCCGCCGTCCATAGTTCACGATTCACCATCACATCCCATGGAAGATGTATGGTCGGTGGAGAGCACAAAGAGGTGTTGGGCTCTTTCGAGGGTAACGTTCTGGCCGCAACACATTATAAAGTCTGGCTCAATATAGTACCTGCTGATTGGACTTGATATTTCCATTGGAATTGTTTTTGTGATATTGTAGAAGATCTTTGGTTTGGTTCATTCATTCAATCCATGTATGTACCTACCTGGGTAAGTAGTTACAATAATTGTGGTATTAAATGCGATCCAGTCTAACCGAAAGGAGCGGAATTCTATCGATAGCATCCCCAAAGTTCTGTCTCTGCTCTGTTGCCTGGGCCTTCCTTTACCAACAAACAGCGCCCTACCAAATTCTAAAGATGCTGTCGATATTACGGAAAGCACGATTAAAGGATAAGGAGATGAGGATCTTGATGTTGTGAGTATGCGTGATTCCTCAATTCTTATTCATCGAGGAGGCGATCGCTGACTTGATGCGGTGGTGAGGGGTCTCGACAATGCAGGAAAGACCACCATAGTGAAGAAGATCATGAACGAGGATGTCAACAGCGTCAGTCCCACACTTGGATTCATCATAAAAACGATCGAATACGATGGGTATGTGTCTTGAATCAGTAATCACGCGTTTGCGCGCACATGTTTTGACAATCTACATTCTAGTTATAAATTGAACATATGTAGGTACTGTTGCATGTTGGTTCGAACATGACTAATAGCCCCACGACTGACTATTTCTGCACCAAACAGGGGATGTCGGCGGACAGAAGACGCTCAGGACGTACTGGAAGAACTACTTCGAAAAGACGGATACGCTGATCTGGGTGGTTGATGCGACAGATCGAGAGCGCCTCGATGATTGCCGCCAGGAGCTAGCTGGTCTACTGCTGGAAGAGGTATGATTGCTATCATCAACCGTTGTTATTATGGCCATATTTAACACCATATCAAGCGCCTGATGGGAGCTAGTCTCCTCGTGTTCAAGAATAAAAGCGATGTCGCGAGTGCGATGACCGAAGACGAAGTTCGAGAGGTGAGTTTTGAAGAAGATTTACTTTGATAGGTTGGACGTGAGCACATTGGTTGTCAGGCCAATAGACCAATGCACCCAGATGAACTAGATTGGGGTTTTGGAAAGCAAACAACGATTCTGACGGTGGGACAGGGACTCGGGTTGGACTCGATCAAGACGCACAGGTGGACCATCATGGCGTGCAGTGCCATGACAGGGCTGAGCCTGCAAGAGGGACTCGAATGGGTAGTGCAGGATGCAAAGGCACGACTTTTCCTGTACTGAGGGGAGATATAAAATGATATGAGCGTGGGATATCTCTTCTATAGTTCATGAGGAGAGGGTGTATACACAGTAATAATACATTAATGTGGACATGAGATTATCTGTTACGACAATCAAGTCAACAGTCACGACAGTAAGCAACCTTGAATGTTGACTGTACTAATCCCAAAGAGGATAGAGTGGATGTCATATGATGGGACTAAGAAAGAGTAGGAGCGGCCAACGGCGGCGGAAGAGAGACAGACGGAAGGAGACAGACGAGTATTACTGTGTACTGTACTCCGTACCTACCTCGTACCTCCTAGGTATTACTGTGGTAGAGAGAGTAACTAGAGAGACAACAACACCCTAAAGAAAAACAACAACAACAACCATCATCCATCATCCATCATCCATCATCCATCATCCATCATCCATCATCCATCATCCATCCACTCCACTCAACCCTCATCCATCCTCTCCCTCTCCCTCTCCCTCTCTCACTGGCTCTCGTTTTCCAATTCATCTTCAATTCAATTCAATTCAATTCTCATCTCCCATTTTATAGTTTCGAACCCTTGTCCATTGCTCTCTCGCTCTCTCGCTCGCTTCGTCCCATCCCGCGTTTTTTTCCCCGTCCCCCCCTGGATAATCACTGTATATTATACCTCTCCCTCGACCAGGCTCTTTCGTTTCATTCAAATCTTGAAACCTCTCCGGGGTACGCGCTTGGACCAATAAAAAACCTACTTGCCATGAGGGAGGAAGCATAACCGAGAAGAGCGTCCGAGTTAAATCATTTTAAGATATACCCATCCACCCCATCCCATCCCATTCTTTTGCCTGGCCCTGCTTTGCTTTGCTCTGCTTTGCTTAGCTAGCCCTAGCTCTAGGATCCCTTCCCGGGATTGCTATCCACCTCCCACACCCGCCAACCCACCAAGAACACCAAACCCTCTCGCCTTGGTCGACTTGTCTGGCACGAGCCTTCTCTACTCCGCTTCTCATCACCATCATGTCCCAAGAAGTGGATCCCACAGAGTTCGTCCAGCGCATTCGACAGCTGGGCGAGCAGAGAGACCAGCAGGATGCCGAGCGAGTGCGAAAACTCGAGGAAGAGCTCATCCAGGGTAGAAGTGAGAGGTTAGCCCGGAGAGCAGGTATGTCGTTCCCCATAGTCACATTTGAAGTCTATTTACTTGTTTTCTCTGGTTTTTTTTTTTTGCTTCTTCTCCTTCCTTCCTTCCTACGTACACACGCACCCTCTTCCCTCCTCTCTACCCTTCCTCGTTCACTCACAATCCTGTTACTAATCCTTAATACCAATTTTCAGAACGCGCCCGATCATTGTCGCCAGATAAGCCTGGCACCCCTCAGTCGCTGCGCGGCAGCGTCGACAGCCCTCGTGCCGTACAAGAAAAAGCTACCGCTACACCTCCTCCAACGATGGAACCTCCATCGCAGGAGTCCGCCCGCGAAGACTCTCTCCAGCGCCTGACAGGCTCGCCAGCCCAAGCTCTCGAAGACGAAGAACCGAAGAAGCCCGCACCGAGCGCCGCCGCTTTGGGTCGATCAGGTACACTTTCATGGCAACAGAGAAGACCACAGTCCGTCGGTGTCAGGCGGCCACTCTCAAGTGGTCGGCCATTGTCAGGCGCTTCTACTCCAGCTGAGAAAATGCCTGCCGCATCTCCACGAGATACTCCCGAACCCGGCTCCCCGGCCGAGTCGACAACCTCGAGGACCCAGATTGCACAAGCGTTGGGAGCCAAGGATCCTTCGTGGTTCAAGCAGACGGCCGATCGTGGCATTGGGTCGGCGGCATACAGACGAAGTCAAGAGGATACTGCTTCCGATGCTGGCTCAGTATCAGGGAAGCGACAACTGCCAGGCATGTCTCGCGAATCGACAGTGGAGCCAGAGTCTATCAGCCCCCCTCCTGAGAGCGGTCGTTCGAGCTCTCCCTCGCGCGGTGGCTCCGTGCGGGGCAGTGTAGCCTGGAGCAATCGCTTCTCTGCGAACACGTCGATATCGGGTGGTGACACGGAACCCTCGGAAAGATCCAAGACTCCCTTACCAGTGCTTGATTCCCAGAAATTTGCTCCGCCTTCGGAACAGGGATCCTCGGTCGGAGGGGGTGATCAGGGTTCAATTCGAGGATTGGCCATGTCACCGACGCAAGGGCGCATCTCGCCAGAGCGACCCGCGTCGCCCACCAAGGGTATGGGAGGCTTCGTGCAGAGCGCAATGCTCAAACGTAGCGACAGCGTCAATAAGAGGTGGAGCACGCAGACGCCGCAAGGCCTCACCAGACAAAACTCGACACTAAGCAATCGTGGTAGTGCTATGGCTGGATATGGGTCACTATCCAAAGCCTCCGGAGCTTTGGTCAGGGACAATTCTACAGAACCCTCCTCGCGTCCGGGATCAAGCTCCAGCAATCTTACCCTCACGAAAGATGCCATCGAGACCGAAAGCAAGTCAGAGTTTGTGAAGCCTGAAAAGCCCGAGTTCGTCAAGCCCGCTCTCCCTCATCACAATCGAAGCAAGTCAGTGGCATCCACTTTCAGCGAAGACAAGCCTCAAGATGAGACGTCCCCACCCAGCCCGTCGAAGCGTTGGAGTCCGACAAAATCCAGCTGGCTAGAAAATGCATTGAACAAACCAGAGTCTCCAAAGATAAAACAGGCTCCGCCGCAACAGCCATCGTGGATGGCCGAGCTTAATCGCAAGAAGCAGCAGCGTGGAAGTGTGGATCTTGGCAAGGGAAGCCCTGACCTAAGTCCCTTCGATTCGGTACCGTCTGGCCGGACATCCCCCATCAAAGATGTGCAATTGCGACCTGTCAGTCTCCGGCGGCCAGACTCCCCATTGAAACAGGAGGCGCCGAAGCCGATTGAGCCCTCGGCGAAACCGAAGCCCTTGTTTTCTCCCAAGGTCGTAACCTCTCCCAAACCTACAACTTCTCCCAAGCCAAAGATTACTGCAAGAGAAGAGCCAAAGGAGGAAGTCAAGGATCAGACCAGGCCATCTGAGGATATAGTGCCGCAGGCGGATGAGCCAGTGCTTAGATCAGAACCAGAGCGTGAGCCTGAGCCCGAGCTTAAACCAAAGCCAATTCCAATCCCCAAAGAAGACATCACATCCAAGGAAGAGGACACTCAAACGTCGACGTCGACACCTGCAACTACCCAAGCATCCAAGCTTTCAACATCATCGCCAGCTCCAAAGCCCAAGCCACAAACACCGCCTAAGAAGGATTTCCGCTCGAATCTAAAGGCCCGCGCAGCTGCCTTTGAAGCACCGAAAACAGACCAAAAGGCGGAATTCCAAAACGTCTTCGGTCGGCTCAAGAAAACCGAAACCAAGAATTATGTTGCTCCAGATACACTGAAAGACAACATCTTGCGTGGAAAGAAAGATCTATCAATCACCGGTGGCCCCAAGCCTACTGTACGCAAGGATGAGTTCAAGGAGAGCCTGATCACGAAGAAGGCCGCCATGTTAGTTAAGGCACAGGAAACTGGCTCGGCCGCACACAAGAAGACAGACAGTACCAGCTCACAACCAGCCGCTCTGCCAGAAGCGATAGCACGCAGAAAGACATTAGGACAATCGGACAAACCCGCCAATGTCCCGGCACCCGTTGAAAGGCAGAGAGAAGGAACGCCTGAAGCCATCTCGAGGAAAAAGAGTCTGAGAGCTATGAAGCCGGTTGCGCAGGAAAGCCAGGCAGCGTCTCCCACCCCACTTGGGTCGAAAGAACCCGCGAAATCCAGCAAACTCGCCAATCGGTTCAACCCAGCCCTCGCTGGCATCCTTGCCCGAGGACCGCCAGGGGCGTCCAAAGGTCCTTCAGGATCAGACAGCGACATCGCTCAATCAGCCAGCAGCCCAGCAATTGAAGAGAAGAAGGGCCCAGCTCCTGAACTGACACATATGACCAAAGGCAGAGCAAAGGGCCCGAGGAGGCGAGCGCCTGCGAAAGGGGCATCGGCCGGGGCATCCGCAGAAAAGAAGGAATCGATCCCTTCGAAGCCATCGCCTGTTGCTACTGTCCCCTTGGTCAAGACAGAGGATATACTTCCAAGTACAGGATTCACGACAGCATCTCCCTCAGAAGATCCGTCACTGATACGAACACCGGCCCGCGAATCTCTCAAGGCAAAGCCTGTCACACCTTTGAAATCACCAGACTTGACCAAAAAGCTTGAGAAGTCGCAATCTCCCGAGGTGCCACGAAAGTCGGCATCCTTGGACAAGAGCCCGACCACTTCATTGGAGGCCGAAGTCGCACCCAAGAAGTCATTGGATGCCGAGAGTGTAGAGCCCAGCAAACCGGTCACATCTCCAAAGCCCACAACATGGCGAGGATCACGACCGTTGCCACCGCCCAAGGATGAGCCATCGAGGGAGGCGACAGGTGGAGCAGAAGAGACACCACAGAAGCCAACCGTATCTGCTGTTAGCAAACCGGAAGCCTCGTCACCTAGGCTTGGAAACTGGCGGACATCGAGGCCTTTGCCAGCTACACCCGTGAGGACGGAAACAGACGACACAGCTTCAGCGCCTCATGGATATGCCTCGCCCAATAGAGAATCTTCTTCGCCAGTAAAGGAAGACCCGTCCCCGACCAAACTTGGCTTTTCCGTAAGAGGTGCTACGGCACTGTGGGGCAGGCCGTCCCCATTGTCATCCCCGACCACTGCTGGAGCCAAGACTCCTATCAAGCTTCCCACCCGCGCGGACGAAGAGGCTGCGATGGAGAATGCTGGATTGACTCGTTCGCCTCCACCTGACGACAGGAGAGCATCACCATCACCCCAGGCCCCCAAACCCAAGCCTGCTGGTCTGGGACTGGGCAGTTTGGCTAGCTTGGGTGGTCTAGTTGCCGCGAAGTCAAAGTCAAGGGAATCCAGTCCACCCAAGCCCCTCACTGCGAAGCCCCTACCTTCTACGCCATCAAGCAGTGATCGCCCACAGTCAGAACCTTTCAAGGCCTCCCCCATGCCAGACAAAGCTACCGGACTCTTTGCCGAGTTCTTTGACGAGACACCTGTCCTCCCCGATGAGCTACCTGCCAGCATTGATACAAATCAAATTTTGAAAACAGCACCATTTGATCTAGGACCTGCGGGCAAGATTCGAACTCTGCGCAAACAGATTCAAGAGATCACCGGCGACGGCAAGCTTTTGTCTGTTCCTATGGCAGAAGAGCACGTCCTGTATCAAGATTCAATGTATGTGTGCACTCACATTTTTGGAGATTCCAAGGGAGCGAGAAACACAGAGGTCTATCTCTGGTCGGGCAACGGCGTCGCTGACGCAACCTTGGAGGATGTGCAACTCTTTGGGCGCAACATCGCCAAGCAGAATCAGGGCAAACTGTTCGTCCTCCGTCAGGGCAAAGAGACTCCCAATTTCTTTGAAGCCCTTGGTGGCATAGTCATCACGCGTCGTGGATCGCCCCCTTCGAATCGCGAATACATGCTCTGTGGAAGGCGCCATCTCGGACACATTGCCTTCGACGAAGTCGATTTCACTTTGAAGAGCCTGTGCTCCGGATTCGCTTATATTATTTCAACAGAAAGCGGCAAGGTCTTCCTTTGGAAGGGCCGTGGCTGCTCAGCGGAGGAGCTATCTGCTGCTCGCTTGATGGGCATGGATCTCGCGCCAACGGGCGATTTCAACGAGATCGACGAAGGCTCCGAGCCGGCTAGCCTCTTCACCGTGTTCCCTCCTGCCGATCCAACATCGAAGGCCCCGCTGATTCCTCGGTCCGCCGACCATTGGAAGTACAAGTCTACGAGTGATAGATACCGAGCACGTTTATTTAGGATCGAGCAGCAACATGAAACCTCTGGATGGGGACAGAGCCTGCAGGTGAGCTCTTTCTTTGCGCCCCTGCTTCGTCGACCGTCGTGGCAGTCATTTTCCTCCTCTGCTCCAAATTCTCCTCCTTCGGATGCAAAAGCTGAACAAGCGCCACAGACGCCTGTCACGCCGCGATCGCCACTGCCTCAGATTACCACCAAGGTCGTTGAGGTGATGCCGTTTTGCCAGCACGACCTAGAACCCGAGCACATCTACGTGCTTGACGCCTTCTTCGAGGTGTACATGTAAGTCTATCATTCCGGACGATTTCGAAAGAAAGAAAGAAGCTAATGAATGTCTAGTATTGTTGGCTCTCTTTCTCGCAACCAGTCTGTCGCCTTTGCCAATGCATTGATGTTTGCACAAGAATACGGCATGTTGGCCGTTTCCGAGGAGGATCGACCCTTCATGCCAGTGTCCACTGTCGTGCTCGAGGGTGTACCCCGAGACATGAAGGCTGTATTTAGATTCTGGGACGATGCGCTGATACCTGCTGCTGGACTCATGCAGGGCAAGCTCGGACGTGGCAAGAGTTTGAGGATTGTTGGCCTGAGCAAGGCAATTGAGGCGACGAGACCTTCTTGATTACTTCCAGCATCTTGGCTGTGTAGACAGTCCATTTTTCATGTTCTTTTTCTTTACTTTTTCTCTTCTTGGACGTATCTAGGGAAACACTTGAGCATTTGGGGTGTTCAGGACCAACCACTTAGATCTTTTTGGGGCACCCGGCGTGGTTTTCTTACCGAGATGGTACTTGTACAGTACATGCATACCTAGGTACCTTTTTTCCTCGGTTGGATGTTTTGTGGAGCAGCATGGAAAGCGTTTGCTAGCTAGCATTGGGAGGGGCATTTTCATCTTCTTCTCCTTCTTCATTGTAGGGGGGGCATCAACATACATGCATGCATGAATCGAAATCAAAATCAAAATCGAAATCAATCAATCAATCAACCAATCAATTCGACAAATCAATAATTCGACAAATCTTGAATTGATTCAACTTGAGATATTTCGTGATGTGAATGTGTGAATTATGGTAATAGATGGTAGTGGACAGTAATCAGGTCTGAAATTCGTACGAATGGTAGTCCGGATGGAACGGACTAGACCCGAAAAGGGGGGGAGGAGGAAGGAGGGACATTGGGCTTGGCATCCGGCGATCCGGGAGACGGGAGAGGAAAGAACCCAGAGGGGGAAAGAGACACCCAGGAGGACTCCGGCATTCTTATTACGAGTATTACTCTCCTCCTCTTCCTTCTTATTCATACACCAACTACCTTCTAACTACCTTCTACCTACTAATACCTAATTACTTACTTCTACTACAAGACCTTTCAGCCCCAAGGCAATCCCTTCTTCAATCATCTCTTCCTCTTCAACCTCCTTCTCCCCATCCTCTTTCGCCTCCTTCTCTTACATTCCCACACCTTCTTCTGTTTCATTCCGTTGACTGCCCTCCACAAAAAGTCCATACTACCCGCACGCCAATTCGAGGCCTAAACAACTAAACACCACTACTACCACACACTACGACTACTCCTCCGACACCTCCGCCTAAACTTCTGGTTTCTTCTGACCCCTAATAATACTAAACAACAACTTCTTCCTCTTCATCTTTTTCCTCTCCTTCTCCTTCTTGTTGTTGAATCACCTCTTCCTCCACAACATCACCACACGCAACAAATCTTATACCTCCGCCCCGTTCCGCGCTCGACACCCCCGGTCCTCCACCAACCTGCAGCTCTAGCTTCTAAGCTTCCTTGCTGGCTTGCTTGCTCGATCCCATCCTCGTTCACCTCGTTATCGCTTATCAGCAACTCCTCTAGACGCATTTGCCCGCTTGATTTCCCATCTTCCCCTCTTCGACTCCGCAGACTACAATTCTCCCTACCACTCCCACCACCATCATCCCGACGGCCAAGGAGCTTGCAAGGAATCGCTGAAAGCTACACGAGTACCGCAAATCGATACACCTTGGGCGGACATCTTGTTTGTACGCGTATAACCTGACACAACAAACACAGAGGGGCGTCATCTTTCGGATAGTCTTTGCTGTCATCGAAGGAAGAGGCGGAGCCTAACCTGGTCTACTTTTCCTCTCGTCCAATTCGTCTGACGACAAGAAACGCGCGGCGGCCACCTGTTTTAAGGCAACCATATCTCAACAACATCGCGTGCATCTGGAGGAAATAAATATTTAGAGGAAAGAAAGAAAGCAAAGAAGCAAGAGAAGGTTGGTATAATAAACGATACATATTTGGTCCGTCGAGAAGAGAAGAAAACACATCACAGCACCATCACAATGGCCGACACACAACAACTGGCAAATGGCAATGGCAATACCGTCAGACCCACGAGGGTCAACCCGGTTGGAGAGGAAGAGGAGGCAGAGAACATATTTCTCTTTTGGCCCAACTTGATTGGTATGTCTTATCTGCTTTACGTTGAGCTATGTATGTCTACCAATGATTCGGAGAAACTAACAGGAGATTCGCAGGCTACTCCCGCGTCGTCCTCGCCGTTGCATCTCTCTACTACATGCCCCTCCACCCGCGCACATGCTCCCTTCTATACAGCATATCGTGTCTGCTCGACGCTCTTGATGGCGTAGCCGCAAGATACTACGAGCAATCGACCAAGTTCGGCGCGGTTTTGGACATGGTGACGGACCGCGGCACGACGGCGTGTCTGCTCGTTTTCCTCGCCAGCGCGTTCCCCCGCTTCAGCATCGTCTTCCAGGGCTTGATCTCCCTCGATTTCGCGAGCCATTACATGCACATGTTCGCCACACTCAGCATGGGCGAATCGGGTCAGAGCCACAAGAGCATTGATGAGGGCAGGAGCTGGGTTCTCAAGATGTACTACTCTAACAATGTAAGTTTTCCCCTTACCCTCTGCCCGTGTATTCCAAAATGTTCGTTCGGTATCTGACGCCTCCGTACAGAAAGTCCTGTTCACCTTCTGCGCCCTCAACGAGCTGTTCTTCATCGCCCTGTACCTCCTCTCGTTCTCCTCTCCCCTACTCTCCCCAACTCTCCTCAAGGACCCTTCGTCTAACTCGCCCTCTTCGCCCTCGAACCTTGGCACCCCGGCCGCCCCGAAACCTTCTCTGCTCTTCGCATCCCCTTACTCCGCGGGTGCGCTCGAGATGGCTCGCGCGAATAAGATGGACTCGACGGTTCCCTGGATCCTTGCGGTGATCAGTTTCCCCGTCATGGCGGGTAAACAGATCATCAATGTCATCCAGCTGGTTAAGGCCAGTAGGTGGCTCGCCGAGGGCGACAGGCTGGAAAGGAAGAAGAAGGGTCTCCCCAGGAAGAAGCCTTCCGCCAGCAAGAAGGCGCAGTAAGCGTATGGTTCATCGCGGAAATCATCATCGGGCGGCGGCGGCGGCGGATTCGGAGAAGTCATTTTCACAAACACATGGTTGATCTTCTTTCTTCTTTCTTTCTTGTTCTACTTCAAACCCTTGTTTCTCTTCCATCTTTGATTGTTCTACACGTCTCTAGAATTTCTTCTTTGTTCCCTCTCTCCGATTTCCGGCTCGGCTCGGTTCGGGTTTTTTATATGTGTATGTATGTAATTAATTATAGGGGGCTTGGAGGGTAGGAAAGAAAATCCATTCATACATGCTATGGTCCACAAAATGGGGGAGGCCCCCCACTAGGTCAAGTGGTTTGGGAAAGGGTGGGATTTTGGCTACCTAGGTAAATAATCAAATACCATCCATCAATATCGAGATTCTCTATGTTTATGAATGTACGTCTATGGTGAGTTTACAATGTGTATAGGTACCCAAGGTATGCATTAAAAGAGTTACAGTTGGCCCCTTTCTGCGCAGTGACATGCTTCTCATCTTAATCCCCTTCCTCTTCGTTCAGTAGTGAACTCTACTATTCCATGCGCCTTAAGTGACCCCGCCATTCGTACAGTCAGAGAGGGCGTGCGTATCGTGTCGTTCATCTTTTTTTTTTCTCTAGCATATGCGTCCCATTTTACTTTTTCCGTTTTGGCTGCGAAGCGACTCACCACTCACCCACTTACTCACTTACTCAGTTTGTCACGAGACTTCGTTCGCCTACTGACGTTCCTTTTTCTTCGGGGGGGGTGGTAGAAGGATGGGAGACAAAGAAAATGTGGGTAACGCGGATTCTGTTTGCAGGATTGATGCTACTAACGGAACGAATGGTGTATTGTGCCGTTCCATTCCGACTTCCAAGTTCAATCAACTTCAACAGAGGAAGGAGTTGGGGGAAAGGGAGTGGTGGTGAAGTTTTTCTTTTGGATCGTCATGTACGTACTGTCTATGGTGAAGGGACAAGAGTTGAAAAGAAGAGAACATGATTGGATATTTAGGAGGTATATAGTAGAAACAGAAAACAGAAAAAGATCAGGGTACTACTTGGCTGGGAATCAGCCGTGGATTGGATGTGATGTGGGTATGGGTGTGGGATGATGGTGGCTGGTGGATCTCATGTGTCTGTCCGCCCACTTGCTCTCCCTCCCTCTCTTCGGTATGCTCGTCGTTAATCGTACGCGAGTGACTTCGTTCCGACGACGTTCTCCTCACTTGCCAACATATTCTGCTCGTCCACGTCTCCTTGGAGCGGTCTCGCCCCAACTTGCTGTCCTTCCTCTCTTGCATACACACGCTATGAAATAGATGGGAATTCACCAGGATCTAATGCCAAAGTCGCTCATATATCTTTGCAATCGTTGTTCGGCTTCGCTCAAGCAAGCCTCAGAAGGATCATCGCCCTGGAAAATTGAAACAAACACCCTATGAACTTTTTTACCGTCCCCGTAAGTAAACAAAAAGAGAATTGTTCGATTCGGTTCGGTTCGATTCGCACTTGACCAAGAGTGTATTATAGATTATCGGAATCGGGCAGTGCAACGACCCATGACTTCGCCTTGGCAGACGAGCTCGGCGTTGAATTCGGAACCGTCGAGGGTGAGGTAGATGTCGAAGTATACGCGGTAGAAAGTTCCTTGGGGGGTGTCCATGCGCTCGAAGTCCTTTTCGAGGTTCTTGCGGGAAAGATCTGAGGTTAGAGTGACGACCTCCTTGATGCCTTGATATAATGTCAGTACATGGGAATTCGTAAGGAAGGGAATGGTGACGCTTACGTGGGTCCTTGGTGTATTCTGGGCATACATCGTCGTCGCAGGCATACAGAATATCCTCGTACATGAGAGTAGCACCGGGGGCGACTTGTCGGAAGAAAGATACCTTGACGGGCTCTCCAATCTTCACACGCTGACCCTTCTGGACGAAGATCTGGCGAGTGTACTTGCACCTGTCCTTGCCGTCCAAGGAGGGGACACGGTACTGCTCGGGATGGTGGCCCTCTTTGAATGGCTGGAGAGTGGCCATGAGGTAGTGGCGACGAGCGACACGATGTGTGACGATCCTCTCTGTGATACCAGCGGTGACGGCACCCTTGACAATGGCAGCGACAGAGTCCATGGGTCGGACAACCTTGGATTGAAACTGTGGGGGCACGTGTAGCTTGATCTGCTGGAAGAGGTATTCGGAGGCACCAAAACCTCCAACGACAAGGACGTTTTGAAGTGTCCTGTTCTGGGCCTGGATGGCAATGATCTGGTTTCGCACAAGTTCCAAGATTCGGTTCACCACGGGCTCGAAGCACTGCAGGATCTCCTCGTTGGTAAAGGTCATGTAGCCTTCCTCGATGCCGGCCTCGGGGAACTCGGCCTCGATACCGACGTCGACAGCCCACTTCTGGCCGTTGTTTCGGAAGTCGGCCTTGACACGGTTCTCGAAGTCCATGATGCACTTTGCGTAGACCTTGCCAGCCGTCTTGGAACCGTCGGGAAGCTTCATCTTCCTGATCTTGGCGCGCAGAATGTTACTGAAGTTACGGTTAAGCGCCGTTGAACCGCACGAGTCACCGGATCCTGCTGTGCACTCGGCCACGGAGAACGGCTGCTCCTCCTCGACTTCGTAGGCGATCAAATCGACGGTACCACCACCGCAATCGACGATGAGGACGGCGTCGTGAATCTTAAGGTTGAGGAGACCGGTCTTGGAGCAGAACATGGCCGCGGCTTCGGGCTCGGTAATGAGGGTCAGCCTGTTGTCGTTCTCATCGCGAAGGAAGCCAGCCTGAATGGCGGCAGCGCGGGTGGCAGCCTTTCCAGCATCGTTCCAAATGGCGGGGACGGTGATGTAGTATCGGATGTTGCGCTCCTCACGATTGAATACCTCGCCCAAGGTCTTCTGCAGCTGGTTTCGCATTGCCTGTCGCAGATGGAACAGGTAGTCGGCGGCTACATCGATCTCCGATTTGCCCGGGGGAAGCGGGGGCAGGTTGATGGGGTCAATGTAGGTGTTTCCAGAGAGCATCAGCTGCAACTTGAACCATTCCACCTTTTGAACGCCAGGTTTTGGGTAGCCCGTGGGGGCCAATGCATCGGCGATGTCAGGGCCCCAGCCCACGACCTTCTGGTACTGATCATAGTAAAGTACGGTGGGGATCTTGGATTTTGTTAGCCATGCGATTCCGCTTTGAAGAGATAGCAACACCACGAAATGTGTGCATTTATCATACCTTTTGTTTGGCCTGATTTCCCGCACCGGGCCATTCGGTGATGATGTCTTCCTTGGCCTCGGTGTTTGTAGCGAAGGCGAATGCAACGCCGGAGAAGGTGGTACCCTGCGAAAATGGCGGGCGTCAGCATGGGGTTGCGCCACAAGATAAATAGCTGCCTCGCCAGGCCGGGCCCAGGAGCGGGCTTGAGAGGGGCGGGCGGGCACCTGGGCGCAGCTGGCTAAGGCCAACCACAGAACAAAAGGAGAATAATAATGACAATGATAACAATAACAATGGCTGTTAAAGCAGTCAGGTGCTGGCGGGCGAGACTTACAAAATCGATTCCGACAATCAGCTGGGCCTTTGAGCGACCTTCGCCAGCGACTTCAGCCATGCTGGGTCTGTTGTACGATGCGGGGGCATGAGGGGCGCCGGGACCTCCAGCTGCAGGTGGCGGCCCACCGTATCCTCCTCCATAACCACCCTGCTGAGGGTTCTGATTTGGAGGATAACCAGGAGGACCTCCGGCTGGTGGGTAGCCCATCTGCTGGCCGCCTTGTTGAGGATACCCCGGGGCGCCCGTGTTGATGGGAGGCAGAGGGCTCTGCGGCCTACCCTGCTGGTGTTGCTGTTGACCTGGAGCGAGACCACCACCGGGGGGAGCGTATGTGTATGAGGGGGGACGGCCGAGAGGGTTTTGCGGATTCATGGCGGCGGCGGCAGCGGGGAGGGAGGAGGAGCTTGAGTTCTGCGGGGAGAGGCTGTTTGGGCGCTGAGTTGGGGTTGTATTTCCTGCTTGCGGGGAGGGGGACGAGTTGTTGGCAGATCTTCTTCGCGAACCAACAAGTTTGTTCAGGCCCGCTCGCATGGACGACATGAGAGGGGGAGAGGGAAGAAGGGAAGGGGAGGGAAGGGGAAGAGGGAGGGAGGGGAGGGAAGAAAAGGAAAAAGGGAAGAGTAGGTAATTAGAGAGAGAAAGAGAAAATAGTAAGAAGAGTAAGAAAGAGTAGGAGTAGGCGGAGCAGGACGAGACGAGACGAGACAAGTCAAGACAAGACAGGATAGAGCAGGACAGGACAGGACAGGACAGGACAGGACGAGAGCGAGAGTGGTGGCAGTAGAGTAGGTGGTTAGTAGAGTGGTTGGTTGAAAGAAGTCGGCTGGTTGGTTGGTGGAAGGGTGGGAGGGGGGGAATTGAGTGGGAGGAGGGAGGGATGAGGGCAGTAGAGATTGTAGGTGGTAAGAGTAGAGTAGACTGGAGTGGTAAGGTAGGATTAGTAGGGGTAAGGCCCAGGGTAAGGGTATCAGTGCCGTAATAGTTAGCGGGGAGGGGCTGAAAGATTGACGGATTTGACTGATGATGGTTTTGTTGATTATTGTTGCTTCAATCTTCGTTCCGCCCGGCTGAAGATGATGGAGAGAATGAGAGAGAGCAGGACTGCAGGAGCAGAGTCGTAGTAGAGTAGTAGAGTAATAGAGTAGGACCGCAGAATATCGTACTCGTAGGAATATGACTGTAGTAGGAGTAGTAGGAGTAGGAGTAGGAGTAGGAGTAGGAGTAGGAGCAGTTCGTGATTCCTGTATTCCTGTAATAATTCCTCAAGACTAATAAGGCGGGAATGAGGTCTTCCTGAGGCTGAGGCTGAGGCTGATTGAAGATCCGAGATGGTAGCTAGGCAAGGTACTCGTAGGTAGGTTAGGTACTTACTACCTTTACCAGGTAGTAGGTAGGGCTATCGTTCATTCGCTGGTTCACTCGTTGGTTGGTTGGTTCATTTCACTGTGTATCTTGTAGTGATGGATGGCCGAATATACTTCCTAGCATAGTACTCCGTACTTTGTATGTTGTTTGTTGGTGATGGTGAGGTAACAGTATCAGGATCAAAGCCCCCGAAACGCCTCAGGCTCGTGTGGAGGCGCAGGTTGGGTGGAATCTTGGGATGAAGGAGATGGGCACGGAAAGGGTCCAGTTTTCCACTGACTGGACTGGGTCAAGGCTGAGTGTGGGAGCTGGAGCTGGAGCTGGAGCTGGGACTGGGAAAGGCCCAGGCTAAGTGGGGTAGCTAACACTCAACTAGCGAAAGTTGAAGATGTATAATTAGTACAACTGTACAAGTAGTATTGAAGTTATGAGATGGAATAGATGGAATGGATGGAATGGATGGAATGGATGAAGATGGATGAGGATGAAGGAAGGATGGAGGATGAGGAGTAAAAGATCTTCTTAATAATGATGATGGCGGCGCGGGTGCTTTGAATTCGATTCAATGGAAGGAACCAAGTCGCGACTTCCTTCTCTGTCCTGGTCCTGTCCTCTCCTGTCCCACGATGCTTTCATTCATTATACCGCACTCACGCTACTCGTACTATGCACTGCTCTACTTATATGGAGTACGCTACACTTGGGTAGGTTTACAATCTGCTATGCGGAGTACTGTCCCAGATCATTCTATACTATTCTGTATCTCTGCTCATATGAGTATGATGCGTGATGTATGACGTTGATGTAAGACTGCTATTGTGGCATAGAAAAGTACCTATGAATGTGATGGCCAATAGGGAAGGAACACTCCAGGAATGCATATATTACGTATAATACATAACTACCTACTCGTATGATAAGTTACATTCACTTCGACGGTATAACGATGACCCGACTGACAACAAACACCAACAACCATCAACGGCAATTAAAGATATCAGACAACAACACATCGTATTACTTTATCCCGTACATACTTCAAATCGCATTGATTCTATTCTACGGGTACTTCCCATCTCATGTTGTAATCATTCCTTTCCATGTCCCCCAGGAGCCCGCTGCATGCAGCATTGGCATAAACATTCCCAAAGGAATCTCCTTCCCCTTTGGACCTTTTCTCTTTCAGGCCAGCAGTCCAGCAGTCCAGCAGTCCAGCAGTCCAGCAATCACCCAGTCAGTCGTAGCCGAAACATTTCTACAGACCCGGGTTTTGCTTCATCAATTAATTAAAGATTGCTGCTCATACCACTGCTTCTATTCCCAACTGCCGCTGCTCGTCACTCTTCGGAGTCTTCGCCCTGCACTGTCAATCAATTCCATCTGCACACCTGCATCATCCCGCCTCCGCCTCCCAACTCGACCTTGTTATTTTTAAGGCAAACTTCTCGAGTCTGACAGTACAATAACGTCACAAGTATGGACGACTATCCTGAACGAATAATTCATAATACCTTCCAGAAACTTACATTTACAACACATCTTGTCTCTGTCTCAATCCTAAACTCTGAACCCAACCGAAACCCAACCACAAGAACAAGGCCAGCCACTCCACCTCCCCCCCTTGCCCCTCCACACAAACCCAGGTAAGAGAAACCCCCAAAAGAGCCAATCAAGTAACCCTGTACCATACCAGGCGCCTATCATCATTACATATTCCTTCACCGGAAAGCTTGTTTTTTCCCTTTGCTTTTCCTTTCGTTGCTTTCTCGTTGCATGCTGTCTTTGCTTCGAACGTTATTCGATACAATTCAGATCGCAACGCACGTGTGAGGAAAAGCAGGAATAATGAATAGGTAATCGATATCCATACGTACGAGCGTATCGTTATCATGCGATACAATGGTGATGGAGGAGTTCCGATGTCGGCTTCCAAAGGTTTGATGCTGATGATGATGACTAACGTGTTTCCTTCCTCCCGAGGTTACTATCAATCCATCATTATGCGATAGGTAGAAAGAATTATTGCCATTATGTTTCTATTTGCCTTTAGGGGGACTGGGATGGACTAGTGGTATATAATTGAGGAATTCGTTCGGGGTTCTTCGTCCAATACATTAGGGACTTGTTTTGTTGCGGGGATGGTTGGTTCTAATTGGTGATTGAATGTGAACAGGCAGGTAGGTGTGTACCTGCATATAGAAAGGAAACGGATTTGAAGTAGGAGGAATGGAAGTGTTGGTATAATTGGAATTGACTTTTGTATGTGCGTTGTTGTTGCTGACGCAATCTCTTTTGGTACACTCGCGTATACATCTGTTGATACAGACAAGTATGGACTATGCAAACGCCTTCAATGGTTATGGTAGATGTTGGTGATATTGAAACGATCGATCCATCATATGTGCAATGAAAAACCTCCTTTCTTAAATAGGTATTGTTTTACCTGCCTCTCGACCTCCCACCACCGCGACCTCCTCGACCTCCACGGCCTCCACCACGTCCGCCCGATGATGCCTTCACCTTCGGCTTCCCCACAGGCTTCGCATTCTTATCGTCCTTGCCCTTCCTCCACACCTTACCCTCCCTTCTGATATCTCCCAATTCAAGCTTCTTCCTATCCTTCCCGCTCAACCTCTTCTTCTCCTTCTTCGCCCCCTCCGCCGCACCATTCGGTCCATTCAACTCCGCGGCACCCTTCGCCCGACTAGCCACCTTATCCTTCTCACTCTCAAACCACGTCTTCTTCGGCCTCGACTTGATCTCGTCCTCATGCTTGATCAAGTTCTCTCCCTTCTTGAGGTCCCTCTCCGTAATGCTCATCGCCCTCTCCTCCTTCTCCTCCTCCAACACCTCCTCGATCTCCTCCTCCATCCCCTTCAACTTCTTCACCCACCTCTCCACCTCCTCCGGCGGCACCTGCCTGGACACCACCTTCGCGCCCTGCGCCCGCGCAGCCTTGACAGCCTCCTTGACGACCTTGCGGTCCGGCTCCGCAGCGATCGTGCACGAGCGACCTGTGCGGCCTGCACGCGCGGTACGACCGACTCTGTGGAGGTAGATCTCGTGGGATTGCGGGGCTTCGTAGTTGAGGACTGTGGAGACGTTTTTGATGTCGAGACCACGCGAGGCGACGTCCGTGGCGAGCATGTAGGAGGCTTCGCCGGAGCGGAAGGACTCGACACTTTGGATACGCTGGGGTTAGGATGTTAGCTTACTGATATGATACTATGTGATATATGACTTGACGACGTGAAGTAATGTGGTTTTATGTGTGTAATGGGTATGAAGTGTTACGATGGGAAAGAAAAAGGGGAAGGGGAGGGGGAAGGGTACGAACCTGTTCCTGGGACATGTTTCCATGCAACTCGCATGCCTTGAGGCCGCACAGCGCGAAAATAACCCTCACGCGATGTGCCTCCTTCTTCTGTCGGAAGAAGATGATGACCCGCTCCGTGTAGATCTTCTCGCACATGTATAGGAGGTATGCGAGACGCCTACCCTCCCTGCCCGGTCGCAGACGGATGAATTCCTGCACGAGCCCGGCGACCGTCTGCTTCTTTGCGTCAACCATCAGTCGGACGGGCCTGTTCATGCCGATCCGGATGAGCTTGTCGACAGAGCTGGTCATGGTGGCGGAGAACAGCATCGTCTGTCGCGATTTCGGGATCGATGTGAGGATCTCGTTCAATTGGCTCTCGAATCCCTCTTCGAGCATGCGATCGGCCTCATCGAGCACAAGAATCTCAAGATTCTCGACCTGGAAGGCCGCCGAGTTGTGCATGTGGTCGATGAAACGTCCCGGCGTCGAGATGACCACGTCCGGGCGAGTCTTGAGAACAGCTTCTTGCTCGCGCGATGAGAAACCACCGGCGAGTAGGGCGAAGGTGATGTCGGTGAATGCCGCGAGCTTCTTCGCGACGTTGAAGCACTGGACCGCCAACTCACGCGTTGGCATGAAGATGGCCACACGGGTCGTGGGGATCTTTTTGGGTCGGTACAGCAAACGCTCCATGATGGGGATGAGGAACGCTGCTGTTTTACCGGAACCTGTCACGGCTCCTCCGACCACATCCTTTCCTTGCAGAGCAATTGGGACCGTCTTGGCCTGGATGGGAGTCGCTTCGGTGAAGCCCACAGACGCAAGTCCTCGGAGGATGGGACGAGAGAGAGACATGGTCTGGAAGGATCCTGCCGCCTTAGAGGTCTTCTTCTTGCCCTTCTTGCCGGATGCATCCTCGTCTTCTTCCTCGGGTGCGAAGAACGCCGCGGCCTTCTTTTCCTCCGCAGCATCTTCGTCCTCGTCGTCCTCCGAGTCCGAGCCTTGCAGGTCCATGGGGTGAGGCACGTTGTCAATTTCTGAGCCATCATCCGAGTCGCCATCATGCGAGTCGCCATCAGCTTGTTCTTCCTCTTCAGCATCGCTGTCATCCTGTTTTGCTTCTGCCTCATCATCCTCGCTGTCCTCCTCCTCTTCTTCTTCGCTGCTGCTCTCCGCGCCCATGCCAAACCCATCCTCAGCAAGGAGCTCATCGTCGTCTCCGAAGCCTTCGAAGTCCATCTCCGCTTCGCTGTCGGCCTCGTCTGGTACTTCCGACTCTGCGGCCTTCTTCTTGTTCAACCTCCTCGCAACAATGTCGTCCACATCGACGGCCGTGCTCTTCTTCGCAGCGATCGACTCTGATTGTCCGGCCTTGTCGTTACCCCAGCCATCAAAATCCTCCACGAACCCGGTATCGATGTCGCCAACTGCGAACTCAAAGTCCGATGCGATATCATCATTCTCATCCGCATCCTCTCCGGCTTCGATCATCGCCAGATCGTCCTCCTCCTCTTCGGGTTGGGCGTCGCCCTTCTTGCCAATTTTACCCTTCTTTCCCTTCTTTCCCTTCTTCGACCTCTTCTGAGGACCTTCCTTCGGCTTCACGTTGGCGTCTGGATCTTCGGTATGCTTTCTCTTCTTGCCGCGACCCGCTAACGTTGTTGCTTGGGCAGAGAGTTCTTCGAGGCCGCCATCGTCGGACACGTCGTCGTGGTCGGAAATCGTAAATACGAAGTCGTCGTCAAATTTAGGCGCCATTTTTCCTGGGATTAAGCGCTATAGTGCTTTTTCCAAAGAATTGTGCAGATTGCGCAAGTTTGGGGAGGTCGAATGCGACTTGCAAAAAAAGTGAATTTGGATGGTCAATGCGCGAAATCTTGGCGGGCGGTGAGCATAAATGTCGGCGATTACTTTCGCCGACATTCTCATTCGGTGGTGCAGGCAGCAACATGAGATGGACAGGCCATCAAACAACCTCATACATGTTCGAGTATTAGATATTCGCCTTTGATCGTCACATTACCATGCGTATGTCTGAGATATGCCTCTCTTATGGTGAAATATCTACTGCAAATGGTATAGCCATGCTGGATTGGCGTGGCAGCCTATTGATAAGCTTCCAATGGGGCAAAGGACCTGAAGCCATCCAGGATTCAATTAGGCAGAGAGCCACTCACAGCCTGCGTTCCCGTCCAGGTTGAGGAGAAGTAGCTCGACTCCTCTGATATCAGGTCAAGTATGGCTAACATCATTGTTGAATTCACCTGTCGTGTCAGGGCTTTACAACAAGTTGAATTGATATTTAACGTCGACTCTGGCCTGCTCTTTTTATCAATCCTATCTGTTCTCTACAGTCCACGACTTGATATCATACCACCTCCATCACAACTTCCAGTCTTTTTGATACTTTCTGAAAACATGGTTCTCCCATGCGGGTGCATTAGCCACCACTATGCTTTCAACGCCCGTCAGACCACCGCAGTAGCCCAAATGCTTCGCCAGTCCAATCCCATGACTGGCAGATCACAGAAGAGAAGGAGCCGTCGACCGAAAAGCAGTGATCCATGGGCCGTCCGGAAGAAACGACCACAGCAATCTAGTGGACCAAGACCGGCACCCCCTACTCATCATACCTGCCGCATCTGTCTCGAAACACAGCCTATCGATCAATACATCCAATGGATAACTAGGTCTCGACTACTTCGCAAACCAAGTCCCGAAGTACCTGCTGAATGCATGTCCCATCTGGCAAAGAATCCCCGCACCAAGAGTGATCCAGTCTGTAAGACCTGTATCGGCGCTGCCATGTCTGCGAGACTAGACATGCTTGGTGCTCGCACATTATCAGTTGGATGTTTGGAGAAGGGGTGTAGGGCAACTTGGAGCCACGACTACATCATGAAGTATCTTCCCTCAGACGTCTTGGATAAATACAATGTTGGTTTATTCGAGGTCTGGAAACATCAAGCTGGCCTCCTTACTTGTATCAATGAGTCGTGTGGAGCGTCGGGTCTTGTCGAACCTGGAGTCACTGGCTATCCACAGGTCCTATGTCACTCATGCAAGTTCCGGATGTGTGCAGCATGTGAAGTGCCTTGGCATAAAGGCCAGACGTGCCTGGAGTACCGCCTTGCAAACTTGGACGAGAAGATGACGAACTCTGAGAAGACTCTAGTTCAGAAGTTGATGAAGAAAGATTGTCGCAGGTGCACAAATTGTTTCATGATGGTCGAGTTGTTGGGAGGTTGCGATTCTGTCTATTGTTCTGGGTGCAAGACATACTTCAATTGGTCGCAAGCTGCACCGATAGTGGTTGGAAACAAGCTTGTACCGCCTCCAGTTCCAGTACTGTTAGGTTCAACATGCGAGCTCGACGCTCTTGAAGAAAACGAACCGAGCCATGTCTTGGTCTCATAACATAATCAGGCCGCATCTCCATTTGTACATACTTCTGCATAATCAAAGCCTCCTTCCTTCGATACCACAAGTTTTATTTCACCGTTGCCCATCTGACATAACTCGGAGACAAGTCGGCCCTGCGGCTATAATGGGATCGGGTAATCCGAGCTGCACACAATCTCCATGCAATATATTTCGACAGTGTCTGAACACGTGCGAGAGAGAATTATGACGACAACCATTAGATTCCCATGGGTCTAGATGTTTCCCCGTGGGGTAGTCAGACAGTGTTCGCAAGTTGAAGAACGAATGACTTCTGTCCACCGTTGACCGCGTGTCGGGTCCATAGAGATCAAGTACTTCCAACTACCCATTAGGAAATTGTTACCTGCATTCTTCAGAACCACGACGCCCTAGCAACCATGTCTAGGATAGCAGAAATAATCAAAGCCCATACAATCTCGCGTGTTTCCCGGTGTTGGAACCGAGGTCTCCTGCACAGAGCATGTACGAGACTTCTAACTTATATTGCAACATACGCAGCGGCCATTCTGGCAGGTGACGAGATGTGATTCTAACCAGTCGGATGGTTACCAGAATCGGGTAGAAGGCATCCTTGAAGCAGAAAAATTTCCTGGTCAGTATATTATTGATCCAATATCGCTTATCGTAGTGGTGTGTTCGGGCACGTAGCAAAGCTCCCATGACCTTGGGCTAAATCAACGACGCAAATGCTTGATTTAACCCCGTTTCCCCCAGCGTCTAGATCGTTCGTCGAGTCAACCGGAATCTTCAAGCACCCTCCTCTTTCGATGATCATGATGTACTCGCTCTCCTACCTATCCCTCCTCCCATTGCTCCTGCCTTTGGTAGCCGCACACGGCCATGTCACGGGAATCGTCGTAGATGGAAAATGGTACACAGGTTGGAATGCCGAGATGAAGTACCAAAATCCAATTCCCCCGACCGCGGGATGGCAAGCCGACAACCTGGACAACGGATTCATCACTCCTAGTGACTTTGCCGCGGCGAACATCATCTGCCACAAGGATGCAAAGAACGGTAACGCATACATTACGGCCAAGGCCGGGAGCAAAGTAACGTTTCAGTGGAACACTTGGCCAGTTAGCCACAAGGGTGAGTAGATCCAACTATTCGGTTCCTTACTCTGTCACAGCAGTCTTCACGATGCACTTATTGCCCTCGATCATTCTTGATTATTGCTGAATCAGGAATACAGGCCCAGTGTTCGACTACATAGCCCCATGCAACGGTGAATGCACCACAGTCGACAAAACCAGCCTTCAATTTACCAAGTTCGTCCAAGGCGCATGGATATCCGGCAATAATCCCGGATCCTGGGTGACGGACGACCTCGTCAAGTCGAACAACTCATGGACCACCACGATTCCCTCGGGCATCGCTCCAGGGAATTATGTCATTCGTCACGAGATCATCGCGCTGCATGCTGCGGGACAGACGAATGGCGCGCAGGCATATCCGCAGTGTGTGAACTTCAAGATTGAAGGGAGTGGGACGCAGACGTTGAGTGGGGGCGCGAAGGCAACGACGTTTTATAAGGCTAGTGACCCGGGTATCAAGTTTGATTTGTATAGTAAGTTCACGGGGTATACCATCCCGGGACCGGCACTCCAGACACTGAAGAAAAGAGATGAAAGGGAGCATGCGAGAGAATGGGTGGAGTAAGGAGGTGTATTATACTCCCGAAAGGTTGCTAGGAGATATTATGAAGTGAAAGTCATTTGTTTGATAACTTCTCGTTGGTTAAGAGAAAATCGAACAGAATTCAAGCTACGCTCATCTGTACTTATTAATTCTTTTCAAAGAACTCCCTGAGGTTATCATCGAGCCATTTGACATCTTCGAGATTATCGCCAGGTCCTGACATCGACGTAAGCATTGAGATATCAGTAGTTTTCCAAGATAAACGTACCACCGGCCCAATGTCCCCAGATGCTTGGGAATACTTTCAACTCGCCGATCCCCTCCCTCATATTCTGCACTTCGATTTCTGAGTCCTCCGGCGGAAAATACAGATCTGTCTTTGCTGGCAAAACCAGAGCCTTTGCCTTGATCCCCTGCATCGCCTTCTTGAAATCCCCGTTGTATGGTTCCTGCGCCGAGCAATCCCCAGCCTGCCACGTGTGAGCCATGACGAGCATATTCTCCGGATCCTTACTCAACGCCCACTTCTCCCAAAAGTTACTCAAAAAGTCATCAAGATCCTTATACCCCAATGCCGACTCATACAACCTCTCCCTATAAAAGGCCTGACTGAATCCCCACCCAGCATACACCCTCCCAAGAGCCTTCAGCCCGACCTCCTTGACCTTCTCATCAAACCCAGCATACTTCCCCTCGCCACTTCCATCCTTGCTCAACTGCTCCATATCCCTCTTCGCCACCCCTCCCGAGCTCGTCCCCTTCGCAGCAAAAAGCGCGCTCCTCACTCCCTCAAGAAACACCTGATTATGCAGACTCGTCTTCGCGCTCCCGCAGAACGGAACCACCAGGTCCATGAAATCAGCATACTGCGTCGCCCACTGGTACGTCTGGCCTGCGCCCATGGACCATCCCAGCACGGCGCGCGCGTGCGAGACCCCCAGGTGCTCGGTGACGAGTTGGTGCTGGGCACGCACGTTGTCGTAGAAGAGGACTTCCGGGAACGGGCGGATGGGATTGTTGGAAGGGGAAGAGGATTGAGAGTTCCCGAAGAGAGCGGGTATGATGATGTGGTATTTTGAGGGGTTGAGGGTTTTATCAGAGCCGATTAGCCAGAGATTGTCGGAGATCACTAGGGGTCTGGGTGTTAGTCGGGTTGGTAGGAGGATTCGCAAGGGGGTTGATTGTGGGGAGCTGAAGGAGCTACGTACGGCCTGAGTACCAGGTTGGATATATGATTGCTGGGAGAGACGGGTCTCCTAGGGTCTTGTATGCAATGAATGCATCTGGGATCTCGCCTCCTGATTTGAGTTTGAAGTTACCAAGCTTATAGGTCTTGTATTCGTTGAGGTCTAGCTCTTTCATGCTTGGGAGGTCCGAGGCTGCCATTGTGCTTTTTCTGACTATGGGGGATACCTGAGGCTTTGGAGTGGACTGAGACGTTCGCTATTGTAGTTCGGTCTGGTGTCCTGTTGTACTACTGAAGTTTACTGGACTCGGAGCCTTTTGGTTTTACTTCTATACCAAGAAATGTAGAGAGGCTAGATGATCTTGAATCAATGTTTTAGACTGTAGGATGTTTCTACGGCTTGTAGAAATCTTGTCAAACGATGATAATGTTCAGATATCAATAGGTATAGCTAAAGGTTATTGGATGGCCAAAGACTATTTGAAGGAACGAAATTCATGCTAAGAACCAGATCAGATAGGCAATGATGCAGACAGAAGGAATGCTGTCGTGTCAAAAAGGTGATTGATGTTGTTTATCAGAGCATTTGTATCTTATCTTCGGTCGCCCGTCACTATCCACCTGGTTATGTTTAGTTGTTATCGGGTATGTACCCACATGGGCAGTTTGGACTGGAATCGCGGGGTAGCATCGGCCCGCGTCATATTGTATCCACAGCGGATTCGAGCACCTGAGCCATGAATAGCCAACCCTACTGGCTGGTATCCCCTTAGACAAGTCTTAAACCGACTGCAGTAGCTGTGACAAGTACGAACGCCCTACATTATCCGTCGAATCCCCCCCCACCATGAGCACGGAATTGTGCCGCTGCATCGAATGCCCGATTTAGACCGTCGGCAACTTGTGATTGGATCCGGCACTCCTTCTCACATCTCTTACCGCAGTAGTGAGATTATTGATAAGTTTTTATAATCCCAATGCGCCATTCATCCCTCCTTGTAAACACTCACCGAACTTGCCAGTATATATATAATCGACGCCTCCATCATTTCCCCAAGGACTTACGACAATCAATCACAATGTCAAGTACTGATAGACTCGAAGCTGAAAGGGCGATCCAAAGGAACCCCCACCCAGACTTCAAAGGCGTGGAAGCCTCACGCCCACCCTTCAATACTTCATCTTCATTCCACTACACAAAAACACCATCAACATCATGGAAACCGGGCGATGGTGCAAATATCCCTCCACCTAATAGCGTTGCGCACCGCGAAATCGATCCTTACGAGGAAGGCCGTCCAGCAGTCTTCAACTACAAGCTTCTCATCTCCGGTGTCGTTCCACGACCAGTTGGCTTCATATCCACAGTAAGCGGCGATGGAAAGAGCACGAACCTAGCGCCATTTTCCTACTTTAACTTCGTCAACCACGACCCTCCAATCTTCGTTGTCGGTTTCGCGGGCAGCCTGGCCAATGCGAAGGACACGCTCAGGAATCTACTTGACACCAAAGAAGCCGTGGTCAACATCATCTCCGAGGAATTCGTCGAGGCCGCAAACTTTACCTCGATAAACGCACCGGAAGGAATCAGTGAATGGCCTCTATCCGGTCTTACCCCAGCGAAGAGCAAGATTGTGAAGCCGGACCGTGTGGCTGAAGCTGTCTTCAGCACCGAAGCAACCCTTGTAGAGGTCCGCGAGTGGGAATCTAAGGCGACGCCCGGTAAGAAGACTGGCGTAACAGCCTTCTTAGAGGGGGTGAGATTCTGGGTCAGAGAGGATGCGATCAATGCGGAGGGCAATATTATCGATCCTAAGGTATTCATATACGCTTCAGATAAGATCAGTAATGTAATTAACGGATTTCCGAACAGGTTCTCAAGCCCATTTCACGTCTCGGTGGAATCACATTCGCGCGCACCACAGAAGCATTCGAGCTCCCTCGTCCAGTTTTCGACGAGATGTTGAAGGATCCGGAAGCCGCCAAATTGGCGAAGCCAAAGGCGGATGAGCAGGAGTAGGCAGTGAAATTCCTCGCAAAGTATTGTATATCTGACATCCGAAGCAACGATTCGCGGGGCAAATTATAGACAAAAAGGACCTTAGAACACCTGTAGACTGCTTGACCATTACATCATGCTCATTAACATATTTGTGATATAGTAGGCAAACGTATTTTTTTCACAGTGCTAGAGCAATATAGTGTCCAATTTCCTATCTATTTGTGCCTTATCTTATCTTGTAGTCTATTACGTATCAAACGGGGTCTATATATACTTATCTTCTTCTTTCTAGTTGAACCGACTGCGGATTCGAAAAGACATTTGTTGGGTCCCATTTGGTTTTAATCCTTTGGAGTCGTCGAGAATGCTCGTCGCCTAGGTACATTTTGTGGGACTCCTCCCTAGTAAGATCAGGATCTATGAATGGTGGAAACATGAAATAGGTAGCCACATTTCTCTGGATGGAGCCCTCTAGCTGGTCATTCATTGCCGTTATTGCTCTTGCGACGTCTCTTGGATTTCTTTGTGTCTGGCCATCATGCTGAGCAATCCACAGGGTGTCCCGCCATGGAATGGAGGTGTCACCATAATCTTTTTTAACGTGACTTCCTGTACCGCCCATCAATCTGAATGTAATAACAAACTGATTGGGCACTCTGGCTCCTGCCTCTAGGACAGTGCGAAAATAGTCTTGCATCTGCGCCTTGTTCAGCGGCCTTTGCTCTGGTATCATCACACTTTTTGCGTAAAAGTTTGACTTGGCGCCGGGGGCATCTATGAATCGTCTAAGAGGCGCATCTCCTGCAATACTGGACAAGGACCTTGAGAATGATTGTTCTTCGATGGTGATTGTGACTGGGGCCGCTTTCGATAAGCATGGAAGCATTGTTCGCTGGAAATCGGCTTCCTTCCCGTAAAAGTAACCAGCTACTCGGAAAGCATCAGTTGCCAACCGAATGGTCAGGCCATAATTATCACCGAAGCTTCTAGACTGGACGCAGGCTTGAACATTGACGAAAACATCAGCCATCCTTTTTGCGTCTCTGGAATATCTTGCAAGGTCGAAGATGAATCGCAACACCTTGTCTGGAACAGTCCTAGTTTTGAGCTCAAATTCCACCGCAATACCGAAAGAGTCGCCTGCCCCCTTCATGGCATAGAAAAGGTCAGAGTTCAGTTTTGGAGAGGCTGATACTAAATCCCCAGTTGCAGTGACCACTTTCATGCTCAGGATATGGTCTGTGGATAAACCCCACATTCGCGATGTATATCCGAAGCCGCCATGAAGGGAGTGGCCAGCAAGGCCAACGCCAGGGCAGTCCCCATGACTGATAGCCTTCCCATCTGCTCCCAGCTTGAGTCCAAGATTACCAAGTCGGGCCCCTCCAAAGGCGAAAGCTTTTCGCGACCGGGGGTCGTATTCCACATTGCTTATGTACCGCAAGTCAATGATCAAGGTGTTCGCGTCGCCGGTGCTATATCCTGCATATGAGTGTCCTCCAGCTCTGGGTTGAACCTTGAATCCCTCTCTCTGAGCGCATACTACGGCGTATTGTATATCTGAGACTCTGTTTGGTGTTATAATGATGCGCGGCCTCGTCCTGATCCTTGTATTGTACGGAGTCGATAGTTCGTTGTACTTTGCGTCACCCTGAGCGATGAACTCGACCCTGTTTTTCTGAAGGCAACTCATGAGTCCACGTTCACTTCTTTTGAAAACATGAGTGAAGCCCGGGTCTCTCGCGTCCAGTGGTGAATTGGATGAATCGCTTTGATTCGATCAGTACAAAATAGTTATAACAGTCAAGCAGGGTATACAAACCTGACATTTGTGCCTTTCCAGGTTCCTCCCGATACAGATTCTAATTCCCCCTCCTTCGAAGCGGCAAGTTCGTTCGCCTGCTCTGCTTCTTTCAATTTTGGGTCTTGTTTGTAGAGCTTCTCTAGTGCTTCATTAATTGAAGCGTCGACTGGGTCCTTCAAGGCACGAGCAGAAATTGAGTCCTCGTTCATGGGATACGCGTCCCAGGTGTTGCCAACCATCGCATCGAGCGACTGGTCTGGCAGCTGTGCAACAGCAAATGGAAGGAATAACAAAAAATTGTAAATTGAGTAAATCATGGTGGATCAGGCAAATATGAGAATGGTTTGGCTAACATGATTGCGAGATGGATCTTAGTATTTATCATTGTCGAGATTGATACGGGCTCTTGACACCAAGAGCAAAAGATAGGCAGTGAAGGACAACATATTGCCTTGAGACACTATGCGACAGGTATTAGATACTCATTTCTCAGTTGAGTAAGTTATGTATGGACTTTCTGTCCGAGCCGGTCTCACGACCTCCGCGCTGATCGCACAACACCCGAGCCCACCGCTCAACCTCCGAGTTGATCCCACAATCTCCGAGCCGATCCCACGACCTCTAAGCTAATTCATTGCTGAGATTAAGGACCTACCAGTCAGTTCTCCTAAGAAGTCTAAAAGAGTGATAAGAAGTAGTCACGTATTCCATAAGAATGGTAAGGGATAGAACGGTTCACGATCCAATCCTAGCTACTTTGGGGATGGAGCGAAGACATATTAGTCATAGCCCTATGATGCCGTACCTAACCCCCGGCCGGAAGTTCAAAGCCAATCCCGCAATCGTCGTTGACAACCAACCCTCGTGTCTTTTACCAGAAACCCGATGAGAGATACGCAGGATTCTGAAATGTGCACAAGCACTTGATTTGCAGTGCAGCTGTTGCGTTCCACCAATTCACTGCCAATCATCCAGAATCACGTGCAGGCCACAGCAGTCACGCCCCTCTCATCGCATCTGAGGCATTGAGGGATCGCAGGTAAATTGTCGTTTGAACATGTTCTATCAGTTCAAGAGATGTCAAGTAAACAGGCGGCCTGCTTAACATGCAGGAGAAGCAAGATCAAGTGCAAGCGTGAGCTAGGGTCCAGTGTTTGCGCAAAGTGCGCGGTTTCAGGTGGAGAATGTGTAATTCCCAATTTCCACGTCGGAAGACAAAAGGGCGTTAAGAAGTAAGTTCCCAATATCAAAAGATTTGAGTACCAACTCATATCTCGCAGCAAACGAACTGGCCTGGATAAAGCAGTCTTCCAAATTGCAGAGGCTCTTAAGAAATCTAAATCGGATACTCTTGCGAACGAAGCTACATTAGAACAGTTGCGACAGCTCCTCGATGTAACTCAAAGTAGTTCATCTGATGCCGGAAGCAATGGTATATCTGCAAACATTGCATTCCTGCCAGAGAAGGATGTTGCCGGTCACACGAGTGACGATCAACTTGCCCTCGATGATGCAGAAAACCCTCTTCAACTACTAGCTCGAGCATCAGATCTCCGCCTAACATCACCCTCGCAACTCGCAGAGGCTAGCCCAGGAACACCCTCGGATAGGAACCAGGAAACTGACATCCAGCGTTTCTTCCAACCGATGAAAGCGAACATCGATCAAAGTCCAGAATGGGATCCTATTGAGGCCGGTCTAGTAACTCTTGGTGAGGCAGAGATGCTCATGACATTCTTTCATGAAAAGCTTGCGCACACTAGATGGGGCATGGATCCAGTCGTACACACCCTCTCTTTTGTGCGCAACCGATCGGCCTTTCTATTCACATCGGTGTTGACAGCTTCTTCTCGTTTCGTCCCTGGCATGGGCGCATTATCTCGACGTTTGCTCCTTCATCGACTGTCACTCGCTCAACATGTTATTGCGAAGCGGCTTCGCTCAGTTGAGATCGTGTTGGCATTCATCATCAATGTTCCTTGGATGCACCCCCAACACTATGCCAGTGATGATGACACTGGTGTATACATTGGTGTTGCTCTCAGCATTGCGCTCGATCTATCTTTGAATAAGATTGTGACACCCTCCTGGTCGTTCGACCCAGCAATTATGAAGAGAGTGGGGAAAGCGGACTGCATTGACGCGAGAAAAGCGTTGGCAACGGATGGCTTCGAAGATATCGACCCAACATCTGAGTGGGGTCAACGGCTTCTAAGACGGCGAGAACGCGCATGGTTCGCTCTATTCGTACTTGAGCGAGGTGTCTGCCTTGCTCGAGGCCGTAGTTACAGTGTACCCATCACTCCTCTGGTCAGGCATTGTGATCACTGGCATCTCAGTGAAGTTGCTGATCCGCATGATGGGGCAATGCTATCTATGATCGCCCTTCGCAGAGACTTGGATGGTCTCTTCAGCACGATCCGATCCAGATGTGACAGCTATAGAGCATCCGACGATGGTGCAAATGTCGCGCGGGACCTCGAAACCATGATGAACAAGTTTTTCAACGAATGGCTTACATCATGGACAAAGTCCATTGGCGAGGGAGAACAGAAAACACTTCCTCCCTATGTTGAGATTTTGGTCACACACACAAGGCTGTCGACATACAGTGGTGTCATGAACCATCCCACAGCACCTTCTGAAGTCAAGAGGCTTTTCCGGGCATCTGCATTATCATCTGCATTGAACGTCATGCGCGCTGCAATACAGGGAGAGGCTCGACTTATGTCCATGCCAAATAACACTGTTATCATGATTTCATTTGCCGCTTGCGTCGCCCTTAGCCTAAGTACTCCCTCACCAAACGGAAACCAAAAGCTTGCCCCGAGCGTACGAAACTTGATAGAAGAGGTAGCTACAGTCATGGAGCGCATCGGTAGCACACCATCCCACAGAAACGGCATATCGATACTCTATGGCAAATACCTCCGTGAGCTTGTCAAGCAAGCTCCCGAAATCACGCAACCTCCTCGCCCAGCACCTACAGCCGATCCACAACAATCTTCGTTTATCGAAAACCCGATGTTGGTGTCAACGGAACCAACGATGAATCCTTTTAACCAGACAGCATTTGCCATGCCCGAGGATTGGACCTCGCCACTGCAGTTCTCGACCATGTCGCCGAACGAACTGACGCAGACGGTCATGGATGCAGCAGACTTTGAGGCAGGGCTATTCGATATCACTATGGAGGACCCAAACGCGTTTGCGTTCATGGACTGGATGAATCCACCTGATTTTGGGTTTCAATGAATGGTCATTGTCATACAAATATTCCGCATTTCGCTGAACAAAATGTACCGTGTTGCCGTAGCCTCGATGGGCTTTATGATCTCTCATTACCATTATAATATCCATCTGCTCGCTTTGTATTAGGACGCGGCGCCTCTAGTGGAGAAGAAACTGGGGCCATGGGGCATTGAGCAGTACAATGAAACTGACGAGAGTGTTCGTCTTCACTCCTACTTTCCCAAGCATTGTCCACAGTCTCCAAGCTGTGGTGGCCTTTTGTCTCGCTCCACTTTCTTACAATCGAACGGCACGAAAGCCACTATTTGTCAATCATGTGTTCTCATATTTTTGCATGGAGCTTTAAGAAACCGCCGACAGGTCTCTCATCTGTTGCCGGCCTCGGTGATAAAAGTAATGTGCGAATTGCGCCCCTCTTCGGAGCTACTTTTGATGCCGAAAGAGCTCCCCACTTTGTGTTTGACCCATCTGTACCCTGTCCAAGCTTCATTCGTGCGTCACTGCGCAGGAACACACAACTAGCACCTGCACTCAATTTCTATGTACGAGTAGGATCCGACAAGCTTCGCCGTTGCCGCATTTCCGACAATTCCCGGAGATAAACCAGGACGTGCTTCGATTTTTTAAATATCCAAAGATCCCCAGAAGTGCTCATCATTCTGTTGATTCAATTTTGCCCAACATGGAGCGTTTACCAACAGCGACCCGCCTCCTCATCACCTCCCTACCATCGCGAGTGTGTACACACCAGGCCGTCCGACCACGATTACGGCCCACAGCAACAATTAGCACACATTGGAGAGCTCCGCGACAAAAGAGATTCATCAGCGCTCCCTCCTCAGCCTCAAGTGCACCCACAATCGACCGCTCTGCGTCCAAACTTTTCAAGTCTGCCGACGAGGCAGTCGCCGATATTCGGTCCGGGTCCACGGTTCTCAGCGCGGGCTTTGGTCTCTGCGGTATCGCCGAAACACTGATCAGAGCCATTCGCGACAGAGGACCATCGCTGCACTCTTTGACTGCTGTCTCCAACAATGCTGGCATTGAAGGTGTTGGTGGTCTCGCTCTTCTCACCAATACCGGACAGGTCAATAAACTTATTCTCAGTTTTCTGGGCAACAACAAGGCATTGGAGAAGCAGTACTTGAGCGGAAAGATCACAATCGAGCTATGTCCACAGGGAACTTTGGCCGAGAGGATACGGGCCGCCGGTGCAGGCATTCCCGCGTTCTACACTCCTACCGCTGTAAACACGCTGTTGCAAGACGGAAAGATTCCGGCTCAGTTTGACAGTGAGGGTAATGTGATCGGCTATGGTTCACCACGAGAAGTCAGGGAGTTCAATGGCCGGAAATACCTTATGGAGAAGGCTCTCGAGGGTGATGTTGCAATTATTCGTGCTTGGAAAGCGGATGAGGCGGGAAACTGTGTATTCCGGTAGGCTGCAACCCTTCATTGCAGAAATTCGTTTAAAGTGCTGACACTGTATTCAAGATATACCACCAAAGCCTTCGGTCCCATAATGGCCAAAGCGGCCCGCCTGACCATCGTGGAAGCTGAGGAAATCGTCCCCGTCGGTGGTCTCAAGCCCGACGAAATCGACCTTCCAGGAATCTTCGTGGACCGCATTGTTCCCGCAACGGTCGAAAAGAATATCGAGATAAAGAAGACCCGGGATCCCAAGAACGACGGCAAAGTGTCGGAACCTAACGAGGCCGCCGCGCGACGCAACCGCATCGCACGTCGCGCAGCGAAGGAGCTTAAGCAAGGCTACTACGTCAACCTCGGCGTGGGCATTCCTACCATGGCTGCTACATTCGTACCGGAGGGCCGCACCGTCTGGCTACAGAGCGAGAACGGAATCTTGGGCATGGGCCCGCACCCTACAGAGGAAGAAGTAGACGCAGACATCATCAACGCAGGCAAGGAGACCGTCACGCTCCTCCCTGGCGCCTCGACCTTCGACTCCGCAGAGTCGTTTGGCATGATCCGCGGCGGCCACGTCGACGTCAGCATACTCGGCGCGCTGCAAGTTTCTGCTTCAGGAGATCTCGCCAATTACATGGTTCCCGGCAAGGTGTTCAAGGGCATGGGCGGTGCCATGGACCTCGTCGGCAGCCCCGATGCCACCAAGGTCGTTGTGGCCACCGAGCACATCGCGAAGGACGGAACACCCAAGATCGTACAGGAGTGCAAATTGCCTCTCACTGGCGCCCGCTGCGTAAGCACTATCATCACTGATATGTGTGTGTTCGACGTCGATAGGAAGAACGGCGGACTAACGCTAATCGAAACCGCACCGGGCGTCTCGGTCGACGATATTAGGGCGAAGACTGGAGCCGCGTTCGAGGTTTCGAAGTATTTGAAGGACATGGAATAAATCTGGTATAGATCGTACTTTTTGTATATTGAAGGCGTTTCTTTGCATCTGTGTTGCTGGGTTGGACATCCATCAGAGCGTTATTCTGGTTCATAGAACTCAGTGACTGGGCCGAAAGAGGCTTGATTGTAGATAAACCGTTTTTCGATACCGTAAATTTTCAAATCTTGTTTCTTATTCGAATCGCATGAAGCCTGTTTCTAGAATCCCATGTAAGAGAGTGAGTAACAGATGATGTACGTATTGCAAGGATATTCCCCAACAACCATTGGCGGGCAGCGCAAGGGAGGGATTCGGCCGCAATCTTCAGCCAGCTACTGCAGTTTTCAACATCACATTGCAAATGTTTCAGTGCTCGCTTTGGATCGAATTGCACTTTCTCACCAAGATATTTCACTTCATCGATGCTTCTCAACAGGCTTGCATTTCTCAAATCTGATGTCTCAAACGCGTGAGCATCCGGTTGGCTTCCACAACCGCTGGGCAATCTGGATGTAGCTATGCCCAAGGCCAGGTGCACCAGTGTCATCATCCAGGCCGAAAAGTAGTTGTTTTTCTAAGCATAGTATGGTTTCTCACTCATTGGGAACTACTGTTTATGATCCAATTGATCGTATCTATATGTCAAAAGATGAGACCCTCGTCCTCAAACGCATGAAGAAACAACTCTACGATGTATCCCTCCGCGTTGCCTCAGAGCCTTCTGATACGTGTCGGCTGCGAGTGCACAAAGATTGCAACCACGACGAGGGAGTCTTGATCTATCCGTATTTCACGGGCATGCTGCTTGGCTTGATATAGGATACCCCGGATCTTGTTCTGGAGGAAAGGAAGAAATAGTCTGGCATGTCACGGAAGCCATGAAAGACCTTTACTCTAGGGACTGAGTTCATAATGGTAGGCATGCTACCTTGAACGCATCCATCATTAGGTGTTCGAAAGGCTGGGGTTTGCTAACCCGGCATCGGTGTCAGGTATAAAGCCCGAAAATGTTCTAGCTAGCTGTACTCTCGACACTGGGGGCTAGATAACCGTCACTGGTACGGTCCTTGGCATTCTAGACATTGCGTTTGAGTTTAGAAGCTGACAATATGCGCCACAGTGCTCATGCTGTGGGGAATGTGATGCGGAGAAGTCCCGAGGGGCAGACGAGAGGGGTGTCGCGAGGGTGTCTGTTATTTTCTCACTAGAGCAGATGGTATATTTGAGTCCCCAATATGATCGTAATAGGAACTCACATTGAAGTACTTACTCGTGCAGTGCATATATGTTCTCGGCCGTAGGGAAATGCTGATGTTGAAAGGGTATGAAGAACTAGAGAAGGCGGGATTCCGGCCGGAACAAGAGACGTTTATGCGGCAGTTTTGCTATTTCGGATCTGGGGGTGAACGGTTTGTCGAATGAGTGGACAGCGGAGAATTGGGCTATAGCGTTGATGTCTGCGTCGAGATTCGCCGAGGAAGTGGTGAAGGAGCAACCTGAGCTGAAGTTTAAAAGATGGGGCTATGAGCTCGGGTCCAGGGCAGTGGATATGATTATTGGGATGATAAACCAACCCTTAACCGGGTACCAGAAGAACAGTAGATCAGATTCTGATGCATGCGTTGTGGCAGAAGGAAGTCTGAAGCTGCACTGTTCGAGTCTGAAAATATGGAGCCATGCATGCTCGTTTATGACCCATTCCCAGTTTTTTCGTTTCTATCCGATGCAAACAGTTCGGAAGTCGCGATTTATTTGAAGTATATTGATGCAGAACGTTCGAACCATTAACCTATATCGCCGCTTGTTCTTTGATGCTGATGATTGAATACAAGTTAAGTCATGAAACCGAGAGCCTTATACGCCGAAGAGTCCGATTTTTAACCCTAGAGTAAGATCACAAGAAGAAATGATCCACTGTCTTCCAGTTCACTGTGCAATGCAGGTCTGACATGAATCACTTTGCTCAGAGTACATCTATCAACTGGATAATCATTGAAGAAAGATCGACACTTATGCGCTTCGCGCAATTGGACAGGGTGATCTATATTTGAGCTCACAATACTATGGACAATCTAGAGCCGCTGATCCCCGCTTATCATGTTACTTCTCAAGTGATGATGGGGTTGATAGCTTCATCCACTGTCCTAACCACGTGATCCAGTCCCATAGCCAGCCCGTATCAGGCGCCCGTAGCTCAACGAATCCAAGCATCAATAGAACAAAGGATCTAGAATAAATTTGCAGAGAATGCACTGCAGTTCACACTACATGTCCATATTGTTTGGATAGAATCATGTGACATTTTGCTGCATTGCTGGGCAAATCTTGGAGAGAAAGCTTCGCCAAATTGCTTGGTATCACGACGATCAGTCTCTCTACATTCGATATTTTTCAATAACCATTGATCTCACATGGATCTCAGCTCTCATTGTTCCTCCAACGGTTCAACGGAGAACCATATCCCATATTTTACACCGCTCTCGGTGTTCCTAATATTGGCCGTCTCGTCGGCGCATCTTACTATCGGCGCCAATTCTACCCCCGAATATCTCCTCGAAGGACGCTATTTCTCGTAGCGCGGCTGCAGCCAGTTAGGCGGCGCCGATTTCCACTCGTATCTGCAACGGCAGAGCAACCGAACAAGCCATGAACGCCGATCTCCATGACGTTTCGACCACTGAATCAAGAGACAACCATGTCCTTCCGGGGCTTGTGTTTCCCCACGGGGGGAGGAGAGTAGTTCAATAGGGACTCGGCCACTTAATAGACCTTGCGTCGAGTTGTGTCCGTGAGCAGACTAGGCAGGGTAGCTTGTCTCTTACAGAATGCAGAGAATAAAGGCTGCTTATTTCCCACATATTTTTCAATTGTGACACCTCCCTCTCTGTGTCTCTCTCTTCTGCCTGTGCAATAACTATCGAAGTTCGTTTTCTTCACCAGAACATCTCCACAGTGCTGCCCTTCAGGTTGCACAAGCGCGGCCTTTGCGACGGCATCTCTTTGGGTCGGGATTGATCACTTGTGTCGGCTATAGATTGCACCACTATGGACAAGCCGGAAACAATGCATAACGAGAAGACCGAACGTTCTGTCGGACATTTGTCTGATGACGAAGCCATAACAATCACGGTCAACAACTCGCAACTGACGCGACAAGTTCTATGGAAGTTGGATGTTAGGTAAATACCCCCCAGTGCCGTTAGCATCAATTGTTGCAAGCATTCCTGACAAGATACTCAAAATAATAGGCTTCTACCCATTCTTGCGCTGCTTTTCCTTTGCTCCTTTATCGACAGGACCAATGTCGGAAATGCAAAAATCCTTGGACTTGAGAAGGATATTCATATCAACGACAATCAATACGCAATCGGATTGTGCATCTTCTATGCCACATACATAGCAAGGTTAGCAACATATGCCAGTCCAACTGGGGTCAAAGCTTAAATCTCGCAGTGAACTCCCGAGCAATCTAGTGATTAAGAAGGTCACTCCTAAGATATGGTTACCTATTCTCACAATAGTATGGGGTGCTCTCACAATGTGCCTGGGCTTCGTGAAAGGGTTCGGATCTTTCACAGCAGTGCGTGCACTGCTTGGTGTAGCCGAGGGAGGCCTTCTGCCCGGAATGGTATGTCAGATAGCTACTACAAGGAATGAACACCACATTAATTTTTACAGGTCCTGTATCTCTCACAGTTCTACCAACGCACCGAGTTTGCCCTCCGCATTGGTATCTTCTACACAGCTGCCTCTCTATCAGGTGCCTTCGGGGGTCTCCTCGCCCGCGGTCTTAACTCCATCGGACCAGCAGGAGGACTCGAAGGCTGGCGCTGGATTTTCATTGTGGAAGGTCTCATTACTGTTGCCGTCGGTGTTTTGAGCTACTTTGGCCTTCCCAACTCCATTGAGACAGCCAAATTCCTCACTGCCGAACAGAGAGCTCATGCCAGAAACCGCCTCGAAGAAGCCTCCCGCGCCCACGAGCCTTTCGACTGGGCCGAAGTTCGCCGTGGCATTTTCAACCTGCAAGTGTGGCTCTCAGCATGCGCCTACTTTTGCATCCTGTGTGGCCTGTACTCTTTTGGCCTCTTCCTCCCCACGATCATCAACAATCTGAAATTTGCTTCTAATCCCAACCAAGCCCAACTCTGGACTGTCATCCCATACGCCGTCGCCGCAGTCCTAACCGTCCTCGTCGCCATCCTCTCCGACAAGCTTGCCCTCCGAGGGCCCCTCATGCTCGTCACATTGCCCATCGCCATAATAGGTTATGGCGTGATGTCGTATTCAACGAACCCGAAGGTCCAGTATGGAATGACCTTCATGATGGCGACGGGAATGTACGCAAGCGTTCCTTGCATCCTGTCCTGGAACTCGAACAATTCCGCTGGCCATTATAAGCGCGCTACGACTAGTGGCTTGCAACTAGCAATTGCGAATTGTGGTGGCTTTGTAGCCAGCTTCACCTATAAGAAAAAGGAGGCGCCAAACTTCCATAAGAGCCATACCATCATGTTGGGATTGCTTTGTGCGGCTTGGCTTCTGTAAGTTTCTCTCCCTTCTCCTCGTTTCAATCCCTAGCTAACCTGTGCATCACAGAGTCGCAGCAAACGTTGCTTGGTGCTGGAAGATCAACCGCGACAAGGCTATGGGTAAATACGCTGAGTGGGAAGGAAGGGGTGATGATCGCGACCCGGAATTCAAGATGGTTTTGTAATGAGCTTTCAAGGCATACGCACGCGCTGCATTCTACTTCTGCAGGTTTTACGAGTATATATGATCAGTCATTGTCACTGTTTCAATTCTTTCTATATCGTGTGAAATAAGGCGAAAGCGGTTCTGACGCAAATTCTCTATCTGTTCTAGGAGGCACAGGCGTATTAGCGGCTTTCCTCTTTTGCAGTAGAACTGCGACATGTCCACTTGAATGATGATACGATGGTGCAATATGTAGAGTTGACGATTGCTGCTAAGTAAAGTATGATCTTGCTATACCCATGGTCTACATATGTCAATACGATTCTGAAATATGTGAGAAACTGACTGCAGACTGGCAAGACGGTGGAAGCGGAAGAAGGTGCAATTAGACAACTCTTTCTCTCTCCGATAGGATTCTACTACATTATTAATCACCTAATGTAGGGGTAAAACAAGCTCGCCTTTTAAATCACGAGTCACGGAGTCTCCTCATTGTAGATAGACGATCATGATTGGTAATGTCCTTAAGAAACATTGACGTGCAAGCTGGAATTTCGAAAACGCGTTGAAATATGACGGAACGTGATAAGAGACGCGTATATCTGTCTTCAGGCAACAAAGTTGCCTTGAAACACTGACCCTCCACTTACTGTAGTCGGTCCATGGAATTCAGAACCGCCCTGGGTAATTTGTAAGGGCAAATTCCCCCGCGAACTCCCATTTTCTCTGCCGAGATTATATTGTGGATTTCCGCCTACTGGTCCAGTAATATCTGACCTCGCTAGCTCCTTCACCCATCGCCGAAGCTCGCCAGCCACGGCGATGAACCCCGGATCGTTCGTTCCCTCGAACTTCGTCATGTCCATGTGGTTGCTGCGTATACCTATCGGAATGTAGCCGGGTAAGATGGCGGAGTGTTTTGGGACAACCTGAATAGAATGAGCATCCACTTCGATTAGGGTAATGGTTAACTTACAACACCGACCCCAACCAAGGGCAATTCTTCGTAGAAGCACGTAATTTCTGTAGGTGCAAATCCGTCCAGGGCACGCGATCTAATCATGGTGTGGAAACCATTCTGAACGCGTTCAAGCACTTCCGATTCACTCTTTAGCACAGCGAGAATTTCAGGATTTGTCTGCTTAACCAAGCCAATAGTCTTGCCCAGACGTTCTGCCCAATGTGCCAGGCCAGAACCATGATGCGGTGTACCAAGGAACACAATCCCCCTGGTGCAATTGAGAATCTGTTTGATGTGTCTCTCGGGCCTTTGTTGTGCTGTTGCTAGAGCCTGGATAACAGGGTTAGAGTCTGCATTCATCACCTGAACGGAGTTGCAAACTTACGTCCTCACATACAAGGCCTCCCAGGCTATGGCATACGAAGATAATCGGGCGCTCATCCTGTTATGATCAGCTTGGTTCTGTATTCTTCGAGACCGTTGAATAATCTACTGTATCATCGTCCTCTCTGTAGGTCGCAACAGCAGCCAACAGGTTCATTGCATGGTTCCCAATTCTATTCTTCGATACCATGCCTCGCCAGTCCGCGGGATAGGCGTCGTATCCGAATGTGAGTACACGGACATTGGGTAATTTCAAAGGTAGCAAGCTCTGAGGCCACGGTTCCGTCGCGTTTTTTGCTTTCCATGTCTTTTCTCGATCTCCAGTGAGTCCGTGTACGAAGACAATACTGCGTTGGAAGTTGTCAGCCATCCTCGTGTGACAACAAGTGAGGGGTAAGTCTCTTGCATGCTCACTCACTCTACTATGCTAGCGTCTGCTTCGTACAACAGCTTGATGCCGGAAGGGAATATTTTATTTGACTCTGATGACATCTCAAGGTTCGAAGAGCTCTCAGAAGAATGAGGTTCCTGGTCAACAATTTGTTTCGGAGGGCTGAAGGGCTACTTCATTGTAGTTGTATTTCATTGAGATGTTGGAGAACAGGACGAAGGAATTTGTATCCTCTAAGAGCCGTCCTGATGACTGACTAATTTGGCTCTACTATCATCATACGACAATTCGTTGGCAGATAGATGTAGCAAGACTTGCACAGAGTAACATCGTACTACTGCTTTAGATCACGAGAGCAATGTCAGGCTATTTAACTCGGTTTCGAGAGAACGATACGTGTCCTCAATCTTGCTCCTTCCTTTACCTTTGCTTCAACTTCTGCATTGAACTCAACACTATTATCAGCATGGAGCTCGTTCCGGATGAGGACGATCGCAGAGAATAGCATCGTCATGATCATGCTCATATTCATCAACATGGCTCCCAGTTCGGTTCTACCCATGTCAGTGGAGGAACCGTGCTTCAGGGCAACGTCACTATCAGTGAGCATCTATCCCTCACCCTGAAGTTATGGGGAACTGACATTTACATCCCCTATAGCCTCAGCTGCCAGCAGGCCCAACTTTGAAGGGACAATTTCCTACTCTTTGCCTGCACCTGTCAGTGAATTTGTCAACCGCGATGCACTACACAATCAGATCTACGCGCAGCTTCGCTCCAATCATCAATCAGACGGAACTACTCGCATAGTTGCCGTGTATGGACTCGGTGGAGCTGGAAAGACGCAACTTGTGCTTGATTATGTACAACGACACCGTAAATATTACAGGGCCACGCTCTGGATAGACGCAAGCACTGTATTCTCGCTACAGCGTGACATTATCAGTACATATCAAGCTTTGTTCAACCCAGCGCTACACCCCTTATCAGGGACAGTCAATGTCGAGTTCGCGTTGACAGGTGTTAAGAGCTGGCTCTCCAGCAGCAAAGAGCCCTGTCTGATGGTGTTCGATGGCGCGGATGATATTAACAACCGCGATGCCAGCGGATACATTGACATACAGCATTTCATACCAGATTCAGCATCCCTTCATACCATTGTCACGAGCCGAAATAGCTCAGTGGGAGGCATAACGCAGCTGGCTGGCATTCACGTGCGTGAAATGGAGGCGACGCAAGCTGCAGAGCTATTTTACCGCTACTCTCAGCTACCACGCAATGACTTGGAGATTAGAAACGAGGTCATCGCTATTGTACATGAGCTCGGATATCTAGCTTTGGCTGTTACTCTTGCTGCTTCTTACATTGGTTCAACTCCACGGCTACGCTCCAACATCAAGACCTATCTACCGGACTACAGACGAAGGCGACGGGAGATTCTCAATCGAAACCCTGATGGTTTGGTCCATAAATACCAGCACAGTGTCCTTACTACATGGGAGACGTCCTACGAAGCTATCGCCAAGCTATGTCCGGAAGCGTCGGCTCTGATGACAAGTTTATCGTTTCTCAACTTCGACGATATATTTTTGGAATTATTCCATGCTGGCAAACCGAACAGAGACATGTACACCTTGGACTATGATGCTCCTGATCATTACCGACGCATAGTCACTCCAGAGCATAATCTAGAGCTACACAAGCTTGAGGACCACTTGCAGATACTGAAGAGTTACTCGTTTGTGGATTGGAGCCCGGATAGTCAGAGTTACTCAATGCATAAGTTGGTGCATGCTTGGGGTTACGATAGGCTTGGGAAAGAGCAAAAGCATCAAGACAGCTTAATAACGTGTCACCGTCTGGTCCTAGCAGGCAGCTGCGGGAAAACGCCGGAAGCTCGGCTTCGACTGCTGCCGCATATCATGGCGAACTTTGCAGCGATTCAAAATGCAACGAGACTGTCAAATTCAATTTCAACGATTCTGCTTGACCATTTAAAAATGGCGGGGTTCTTTGTTGGCAGTCTGGGACGCTGGACAGATGGCAATTTGATTCGTCACTTTGTATATCATGAGACCAAAAGGATCCATGGCGAGAACTACAAGGATACAATCCAAGCACTGAGTGATCTCGCAGGTACCTTGCATGGGCTAGGACGGTATGAAGAAGCACTTTCAATGCTCATGGAGATACTAGAGAAGCGTATGCGACTATATGGAATGCAACATCTAGCTACGCTCGGCACAATTAACAGTATTGCAACGGTATGCATAAGCCTAGGGCAACTGGACAAGGCAGAAGATATGTCTAATGTTGCGGCGGGGCTGCTCTACATGTATCATCAGGACAGTTCTTTCTTTCTTGAGGCGACGCACTCCCAAGCCATATTGCTTATTCTTCAGGGAAAATTGGATATAGCATTCTCGGCGCTGAAAGCGTTGATGGAGGGGAATGATGAACTTTTTGGCAATGATACACACAAAACACACGAGGCAATACAGACATTCGCAATAGCGATTGGACGAAAAGGGGACAAGGACAAAGAGATTGAAATTCTGGGGAGATTGCTAGAAGCAGCCAGAATGTTCGAAGGTGAAGATCATCCATTGACAATCACAACGATGGCACTCTTTGCAGACCGAATCCAGTATCAACCAGGCCAGTTGAAAAATGCGATCGAAATGACCAAAGAGGCGCTGGAGAAGTGTGAACGGCATCGTGGGAAACACCACCCAAAAACACTCGAAATAATCGATACTCTCGCAAATATGCTTCGGAGGGATCAACAGCTGAGCGAGTCAGAAACAATGTTCAAGGAGGTTTTTAGAAGAAGACGGCGGGTCTATGGTGATAATCATAAATGCACAATCTCGACATTGGAAAGCTATGCTACTACAATATCTGAACGGGGTCGGGCAGACGAAGCAATTCGGATGCTCAGAAACGTGGTACAGTGGAGGATACGAAATCTAGGCGAGAATGATCCTTCCACACAGAAAGTCCGTCGGCGTATCTCAGAGGCTCAACCAAACTCTGCCCGATGACCGCCTGGTAGCAGGTGGACACGACCATTGCAGATATTAGAGATAAAGGTTGGCTACAACCCTTAGTATTTGGGTCTGTTATCTAAATTGAATGCAGCCTGTTTGTTTTCTTTCATAGCGAAACGTATTACAGTGTACTTAGTTTTTATTATCAATTTCACGTTCTGCTTTGCACTTCTGTGCATAAATATAACTATTGTGTGCAATGAAGCTGTTGCATGAATCACCCACCCCCTACTTGGCTACCTTATACTTTTAGGTCATCATTATTGTGCAAAGGTTATTAATTAGATATACTGGCACAGGCTGCTATAAAGGACACATTCTTCTATTTCTAACTAATATGGAGTAGCACGATGAAATACAAATAGTAAAGGGTACTTGTCCGTCCTACCATGTGTTTTGCAATATCATGTCTGAGATGAGAGAGAGAAAGAAAAAAAAAAGGGCCGAACCGGAGTCGAACCGGTGACCTATAGAAAACGAGTATGATCGCCTGTATAGATGATGCACTGCAGTCTACCGCTCTACCCCTGAGCTACCGGCCCGAATGCTGTTTGTTGATGTTGGGATTTGAAATTATTGACATTATATTCCTACATCAATCTTGCTTCCGATAATCGAAAACCTCATATTCCTTTGGGGTCAGTGACGAAATAATTCGTGCTTATGTGTCAGGTAGACTAACTAAGTGACTAGGTAATTAGTTGTTCTCAATTGTGCCCCACAATGTGGCTTGAACCACCCCAAATGGGTTAGTTTAGCCGGCGTTCACTTCTTCGTTTTCTCGATGACTTCCTTCACAATAAACGCTTGGCATAATCTCCGCGGTGTTGTATTTGGTGATACAACAAACTTGCATTCCTCGTACTTGTAAAGTGTATGTTACAAGAATGATGTGGGACACCTGTCGATATCCTCCGGCCGCCATTTATCTTAAGAAAAGGGGGAAGTATCTATAGCTTTCTAGCAACCCAGAATGAGGGTGTGTATATACTCCTCAGCATACTTCTCTCGTTAGAAATATATCCTGTTTCCAAACCCCTAGGCTTATGCTTCTCAATCCTGAACCCAAGATGTTCCACCAGAGCAATTACCTCCTCGTTCGTTAGTTCCACAGATCCTGGGTCCGCGATGCCTTGATCCTTTCCACCCTCTTTCTCCAGTTTGTCCTTATCCTCGCCGGAATGGTGGGACCGGGATGCATGATGCCAGAGCAACGGACCAAGATTAATCCACAGCCCACCAGCCTTCAAGCAATTTCGAACAGTCTCGATATATCGAATCACATTAGGTGCAGTGTCGATGAAGAATACTGTCGCAACCGCATCGAACATTCCAGCGAATTCGCCATTCTTGTCGCTATAAAGCACACAGAAATCGCCAGTCACCATACTCATTTCCCCTGGCTCCTCGACACTTCCTTCGCCAGCAGCAATGGGCCCCGATAGTGCGGTGGCGGGATGCACGTCAGGGACCCCGAAAGTCCTAAATTGGTCGTCACGCGAAAGATGGTTCGACCCATTGAGTGCAAAGGGCGCAATCGTGAATTGTCTTGCTCGCTCTGTCCCATTCAACACCAAAGAGCTTGCCATGAGCTCGTGATAGGATATCTCATTGCCCTGAGCAGAGAACCCAGCGCAGCAAATGTCAAATACGAGTCTACCTAGTCCGGCTCCTGGAACCAGGACATGGAAATCAGATTTTGTGGCTCCGCTGCTGGACCTTGAAGTCCATTCTGCATTCAACGTGTCGAGAATCGGGGTAAAACATTTATCTCTTTCGACCGCGCCCTCAGCACTCCACTCCCGATAGAATTGATGTATGCAGCTTCGTGCCTTCTCTAGGTCTGTTGGAGTGGCTTTACCGCCGTCCAGAGCATCGAGGACGGTTTCGTAGACTTTGAGCTCGTCGTGGGCGTGCTTTTCATCAACGATGGTTGCCACCCATTCAGCGTCTAGGGAAGGTGCAATGAAGCCCTTGAATCCAGCGCAAAATATGGCTTCCGCCAGAGCAGCATTAGAAGAAATAAGATCGTCGAGTTTATTGAAGTTGTCCAGGATGGAGAAGGGTGGCTGTGAGAGCAGTGTCCAGTGCGATGATGGAAGGGAGTAGAATGCTTGTCTTCGAACGTGTGTACCATTGAAATGAGCAAGACGGCGGTATGATCTTTCGTCTTGTTAGATAGGTGCTGATCATATTAATAGCCTGGGAACATGGTGACGTACCGAAAAGAGTCTAATACTGAGAGTAGATGAGCGCGTTCTTCCGCATCTTGCATCGGATCGAACCCCCCTGTTTCATGCTCGTCGTTCTCCATGGATTCAGCTTTCTATAAACGTCGACTTGCGGCGCTCTCTTGAGTATACTCAGATCGGCTTCGACGTAGAGAATCTTCCTTGTTGAATTGCGGCAGCAGAGCACAAATCAAGTTCTCGAAATTGCGATTTCCAGATTGACTCTAATCTTTTGATACCATTGGCTCGCCTATTATATCGTAACCCCCGAACTGAGCCGTAGCTGCGTGTTGCTTGTCGGCGATTCCTTAATGATCAAGTGGGATGCCAAGCTTCGACCCACGAATTCCGAACACCTTCCGACATCCCTAAGTTCCAAAGCTCTGAAAGCTTATCCACATTTCACAACGAAAACTTCCCACCATACTCGCATCCACCTCCTGTCTCTTCCATTACATCCGAATCCTCAAGATACCCAGCGGCTATGACATCAGGAGTCCCCAACGGCGAATCCTCCATAGAGCCCGTCGAGGTCTCCTTCCCCCTCCCCCGCGCCCCGCAAACAAACATCCACCTCCAACTCACCAACAACAAAACTTCGCTCCTTGTCTTCCTCACGACCGCAGCTGCGGATCATACATCCTTATCAGCGCCGCTCGGGTCTTTCGTCTACGCAATGCCGAACCTTCGCGGCAACCCCGCCGATGCACTATCTACGCCATTGTACACACATAGTGGGAATCTCGATTTCACGACGAGGTTGGCCAAATTGCTTGCCAGGAAGGCGGGAAAGCCGGTGTATGTCGGCAATTCGATAAGTTTCGCTAACGCAGGAATGGGCGGAACGGTTGAAGAGGAGATGGAGGGGTTTAGGAGGTGTGTGGAGGTTATCGTAGGGCTTGTGCAAGACCAGCAATCATGAAGACTGCCATGCCATTGTCTTAAGGGCAAAACCCGCGATAGCGCGGAAAAAGCTGCATAGAAGGATGAAAGTTCACATTGGGCGGATGGAAGAATCAATTGGTAGGTATTGCATGCTATGTGAGTCAATGAATGTTCACTAATTCACGTCGCGGTAGCACAAAAAGCGATTGGGAGTATCATGATTTCCGTAATTGGCTATATCATGAAAGACAATCTGTGGATTGCTATCAAAACACTCCTACTGCTGTCCCAACCTCTCCTTGGCGCTTTGTTTGGCCTCGTCAGACACATTAGGGTTATTGAGGGTAGCCTTCAATCCGCCAGCGCTGCACTCCATCATCAGTATATCTCATTCTATTGGTTCCAAATGGGAGCGGCAACAACTTACACATTGTTGGGGTTCTTGTTGCTATCGTCATTGCTACCAATGTTGCCGCCGTCAAATTCCTCATCGAGGACCTGGCGGGAATGCTGCTTGGACTCCTCAGAGGTATCTAAGCTGCATTAGCGTAGATATTTAAAGGCCATACCAGGAGCAAAGATGCATACTGGGGTTGTTGAGGTTAGCCTTGTGGCCACCGACGATGTTTCCTACGTTAGACATGTTGAACTTAGGCTGTGGGTTGTGTAGGGGTTGAAATGGGTTGTTAAGTTTTGAAAGGCAGAGTTGTTTGTTATACAGAAGAGATGATTTGAGCTGATAGAGATATAACTTCAATCCGCGACCATCAGGCCCATACTTATACCTTTGTCTCTTCCATACAAAACGATCCAATACCTCAGAAGCGTCACATTGACTCACAAAACACCCGCTCGATCTTCATCATTATCATACCTACGTCAATGACTTCCATCATCCCCAGTCGTCACCTCATAGGATAAAGGGGATACGCATGGCGAATCCGTCGCTCAATGACGCCTTTTCCTCGCTATCCCCATCGCATAATATGGAGAGCGTCATCACTGTCCACGAACCATCCCCACAATCAGTTCGGAAGCCACAGCGTGCTGAGATCTCACCAGCTAGATCACCATGCGGGGAGGAGAGACCCAATTGCCATGTGCCTGTATCTGGCACATTACTTCAGATCCTATTATCACACCTTAGCTACATTGACCGAACAACTAAAGCTAATTGTGATGTTTTAGTCAATCTTACTTACAGAATTAGGAGCTGATCGACCGAGATGTGCGGCCAGACCTGCCGCTCAAGCTCAGATCTAAACGTCCTCTGCGATAGAGTACCTGGTACCTGACTTCCAGGCGCCCCGGCAATGATCAGCCTTCAAGATCGGATTCGGGCCAAACTGATTGACTAGGGACCATGAGAGATGGTTCGATCGATTTACAAAGCTAGGCAACTACCTCTTAGTGCAGGCGGAATAGGCACGGGGGTTACTCACAGGAAAGATAAAGTGGGGAATTGGGAATATGCAATTTCATCATCGAATTGTTTCTGAGAGTCCATCATTCCCCGAACAATCATCCAGTTTTCTGCGTTCTAAAGTTGGGTCTAAAAGGGGAGCTATTCTGATGGCACAATGGTCAGACCCGTGCTTCATGTAGGACTGCATCAATCACCTTGCTCTCTTTCTTTGTTTGAGTCTTGCATACTACTCGATCATGCAATCATTATTTGACGCCTCGGGGACTATAACAATACTGTATCAGAGTTATCTTCGAGAATTCCATGACGTCAAGATGGGTTCTTAGACAGTGCAAATCACGGGACCGCGCGGTAGCGTAATGTACGCGTCGCTCGCGTAGTAGTGCATCGAGCTGATCGACCGACCCCAACTGTAGTCAGTGGCTCAATCCGCACACAGACATATTTTTTGCTGGCATCATTGATGACGATATCGGCGGAGGGCAATTCGAGTAACATAATGGTGGATTGGGACCTGCCTCCAGGTCCCTAAATTGAGTAAATTGGCCTAGTAAGATGTACATACACGAGAATGACCCAGTCGGACCATCCGTAAACTCCATTCCCACAAGTTGAGTGATTAAGGTCGGGGCTCAGTCTACGAGCCCCTCAGTGCCCCCGATTATGATCCCATCCTTTGCCGTTTTTCAGGCCCCCTGATGATGCATTTTGGAAAAAGGAAATTGGATTAAAGACGCCAAAACACTCCACCAACTCCCCTCAGTTGGTCTCATTGAGTTGTGAAACTAAGAAACGTCGGGAATCACGGTTCAAACCGAGCAAGAGTTTGTCGTGTGGTACAAACCTTTTTCTTCTTAACATCGCCTTTAGTGACGTATGTCATGGGGATTTTCATACTTTTTTTTCCAATGGTTTCTGTTATTACGGTCTCGAGGCCGGCACGGATACGAACCTGACGCGGCATTGGATCGCGCATGTGACGATCGGCGGGTGAACGTATGCGGGTGACAATGGCATTCAAGTTGCTGTGCCTTTATGGTGGTAGTTTCGCGAGCAGACCGATGCCCATTATAGCTAGAAGTGACCGCGACTGAGAAAAGAAACATGTCAGAAGCCCTATTTCTTTCGGCAAATATAGCGAAGGGGGACAGGGGGGGCGAACTGCAAAACAGTCCAACTCTCTGTCTATACTGGCGTAGGAGTAGGGAGTCCGTTCACGTTCTCCGACTCCCTGCGCTTGGCTGATGCAATTTGGCTGTCCTAAATTAGCAGCAAGTCAGCAAGAGGTCATTCCTCTTCGCCGCAGGGCGAATTCAATTCTAGTAAGTTTGGATAACTGGATTTCTTGTACGCACGTCAAGTCCCGTCTCTGCAAAGCTACGCTTGGGCTTTCCTGAGGCCTTCTTCCTCTTCTTCTCCTTTTCTGGCTTCTTCTCGCCAGGCTTGAAGAGATCGTCAGGAAGTTGATGACTGGATCATTAGCATAAATGAGATTAGCGGAGATCAGGGAGCACATACTTCCGAGTGTGAACAACACGAACCGACATGACGTCTTCGTTGTAAGTATCGGACATGGTGATAAATCGCTTGAACTCCGAAACAGGAAAGGAAATGTCTAGTGAGCGCGTACCGCCTATACCAGAATGTATTAGCTGGGGTGGCTCATAATGTGACCTGGAGTATCATACCTTCTGGCAACGTGAGTCCGATGTAAAAGGTTGTGGTGTAGATGATGTGTCGTTCATCAGCACCTTTCACGAGATCGTCGACCGATTGCCCTTCCGGGACTTGAAACTCCATATTGCCCTGAATGATTCGTTCGATTTGGTCTTCCGTGTCACAAATGTGAACGCGGTCGACGCCTTTCGGATACGGACGAGCCCTATCTACGCCCGCATCGCCATCATCGATTCCCTTCACCAAAAGCCGTGTTTTAGACTGTACAAGACCTGCGAAAAGGTCATGCGCTTCTTTGGTTCGGCTAGCTGCAATGACACTGAGATAGTACTTGTGGTCCTTGGTGAAGAATGAGTGTCGCTCAAACAGATCTGCCCATGTCTTCTTTCCAGTGATGATGGACCCTAAGATTGCATCTGCCCTCGCAAATTCATCCATCATTATGCCCTTGGTCGAATGCATTATTGTATGGGTTGCGCACATGGAAGGAAATGCTGGGGTGATGATCGGCATCAGATGAGCCCGGTCTTGGGGATAAATCGCGGGGTTCCAAACGCGTAGGTTCATCGTTCCTTCCTCAATAGACTTGAGGATGATAGGCGCTGGCCAATTCCACTTCAACATCAATCCGAAGAACTTGGAAAGAATAGTGGCTCCGCAAGCGAATGGGTATAATTGGCAGATGCGTGCGACCATTATGGCCCATGCGACACCACCAGGAAAACCGAAAACAGCACCGTATATGCCTCGTTCTGTATCAAATTAGTTGTTGGCCATGGTATGAAAGAGGCTGTTGCGACTTACGATTCGACCACAGCTTCACTGCTCGAAGCGCGTGACGGAATGATTTGACCTGCGGCACAGCTTGTAGAAGCTCGGCGCACACCCTCGTTCCATTGACACTTCGCATCGCTGTATCATCCAATCCACGCAGTATGCCTTTCTCGGTGAGATCGAAATCCTTCGGTATAGAAGACTTGCTCGGCAGGGAGGCAAACAATAGATCTATACTGACACCACGGTATTCCATCTTAATGATCGGGACAAAGGTATCCTTCACTGGTACGAATTCGGTGATGTCGGACTCGTTAGACATCTCGCGGAACGTAGGAGGGAAGTGCTCGAAGAAATCGTCGAGATAGATATGTTTCGGCGCGACAATCAAGGTATCGATATCAGAACTGGGGCCATAGACACCCAGTGCATAACTTCCGAACCAGAAGATCTTCCCTCCTGAGCTGTCAACAGTAGATGCAGGGAGTCCCTTTGCCTTTCCCGCGCGTCGGATGAATTCTTCAACGACTTTTTGAAGATGATCGAGGACCCGTTGCCTATGCTCGTTAGAAGGTTAGAGAATCAATGGCAGGCAATGCGAACCTGACGTCGGTGCCCTCGGGGGTCTCGAAGTTGTTCTCCCGTTTCAAAGCTTCTATCAACTGATCGTTCAACTTGAGATCCGCCTCGGTGGGCTGAGCCTCAAGAATAGGCTTTGTAACACCCCATTGGTGCTTCTGACCTTCCATGGTCGATCAGATGATCTGTGATGGTATACGATTGCGCGGGTCGCTACGGCGCACAAGAGTAGGGGCCGTGGTTGCCTGGAGATTGTACTATCAAAGGAGAGTGAGCGGATGAGAGGCCGATATGAGGTCTTCAGATTGAATGTGTGGTAGATTCAGCGTTTCCGCATGGCGACGCAACCACTTTCGAGCTTGTGGGTGGTGAAAGAGAGAGTGATGGGATGCGCAGTTGCTGTTGATGAATGAGATATGCTGCTAGTAATCCACGCTAGGTGCGCGCTACAAGCTCAAGCCACATGTGGCTAGTGACCTATTCAAACTTCCTATCCGGAGCTTTCAAGTCCTGTTCTATTGTTGTTCCATCACACAATGCGTGTGTTTTAGACTGGAGTCTGTACTGAAAGAAACCTGGCGAGGCACTGACAATACCCATTCATTATTGTGCAATCTGTGACGATGTGGTGTTAATCTTCCCACCGCTCCCATGCTTCTCGCCATGACTGGGCCACGGTTGTGTATTGTCTGCCCCAGTATGATCGAGCCAACGGTTCACAGATAGGGAAAACGATGTCCACTAGGCAAAAGCACCTTTCATACTCGTACAATCTGACTATATATTTTTCTTATTTGAAGCGCGGTAAGCGATGTTAAGAGCGGGGTCGTAAGCTCAACAACAATGCTCACCATCCTGACTAAACCTTCTTGCGGCATCAGACCGAGACATGCTGCGAAGAGGAGGAGGAGACTATTGCGGGGTCGAAGGAATGGTCAACTTTATAAACTATAAATAATGGTTCAGTTTGAGTTGAACCCAATGGAAGTAGATCTTCTGTCTTTCAACGTAACAGTGGATATATTCCAGTTTTTACCGCATCAGAATCATCATCAAAATGACTCTAAAATTGTCCGTTGTGCAATCTGCCACCGACTTTGATAAAATTGCCCCCATGGATCACGATGCTTGGAAGATCCCCTACAACCCGCAACTCAAGCACTTCCGCCCCCAATTCCCAACCCGAGAGCAAGCAATCGCCTACGCTCGAGAGAACTCGAAGTGTCGATTCGAGGATCGAGATCCAGAGAAGCAATTTTGGCTCAAAGTTGAAGACGAGAATGAAGAGGTAATTGGGGCCGCTCAGTGGGCGGTAAACATTCCAGCCGAGGGAGCGGAACGGACAGTGGCAAGCTGGTATCCCGAGGGAAGCGAGGAGAGGGAGTTTGCAGAGAGATTTATCAATGGCCTTTGGGGATTTCTTGGAGAGAGAGTTACCAGGCCGCATATGGGTGAGTTCCTATTTCGCTTCTGTTCAAAATAAGGCCACACATTCAGCAGGAAGCCTTTGGTGACGTTTCCATGAATAGATCTGTTATCCATAGTTGTGCATGTGGAACATCGCTATCGAGGGGCCGGTCGGATGCTGATCAAATGGGGGACTGCAAAGGCAGACGAGCTAGGTAGGTCGACATCATGTAGCTGTTGGGAGCCCTGTGGCCTTACAATTATAGGCATCGAAACCGTCATAAGCTCGCTACATTCCGCTCGCGGAGCTTACGAAAAAAGCGGACTGGGCTACATTGAGGAGATCCCACCGAGCAGGGATTTGGAAGTGGAAAATCCTAGTGCAAAGTGGAAGGAGCTGCAGGCAGATGACTTAAGTGGATGTTTGATGTGGCGGCCGGTTGGCAGAGATTTTGTCGTGGGGGAGGATAAGGCACCGTGGCAAGAGTAATTCATAGATCTGACTGCTTGAAATTGAATGGAGAAGTTCCCACATTAAGCGCAATCTTCCATCTATCTATGAATGTCCATTCACCTCTGCCTTCTTTATCTTCTCCTCTTCTGCGATCGTTTGCTCATATGTTTCATACTTGTACTTGTGCCCAGGATGGTCATTCCTCAGTCGCTTCTGTCCTTTTCCATATATCCGTTCCCTGTATGTAAGCACTTCTGCATCTTCAGTGATGGGGTCATCCAAGAGACCTCTTTTGCGGAGCTCGGGTGTCAATAGCTCAGTGACATCCTCAAAGCTGCCTGGTGAAGTTACATAAGCGATGTTGAATCCATCTACGTCCGCGATGTCGACCCACTGCTCGAATATATCGGCAACTTGGGATGGGCTACCTTTAGGCATAGCGCCAGATCCACCTATTGCTACCAGTCTTCCAAGATTTCGCACTGTGAGAGGCGGAACATCGTCTCCGGAGTACTGTAAGTTGTACTGGGTAGATTGAGACAGCTTCTGCCACTGGGCGTATGGAAGGTCCTTATCGGTGAGCAGGTAGTCGGGATCAAACTTGGAAACATCAACGCCAGAAGATGCACACCATTGCGCTAGACCGCCTTCCTCGGAAGCGTACTTCAAAGCTTCGCGATGCTTTCGTTCGGCATCCTCTTCGTCGACACCGATTATCGGTGTGATCATTGCAAAGATCTTAATAGATTGAGGGTCACGGCCAGCGGCTGCTGCCTGCTCGCGGATTTGTTTCACGCGAGGTGCAACAACATGTGGAGACAGGCCGGCTACAAAGATGGCTTCCGCGTGAGTCGAGCCAAACTTCATCCCAGCACTACATATTATTAGAGTTGTTTCTGTTGAAGGTGATTGCGTTGATTTCGACTCACGGTGATGTTCCCGCCTGAAATAGTACTGGCGTTCGTTGGGGGGATGGGTCAACAATAAATGGGGCATCGACAGTCCACTTTCCTTCGTGCTTGATTGTACGAATGCGGGACGGCTCTGCGTATATTCCCTTCTCAGAATCCTCTATAAGAGATTCATCGGCCCAGGATCCTTCCCATAGTCTATGATTGAATCAGTACCGTTCATATCATATAGATCCTTATGTCCTCACTTGTATAATATACGGAGGTACTCGTCCGCATTGTCATATCGCTTATCGTGATCAATGTATGGAAGCCCGACTGCTTTTGATGCAGCCTGTTTCCATGAGGTGACAATGTTCCACCCAAACCTACCACCCGTTAAGTGATCTAATGTCGCGAAGCGTTTCGCAACCACATAAGGCTGTTCGTACGATGTCGAAGTAGTGACGGCGAAGTTGAGGTGCTTTGTCACTGAGGCCATAGCAGAGATGGGCTGGTTTGATAAGCACAAAGTGAGCCGTATGATCTGCATAGTCTAACGGATTGAGATACATACGATTACAGGGTCTGCCATTGGCCATTGCGCTCCCGTGCGGAATGCTGGCTCAGTGCCGCCTTTGTAGCTATGTATGTGTAAGTTTCCATACAAGTAAGACAGCAATGCAGAATGCTCACACGTCGTAAGGCCCAAAAGTATCAGCAAGGAAATACCCTACGAAACTCCCCTTCTCCAGTATCTTGGCCAAATCAGTCCAGTATGTCAAGTCCCTGCGCTTATCCCGGCTTCTGTCTTTGGGATTCCGCCACTGACCAAAGGCCAGATGGCTGGGCGTAAACATGTCAAATGCATTGAGCAGAAGTTTCTTTTTCGGCCTGGCATCTGTACTGGCATGCTCTGTAGATGCGCCGTTGCCTTCTATGGAGCCCATGTTGGACAACGAAATCGAGAGTCGAGAACTGGTCTATGAGAGAGTGTGATTGACAGGAAAGTCATACAACGAACCCCAAGACATAGTTATGACTCGCACTAATTATACTTTCTTCAGGGAGGATACATACTACCGATGATATGGTTGACACAATGCGAGGCACGTCTTACGTCTTCCAACTAGCCGTCTGCTTGCTGGAACACTCCAGCGCTGACAATGTCCTGTGCCGCAGATGCGGAGAAACTCATGTTGATTTACTCCACTTATTACCACGCAAGAGACTTCAATTCGGGAATAACAGGACTCTTATCTCCTAATCGTGATGATTCGACTGGTTGAGAAGTGGGTTTCCAAGATATTGAACGTTGGAATGGTGGGACATGATGATGATTTCCTAACCATAATTGCGCCATCTCAGCTCCATCTTGCATCTCCAATGCTTCTTGGCTCTCCATCCTCAGAACAGTCACGCCAAACAACACTCCTCATCTTGATTCCGATCACCGGAGACATGCATCTTGCCTTTCGGATATGGTTTCAATCCAATTGCATGGAGCAATGCAAGCTATAAAAACGTCACGAAATCCTTGGTAATAGGCCCACTGTTGCTATTCTTGGCTCGGCTCTTGCACCCATATGTTCTTGGCTGTTCAAGATCCTAGTGAACGCCTTATCATGTATAAGAGGTGTGGAAATAAATATCTTGAACATGTCGGATGAATGAAGGGTTGTAGTTTGCTGCTACAGGACAAATCTGCAGCATGAGTTCTTCAAAGCAGCCTCAACACGAAGTCACAGCGGTTCCAGCAGTGACCATCGATCATGATGTCGCTGCACAATCCCGGAAAAATGCAGCTGCCGTTGTGTCGCGTGCAGATGTCGACAATCTGAGGGATGATCCCGAGGCGAAGAGAGCCTTCCTGGCAACATTCACTGCCGATGAGGAGAAGAGTATTATGCGCAAGGTCGACAAGCGCTTCATTCTGCTTACAGGTATCATGTTCATGATCAAGCAGGTATGCCCGTGCTTTGTTATTTATTGAGTAAACATTTACTAACACGTTACGACCAGATCGATGTTCATAACGCCGCAAACGTCAAAGTTCTCCAAGTCGGCAAGCCTTCCAATGTATTGAAAGAACTGAAAATGAGCTCCAATGACTACAACTGGGTTGGATCCATATACGGTGTATGTACATTCACCACGACCGATCCATCACTGCCTCGCCATCTAACGGATTCAGATCGCATACATTGTTTTCGAAGCTCCGAGCAACCTTCTGCTAAAGCGTATGCTGCCACACAACTGGCAGGCTCGCATCTTCCTCACTTGGGGCATAATCACAGCATGCCACGCTGCCGCACGAAACCGCCATGACATGTACGCCATGCGATTCCTTCTAGGGTACGTAGTTCATCCTAATCACTGTACTAATGTTTCATCTCAATTTAACATCCCCGCAGAATGTTCGAAGCCGGCATGTTCCCCGGCGTCATGGCGCAATACTCCTCGTGGTACCGCACAGAAGAACTAGGCCGAATCGTGACCTACTATTTCTGCTTCAGCAACGTCTCCGGCATCGTTGGCGCACTATTGACCTACGGAATCAGCTACATGGACGGCGTCGCGGGCTTGTCCGCCTGGCGCTGGGTGTATCTCCTCGAGGGCATCGTGACCATCCTATTCTCGGGCGTTGTCTGGTACTACCTTCCGGACTACCCCAAGTCTCCTAGGAGTAATCGCTGGTTCACGGCCCGCGAGCAGGAGTTCATCGAGACGAGACTTCCTGAGAACGCGCCATTGACTAGTGATCCTGATTTTTCGACGCACGAGATCAAAACAGTGCTGAGCGAGTGGTTGATCTGGAGTTTCATGCTCAGCCAGACGTTGGTCAACCTTGGGTACGTCTCCTCCTATCCCCAAACCACTCTTTCCTCCCCCTAAGGGAAGGACGGCCCACCGACTAACACACGGTTTCTGACAATGCTACAGCGGCTACGCCCTAACATGGTACCTGCCCACCATAATAACCAACCTAGGTTTCGTCGGGCTGCCCCGCAACCAACTCCTCCTTCTCCCCCCTTGCTTCGCTGCCTTTCTCGGCCTCATCTTTTCCGCATGGTTCATGTCGCGCGCGTGGCTCGTCCGCCCAGCCTACATAATGTTCATCATGTCCGGCATGGTTGTCTGCTTCGTCCTGTTCTTCGCCATCACGCACTCCCGCGTCGGCATCTACATCGCCTGCGTCCTCGGCACCCTGTTCTACCAGTCGTACTTCCCGGCTTTCTGGGCGTGGAGGAGCGCCACGCTGACGGGGAGTACGGGCACGGCGTTCACGCTGGGTTTGCAGTCGGGGATTGCGCAGTTGGGGGGTGTGGTTGGCCCGCAGTTGTTTCAGTCGAAGTGGGCGCATAATGGGTATAAGAATTCGTTTGCGATTGCGGCGAGCTTTACCATTGCCGGGTGGGTTAGTAATTTGTGGACGTGGTGGATGACGAGGAATACGGAGTACGATGTCATGCGGATCCAGAGATTGAAGTTGAAGGCGAAGAGGGAGGGGAGAACGTACGGAGAGGACGATGTCAAGGTTTTTACTGAGAGGAGGTTTTACGACGGAATTAAGAGGGTTAAGGGGGACGGGAGTAGTGATGGTTCGTCTGTGTGATATCCATATGCCGGTCTTCGAAGAAGAATGCACGTGAATGGAAAAGGATAAAGCTTCAAGTATGAGGCGAACAGGTAGACGAGTCGGAATCCAGAATAATGATCTCATACAATTGATACAACTAGATACACAGAGTAAACATACACTCCCCAAATTCCCCAAACGCCAAGTCCCATAATGACAAAAAACCGAAATAATGTACAAGAAGAGGAAGTAAAATATGCAATGACGAGGAATATACAAGTGAGACTTAGTGTGAGAAGTGAGATAATCTAGTTGGGGTATCATGGGATTAGGACAGTGGGAGTAAGTTGGAGACGGTGGGACACTTTTGGTACGATTGATAGACGGTCGAAGGATGTTCGCTGAAAACGCGGGAACGCTAGAACGCTAAAGGGATGTCGCTGTGTTGATGGACGACTGGACAAGACTTGAATGGCTAGTAGTAGGTTTATGTCGAATGATATGAAGAGATGTGAATGTGTTTGTTGTGGACGTAACGAATTGGAGGCGGTAGATGTATGTCGAATAAATTTAAGGGAAGAGTCGACATTGAAAGAAATGCGGAAGCGGATGTTGTAGCGTCATCGCAGTGTATATCGAGGCGTTGAATCGTCAAAGCTCAGTTTCATCCCCAGGAAAGCCAAGGCGGGTGAGAGCTGATGTCCAAGTTCTCAAACCCAATCCATCTTCTTGAACCACACGCCCTGCTCCTCTCCCTCAGACCGCACTCTCTCACGAGAAGCAGGCCCATCCGCTGTCCTCGTAATCTCCGCAAACATTGTCGCCTCGCCTTGCTGCTTGTCTAGCGCAGCGCTGTTAACGACAGGCGTGAATGTCAGCTGTCTCGCCTCTTCGACGAGAGGAGAAGGCATGGTGAAGTACTCGGTTCGCTCGGAGAACGCGGGAGACAAACCTAGGGGAGCGGCGACAGAAGGTGCGGCTTCGCCATTTAGCATGCCGGCGATTGAGGCGGTCATGTAGGAGTCGTAGGATTGGTGGGAGATGCGGTTGGAGAATGGCCCCGAGGGCTGAGTTTCTGGATATGAGGATAGGGGTGTTGAAGGTCGTTGAGGACGGGGTGGGTGGGGTTTTGTGGCCGCTTTGGATTTGGTGTATCTCGTTGGCTTTGGAGGAGGCGGTGGCGGCGGAGGGAGAGTTGATGTTTGGAGTGGAGTGAGAACGAGGGATTTGCTGCCAATTGACGATGTGGTTCTGGGACGGTTGAGTTGGGTGTAGGACGAGGATCTATATTTCTCTTCGATGGGGATGATTGGCGAGACCCAGCGGAGGTTGGTAGCTCGAGGCCAGGAATCACGAGGCCGCTGGCTGTCGCCGAGCAAGCTGGTGTGGCGGGTGAGCACGGGAAGACAGGCAATTAGAACGAGGAAGCCATATTCGACGATGCTGTGCAGTGTTAGTGGGTTCAAATGTTGGGGGGGCTGCTACACCTACGCAGTGATGTAGACGTGGAAGGATGCCATGGTGAAGTCTCCACGCCTATAGTCATATCCTGTGATAGAGAACAGTCTACCAGCAGCTGTCACACATGCTAGAAGACCGACGAAGAAGATACCACAGATTGCTAATTTCCTGCTCAATGTGTAGTGTAACTGCCGGAGTAACACCATCGCAAGAGCAAAGATTGCAACGCTCGTCGTGAGATTGATTGCTGCGAACGCAGTGTTTAGCCCATCATGGGATAGACAATTTCCTTGGATGGAAGGATCAAATATCTTAGATCGTGGGTTGCACGCAACGATATGAACGAATGTGATGGCAGTGTAACTGAGGCCATTGAACGCTAGGAGTGCCCAAATTGACCAGCGGACAGATTCAGCCCCAGTGGCTGCGAGGAAAATAGACAGAAGGCAGAACAGAACCGAACCCTTCGCAGCGAGCATCATGAGTGAATAGATGATATCGAGGACATTCGACAGCAGGCGAACCCGCTCTATTGCGGTCGATTCAACATCCCATGCGTGCTCGCCCAGTCCAGCTTTGGATCCAGCGAAGAGGACGCCATTGAACGCGGCGAAGATAACCTGGAAGATTAGCTGTGAAGTGACAATTGATCCACGTTACCACTTACGAAAGAAATGACAAGGGAATCTATTCGCAATCAGTACTTTGCATTCCTACCAGATCTTCAAGACGCTTACAATCTTCAGCTTTTAATTTAGGCGTATACCTGACTTGAGACCATATCCGCCCGCAGATAGCCACAAATGAAAGACACAAAAACACGACAGAAACGACGATAAGTTCAGACTGAATGAGAAAATCGTTGCGTGGCTCGGCCACTGCACCATTCGGCGGTGCGACAGTAGTCATGATTTCCGAGACGAAAGCGATGTCCGCAGATCAGTCGACGACTTCCGACGTCCGGCCAGCGTGAAACAAACAAAGACAACAAAAGGAAATGGAAAGGGAAAGGTGGCTTTCTTGTCGAAGACTGGAACTCAAGTGGGTCGTCGTACTTGACTGATGTTCCTGGATGTCAATCGTGAAGAGGCAAAGACATGTATGTATACCATTCTTCTTTCCTTAGGGATTAGTATGGCACGACCACCCACGACGTCAACGGCGAGCGAACTTGCATGTCGGTAAATCCCCGATCGTACCGAAAGATCGCCAAGGTCATCATGTTTGGACAGCCTGAACGACTAGCGGTAAGGTTTGTTGGCGGATTCGCTAACGGAGTGATCCTGCGGGAGGCTTCTGCAAGATTGGGAGCTTGTTCTGATAGTTGGAATCAGGCGTTGAATCCGTTTTGGGTTATAATGTTGGCGGCGCCTTGCTCATTTCTCCGCCAGCGGGGAATGAAAAAGGTACGTGCATGTCCAAAGCCCTATGTAGGTAAGCGACGAGAGAAGAAAACTTGTCTGTCAATCATAGGTCTATCTGACAGACATAGCTTAAGCTCCCCTTCCCTAGCCTGAGATCAAGTCTTATTCGCATGTTTGGGTTGTGGTTAAGCGAAACCTTCGGTTCCCGATCAAGGATCCTTCGCCTCTTCCCTCGACGACTGACACTGGGGAGTAACGAACACTTCGTGGTACAAACGCAGGTCTCACGCGAAAGTTCATGCATCCACCATACCGAAATTGTTCATTTCGTATTGGCTGTGTAATTGCTTGTGTTGTAATAGTAAGTTGTAGGTAGCCAACATCTCGAGATCCTGCTCGTGCTCTTTTATGTGCTATTCTGGGCATTGAATCAGACCAACCCGATGCATCTGCCATGTGTAGGAGCATTTTTATTCAAAGAGTACGAACATAAATTTCCGATAGGCTCCACCCTGACATGATAAAAGGTCGACGAGTCAAGAATGCGAAAATACGTGGAAAAGAAAATACGTACAATACATACATGGTCGGACTCCGGCTCATGGCAAGTAAGCAGCGGTGTATGCAACTTGCACAGGCGCGCGGGACCAGGCTGCTTACCTGCACCTACACAAGTGTGCGATCTCGGCGTGTCAAGGTGGTGAGATAGAGTAAGTAGACATAATCTTCTTCTTCTCATAGAAATGCATTGAATTGAAGTGAAGGACCTTTGTTGAAGCTAAATTCTGGAAACTTGATTCGGTGATACATACATAGTTCGAGGGCGTTCCAATGTTCTGATGCCCTACATCGATATCGGTAAGAAATTAAGGCCTGCATGGCGCTTCAAGACATTCCGTTGCAATCCATCCCACCCTCTCTCATGCTCAATGACGTAGTAAATCCAACGCGAGATATTGGAGAGTAAGGCTGTGCGACAAAACATGAAACGTGAGACGCGTCTGTCTGCATGTCCAGAAGTGGATACGAGGATGGGATGGTTGGTGGAGTAGAAAGACGGAAAGGTACGAGTAGTGGAGGTCAGATATGACATGGAGGCGCTAACCCACATAATTACAAGAACCTCCGATGTCCATCAATTGCCGTTAACATCGGAACTCGTCGTCTTCGAATATTGATTGACCCTTCCCTTTCCTCGTTTCCTTCCATCTCGTTTCATATATCTTACACCGTAGAGAGGGGTACATGGTAAGACTTTGGTGTGGAGATGGCCATATCAAAGTGGTTCCCGATGTCCTACCACCATTCACACATGAATTACTTGCAGCATCTCCCCACCAAAGTAGATCTACATCACTTTGATCTACACACAAGCACAAACAACAGGACATCCGTTCGGCCTTCTGCACTTGCGTGGTCCGAATCTCCATACAGCCTCATCCTGCGCGCACTTTCCGTCATGGTAACTTCTTCCACAACCGTAGTCCGTATTACTAGTACGTTGTGTTGACTCTCTCTGTGCAACTGCCCCGGTATTGCTACCCTCACCATCGATCAGAATTTCATTGTCCTTCCGGAAATAGTAAGTCGATGCAGCTGCTCTTCTCTTGCTCCTTGTTTCTTTGGAATGCATAGATGGTAGGTTAATATGCCACTTCAAGAGGTGAGGTATGCAGCTGGCTCCAACCTGATCTGGCTTCGAGTCTTTGTTATAACGTCGAGTTTGCTGTCGTCCAGATCAAAAGCAGGGTTATCGTTCATACACTCAGGAGTCTTCCGTCTTCACCCAGCTTCTCTGTCGCCGTCGCCTCCCACATTGAATCCTCCGTCCCCATAGAATAGCACATCATGTGGCAGATATTCCAAGTCCCACGGCATCATCTCTGGACCCAGGAGAGACATGTCAACATCCTGGGTATCGATGACCATGTCGCCAAAATTGTCGGATGGATTTGGGTACTGCGCAAAGGCTGTCGGCGAGAAGTCCTGGGGGTTGGGCATCGGAGTAGCGGATACAACGGGATTTACAATTGAGGGTCGATGAGATTGATAGGCCGCCGCCAATGATGCGCGGGTTGCACTTGGGGATGATGCAGAAAAGGGCGAGTGTAGATTCAACAGCAAGTCAGCCTCAGATACCAAAACTGGATCGGGGGTGCCCATTGTGTTGTAGTTGTTAGTGTTATTATTAGGCGGTGGTGGCATGTTTGTTGGATCGAAAGATGGATGGGTTGGCGTGGAAATGGGCAGCGAGGAAGCTGACCCCGCCGAAGTCGAATTAGGCTCAAATTTCACACGATGGCCGGTTGAGGCATTCGATAGAACCGAAGCTATGGAGGGCTGGGTACTATCGGGCAAAGATTTGTTGTCGCGAGTATTACTGTCCGCTGTGTACATGACAGCAACGTTTGTTGACGGCGAGTTCATCGTGCCGGTTAGAGACCAGCCAATTGCTTTTGATTTGTTAGCAACTTGTGCCATTTGCAAGTTCCGTGAGACAAAGCTTACCCTGGGTTGCCAATGGCATCGGAGAGCCAGGTATGGTCGGAGTTCGGGTGCGTTTGATGGCTGTAGGAACTTTGGTTGGGTCTACTTCTAGATCCTGGGCCGTCAAGTACGTACCCCAACTGAGTTTGCGCCTCCAGCCAGGACTTGTGAAGGAAGGATCCGTTGTCGGAACCTCCAGTGCACTCTCCATCTCTTCACGTGTGTACAGCAAGGGCTCCCCGACACCCTTGGCCTTTTGCTCCAAGACTGTCAAGATATATTTGACACCCGCCCAATAGGTCTCAAGGGCTTTGAGAGCTCGATAACACCGTTGGTAGTTTTGGTTCGCGGCTGAAGCAAGCAGAGTGTGTTTCGCTGCTTGTTTATCGTGTTCATGCGCGACGCTTAAGCGGTCACTATTGGACACATTGGGTACCCTATCAAATCTCATGTGGTCGAGCGAGGGCTTTTCGTCCGCTCTAGGTTCAACACTTTGATTGGTTCCTGGTGAGGAGAAACGTGAGTGTGGCTGCGAGGAAGCCGAATGCAATGCAGTCTCCTTGAGAAACGCACATGCAGCAATGTATATGGGTTGACTACGCGAGGTGAGCTGTCATGCGCCACATGTAACTACCTAGTAAGAGAATACATACCTGGTAAATGGGTTCCCGACGCCAGTCTTCGCGTCAATTAGGTCTGTGAACGCCAAGATGTCAGCGACTGTCTTCGCAGATGACATTGACAGTTCGCGGCTGTTGCTTGAAAGGTGTTCTACATTGCCCTCGAATGTTTTCAGCAATGTAGGCTGATGTAAAAGTACGATCAACGTGTGGAACCAACAGTGGAGAAGCAGAAAATTAGTTCCTTGGTTAATCTTGACGTATTGCTGGAAATTTAGGGCATTGAAGTGCAGCCTGGGCGAAAGGCCTTGGTAGATTTCTGTAAGGTGGTATTCCAGTGTATCGAGTTGCTTCCTCAAATCCTCTGTCATGTGCGACTTTTCCTTAACACTGTTCAGTAAATCGGTAACTCGGCCATATAGATGTATGATGCGGATGAGCGGTGGAAAAGGTAACGGATACCCAGAAGCAGGATCCACATCGGCCATGCTGGGAAATGAGATCTCAATGTCCTTGTCGCGCAGCGTGACTGGCCGGCCGGTACCTGACGAGATCACACGATCCAGGAAGAAGAGAGACCAGAACGTGTCCAATCGCTCACGCTCCACAGCTCGTTGCTCCTCTTCTGCATGAGCGCTACCCTTCCTCTTATATTGTCCCGTGATGCTCTGATGGGGACGATTGCCACCGTCCGGGTCGGTGAAGACCGAATTGGGGGTGGGGCCATCTCGACCCTCATATTTCAGACCTTCCAGAGTCTGCATTCCCAAGTCCTGTGCCATTCGAATGGAAACTCCAAGGTACATCCACAGGCCACTGTCCCGATTGGCTCCGAATTCATCGTAGCCCAGAATGAGTGCGGCCTGCACTACAGCCACAGATGGGCAAGGGAAAGCATCTGGAATGGCAGATTTGGCTCTCTGGGCAAAGGCCTGGCCATACTCGGATGGTTGGACTTTTGAAGGTTCGCCTTCGATGTCTTTGTGATGATCGACGCTGCCAGTCAGCAGTGGGTGCGTGGAGAATCTTGCAGCTAATGCGCAGACCGCATCGACTAATATGGCGTCGACTTGCTTTTCTTCTAGATCGCGCATGAACCGCTCTCTCTGCAGGAAAGGAAAAGTACAGCCGAGGTGGACGAAGAACAATTTGCAAAGATGTGTAATTAGAGGACTAGGGGACATGGTGGAGGTGTCATAGACGGGTATCTCAACGGGAGTGCGCGCTTCGATCGTGGGCGGGGAGCCTACGGACGGCGGAAGTCCGGGGGAGGATTCTATCGCAGCTATTGCATTTGGTCAGCTGTATCCTTGATATGGGTGTTGTTGGGACCATTTTTTTTTTTTGGCAACGTACGATCAGATGTAGTATGGCCGGTACTGTGCTGCTTCCCCCTGACCTTTACGACCATCTGCCTGAAGCCTGGCATGATGGCCGTCGGGCCAAAGTATCGAAAGTAGGGCATGCGGTTGCGCGTGCTGAGACTGAAACCGGAAAAAGCTGGTCACCATGAGTATGTGATATCCATTTTCGCGTAGCTTGTACAGACCTGGATTGTCATCCTGCTTTGATATAGTGGGGTGAATCGAGGTGTCGGAGTTGAGCGAGGCATTGGAGGTGGACTGGTTCAGTGGTGGTCGCATAGGCTGAGGAGCAGCAACAGCAACGGGCTCTAGTTTCTGCTTTCGGAGGGGGACATTTGTGGAAGGAAGGCTCTCTTTGCGCGCGGACTTCTTCTCTCTGGTGGCATCTGCATGAGTTTGGGGATCGCCTTCGGGGCCATAGCCGGCGCATTCATGTTTGTTCTGAATGCATGTACCACAGACTGGCCGTTCGCCTGGGATGGGGTCAGCTCATGGATTCGATCTCGTCATTGGACTTGCTCATTCGAGTATTTGGGGTCAAGAAGATGGAGGACTGACCAGAGCAGCGCGTCTTCTTCCTCCGACAGGTGAGGCAAGCAGAGTTTATCCTCCTGCGTTTCGCGTAAGGGCCATCGTGGTTTGTGACGAAGCGGATCGGCCTCGGCTGAGCAGCACCAACAGCAACACCACTGGTGGCGGCGGAGGACGGGGCGCTGTTGCTCATGACATCGAGGGTGGGACGGGCAACATTCGGTCGGGTAGGGAATGGCGAGGAGAGGAGGGGATAGCCAGGGAGATGGGAGACTGGAGGTTAGTGTATGGAGTATATGGAGTTATGAGTTTGGTGTTTGGTGTTTGGTGGAGTTTGTGGGGGTTAGAGCCTTGGAGGTACCTAGTAACCTAATGGATGGGACAGCTTTCGGAGGGAAGGAGTCAAAGAGTGGACTCAGTGGAGCGGAAAGAACGACCGACCGGGGGCGGGATGGTCCAGATCCCCCATTACGTTACTACTCGTACCGGGCAATCACCAGTACGAATAGAAAGGAACGCGAATTATGGGAATTAGAGCCTTCTACTTAGTATCAGTTGGTATTAGCATCATTAGTTAATCATGGTACTGTGTAGTTACCTTTATTTTAGTTGCTTTTTATTTTGTATTATCGGTTTCCCTCTTTGAATTTAGTACCAGTACGAGTACAAATGGATGAGTCTTGTGGGATTGGGAGAGGAGACACCAAGATCCCAAGAAAGCGGGGTCTGGATGATCAGAACCGCCCAAGAAAATTCGATATGCCGCTCTTTCGTGCATACTAACCAAATGATGGCTATCTAGATTGCCATTGAAGAGTAACAAGTCCATTTGCATGAGAGTTACACGAATTTCAAAACAAGTCGAAGACTAGCACTTCCTTGCCAGCGACAATGATCATCTGGATTGGTCTACCGGAGCTAACTGATGCTTAAGTTTGGAATCTAATTTTGAAGTATAACCAAACTACCAAGGCCAGAAGAACAAGGGATCTTATCATACAATATCTGGATAGTGATCTTACATAAATACTTATCTAAATACATATTTATGGATGAGTAGAGCTTGCAAGTATATGACAAGCCTGCCTAGGTGTATACATACGTAACTACATTATTATACCATAAAAGGAAAGGAAAATACTCTGTAGAAGCATGAGATGAAAGGCTTCCGATCATCTTCATTATTATTTCCAATAATATTGGCCTGAATATGTTCCCTGCCCCCTTCATCCCTCATCCTTCGTGTTGCTCTCATCATACGAGCTGATGTTGCCGGTCTATATACGAATACTGAATACATGGAGTAGTTATGTATCTAGGTACATGTACATTCCAATGTGATGGGACGCAGGGACAGACGATCCGACCAATCAGCTATTCATCTGGGCAGCCAATCACAACCCACCAGCTCAACCCCAAAAATCGTCCGTCACTAACCACCAAACTATTCTACGTCTTCGCCTTCCTCCGACTACCAACATCAACACTCTTCCATCCTCCCCGTCTACGTTGCTCGTAATTGTTCTTCAACATGGAGGCAATCCGGCCCTCTCTCGCCTCATTGAGGCTCCATGCTCCCCGTCGAGCTCGCCCTCTCTACCAATGCCTCCATACGTCATCTTCCCGATATGCGCAACCGCTCCCACAGCCCTCCGTCCCTGGCCCTCCACCCGATGCCCCCAAGCCTTCTCCAGCAGATGCCCTCGCGCGCGTAGAGAGGAAACGGAAACAGGCTGCATTGCTCAAGCAGGCCCAGGAGGTTCGCTCCGCGCCCACAAAGCCAACGTACGCTCTGCAGAAGCGCTTCTGGCAAGATGTCTCTGTCCAGGAAACAGACGGTAAGTAGTTACATCCATGTTTCCCATTCAATGCAATATATACAAAGTGAATTCCTGTCTTCCCTCATACAAGTTCTTACGGAGTCGTGTAGATGGCCTACAAGTGTTCCTCGACAAGCGACCTGTCCGAACTCCCACCAAGGAGATCCTCACCGTCCCGGCCTCCAAGCACCAGCTGGCCACCGCCATTGCACTCGAATGGGACCTCCTCGTCAGCGCACAGCAAGCCCTCAAGACCCACTACATCCCCATGACCTCGCTCGCCGCCCGCGCTGTCGACATCGCAAAGGCCGATGCAGCGGGGAACTCGAAGCCTCGTGACGACATTATCAGGATGTTGATGCGCTACCTGTCTACCGACACTCTGCTTTGCTGGGCTCCGGAGAAAAGCCTCCATGATCCGGAGAACGTTGGCTCCCTTCGCGACTTGCAGATAGACATTTCGACCCCCATCATCGCATACTTGACCACCCATGTCTGGCCAGGAGTGGAGATCAAGCCCATCCTAGAACCTGACAGCATCATGCCCATTGACCAGCCGGAGATGACCAAGAGCGTGTTGATTGGGTGGCTGAGTGGTCTACCCGCATTCGAGCTCGCTGGCCTAGAGCGGGCTGTGCTTGCGTCCAAGAGTCTGCTGGTTGGCGTTCGGTTGATTCACGAGTGGGCCGAAGCCTTCGCGGATGTCAGAGGAAACACTGGCGGGCATCGGTTCGGCATTGAGGAGGCGGCGGAGGCAGCAAGCACGGAGGTGCGATGGCAAACGAGGCAGTGGGGCGAGGTGGAGGATACCCACGATGTGGAAAAGGAAGACATGAAGAGGCAGCTCGGCAGTGTTATTCTTTTGGTCGGCGGGGATAGAACATAAAGGACTATTGTTGTAGTGTTGGCCATAGAGCGGCAAAAAGCGAAGGATATACGGAGTACGATAAGTGTTCAAATACGCATGGAATTATTCATAGAGATGCCTGCCCCTGGCGTGCTGGCATAGAAGACAAAGGGAGAAGGAAAGCAAGCTCTCCAATCGAGTACACTTTAGAGGAACCATGATACTGTCATTATGAGACGAATCAAGCATGAACTTGTGTCGTATTATTAGTATGATTGTATTGTTGCTCTTGGTGATCTTATTGCTGATGCCAAGTGCCCTCGGAGCAAGCTCCCCTTAGCATCTGATTGGCTCCCCTGCGCTTCCCTGGTTGGCGATGGCGATGGCGATGGCGATGGCGATGGCGATGATCAAGCAGAGGCGGGGCATGAAAAGAAAAAAAGGAAAAGAGACAAGAAAGTATCAGTAGATCCTTCATCCAATGGAACAACATTATTACTATCCCACTGTGTTCAATCCACTGTGTAATATAGCTACGATAAACATTTACCCTCCTACCTACACAGTAGGTACCTAGGTAGGTATGCTAGACGCCCAGTCGAAGAATGCAATGCAGAGGCCTGGCCAACCTGTGGACCGGATACGAAGATTCGGTTTCTGCCCAAAAGTTGATCTAAATAAGCTTGTCAACGTTGACGAAAGCTACGAGTACCAAGTATTCACTCCATCCATCCATACTAACTACGAGTGTTGCTACGAGTGCTACTACTACGCGTACACTTATCCTATCTCATCCCATCCCATCCCATCCCCATCCCACTATGATCTATCCGCCATCCCAATCTTGTCCTAATCCTTAACTCTTCTCCTACAACACCTATTACCTACCTCTACGCCTACAACTACATCACCGCCGCGCCTCTCCCTCTTTCATCCTTCCCTTCTTCTCTCTTTCTCTTTCCCTCCCTCTGCGCCGCATATCCTTTCTCCCCGTGTCCATACCTCCTCCCTCTACCCTGCGGCACGCCTCGCCTCGCCTCGCCATCGTACTTACCCACCCACTGGATCGATCGAGCTCCTCTGACCGGCATCTGTCATTCCGAACATCTCACCTCCGCCCCGCTTGGCTGCCTCCAAAAGCCCGCTCGCCAGCCCAATCATAACCATGGAAGGAGGGTACGTTGTGCTTGTTCTCACCCCATATGTTTTCCAAGACATACATTGTGTGTCGTACAGAACTGGCTGGCTTGCTTGTCCTTGCGCAATATTGCAATGTCTGGTTGTTCGTTCGTTGTGTGCGCGCGTGCCTGTGTGACGCCGAGGCCTCAAAATTCCCCTGCCCGCAACTCTAGCAACACCAACAACACAGCAGTATCCACATACCACCCGGCGGTGCTGCAATATTAAAATACACCTCCTCCCAGGCGGCATGGTAGCAAAGAAATTCCACTAACCACCATCCACGCGCAGACACAAACGCTCCAAGTCGGCGAGCGTGAAGAACCTCCTCTCGCGGGTGTCGTCCAACACCAAGAGCGACGTCACCGACTCCAACGGCGGGCCCAACAACAACAGCAGCAGTAACATCGCTGCCACCGACACTGGCCCTCCCGGCTCGTCTGCCGCCTCAATCAATTCGCAGCAAGCATCATCCGTCCACTCCTCGCATCATCACCATCATCACCACCATCTCCATCTCGGTGGTCCCCATCGTAGTGGCTCGAAACACCGCCCACACCTCTCCGCCACCATGTCTAACCCATCTGCCCCAGACAGCAGCAACCTCTCCCCCGCATCACCGATCCAGCCAACGAGCAGCGCTGCAGCAACGCCCACCTCCCCAGCGTTCAAAGGCGCTTCCATAGAACAGTCCGTCAAACTTTTCCGTGTATTCGAGTCCCTCCGCAATGGTGACACGGGCGCCATCTCCAAGGCAATAAGGGACCAGGTCAACCCCACCGATGGCGAGCAGAGTGCCTCCTCGCTCTCATTGCCCACCGCACGAACGGAGGGAACCTCCATACTCCATCTAGCCGTCCAATGCGCAGAAGCACCTGTTGTTGAATTCGTCCTCTCGAATGCCACCCCCAGTCCCGACTCCGTCATCGACATCAATGGCCGAGATCGCGACGGAAACACCCCGCTTCATCTAGCAGCCACCCTTGGCCGGGCACCCATCGTGCGAATGCTCCTCGACCGCCCCGACATCAATGACTCTATTGCCAACTACATTGGCCAGACTCCCCTCGATCTCGCCCGCACCCCCGACATCTTCCAACAACTTCAACTCGCTCGCTCGATATTCATTGACACACATGTGAAGAAGATCCAGCAATTGGTCGGTACGGGCGACATCGCTGGCATCGAGAAAATACTGCAGGATCCGAGAGTGAAGAGTACATTGGACGTCAATGGCGGGGATCTGGCCACCGACCCCGTTGTCGTCGACGCCGGCGGCACACTTCTGCACGAGGCAGCGAAGCGAAAGAACAAAGACCTAGCACAGCTCTTGCTTCTTAATGGCGCAGACCCTTTTCGCCGTGATCGCAAAGGAAAGCTACCCCAGGATTACACAAAGGATGAAAGCACTCGCAGGATACTGAAGCGCTCACCCGCAGCTGCTGCGGCTCAGAGAGGCATTCAAGAGAAGACTATTTTGGCTGGCGCTGCGGCGCAGCCTGGTGCTGCAGGCGACAACGGTATGGGAGCTAAAGAGTCCCGTGAGATGAAAGGTTACTTGAAGAAGTGGACAAATTACACAAGCGGGTACAAGCTCAGGTGGTTTGTTCTTGAGGACGGTGTCCTCAGCTACTACAAGCATCAAGGTATGGGGACAATACTCCACCTTGCAGCAGTGCTAACGATGCCATAGACGATACTGGCTCAGCTTGCCGAGGCGCCATCAACATGCGCATTGCGAAACTATTCATGGATGCCCAGGATAAGCTGCGGTTCGAGATTCAAGGAAAGTCTTCGGTCAAATACCACCTCAAAGCCAATCACCAGGTCGAGGCTAAGCGATGGTTTTGGGCCTTGAACAACGCTATTCAGTGGAGCAAAGATGAGGCTCGCGAGGAGGACAAGCGAGCCCAGCGTGACCAAGAGGCCTTGAAGCAGGCCAAAATCGAGCAACTGGCCCCGCGTCCGTCGACGTCAAAAGAGGGCAGTGAAGCCCCCAGCATCTCTAGCTCGCGACTCCACGCACAGAAGAGCCTTGCTCCCTCGACCGCTCTCGGCGTGCCACTTACAAGCCAGGATACCTCGTCGCGACATGCTACGAGTATCAATGAGGATCCCGATAGCGTTTATGAACCAAGCATGGCTGGGAATGAGCTAGGCAAGATGGTCAGCCATGTTGGTACGGCGACAATCGAGGGCGATCTGGACGACGACGACGAGTACGGCGACGACGGCAGCAGTCGCGAGGTGAAACCGCACAATAAGGATGCCTTCAATATCACTGCTCAGTCCGCGAAGGTGCAGCTTGATCTTCTAGAGCAGGTCACTTTGGCGCTTCAGTCCGAGAAGGACAAGAACTCTTCGATGCAATTGTCGGATCCCCTCATGGTGCAGACTCTTTCGTCGTACGAATCAGCCATTGGAAATCTTAAGGGCCTTGTTGGAGATCTCCTCAGGATATCTAGGGACCGAGATGCGTACTGGCAGTATCGCCTGGATCGGGAAGCCAATGTTCGCCGGATGTGGGAGGACAGCATGGCCAAGGTTGCGAAGGAGCAGGAAGAGCTAGAGAACCGCATCGGCGAATCGGAACTCAAACGAAGGAAGACCAAGCGTGCGCTTCGTGAGGCCCTGGAAGATTACGACATGGACGACGAGGCACCGCACGATCATAGCGATGATGACTTCGCGGAGGCTGACGAGGCACTGAACAACGAGCCAGATACCAAATTCATTCGTCCTACCCGGCCGGGCACCACCGTTGATCAAAAATTGCGAAGAAAGGCTACGTTTGCAGATATTGCTGCTGACATGTCAGAGTCTGAATCCGAGGATGACGAGGAGTTCTTCGACGCCGTTGGTGCTGGCGAGGTCGAGGTTGCGGAACTGCCCGTTGTCGCCAGCCCCGCACTGCAACCCGCGGACACTACCCAAGGCGATGATGATATCTACGCGAGCAGGCACGCATTGATCGAGACTGGTTTTAGAGGGTACGAAGACGGTCCACGAAAGAGACTTGCAATGGACGCAGATGACCGGCCGAAGATCTCATTATGGGTAAGTGTTGACGACTCGCGTGGGATGTGCGATGCTAATAAAGCGCAGGGCATCTTGAAATCTATGATTGGTAAGGACATGACGAAGATGACACTACCCGTCTCCTTCAATGAGCCGACATCACTCCTGCAACGTGTGGCGGAAGACATGGAATACACTGATTTGCTCGACACTGCCGCCGAGCGTGTTGAATCGACCGAGCGATTGCTCTATGTCGCTGCCTTTGCGGCCTCTGAGTACGCATCGACCATCGGGCGTGTGGCCAAACCGTTTAACCCTCTCCTTGGTGAGACGTACGAATACGCCAGGCCCGACAAGGGCTACCGTTTCTTCATCGAGCAAGTGAGCCATCATCCTCCGATTGGTGCTGCCTATGCGGAGTCGAAGAAGTGGGATTACTATGTAAGTCGCTAAAGTGTCATCTACTGCACGAGATACTGATATCTGTAGGGTGAATCTGCCGTGCAATCCAAGTTCTACGGCAAGTCGTTCGACATCAACCCTCTCGGAACATGGTTCCTTCGCCTCCGACCCACTGCCACCGGCGGTAAGGAAGAGCTGTACACCTGGAAGAAGGTCACCTCTTCCGTCATCGGCATCATTACCGGTAACCCGACTGTTGACAACTACGGCCTGATGGAGATTAAGAACCACACCACCGGCGAAGTTTGCCAACTGAACTTCAAGCCCCGTGGGTGGAAAGCATCTTCCGCATACCAAGTCGCCGGTAAGGTGCTCGATGCCCGTGGTCACGTCTGCTGGAGCATCGGCGGACGCTGGAACGACAAGATCTATGCGCGCCTAACGCCCGGGTTCGAAGACGCCGAAATTGAGAAGGGTGGCGCCAATCGTGGCCACGGCCACAGCGACGAAAACAAAGCCTTCCTCGTCTGGCAATGCCACGAACGCCCAACCGGCATTCCTTTCAACCTCACTCCCTTCGTCGTCACTCTCAACGCCATCCCCGATGCCCTCCGCCCCGTCGTCGCCCCCACCGACACCCGCCTCCGACCCGATCAGCGTGCCATGGAGGATGGTGAGTACGACTTCGCGGCCACGGAGAAGAACCGCGTGGAGGAGAAGCAACGAAAGACACGTCGCATCCGCGAGGCCAAGGGCGAAGAGTTCGAGCCCAAGTGGTTCACCAAGGGAACCTGCGACATCACAGGCGAGTCGTACTGGGTGTTCAACCACGAGTACTGGAAGGTCAGAGACGAGGTCGCGAACGAGAAATCGAAGTGGGAGGACCATGGTCTTGAGGATATATTCTAAGCCTACCACGAGGAAGATGCTGTGGGACATCATTGGAGACGTTTGGTTATTGTTGTACATGAATGAATGAACAGAAGTAAATGAACCGGCTGGCTACCTACGCTACCTTATTCACGACTTACATACACATAAATACATGGTTGCAGAAGATGAAATAATACGATGACTGGACAATCATACACAAGAGATCACCTTCACCCATTTCCCATTTCTTCCGTTTAGTATGCGTGCTCGTTGCGTGGATGTAATTCGGTACTTTACCATCACTCACATTCCGGAGGACCGATCTTGCGATTTCTTAGAGTAGATAGATCACTTAGCCAATCCAAAATAATTTGCCATTCCGATACAAAAGTACGTCTACAAGTCATGATGATCAGTAGCTGCATTTCAGATATGGAGATCAAAGGCAAATAATACCTTTAATAAATGATAGCAATATTACAGCATACCTATCTTCATTTAATTCTATCGTAACTAGGTGATATTAATTTAAATAGAAATAAATAATATTAAGTTTTATAACATAATTTAAACCATGAGAAATTGTAAATCTCCTTGAAAATACGTTCTTGCCTACTATAGAATAGGTTGTAGAATGATTCTATTATTTCCATTATCTTTTACAGTATGTAGGGTTTGTTCGTGACGTTAATTGAGTAGATCCAATGGTTCCTAACTGCAGGTTTGTAGTGCTTTTATTCTCATTCTCATTCTTGTTTGTGCCTATGGGGTTAAGGACAATTACGAGGAGGATGAGAGGTTGGGCGGAGGTGAAGCTTGTTTTTCCTTGGGGAAGGTATATATGGACTTGGGTTGCTTAGATGGACGAATGGATGGGTGAATGGGTAGTTGGGCGTTTTGGGGTTTAGTGTTATGGACTGGATTCAGAAAAGACATTAATAATTTTCTGGAAAGGCAGGGGTCGCTAATCAATGGATACAAATAGGGCGAAGGGCAATGGGCATCAGTACACAGCGAGTCACATAAGGCGCAAATAGGCAGCACGACGACACGATATAGATTCTGGTTCAGCAAAGTGATTGCGGAGGCAATTGGAAAGAATAGCAGGCATTCAATTATCGCTCGTTCGCTCGCTATGACGAGATGAGTGCAATGACCACGTTATTCTTCGAACATTAATAGACTATCATCCACCCTGACCCCAAAGCGGACGTTCAACCGTCCCTATTTGGAATTTTTCCACATCCAGCTATTCAGAAAGAAGTGGATCGGGTCTTAGTAGACGTAACGGAAGTTAGGGTTCTCCTTATCCGTCAAGTCGTCGAAACCGTGGGTGGTGTTGGTCTCGACACCGAACTCCCTGTCCTTGCTCTTGTTCCTCCTGGTGAGCTCCCACCTCAAGAACAAGATGACGAGCACCAAGAAGCTGTAGCAGCCGATGTGGATGGAGAGCGCCTTGAGGTACCTTGGCGCGTCGCCGTTGAAGAAGATCTGGGGACCCGCGGCGTTACCCGCGCACCACGCGAGGAAGTTCATGGTGATGCAGATGGACTTCTTAGTCTGCCCGCCAACGTTTCGTGTCAGGAGAGACATTCCGAGACCCTGTGCTGCCCAGAAGGTGAAGACAATCCAGTAGGAGATGAGGAGGCCGGCTTTGGTGGCGTTGTTGGTGTTCTTCACTGTCATGATGACGATTGTGCCGATGAAAGATCTATTACAAGTGTCAGTCGTGGACGTGGAGGATTCGATTGGAGAAGCCTTAAACTTACGGTATCAGGAATACGAGCATGGTGAGGAGATTCTGCTTCGTTCGTCCGACCATCCATGCGGAGCCCATGAGCGTGGCGATGATGACGGCACCGAGCACCATGGCGAGGAGCTGGGTCTCGAGAGTGGTGAACTTGAGTCCCTTGATGATGATCTGGTAGAAGGCGCCGAGGCCGGAAGTGGGGATCGTGGTGCAGATCTGGATCAACATGTAGCAGTAGGTCTGGGGGTCGGTGAGGGCCTCCTTGAGTTGGTAGGCACGGAACTTCTTGTTCTGGAGACCGGTCTGGTTGGATCGGACGCGCTCGACCATGAGCTTCTTATCCTCCTCGGAGAAGCACTTCGCGCGCATAGGGCTGTCTGTAGAGAATTGTTAGAAAATGGTTGAGAGGGTCGGACGGCGGGGAAGCATACCAGGAAGCCAGTACAGGACGAACAAGCCCCACAAGAAAGAAATGCTACCATAGGTGATAAAGATAGCTTGCCACGACCTGATCTTCGCGTTTCCGCTGTTGCCTTTGTCGTCGACATAGCTGGGGTGCTTGATCTGGGAGAATGCATACGCGAGAAGACCACCGACGATCTGCTGGGCACCGTTCATCATGTACCAGTAGGTGACAACGCGGGCCTGCTCCTCGCGCTTGTACCAGATGGAGCTCATGATAAGGAAAGCGGGCTGGCAGACGGCCTCAAAGATACCAAGCAGGGTTCGGACGACGATGAGAGATGGGAAGCTGAAGCAGGCGGCATGGCAGCAAAGCACGGTGCTCCAAGCGAGGATGTTGAAACCGAGGTACTTGCCAACGGGCACACGCTGGATGGTCCAGTTGGTGGGATATTCGACGATGAGCACGGCAATGTAGATACAGGTGGTGAGCCAACCCCACTAAATGACAAGTTGATCAGTTTTGGGTACTATGGTAAACTCGAAAAATTCCAACCAAAAAACTTACGTTGTGGGTGTCTTTCAAGGCGGGGATGTCATTTCGGATACCCATGATGGAAGTAAAGGACATGGTTCCCTTATCCAAAGCCTGGAGGAAGTAGGTGAAGACCATGATAGGAAGCACACGCTTGTCGATCAATGCCTTTAGTCGCTTGTTCTCCTCTTCGGAGATGATGACGGCTTCGCCAGTGGCGGCAGCATACTTTGCAACTTCGTCGTCGATACGGTCGTAGTTGACGTGCTCGACCTTCTCGTCTTCGGCAGAGAGCACTCTCTCGACCTGACTTGCGTCCTTCTTGTCGTGGATGGACTCGGGGCCAGCCATGATTGGTTTCTCTTGCTATGGACCTTTGGCGATGAGAGGAAAGTAGGCCGACGGCTCGATGGAACGAGGGTCCTTGGAGGGAAGAAGAGGAAGACCTGGGGAGAAACCCTTGATAAAGAATTCCAGCACAGAGACACAAAACTTCAAAAACAGGTCCTGGGACGAGGTATTTCTACCCCGTGGGCAATTATTCCGGGGGAAGGTTTAGCTGCCAGGTTTCGACAGGTTTACCCCGGCCCGTCTACCCCAGTGGGAGACTCGCTCCGCAAAATCCTGGGTTAAACACATGCGAAGGGGAAGAGTGTCCCCACAGGCTACACGGGCTACAGCCAACCAGCCGGCCGGTCATTCGGCCAAACAGAAACAATAATAATTGTACGGTAAGTCGTCTGTACACAGTAGTGTTAATTAAAATCAGTCTATCAAGATCTTGGGGGTGCTAAGGGTGGCGCTATGCCTCAATTGCTTGTATCCCACAACGCCAACACCCCAAACCCCGCCCTCCATGGCCCATCTCCGCCAAATGTGAGAGTCTTGTGGAGGCGCCACGTCCTTGGCTGGGCCGTCTTGTGTAGAATCCTTCGGTGCATTGTGTCCCGAATGGTGGCCCCTGAAGCGTTGGCAGCGCATTGGCAACACGGACATAAGCTTCCATCTCGTGAGGTTATCACGCGAAGCAACACATGCATGCTCCTTCCCGCTGGTGGAAAATTATCCCCAGCCGTTGGAGGATTGGAATGGACCGCCTGAGTCATGCAACCACGCCCTGTCGTCCGTTCGCCAGGTCAGGACTCTGGACAGGGAAAAGTATGCAGTATGAGCGATCGGCAGTCGTCTCCTCTATCGGACGAGCTGCATACGAGCATCGGTGCATTAGAACGCGAGAACATAGCGGTCTATTCCCCGTCGAGGGAGCGGCTTCTCTACAATTTGAACGGCGTTTGCATGGCATTTCTTTTGGCCTGGCGAATTTGAAATGGTTATATGAAGTGGCACACAGCCTTTCGTCCTCACTCTACCGAGGCGTAAGTCGATGGGTATATCGTCGTGGGTGGACCGAATCTCGGTGTAAGATGCAGCGCTGATTTGATATTTACGTAGAGGCATCAAGCTTTGGCCGGAGAAGCTGAAGCTGAAAAGGTCGCGTGGCAGGAATGCAATTAGAGAAAAGGAGTCTGAGAATTGGTAGGGCCATGATGAGGCTCTAGTACATGAGATTAGAGGACATGTAAGGAGTAGAAACATGGGTGCCTTGAACCTCACCAGATCTCAAGGGTCCTCATGGTCCCAGAGACATGGATGGCCCAGCGCTGGAAATGCACTGTCCTATATTGAGTAAGTTCTGGAAGCAGGCAGGTAGGCTCAGGTATCCTTTGGCCCGGATCGTCGGTTTCGCAAGGTGGAAAGAAGGCATGGAGTATGGAGTACACATTGTATAAAATCGTCTGTATGGCTGCCGGAGAAGTGAATTGGAGGTACCGAATGTCGCCTTGCATCAAGGGAACGTAGTTAGCATGGCCGCTACCGAGCCCACGGTCCTGTCTAGAATGCTAGGCATCGGCAATTGGCGACAGCAGCGAAGCCGTAGTCAATACGTTATGTAGCTGTAGTTTGTGACATAGTGCTCCAGCATCCCAATGATCTTCGTGATTTCCTTGTGGTAGTATCACGTGACCTATGCCATCCTCCAAAGGTCACGCTAAGCCCCGCAAGGCAATTGGACATGAATGCTTCCACTTTACTGAGTAACTGCATACCTAGGTAGGTGGTCGGTTCTTCCTTGTATTTTCTAGAGTCTATTCCGAGGAGAAATAAAAGTTTTCAATGTGCAGTATTGCCATGCGAATGTTTTGAAAAAAAACCCGTCCCAGTAAATTCATTTGGACCCTCTTCGACGTACAGACTACTTGCGACAACATTCCGATCCTCATGTCTGTTGCAAGGGGAAAAAATTTAGTTCTAGCCTCGCTGTGGTTTTACTAGACGGCGAGTATTGCGTAGTCAGATCCTATTAGTTGGAAGTAGAAGTACTAATCACTCCATGATATATGCCTACCTAGGTAGTCTAACAGCATGTTGACCTGTAGTGGCACTGATTCGGACATCAACAGGAGCCATATCACACCAATGCATTGCCTCTTTCACCGCACCGTCTACCTACGGATGTTCTGAACCAAAGTTTCAATCATCCAAAATTCGCACATCAAACGTGTTCCTAGACCTTTACACAGGAAGAGAAGTGATTCCTGAATATCACGTGCAAGAGACGCCCGAGTATACTATGATAGGGAGAGATCGGCATACCCCGCGCCTTATCGATCGGCGAATCGCGTGATGAAGAGAACATAACTACATACCTCATAACTACAACTACGAAATACGTGTAGTCATCTATCGAACTTACAAGTGTTCCAATCTCTTCCTCGCTAGAACATCTCCAGAACATATATAGTCATCCCCCACGACTTCAGAGGAAAGCGAAAGGAAGAAGGGAAAGCTGAATTGAGTCCGCGGGAATTGGCGAAAAGAGTACGGAATTATCAAAATCAACATTCTCCCATCAATACCACCATACGACTTTCTCAAAATGTCACCATCTGCGGACCTCCCGACGCCCCCTCTTTCCTCATGTACCAAAGTTGAATCCAAACAAGCTTCTAAAACTCCCCTTCAATTGATATCACAGGGCACGCCCCTTCCTTCAATTCCCACATTCCTATCCTTCGCATCCCACCGCGCGGCCATCCTCTCCCACATGGCAGGAGCATTCAGAGTCTTTGCACGGAAGGGGTTCACAGAAGGGATGTCCGGCCACATATCTGTCAGGGACCCAGAATACCCCCACCTCTTCTGGACGAATCCTCTGGCAAGACACTTCGCTCTGCTCCGGGCCTCGGATATGATTCTCCTCGATTACGACGGAAAGGTCGTCGGCGGGAACACATCTCGCCCGGCCAACGGCGCGGGCTTCCTCATCCACAGCGCGCTACACAAGGCGAGGGAGGATGTCAACGCCGCGTGTCATTGCCATGGAAAAGCAGGAAAGGCGTGGAGTGCGTTCGGCAAGAAGTTGGAAATGATCAATCAGGATATATGCTACATGTACGGCGAGGCGCAGGGAGTATACGAGGATTTCGGGGGCATCGTTTTCGAAGAGGAGGAGGGTAGAAAATTGGCGAGGGCGCTCGGGGAGAAGGGGAAGGGATTGGTGTTGAAGAACCATGGGTTGTTGACGGTGGGTGGAACGGTAGATGAGGCTGCGTATTTATACACACTCATGGAGCGATCGGCAGAGGTACAGTTGATGGTCGAGGCAGCGGCCGCTAATGGGTTGAAGAAGATCATCGTGGACGATGAAGCGGCCGAGTATACGTTTAGGATGGCGAGTGATCCCGAGACCTTGTATTGGGAGTTTCAGCCAGACCTCGAGTATGAGGTTGAGCTCATGGGCAATGTTTTCGATGACTTTGATGAGGAGAAGGCATTGTTTTGTAGCTAGATTGTGATTCGGCTTGTCCTCGGGAAACCAAATGTACACATTATACTTCCAATGGGTGCATGTAGCATTCAACATACTAGATAAAGGCTAGCACACCAAGGTACACTGATTTGGCCCAAGTTTTCTCTGTGCATGATCGTGTCTGCCTTGATAAAGTGAATCAATGATCCTTGATATACATCTGGACTCATTCCCAAGTTGTGAGTTTACTGTTTGGGGACAATGATTATGTTTTCAATGTTAGAATCGGGTGAGAATCGTGTAACAAACAGGAAGGAAACGGTAACTCGTGCGTTTGTTCACTCTGCTATCACCGATTCTTCACCTTCACCCCATCAGTCTTGGTAGATCAAGCCGATGATTGGCCACTCCGTATTTTCAGTGAACTTCAGACTCTAAATACCACCAATGTGATTGTGATACCATGCGAGAGATCACTTATCGTCTTCACCTTCCCTCCGACCAGTCTCAAGGTGAAGTTCGAAGAGCTCTCACCGTTGAAGTTGGGTCCTAGCGCAACCTAGCCACCCGACGCAAACAACTTTCCACCTTTTCCGAATACTGCCAATGATCCGACCAAGACAGACACTCATCAACAAGACCTTTGCGCAATGTCTTCCCAACCTTCGATGCCTCCTTTCGCCAGTGTGCCTCCGTTCTCCGCGATGCCTCCTTTCCCCGATAGGCCGCCGCATTCGAGGTCGCCAAAATACGGCCGGTACTTGACACCGATGGGAGTAACGGTGGTAATCGCAATATTCTTCCTGATATTGCGATTTAGCTACAAGCTCACGAGAAAGAATTTGGGTATTGCGTTCGTAAGTGAAGGATTAGCTTCGGCTTAGGGACCCAATGACTGATGGTGGTTTAAGGACGATACAATTCTACTCACCGCAACCGCCATCTCTCTGTTTCTGACCTATGATCAATTTGGACTCTACTTCCTTGGGTTTGGTCGTGATGTGGAACACCTTACCCCAGATCAAATGCTCTACGATAAAAGGAAGAACAAACTGACAAGTGGGTGTGATCGCATATTGCTGTTTCCGGCACAGTGGCTCCTCCTCTTCAAGTTTGCTAATTCGCCATCTAGTCATATTATACTCGGTCACGCCATTATGCAATGCCCTCATTCGATGCTCGCTAGCAGTGGGTTACCTCCGGGTCTTCTCCATCCATACCAGCAAGAGATTTTGTTATCCGTTTTGTGGAGCTAATCTGGCCTGGGCTGCTTGCGCAAGTGTGGCATCCCTCGTACAGTGCGCGTAAGTATTGTGACCCAAACGTCCATTTAACCGTCTATGATGGGGCTGATCAAACAATAAAGGCCTGTCAAAGGGCACAACAATGCCGAGCTTTCGACCGATTGCCAAAGCGCGCATATCGTGGAACTATTCCTTATAATCTCAAACGCCATCTTCGATTTCATCATCTATGTATTGCCAGTTATCTGGCTCCGGAAGATAAGGATACCTAGATGGAAGCGAGCTTTACTCATTGCGGTCTTTGGCTCTGGAATGAGGTAGGCAGTTCCCATCAACTTGAGGAGTGAAGAAGCTACCGTATCATATGCTAAGAATTCCCTGCTAGTAACATTGGGCTATCCGCCTTCCGAATTTCTCTCGTCGCCCAGGGAATCTTGCGAGAGGATAAGGATTCCAAAATCTTGCTTGCCAATGTGGCAAGAATCGTGGGCACACAGTAAGCGAGAAACCCAATGCTAATAGACTTGTAACCCAGCGCCTGCAATGAGTGCAATACTGACAATTGAACAGCATCGGAATCATCTGTGCTTGTCTTCCTTATCTACGATTCATCGCCGATGTCAGCAGTTTGATCGTATCGTACTATAAAAAGCTCAGAGGCGAACGCAACGATGGATCCTCGAGCAACACGTTGATGCCGAACAATGTGAGAGCACAAGCACGATCTGATGTTTTACTGCATGGGGTTGAGTTGAAAGATTGGGTCTAGATTGTGGAGAAATTGTACTGTAGCTGGATTAGCTATCTGGGGTAATTTTGTTAAGCGGCGTTCTTTGCCTGTGAGCTTTGCCTGCTTGCTATACGTTGACTTCGTCATTGGTCATGATGGTTTTCGTCATGACCTTTCAACAATGCATGCAGTTTTACCCTGTATCAGACGGCCTAGAACCTGGATTTTCAAATCTAATATGTGTACATTTTAGCTGTACTCATCTAGATGTTTTTAAGAGAAGGCCTGGGAGAGGGAGTACTATACAGGTACCGAGAACTAAATAACTGGCGCTACAATAATGTAAGACTGTATTACGCCCACGAGCTAAGATTGTCCACGAACCTAATGAGTCTATGGTAGTTGTTAGAGGTAAGATAACAAAGCTGTCCACTGTCATTGGGAGCAGGCCTGGAAACATCAGCTATCGTATTATGCCGTTCAGGCGGCGTTGATCGTAGCAACATTGTCTTAATTCATGTAAGCTATCTTGTTGGGTGACGTTCAAGACGATGAACGTCAATGCAAGCTTGATACCTTTCGATATCTTCCTGTGCAACCAATCTACACTAATCCATCCCATCCCATTCGTGTAAAGCCAAGGCTTTACTCACCACTACCGACATGTATAGCATTTGATAGAGATCTGCCAAAAGAAACCACGGCACGGATATGTGCCACGCGCATAAAGAAGATGGAGTATTTTCATATATTTGGTATCCCACATGAAGAGCTTCCTCCATGAGCAAGCAGTCGATACTACGAGTACTACTCGTGATAACCATCAATAATTTCTCATTAAGCTGATTTCCATCAACGGCTCCGTTCTATTGGCTCTGGGTGGCTTTCCCGCGAGAGCCAATCATGAGTTTTGACGCTAAACTGTTTCGAAACTCATACTGGCTGATGTCATAATATCAATCATTAACAATGAATTGATGACCTTGGGGTTCATTTCAATTTGCCAATATTTAAATCGTTGATGTCGAGTTGCTGTTTAGTATATGTGTTTGATCCGATGGCCTTAGTATATGGGTTTGATCCGATGATCTCAATATTACCCTCAGGTTTACTAAGAGCTCTACGAGCTAGTTATATGGATTCATTCAATTCCCTATCCCCCTCTACTCATCCGCCTCTACATAAGGTAACAAATAGCCCCTCCAATCATACTCATCGACCAAGCGTATGGATTTGAGAGATAGATTTTGACATGTTGAATAATGTTGTGATTGGCGCATCGGGATCGGCGCAATAAAAGCAGTGGATCACCGAAAGACCCTCACCGTCACTTGTTCTGTTCTACCATCCCACCTCGGTAATGTTCTCGCCAAAAGCGTTCCTTTGAGTTCTTCTAGCAGAATTTACATGAAAAGCAATCCCAATGGAGCGCCCCCGTGCAGCAGAATCTCCATCATCTGAGGCACCTCAGACGAGCAAGGTCGCAATACCACGACTAAAGCAATGGAAATTGCAGTGTTTGTCTTCCTGGCCCTCTACCTTAGGAGATCAACCCTGCAACCAAAAACCCTTCTGAAAGCTGCCGCGCGGACATGATTCGACCCGATTCCGGCATTTCAATCGGCACGCAAAATTACAGTTCCTTCTTCGAGGCCCGGATACGCCTGGGATTTATCACACAAAAGGCACAATCTGTACTGCACTCGCCCATAATGGACATTCACCCACGCCAGAATCTGGAGAACACAATCGCACTGTTTAGGACCGAGCTTGGTCAGTGGGCGCGATCGACATTTCCTGATGGCACCATTCTGCATCAGGCTTTAGTTGCAAAATCCAGAGATACAGGGTTTCTTCAGGATCATTATATACTGGCATTTTCTTATTACAGTGCCGAGATCCTTATCAGCAGACTGTGCATATGTGCCTTCCCAGATACCAGTACAGGTACAACTGTTGAATAAGGCCAATTGAAACAGGGAATGGGCGAATTCTGTGTGCGAGCTGCATAGGAAATGTCTCTGCTGTTGCCAGATGTTCCAGACACCACTTGGATATATCGGAATGGCCCATGGTGGTGCATCGTCTACAACATACTGCAAGCTTGCACCGCGTTTCTGCTGGACATCTCAAATCAAGCCATTTATTCAAGGACAGGCAGGTACGACTGCGCAAGGTCTTTGAAGAAAATGATAATATGGCTAAGAGCTATCAGTCTGGAAGATGATGCCGCAAGCAAAGCATACGCAGTCATGTTGGATATGATGAGTGTATGCGCACCAAGGAGCGAACATTTCGCGGATCTATTCAAAGACAAACAGAAAGATCCGCAGAAGCCTTTTAATACTTCTCCACAGAATCCCTCGCAAGAGTAAGGTCAGTGGCAGGGGCAACAAGTCTATCAGGTGCAAGATCCGGTGTCTGGGAGCTCATCCAACCGCCACGACAGTGTAGCTAATTCCCTTATCGACCCAAAGTTTTCCACAACAGCCTATCTAGAGCCAAATAGTGTGCAAACTATCGCCAGACCTGACACCGACCTTTCGCACCTAGCTACCGAATATAGTCTTCACGACCCGCCATCCATGCCCCGATATAGGAGGATGTCCTCACACATGGGTAACCCACTCTTCTCCAGACAATTCGAGCCGCCTGATACACTACTGTATCCGGTACAATGCAATCAAGTCCAAGAACCGCTATATAGCGATCTTCAACTATCAGGAACGTTTGCGACAAGTGCTAATACGTCCCGGATGTCCGCGAATTATCCCCTATTGAACCAAATAGGGAGCGGCACGAGTGGGGATTGGATTGGCGATTATGGACTGGCTTAGATACAAAATTACGCTCTATTTGAACAATGCCTGGGTGAGAGGACGGAAGAGACTACGGCAATGCTTAGACTCAAGCTTCCTCTTACGGCCATTCCTCGACTGATCCTGATGCCCATGACCATAAGCGAAGTCGACAATGAGTGCGTCCCACATTGGATGGAACGCGTGCGAAGGATACAACCCTAGCTGTCTATTGCTAAGAAATGGCCAAGGCCGAAGGTTTTCGTTGTCAATAGGCCGCATGCTGAACAACTACCAATTTTGCTTTTCAAGGTGTATGTACGCGCCCATAGTACTGGGCCGTGATACAAGATGTTTTTGTCAAGTTCGGTATTTAACAGATGCTTCTTAGTAGTCGATGTTTTGATCCAACATTGATGCACCATTATCTGCGATTCAGTCATCTTACCAATATTATTCTATCACACCATATAGTGAATTCAGAGCAGATTCACTTCTTCGGAAGACTTCTAAGCTCAGTTCAGGTAGAATCGATAATTTAATGGACAAACTCGTAAGTCATTAGCTAGACACTTTTCCAATGTTTCGTACGACGATAATTTCAGGAGTTTCATGTTCGAATCACAGTTTCCCAACGCCAATTTCTCACTTCAGATTTCGGTGCCGTCCACCTTGTAGAGCTACAAAGATTGGCCACGTACATCATTAAGCTGGAGTACATAGTCACACAAACAAATTCCCACCTAATTAATTGTACGGAGTATATTAATCAATTAAATGTGGTGGGGTTGTTTGAACGCCACCTTGGAAGTTGCCTGTCCCCCTTACCGTAGCCCGGACTTTCATTTGCTTGAGGGAAGAAATTTCCGTTTACACATTGTACTGAGCCTTGTAGGGCCCGAATCGATCCTGAACCTCTGGTTTAGCTCACATTTATTTGATGATTCTGGAGCCGTGAGATATGAAACTTTTGAAGTGGCTAACGCAGTACTTCACACTTTGTTATAGTTAATTTTTTTTAGAACAAACCCTGAGCAAGCTCCGATAGTCCCGTATGGAATTACTGGCCTGATATGCAGAAATCATTGCCAAGGCCGATGGAAATTGCTTCCGCTGTACATAGCCGTCCAGAGAAGCACAGGCGTTGAGTATCATTCCCCTAGCAAAAGAACGGAGACTCCTGCGTTACAGGAACAGTGTTACTAGGAAAGCTCCGATGCAAGTTCTCGTTCCACTATCATGAATGCTGAATCTTGGCTGGTTTGGATATCGCCCACAACAGAATTATAGCATAGATATCTCAAAGAGTAGAGTACAACCTATCGGTAGCTTGACGAAGTCTTCGTGTACGCCAGTCCTGGGGTGTACAAACATGTTAACCTGATCATCCGAGTGGAGTCCATAGCCACACGAAGATGTTTCATGAGGCCCATACTCTCGTTGTACTTCATTTTGAATATAGTGATAGCCGTGCAACACTGCCTCGTAGTTGTGATAAAGTCCAGACTAGGGTCGCGGTACTGCTCACCTTAAGAAGTGTACCAATGATTACTGCCATGGACTCTATAACAACATCCCCATATCTACATTCTGCATGCCATATAAACGCTGTCGTGTATACTTCATAATTAGAAGCGTCATATATTGACCGTCTAAATCGATTGTGGTTTTTCACAATGTCGGCAACCGGACCGTGTGCCGATATGAGCTACGGCTTAGGAGTACGGATTTCATCTCCTCGTGTAGATGGATCCTCTTACGAAAGACTGATTTGGCCAAACCTTCCTGCATTGTATTACTGACAAGAATATGTATCAGTGGATTGGGTTACGGAGATCTGAGGAGCCGAGTATAATTCTTTCTCTTTCCGGTATGTGATTCCAACCTACGAGGTGGAAAGTTCGTGATACTGTCCAGCAGTTGAGAAATGTATGTCATTATTTCAAATGCGATAATCATCGAATTGGTAGTCGGCAAGTTGAACGATACCCTCATGTAACTGGATCAATAATGCACTCTTATCTGAATGTCTCCTTAGCTGAAGTTGCATCCTTCACCTGAAGCCAACTAATAAACTTGAGGTACAATAATGGGCTGGAGGGAAGCCGTGGGGGCCCGTTATCATTCCATTGGTACGAGGTATGGGCAGCCATGATCATGCGACGCCTTAATGAGGAAGACATAGGTAATGCTTATTGGCATTACCACAGCGTGAGGCGCATCTTCGTTGGGAAAGAAAATGTTCTATTTTGTAGTGGTAGTGATTATCATGGGGCCCTGATTGGCCCAAAGCTTACGCGAATGATCTCTCCATATGGTTAGATTGCTTTCTGTTAAAAAGTACCTCTTTCGGCATAGGTTATGGAACTGTAGTACTGTTCGCAGGACTTTGAGATAATGCTACAGCGAATCATAGCAGATGGATTTTCCTCGAAAGCCATGATGGTCAATTTCCTGTTGCTGAATGCTCGTTTCAGCGCATCGTATCGCCACTATCGCCATCCCGCGGTTTCTGGATCCTCCCCGCAATGCATCCATTCACTCCCTTATTCAATAATGGTTCCTATGACCCCATAGGGCTAGTTGACCCTTATCATACCTATCAAGTGATTCAAATGATGCGTGTACAATGTAACATATAAGTATAGGATCTATTGCCCACATCATCTCATCGTCCAGCAATTCAACAACAGATACTTCTGCAGTCCAACTACAGCTCAATTATACATACCACTCTCCGCATCAATATGTTACATTACTTCCGCTATGGCAAAGATGCCACCAAGGTAGAGACTCCTGCCGCAAGCACCCCCGTTCGGGCTTTGCCTGCTTCTTGGTACACCTCCCCAGAGATGTATGAGATGGAACGTCGGGCAATCTTCGCAAAGCGTTGGCTCTTCATTACTCACAAGTCTCGTCTTCAAAAGGCGGGTGATTGGGTGCGCTACACCCTTGCTGGCTACGACTTTTTCCTCATCCGGGATCGCAAGGACAACATCAATGCTCTCCATAATACGTGCCGGCATCGTGCGTACCCCGTGATCGACAAGGAGGGAGAAGGAAATGCACAGATACTTGCCTGCAGATACCATGGCTGGTCTTATGGTCTTGGTGGAAATTTGGCTAAAGCGCCAGGTTACGAGAAACTAGCAGGATTCGATAAAAGCCAAAATGGCCTTCATCGCATCCACGTCAAAATCGACAAGAATGGGTTCATCTGGGTCAACATGGATGCAAAGGAGGTCCCAGAGGTGCCATGGGAGGAACATTTCCGAAACGTTGATGTCCAAGCTCGTTACGAAGGCTACAACTTCGATGATTACGTCCTTGACCATACATACGAACTTAACGGCGACTACAACTGGAAGATCGCATCGGACAATTTCAATGAGTGCTACCACTGTCCTACCACCCATCCGGATATTCCTGCCTTCCTTAACCTGGATTCTTTTGATAGCGACGTCAAGGATGGGCACATTCAACACCACTGCGTTGCCACCAAAGAGCAAATTGAGAAGGGACTGAACGTCCATAGTACTTACTACTTCCCCAATGTATCAATGAGTGTCTCGTAAGTGCTCGCCCATTCATCTCAAAGTCGATTAATTACTCACGTTATCAGGCGGCATTTCCTTATGATCCAAAAGTTTATGCCCAAGGGACCTCAACAGTCCATTATGGCGTACGAAGTCTATCGCAACAAGAACTCGTCCGATGAGGATTTCCATTTGATCGCCGACATGTATGCACGTGTAATGGGTGAGGACAAAGTTCTCTGTGATAAAGCTCAGAAGAATCTCGACCGTGGCGTGTTTGTCAATGGCCAACTCCACCCTCAATTCGAGAAAGCACCACTTTTCTTCCAGAACACGGTTCGAGCCGTCATCACGGAACATTTCAACAAGGAGAAGGCTGCGGGACATGAGATCAACGCAGCAAAGAGCGTGCAGACTGACTCTAAAGAGACGGAGTCGGATGAAGCAATATGCGCAGGTATTGCATGTGGAACGCAGAAGGAGGTCCTCGCTTGGTAGAGTATCAGACTGCCGAGAGAGGGAACAGGCATGATCAGCAACAACTTTACAGATCCTTCATTTCAAATTAGCGGTTCCATAGTTTTTCGGGTATGGCGTAATATTATTTGAGTATATATGACATCGTTGCTCTGATTCCTGCATTAATGGTCACAACGTATTTAAGGGGGCCTGCTACTTTAGTATTGGGTTGAGTAATGACGAAATTATATTGATATCTGAATACACAAAGTAACGTCCCAAGGTAATCCTCATGTTTGACATAAAAATGTCCAAATCAGCATTCTCCCCCGAAAATGAATGGGACACTGCCTAAAAAAGAATCCCATGTGAGAGTTGATAGGATTCTGGAACAATCCTAGTCCACTAATACTTGAATGCCAATACGATCATGAACACGTAAAGAAAAGGAAATTGAACCATACGTTTTGCCCAACTCTGCTAGGTTCCAATGTGAGCATATTTGAGTTGTCTGCACATGGAAGATAGTGTAAACCAGCTCTCTGGTGCAAATCTAATCTCCCGGTCAAGGCTTACAAAGCTGCTCCTTGCGGAACCAAACCGCAAAACCAACGCAAACAACTCCTTGTGCTACAAGTGCACCCCAGAAATGGCCCTCTTTCGCACCGTCAGCAAAGCCTCGCAAAGCAAAATTTGGAAATACGCCCCCAGGACCAAGTCGGTCTGGCGCCGTTGCCCTCGCTGCTATTGTTGCAAGGCTACCAACAACTTGCGCCACAGTGAGCGTAAAAGCGACGTGGAATCTGGTCATGGTTTGAAGTAAGATCATGCCGAAACCAACGCCTTGGACGGCATCGAGAACGCCCAGCCATAACCACAGTGCACGTCCCAGGATTGAGCCCAGCGTAGGGGTGAGAGCCCACGGGATGTAGGATCCCATCCCGCTAGTTGACCAGAGAATCTGGCACCATCGTGGTGCACCAAGGCCAATGGCGAACATGGGTAGGACCCAGGAGTGTTCGATCGAGAGACGATGGAGAATGAAGAATAGAAGAAACCAGACAATTACAAAAAAAAGGACGACGAGAAGTATGATCGACCATGTAGGGGCAAGGCGAGAAGAGAACAAGTAGGCCCAGTTTCGACCATAGGGTGCCGAAAGAAAGTAGTTCTGAAGGATCACAACGATGAAGAACCACATGATTACCTTACGACGTACGAGCGACTTGTAGAATGAGGGATGGGAGCCAGGACTGGAACAGTAGAATGAGGGGAGTCCAGTAAAAAGAGCATATGATATGAAGGCGAATAGTATGGCGATAGGCGTGGTGATTGCCGTGATATATGGTGTATTTGTTATGGCTGATGTTGATGAAAGCTTGTATCCGCTAGACGAAAGGGATGACAGGTGAGAACCCCAATACCATAAGACAGTCACGTAAAGTTGTTGTGTACCTTGGATGGCACAGGCGCGGAATACCCATGAGTGGGTTGCGGTGCCACCTTCTGATCCAAAATTAAGCGCGAAGAAGAGTGAGCCAGAACCTGATGCGAGAGCGTAGATCCCCGTCGCCGTGTTTTGGAGCCATCCTCGTGCCGCTATGCTCTTACCATATGGTGCCATACCCAGGAGGAAGAATGCCAGGCCATAACATAGGAATGGGAGAGTAATTACATAGCGAGATGCGGCAAGGCGAAATGTACTCCACCAGATGACTGAAGCAGTGAGGTATATTGAGGCGATTACATAAAGTTTGGTGGCACTTTGTCCAATTTCACCTGTAAGGAGAGTTATTTGATATGAGTTTGCCGCGAGGATCTGTCCGAGGGCAAGTAGGAAGGAGTAGACCGGCCAGTCGCGGATCTTGTACTGGATGATCTTTCGCAGTCCCGATGGTGGTAAGTAATTTGCGCCGAGCTCAAATTCATCAACACCAGAAGTTGAGGATTGAGAACCTGAAACACTGACACTTGGCACACTAGCAGAGCTTGAAAGATCCTCACCACCCAATTGGGCGACTTTCTCTTTGACACCAAGTTTAGCATCGTAGAAACGCGAGAACCAATTCTTCTCAGAGCGGATGATGAACTCCTCGATACATAACTCTTTAGTTGAAGTACGACCGTTCAGTCCGCCAAGAAGACGATCAAATTGCCTCGTGTAGACCCCTTGTGAGTCTGTGAAAAACGGGTCCACCTTTTGCATCCTGTAGTTACTATCTTCCCCAATGACAGACTTCACCGTAAGATTTGAGGGTTGAACATCCGGCAGACCTGTAGATGACAGGGTTGTCAGGCTCCTTGCTTGAGTGTCTAATGGGAGAAAAGAGTTGGACGCAGAGGAAAGCGACGTATTCGAGTCTTGCGAGTTCTGACGGGATAGATGTCGATTTATGGACGCGCGGCCTAGTCCTCGTCGGAGGTCCATTGACGCAGGAGAGAGCGGCTCTTGAAGGTTGGGGAAATCATTTGGTCCACTACCGATTGAAATCGGAAACAGCCCATAATTATGAATGCGTCCAATTGGAGTTGATAATACAGGCATGGTGTGTGGAGCAGTGAATGAAGCAGACACTGCTGCAGAGCCGACATCTAATGTGAGCTGTGGCCGGCTCACATGTTCTCCAGTACTGTCATCAATCCTCTTTCTATTCAATGAGGATGTCTCAGAAGACGATTCTCTTGAAGGGCTAGGTCCCCGACTTTGCGTGCGGTAGGCTATTCGATTTCCTCGAATGCTTGGAGGCCTCGTATTGATGGGTGAGGTTAGTGCGGAGCCCGGTGCTGATGGCAGAGGAGTGGATATTGGAGGTGTAGATTCGCCGGGTTTGATTGAACTGCGTGCTCTGGCTACCCTCTCGTGTACTTTGATGGAACCAGCCTGGAGCTGTTCTAATCCTTCTTGCCATTGCGCAACGGGAAACCGTTGGAGAGACGATCGGGCTCGCATTTCAGCGCGGGTCTCCCTGGAAGAGTTCATAGCAGTGGTGATCGCTGCTTGGAACTGTCGAACGAGGTGTCTCGTTGCCATAGACTCGACGGTGAACCACCATCCAGGCATTGATCCAAGGCCACCGACTCGTGAGCCAATACCAAGCGCACCTTTACGGCCAAATTCTACAGCGACAAGACCAAACGGTTCATCCCGTGATGGTATTAGTGCAAATTCAGCCCCACTGAATATGCAAGGCGGGAGAACCGTGAACTCTGGCTTTGAACACACTCGCTCTGGATAAATCTCCATTAGACGCTGAAGTTTCATAGCAGCAAATTTGCCATGGAGGTCAATAACGGGGCCGACACAGATCAACTGCGCTTTCGCATTTCTCTCCAGTATTGAAGGGAAAATATCTGCAATAATATCGACACCTTTCTGCATAGACCACCGGCCAACAAAAACAAAGAGCTCAGCCTACAAATGATTAGTGACCTGTTATCAACAGCGTTGAGTCTTGACATACATCGGGATCGACATGAAGGCCCGCCCATTCCTGGGCTTGAGTTCGAAGCGCACCGCGCTGTGCTTCCTGTTCATCGTTGATAGTGACGGCATCGGGAAGTTTATGATCCTTGTCCCAGGCTGCAGTATCAGAAGGGTCCGGGTTTGGAAGTGAGCCAACATGCGACAATCCCCAAAAGATTGGATATCGCACGAAAGATCGCTTGCCATACTTTCTCGAGACACCAACGGCGCCAAATCCTCGTTGGTGGATGCGAAGGTAACTTGCTGCGGCATGAAGCAAATTGAAGACCTCTCCGAACTGAACGTACTTTCTAACAATATCCTGGCTTAGACTGAATACTCTGCATATTTCATCCATGTCCTCAGGACGTTTTATTGACCATAGACCTTGAAACTCTGCATTGTGGAGAGACAAACAGCAAGGCAGCGTAACGGACGGGAGGAGATACAAAGGAGCTAGGGCCCCATGATAGTCGTTGATGTGATAAATTTCGATTTCAGGAAAACGGCGTATCGTCTCTGCAATGCATTGGTTCCATGCAGAATAGTATATCGCACTCTCCAAGTCGTCCATTCGGGATGGGTATGGCTCATTTTTGGTTTGGTGGCGGAAAACTGGTGCATCTAGAAGAACAAAAGTAATGTTCTGGTAGCGATGATACTGAACGGGGATATTGTATACCTGCCCCATAATCATGATGTTCATAGGTTCACCAACTTCATCCACTGGATAGTTGACACCGCCAACGCAAGGCACAACCCAGATTAGGTTATGGTGTTGAAGGTTCTTGCCCATCAGTGCGGCCATCACTCCAAGCCCACCAATCTTGACCTTGATTCTCCAATCTTCAATTTCATATTCCATCGTTGCGATGAGTATATTGCGTCGTCGATGAAGTTCATTATCAATGACGACGTCTTCGCCTCGCTGATTGTGTCCTGTCATCGGTTTTCGGCCGTAAAAAGACGCACCAGCTGTACTTGTGAAAGTAATTGGTGAGAGTCCTTGAAACCCGCTCAAAAGCTTTCTGCGACTGTTTTGGAAGCCGAGCTCGTTGAACTTGACATGGTAGAATGACTTCACAAATAACCAGACCGCCAGTGAGCCGGTACCGAAGGGTACAATAGCGAGAAGAATGGCTATTATCAACTGAGTCCAGGCTGAGCCAACAGGTTCAAAGCTATAGCGTAGATCTCCATCGTTTGCAATGATTCTTACCCCAACATGTGGCATGCCTGGATCAGTGATGTTGATGACATTCTTCCCCAAACTGGTCGGTGGGAGAAAATCGAGAACCCCGTCACGGTCCACATCACCATACATCTTGGACTTGTCAGGTTGGCCATCAGGGTTAATTCCCCATGTGCTGAGGATCACATCCGTGGGATACTCCGTCATGATGTCAAATGACCATTGGCCCTTGCCCGTATAATGCATAGAGTCTGGTAGACCTGAATCAAACCCGTAAAGATTCCATGGGCCTGTGACATGCATGTGTGGCCATCTCCGGGAAATGTGTACTCCTACATCGCCGTGCTGAACATGCTCCATACTACCAGCTTTCTCGCTCCAATATCGAATTATCACATGCTCGCCGGCCCACTTTTGATCCTTGGTGCCGACCCATGATTGCGGTTGGATCGTTGAATTTTGGCCAGTGTAATTCTTCCAGTCGCTCCATGTTTTTCCCCAGTTGAGCGTGTACTGCCACTTGTCAGCACCCGTTGCCTTATGAACTACAGTTAGCTCGTTGCTTTTGTGGTCAAGGTAAAGTAGCGAGGTCGAGTAATTTGCGGTGATGGGAAAAACCATCGGGTTTTCGGGCCTGCCAATACGGAACATGAAGTGGTCTGTCGAATGAGTGTATAGGGGTTCACTTGAGAAGGTAGAGACATTAGTAACAGTGTACACGTGTATGCCGTCGTACACGTTCTCTAGTGTGCCTTTGAAAACCCATTGGGAAGCGATCTGTCCGACGTATCGTTGTTTCTTAGGTGGGATTTTAGTACAAATCACGCTAGAAGCGTTCAAACGAGCGACCTCGCCGGTGCCTGTAGACGATTGAATAGAGAAGCTACGGATTAGATCTTGGCAATTCATCTCGCTCGAAAAGTAGATCTCGATTGGTATTGTTTGAGCGCTTGAAACTCCCGATCTCGAAACAAGGCGTTGATCATGCCCGGGAACTACGCCGGTAATGGTGGGACGAGGGTGAATGAACATCTCTCTCGGGACGAAAAGTTTATAATCCCAAGGTTGCATTTCAATGCTGCTGATGCACCCATTGAATTCGGTTGAATTCTCGATGCCGAGTTTGGCGTTAGATGTCTCAAGCACAATTTCTTCGTACGGATAGAACGAATTCTTAACGATGGTTTGCTGGGGGAACGGCGCTAGCAGGGCCTTGTCTTGATCGTGGCAATCGAAAGTGTAATTGACCGTCTTGTTGTCATTTGAATACACGATCCAGACACCTTGATTGCCGGCATCACCCGTGTTGGAAAAGTCCTGCACATCTGGGAAGCGGCCCCGGTAGATGCTCCAAATTCCCATAGGTGAAGGCATCCCAAGACTGCCATGCAAATAGATATCGTGCAATTGACTAGACAACGTCTGGAGGTATGCGCCTTCATTGAGAATTGTATATTGGTTGCGAAGTTCGTAATGCCTTTTCAATATGTTGCGCATAAAGTGTGATGGATCTCGATGATCCAAACTGACGGAGTCATCTCCACAGCCATGCAGGGCTTTGTCAAATGGCAAATCCACGTATACCTCCGCACCCAGCTTGTAGCAGCCATGTAACTGCCAGGCCCTCTGGGACGCCATGGGAGTTCGCCCAAAAACGTAGTCAGCTGCTTGATTTTCAAGAATATACGATTCTTGTTCTTCACCCCACAGCTGAAAAGGCGCCCCCGGCATCATTAGATTTGCAATGAAAAGTCCAATCAAATGTCTCTGGGTTCCGTTTGCAAGAGCCGGCCAGCGGAATACATCTTGGTTCGTCATACCCCACAGATGACGTGGATCGAATTCGCCAGTGTAAGCATTTGCCATATCTTCGTGCAGGAGAAGGTCGTGCCAAAGCGCAACAAAGTCAACACCCTCGAGACCGATAGGTCCATCTAGACCGAGAAATCGTGTCATCGCACCGTAAAATGGATAGTGAAAAGCGTCTCCATCCAATGCAACAGAACCGAACGGGCGAAGATATTTGCCTTGGTCCTTGACATTGATAGATGCTACCGCCTGCGACATATTATCGAACGCCATACTAGGCTCCTTTCCCCGCCCGACCAGCAAAGAAGCGTAAGGAATCTTGCTGACGATCTCACCAACGATGAGAAAGTTTTCTTTGCCGAACCGCTTTGCGCATGCTCTTTGGTGATCGGACCATTTTGCATGGACATCAATCGGGGTTTGGGCGGCTTTATCCATACGGAAACCATCAATATCGAGCATGGCAATCTGAATGCATGAAAAATGCATTATCTTTTCGAGGACATCATTGCGCCAGGTTCGAAGGCGATCCTGCACACCTGCAAATTTGGCCAACTGAGTTTCCCAGCTTGGAACTTCGCCGACACCTTTCATGTCGCCATACTGCTCGCGGTTAGTTCTGTGATTATACTGTATGTAAAGGGAGACTACATGAAGCGAAAAGAGTGTGAAGAGTTCTGATTAACTCTTGTTGTGGATTGAGAGTGACGAACCTGATCAAACTCGCTGTCTCTGCACTCGAGATCCATTGCATCGATTACGGACTGATTCCGAAGACGATAACCATCTTCACCCCACATACGTGGGTATTTGCACGATGCATTTATCCTGTTGCTAATTTGGAAATCGTGGTATTGTCGGCTTGTTTTATATCTTACATCATACTCGCCCCATTTGAAAGGAGCGGTGACGTTTTCGGAGCCTACCCACTGTAGCAAGTCTCCCATTGTACCTAGCGTATTATCAAGTATCACATACATGCTACGTGCATGTATTTCAGTGATGAGTGCTCGCCAGTCTTCAATTAGACCATGATGGTGATCAAGTAAGGTGAAATCCAAGGCACCGAATCCATCTGATGACCACGGCATATTGATGAACGGTGTGCCAGAAAGATATATGCACTGTCATTACTTGTGTGAGCAGAAAGCGAAGTTCAATAATCTCCTTGACTCACTTTGATTCCCATTCCTTGGATGTAGTCCAAGTTATTCATGAGCCCTTTGGCATCACCTCCAAAGCGGAATTGGTTGCTTTGCCAGTCGTGCTCAAAGATGGTGTCATTGGCTTCATTGTTCGTTGGATCACCATCCACATATCGATCGAGAGTAAGAACGTAGAAAGGGAATCTCCAGTTCTTGGGTGACGGATGAAAGGTGTGATTCTCCCACTCTCCCCAATAGTCTAGTGGGTCAATCGCCGTCTTGTTCAAATTGAGATTGTATCCCTCATGTTCGGGGTCATAACGGAGGGAAATCACAGATAGAACGAGGCATAGAAGGGACAAAAAATTGCTTGGGGCACCCATTGTCGCCGATCAGCTACTCAATCAAGCAAGTTTGCAGGAGCAAGGTGAGAGAAAAGGCTGATCTTGGCATTGATAATCTGGCTCTTGCATTGTTTTTATGTCTAGTGAAATCGTCTCTTCACGTCTACAGAATATTTCGTGGGCACACACGGTGGCACAGGAAACCCTGCAGCGACATGCACAAGACCGTGGCCTGGAGCGACTGAGTACCATGAAACAGTGCTGAAATGGGCAGATACAACATCAATTGAGGATGACAGATGGTTCCAGCCGGAGTCAGACAGATGGGAACAGCGGGGGAGTCATGGATCTCTCAGCCATTGGCGCGTATGGCAGGAAACTGTTACCCGATTAATTACAGTTTTGGGGAATCAGATATGCGTGAAGGCAATCGCGGCCTGTTGAGGATGATTTCTACCATGTTAATCTAGCATTGAGTTGATTCAGTGGTCTGGGAATCTTGCCGACCGAAGCCAATATCGAAGGCTGGAGCCAAAAACATTTGTATCAAAAAGGCCCTTGGCTTGACAGTGCAGTTCACTGCGATGGTCAGGATCCTCAATCTGTCGATTGACGAAGGGAGTAAGGATTTCTCCGGCCAGGGGTACAGAATAGTCAAGCAATTAACCTTAACAAAGAAGCTGTTTGGCTTTGAAGGCCCCGGTTGCATGTAGCCATTCATTTTGTGAGGATCCATCTCAGACTTCTTGGCATTGGAAACAATAAGCATATCGGATAAATATGCAGCGGCTTTTGCAATGTGCCCCATGCCGCATCTCGAGAGCCGCATCAGGATGTTGGCAATCTATCCGCCCTGCCTAGTTCCCCCGACACAAATCAGGTACCGAATGGAGAACTATGATCTCCTCACGCCTGCCGAAGCTGCTCACTCCTTATCCGCGCATGCAATTTCAGTCTTGGTCCGCAATGGAAAGTTTGTATCCATCTTTACACACCAGAGCTGCTGACACTATTCTTGTTGACTGATGCAATTCGTCGCATTCACGTTTTCATCAGGAGCTATATCGGCGATTGTGTGGTAGCACCCGCGCCTCCCGCGCCTGCGCGGCACGTCCCGTGTCCCGCTGTGTAGTGGCGACACATTGTTGCACACTCTGTAGATTATTGGCTCTGCAGAAAGTTAGATTGGTCTCAGTTTACCTCTGAAGTAATTGGGTCTTGCGAAGTTGTTGAGATGCAACATCAACCAGATCTGTGTGTCCAATCTAGTTAAATGGTGCAGTTCTCGATTGCAGATTATCAAGACAATAACTTCTCACACTCACATTTAAGAATATGGTTCGCTCGCCTTGACAAAGACTTAGACAAGGTTGGAAAGCTTGTTGACTTACTCCAGCGTTCTTCTTTGATGCCTGTGTCAGAGGATGACTTCAGAGACGACATCTTTGAGCGCATTAGATCATTCAATACGGTCAATAGTCTTTGGCTACCAATGTAAAAAATACTTTCAGGCAGCACGGTCAAAATGGATGGTACGAGAATTGTACGGAATCCCATAGCTCTAGAGTGGGGAATCTTGAACCAGCATGGCTTCTAGTGAAGTGCACGAATTGACAACAATATGTGAAACAGAATCCCTTGGATCTCAACATGCTGGGTTATTATAAGAGGGTTCTAAGAACCTTTCACAGTTATGCTCTGAGGCTGAGGCCTTCGGGGAGATTACTTTCTATGTTCCTCAGCATTGGAAAAAAAAATAGTTATGTCGAGGGTACTAGATGGGACATTACATAGAGGCGAGGCTTCCAATATTAGACGCCGGTTGAAGGCACAGCGAGTATCTCGCAAAAGGAAGCTGAATCCTCATAGGTACAGGCATTATTCTCTTGTGATGGGAATCTAGTGGGGCCTGAGCTGTCTTCTGCGCTCGATTTGATGCAGGGCCAGGATTACGCAACACCGAGATCCGAGCGAATTTAGAATGCGATGCTGCGCTATGCTGCGACAAATTATGTGGATGCCGAACATCATGCAGTTGGCGCTTCTGGTCCCATAAGCCGCATTCTCCACCTACAAGTGCCAAGGAAGCTCTGAGATGATGCACCAGCCATGCGCAACCACTGGTAAACCATCCGTTTGCTTAGATTATGTTTTGCGATGGGGCAATTCGCATCGAAGTAGCAAGCAAACACAGAAACAGTATTGCCCCAAGCGTTAATTCTCAGCATGGTTCAGTATTGATCATTAGGTTTATTCGATGGCGGTCATAGAATAGTAAAAGGATGTGGAGTTTTGTCTCCTCAAAACCAGTTCCCTGTCTTGCCCGGAATTTTTTAAGTTTGCCGTGATAATCTTCAAGCGGATGTGGGCTTGTAGTACTACTGAAACCATATTCTGTTAGACCTTACTACGCAGGACAGCACGTCCATCGGCCACTGTGGAGGCGGAATGATGGTTTCGTAGATGTATAGTCCGGCAAAACATGATGGAACATAATTTTGATCCTTGCCTCAACCACTTCGTAGTTCCGCTTGGCCTCGCTTTACACACTGCAGAATTGGTTCGTTGGTGTAAATACCAACTGGCCTGACAGGGCATGACATCCAACGAGTATGGGTGCAACCACAACAGAACGGATAGCTGTAACGCCCTAAGCGATAGTAATAATGAGACTGTTAAGAGGGGTAGGATGAGGGCCGGGTGGATATTCCGATGGTGGATGGGTGATTGAGTTGAGTGGACGGGAGTCTGGAGAAGCTGTAAGCTGTAGTTAGTGGCCTACTCATATGAAGGCTACATTATGCCTTACTACCCAGTACCTAGGAAGCATCTACACAGTGCCACATACGCACAGTTACCTAGGTAGTTATATTAAGGTACCTTGTTTGAACCGATCCGCCTTCGCACCAGTAGGAAGGAACCTGTACTGATCCCGTTTGGGGCTGGAGACGTTTTGCCGTTCCGGGAAATGTGTATTACCCCGTTTCCGTTCCCTTTTTCAAAACGGTACTACATAGTGCATACAACACAAGAGAAGATTGAGGTAGGTGTTTTGATATCGCTGGCATAGACCATGTACGATCTCACTCGCGTGGTCCCAAAATTTACTGTCCACGGCAAGAGCCATGGCTTGCCATGAAAACCCCATTTTAGATTCTATCGCACATAGTTGGCCGCTTTCCGACCAGATCAACAATTTCTCTATGGTATGGTTTTGTCAACCACCGATTAATACACGGTTGGATTTTCAACTACCGGATACGTACTTGCAAGTTGGCCTTTCATGGAAGGATTGTCCCCATCATAACATCATGTGTAACATGTTTGCGTAGGACCGTGACCTTTGCGCGTATCCACCGCTTGTACGAATCTGTACATGTTATGGCAGGACACAGCCATGACGTGAATCGAAGACCTAGGGAAATGAATGGATACACAAGAAGCTCCAGTGCCCGCACAAGAATCGGCTGTACCACCATATTAAAACGATATCATCGTCGCTTTTCTGTTGACTGATGCAGAAAAACGTTCTTTGTTAGGCTTTGGTACGTGCAGCAAGGAAAGCCAAGGTCAGACAATGTACGGCTAGGCCCCGCAACAGTTTGACACGAGTCTAACCGCCTATAGGCAATATTTGAATAACAAAAACAACAGAATCCTCCGCGCCTTTGTCGTGACTGGTTACTGATCGCGGAAACTATAATCTACGAAGTCTGAAGCGAAAGGGTGCATTATTTTATGGTCTGTCCATTCAAGCTCATCATCTGGCGGCTTGAATTGCCGTAGCAGGCCCCGGTATTGAGTATTGGTTTGTTGAACGTGATGTTTTGTTTCAATCCTGGCGGCCGCTCGGGTTTAGGTCTTTGCTTATATGCGGGCGGAGATAAAAGTACATGATCTGACCAACGAAGCCGGGTGTCGGACTTGAACCTCTTGACGACACGGACGAAGATCGTAGGCCTGGTCCGACGCGCACCGATATATGAGTGACATATAAATTCGACGGTGCACCTGGTAGAGAACATGATACCAACAATTCGTGCATCAACCCTCGAGAATTACTCAGTACACTCAGACTCGTACCCATCGTTCTCTCTTCGGAACAACAAAAATGGTCGCACCCCAACGCATTATACTGGTTACTGGTGCCAATACCGGCATTGGTCTCGAGACGTCCTACAGTTTGGCATCGGCATCGTCAGAAAATCATGTTCTCCTAGGCGCAAGAACGGCAGAGAAAGGAGAGAAAGCCGTCAAAGAACTTCAGAATCGCAAAATTCTAGGCACAGTTAGCTTTCTTCAGGTCGATGTGACTAGCGACGACTCTATTGCTGCTGCCGCAAACAAAATCGAGGCCGACTTTGGGCGTCTTGACGTTCTTGTCAACAACGCTGGCATCGCCCTCATCCAGAAGCCGTCCCGCGAGACTCTACGGGCAACCTTCGAGACGAACGTATTCGGCCCTATGCTTCTCACACAGGCCCTGGCACATCTTTTGCAAAAGTCCAAAGATCCTCGTATCATCAATGTTACCTCTGAATTAGGAAGCACTACTGGACGAACGGATTGGACGAACCCTTTCAGCGCGGTTCCAGGCGATGAATATCGCATGAGTAAGAGTGCTCTTAACATGCTGACGACATGTCAGTCTTGGAACTTTAAGGATTGGGAAAATCCAGCCAAAGTCTGGTCCTTCTGCCCAGGCTTCGTCATCACCGACTTAACAGGGGCAGACCAGAGACAGACTAGAAGGGACATGGGTGCCGAAGAACCATCAACCAGCGCGCAGGGAATACTGGAACTGGTTGAGGGGGAAAGAGATGCTGAAGCAAACTCTTTTGTCGGTAAATATGGAAAACAAATTCCCTGGTAGTTGGTATTGCCTGTAGAGTTGGGACAACTTTATGAGCAGTAAAGCTCGCTGTGGTTTCGCTTAGATGAGACAGCGTCGATCGCCATACAACACTCTCGATAGACTGTTAGATATAGGATGCCGGGATTGACCTAATTATATATGTTCGGCAAGAATGTAGTAACAATGGTGCCACACATGATAGGAACCGAATATCTTTTGCCGATGACCAAGAAATCCTCGCAGATCGAACTTCCACGTGCTGGATGGATAAGACCTTAAGAAACTACAGCCACAGGAGTGGCGACCTTCACCCCTATGGCTAACAAGATTCCTCGGATCATTTTTTTGGCTTTGGACTACCTTTCATCCCTGACTGTCGATGGTGGGATACTTGTTATGGTGATCCATCAATGATGGCTTGCTGGAACGGTACGCCGCCAGGCCAATACCATCAAGTTATCTCCGTATCACAATGAAATGTGAAAGAAACTGAATAATAGCAGAGTATGTTTGATATACGAAGTGCAGTATATACTTAACACGACAGTTAACCTTATGTTTGTGCGTTGGAATCCTACGTATGGGTTTCGCAGGTAGAGCTTCGATTGGGAGAGTAGTGTTCGGCCAACCGTAAAGACATTAATCGATTCGTTAACGTTGAAAATTGATTGCTAGCCGCCGATTATGAAAGTTTCATATATTTATATTTTAGGACTCACGAGCACTCTGGCTTGAATAGTTAGAGAACACCAATGCCAAAGACAAGGCGTTGTTGCTGAGTTGAATATTTTCTTGTCTCTATTTGTATAACCTATTGAGTCTTCATAAATCCGCGAAGCGCAAACAACGTCTGTCACATCGACACAGACTTAAATCACAAAATTTACGATGGCTTTATATATCATTCTACTTCCATCGGAGTCTGCAGAGTAAGATTCATGAATCAAATTGGAGGCTTGGTCCGTCGCATGGTCCCTATGTACCCCCACGTGGTGGGTGATGGTGGTAGGGTGGTCTAAGCGCGGTCCGATTTACGACGTCATGAGTCGCGACGGATAATCAACACTCGCGCAAATCGATTCTTCGACATTGTCGCAGTCGCAATCGCAATCGCAAGTTGAAAACAGCATACGAATGATTCATTCCCTGGTCGGTCCGAGGGCTCCTCCGCTTTCCTGAGCCGACTTTCAACGAAGATGCCAGGCCTGGTGCGCAAGCTTCTCATCTTTGCTGCTGTTGATGGAATCATCCTTCAGCCAGCCCCGCCGCGCAATCATCCGCCCACCACTCAGCAAGCTATCAAGATAGACTACAAGGGCAATGTCGGACCTCTACTCAAAGATAGACGTGATGCGGATACTGCTCCCGTCTCTCTCGAGGCCCAAGGGATTGTTGGTTAGTCAAACTGTCATCAGATCGTACGACGTTAACAATTAAACTCCGTTCAAGGCATCCTAAAAATCGCTACGTCCTTCTTCCTGATAACTATCAGCAGTCGTGAACAAGTCGCACAAATACGCGGGAAGTCAATTTACAAGATCACCGATGTCGCACTGATACCGCTTGCCTCCCAGAAAGACGCCAATGAGGCTATTGTGGCCGCACAGGAACATATGCGACGGCACAGGAACAGCGTTGAAGGGGAAGATGACACCCACAGCGAAAGCGAGGACGAGGCGCCCAGCGTGACAGATTCACTCGTTGACGAGCATGTATCTGCCCAAAAGGAGGTCAAAGATCCGATCACGGCACAGCTTGGGTCGGTGGATAAGCGCACAAGTGTCGCAGAGGATGTCATGCAGAAAAAAGGGCTGTATGGTCGGTTTGCAAACAAATGGTTCTCTAAGACGGGTTGGAGCGCCGATAGTAGACGCTCCCAGGGACTCAGTTCGGACGAAGATCTCACTCGCAAGAATGCAAACAAGGATGTTGACTCTACAGTACCCCCAACTGAGGAACAGCCCACAAACACCCCAAACCCAGAGTCGCTGACGGTGGGAGATGAGGACATCAAAGGACCTATCAGTCCCGATGAGATCCCAAAGGCTTTTGAAGGGTCGAGCAGCTCAACGTCAACGTCTTTGCTTCCAAAGATACTTCGAACTACGAAGATGTATTTTGCATCGGGAAACTTTTACTTCTCTTATGATTACGATCTATCGCATGGCATTGATAGTCAGCAATCTAATTCCAGCGCTCCTCTGTTTAGGCATTATGATCCTCTTGTAAGTAATTGCAATGCTTCTGATTGAATACTACTAATACGATGGAAAGTACTTCTGGAACCAGCATATCATATCTCCATTCATCAATGCAGGTCAAACTAGCTTCGTTCTCCCAATCATTCAGGGGTTTGTCGGCCAACGCCCTTTCAGTATCAAAATTGTGGATAGTCGGGACAATAGTGTTATGATTGACCCCGATGCCACACCAGATGATATACAACTACAGTCATGGAAAGACAAGAATACCGATTCAGACTCGGGTTCTGGCGTCGAAGTTCCTCTGGAGCCCTCCAACGGTAAAGCGTTCCTATTGACCTTGATTTCCCGAAGGTCAACGAAACGCGCCGGGCTTCGCTACCTCCGTAGAGGAGTCGATGATGAGGGTCACGCTGCTAACAGCGTAGAAACGGAACAAATCCTGTCGTCCCCAAACTGGGATTCCTTTGATGAAAAGTGTTTCTCCTTCACACAATACCGGGGTTCGATACCACTGTTCTTCTCACAATCACCATATAGCCTTAAGCCCCAAGTGAACACGTGGGGATCGCCAGAAACAAATGCCCAAGCCTTTAAAGAGCACTTCGCAGATCTAACATCGAGATACGGGTCTATCTACTGTACTTCGCTAGTAGACAAACATGCAACGGAAGCCAAGATTGGTAATGCGTATGAAAGTCATACTAGGCGACTTAATTCTGAAGGCGGTATTGATGGACAGGGGAGACAGCTGGGGTTCGAATGGTTTGATTTTCATAGTGTCTGCCGTGGCATGCACTTCGAGAAGGTTTCGATTCTTTTGGACACGTTGTCACCGTTCCTGAAAGAAAGCTCCTGGACAGAGATCGCAAACGGTGCCGTGGAAAAGAAGCAATCGGGTGTGTTGAGGACAAATTGCATGGATTGTCTAGATCGTACCAATGTTGTGCAATCTGCATGTGCAAGGGCAATATTGGAATCTCAACTCTCTGCAGGGAACTGTAACATCGATCTCCAGAATGACCCAAGTACAAGCTGGTTCAACAATCTGTGGGCCGACAACGGAGATGCGATCTCACGCCAGTATGCTGGTACTGCTGCACTCAAGGGTGACTTCACGCGAACACGTAAACGTCAGATCACCGGTGCCTTGACCGATTTTGGCCTGACTCTAACGAGGTACTACAACAATATCGTTAACGACTACTTTGCACAAGCGGTCATTGACTATCTACTGGGACGTGCCACAGACTCAATATTCAGCGAGTTTGAAGCTGACATGAAGAGCTCGGATTACTTCATTGATGTTCGGAAGGTCCGACAAGCTGCTATCGAACGCTCTGCTGGCATCGTAATTGAAGATCAGGAGGAAGACCTCATCGCTGGCTGGACGCTGTCTGCGCCCACCGCCGCTAACGAGCTGAAGACTGCGACATTTGAAGAAGCCGTGCTTCTCCTTACTGAAAAAGCTTTGTATTTCTGCCGCCTTGATTGGGGCACTGAAAAAGTACGCGAGTTTGAGCGTGTTGGATTAGAGCAGATCGACGGCATTTTTCGCGGAGTCTACATCACTAGTACCCTCGGTCGGAGGCATGTGGACGAACAGAAAAATGTAGGTTTCGTCGTGCGGTATCGATCAGACCCATCGCAAGAACTTGTGCGAAGAAACACCCGAAGTCTCGAATCGGAAGAGAAACACCAATCCACCACCAAGAAGGCCGAGGAAGAAGCAGGTCGATTTTTGGCATTCAAGGCGTTACCGCCACGCAGTACTCTACCTTCTGCTACCTCTCCCGAGTCTTCCGCTGAATCCGAGGTCGATGTTGTGAAGAATATTTCTGACGAAATAGCCAAGATCGCGAATCGGTTTCGAAGACGCGGAGTACTGGACGAAGGCTTTGAGATCAAGGACATAGAACCAGAAGAGAAGGATATCATCAGCGCAGCGGATGCACGGAAGAGCACAGGATATCTAGAACAATTGGGCTACTCATTGAAGAAGTTGGTATGGGCGTGAGCGGTTTGCGGGTAGTAGCATCATGCAAAGTACCGAATAGTCCATCGGATGATGAAGGATCACTGATATGACGCGAGCTGTACCATCGGGTTCAAAGTCGATAGAATATCAACTAATACACTTTGATTAATACGCTTTACTTCCTTTACATACTATTTCCCCTGGTATATCTTCGCTTAACCGGTGACGCCTTGTAAGATTCTTCACGGCGTCCGAAGGAACAGTAGATAGGCGAATAGAAAAGAAGTACTTAACTCAGATATGTCCATCTTGCTCTGCAGCAGTTTTACCAGCTCTATTGAGTACCCAGCGGTGATGATCTAACGTTCCACTCTCCGTGGCTTGTAGCATGAAAACAGTGGAAACGATGATGTAAGAAGAGCAGTGCGTGACGCGGAGAAACTCTCCGATGCCGAAAATTATGTTGATGAATTCGTCTTTCGTATTGTAACACATATGAAGGTCCACCCAATGGCTCTACAGGTTTGATTGATGTTGTTCATATTGCGATAGGAGTAAATCTGAATGTTTTCATCTTCTGCTGAACGCTGTCTGGAGATTGCATGAGCCTATTTCCCTAGCTCGTTTTTCGTGGAAAAGACATGACTCCCTGGCAACATAATTGGCCTTTATAAATTGACATACTCTTCATTCTCGTTTCTAATGATTGAATCTATAGAAGCATTATTATATTTCGAAAGAGAAAGTCGATTGGTTCGTGGATTCAGGGTCCGTTCACGATCAATGACACATATATCTCATCATTAGTCCACGATCACCCCTCCATTCGTGTTCTTCGAGAATCTTAGTAAGACTCCGAATGGATGACTAATTTCACGAATGATTGTATTGCAATGAACCATGCGGCAAAGTATTGCTATGGCTACCTTGCCGACTAACTTCGCCAGACATAGTGCTTCGTCGGAATTGCACTCATGAGAAGATGCAACGATTGTTTGTTATGATTTAAAACAAAAGACTAGATTTCACTATGCTTTCAGTTCTCATTTTATATTAGGCGTTCATGAATACATGACAAAGCCACATGCTGGCACTGACAACCTTGCTGCCCTTCCGTTCGCATTGATGACTATGGCCTCGTTTTCTCGTTCAGATGCCACCGAGGACGTGGTGTAGAGACACTTCAGGGATTCAGTTGTGTTGTGAAGTTCCGAATCAATAGTAACGTAAGCTTCTATGCTGTGTTCATGGTCGGTGTTGATGGCGCACACGATCTCATGACCAGCGAATATACGTGACCATGCCACAATTGAGGTCATACGACCTCCAAGAATGTGAGGTACACCGAAAGTATTACCGTCTTTGGAGATCTCTCGTAGATACTGGCGGCCCCTTCTCAAGGCAGGGTACTCCTGCCGCAAAGCTGATATCTTGCCCACTTCCCTAAACAAGTGGGTTGACTCGTTGAAGAAGTGCCGTCCTTTGGATCTGAAGGCTCCAAATGATCCACCAAACATGGCTTCACGAATATAACGATCGCTGCCACCTTTACCATCAAAGTATTGCTCAGTGCCGTAATAGATGCATGGTATACCCAGAGTCGTGAGGTTCAGCGCAAGGGCAGGGAGTATAAGTTTGGATCCTTCGAAATCTGAACAGAACCTGGCTTTGTCCATGCCGCCGCGCCAGACTTGATCATGGTCATCAATCATCGTGACTAGCTTGTTGCGCGTCCATGCATTTGTGCCTTTCTTCAAGAATGTGGCATTACGAAAGAGATCAAAGTATTCGGCGGGGTTGATGAAGCCTTTGGGCAATTTCCATAGTTTCTCCTGTATGTTCCCGATGGCGAGTGCAGCATCTAGCCCCGTAATCTCGACGGTATCGAAAGCTCTTCCGCCAGTGACTTCACCGACAAGAAAGAAGTTTTCTTTTCCAATAGAAGTGGCAAATTCGTGAAGTGCGGTGCAGATATACCTTGTTGGTCCGTCGCCCATATGTTTAACAGTATCGATGCGGTACCCATCAAGGTCAGCAAAGGCTACCCAATACTTGTATACCTCAGTCAGAGTCAAGAGTGCTGAAGTTGGTCTGAAGTTGTCAGGGTTGTCCGATCCAAGGTCGATGTCCTTGAGTGTCAAAAAGTCGCCTCGGATATATTCAGGCCAATAGTCCCAATTTGAGATTGCGCCCTCGCATGTGAACGTTTCTGGTGTCTGTAGTTCAGCTGGCCATATCGCGCTGTCTCTGGACGCATCTGCAGGTGTGGAGATTTGTCCCATGTGTTTGAATGGCAAGGTTGGCTTGCCTAAAGCGTCGCGAAACCCTTCAACTTCATAAGTCTCACCAGTCCATCGTTTTTCGCCTCCTTTGTACGCAAATACGTCCCCACTGTGATTTAAAATGATATCCAAAATCACATATATGCCTTCATCGTGTGCGCTCGTCACCAGCTCGCGCAGGTCGTCCTTGGTCCCAAAGTGCGGTTCGATATCAAGAAAATCTTGGACTGCATATCCGTGGTAGAGGTGATCATCGCGGGGTACTTGTTTGAAGATGGGCCCGACCCATATTGCAGTTATACCGAGACGTTTCAAGTAACCAATCTTGCTTTTGATGCCTTGCAAGGTCCCGCCTTGGAATACAATACCATCTTGCTCCCAAGCCTTTGCGTCGTTGGGTGTATTGACTGCATTGCCGTTGTCGGAAGGCTTGAAGGGGGGCACATCCCGCTCGTGGCCACCTCCATCAACGATTACCGTATCTTGTTCCCGGCTGTTGGAGAAGCGGTCAGGAAGTAAGAAATAAAGTTGCTGGTCTTCCCATGCAACTGGTGAAGGATGAAAGAGATTCGTGCTAGTAGAGGCTTCGAGTAGAACGTCTTGCACGGCCTGATCCCGCACGCTGAATGTACTAGACACCATCGCATAAAACTATGATTTCCAGGAAGCACACATGTGGGATACAGGCAATTTCAGTAGTATATATACAAACGTACTTTTGGCTTTTCTCGATTCGACACTCAGCTCCGATGAGAAGTCAGCTCGCGAGATTTATGCCATGCTGCATGACCGATTGCCGCCTGGAGCTGAAATGGCCAAAAAGGGCTTCTCAGGTCCGTTCGTGGACCAATAATGATAGCGAGGGTAGTCCGATATGTTCAAGCTGACCACCATATTGTCACCAATCTGTGCTGCCAGCACGGCAAGTTCTGCATCCCCCAATATATAAATCTGCAGCTTCTCCGGGATTGAAAGTCCTTTCTACCTCGAGAAAAATACTATAGTGAGGGTTGTATTCACCACATGTCCAGTAGTATCGCCACGGACATTTCTAAAACATCTGCCAGGCAGAAATACAATTAATAAGTCTTATCTAGCTAAATAGATAGCCTTGATAGCAGTGATAATGAAATGGTTGCACGCGCGCGAGCGCCAATTAATGCAGGCGGAGTTGGGGAAGCTCGACCCAAGACATTTCCCAGTCCACATCCCCGCCATGAGGCTTCTGGCTTTCGCGCCTGGGTTACCCCGCCGGGGCGATAAATGCTTCATCTTTCTCATGGTTTTCAGCCTTGCGATATTGCGAGACCATGGGAAAGGCACTGGTGAATCCTTCCATACTCTAGTAATAGCTTCTTCATCCTTTTCATACGTGGTCTGGTTGATAATAGAACCTCGTCCGGCTGACTGTCTCTAATATCATAATCTGTCGACAAGAAAGGATTCCCGATCTGTGTTAATCATTCGATCCAGGATTTATCTCAACTGTATAGAGATACGGAGGCCTCAAAGCTTCTCGTTAACTGTTGAATTATTCCACTCACATGAGTCGCCTCTCGAGACCTGCTGGCCTCTGCGTGTCTCAGTTGAATCCACAGAGAATTGCATGCAATAATTGGCCAGCCCGCGCAGACCTCCCACTTGGCTCACAATACTAAAAATGCCGTATGATTGTTTATGCGAAGTTCTGAACCCAATGGTCGCAACCCCCTTTTGAGTGCGGCGACAACTACAAATAACTTAACTGCTGCAGCGATGAACCATGCGTTGCGAGTAGACTAAGCTAAAAGAATCTTCAAGTCTGACTCCGGGATTTTTCTTTGTTGATTCCCAGTTACTTCAGTCTGGGGACTCTGGGTTTCACACTTCCACTCCGGCGAGTTCTTCATTCATGGTACGGTGACCCCAATCACTCACATTAGCAAACAGTGTGACAGACTTGGTCATTCTTTATTACAGTGAAGGGATCAATGGGTGCTTTCCTGCAAAGCGTGGACAAACACCAAAACCACTTTTTTGGTGTAATCTTTGAAAGGTAAAGAACGGTACTGTCATAACTACCAGCGTTGGATCGAGGCCTTGGAAAACTGGAATTCGCCCTGTGTCGAAATTACTCGTTGGCTGTTGCAGATAGCATTTAAACCCTCCTGAATGTTTACATCGCGTCAGTTCTCCTTGGCTTTTGGGGTTTGTGCCATCCATTATCACTTGGTTAAGACCAGGCTAAGAAAACAGTATTCTGAGATCTTCTATTCTATATGTTAGGCTATGAAAAGGAGTAGTGATTAGAAGACAATTAGGCATTAGGTTCCAACGGCTGGCTTTGAAATGGCTAGAATGATCTCTTTAGTACAGACTACATTTAAAAAGGAAATTCAATCAGTCGCACCCACAAAGTACTGAAGTCTTCGTGAATCCCCTGATGGAGCGTTCATCTAAATAAGAATCATATCACAGGCGGTTGCGCATTGAAAGCAATAGTGAATCAATATTACATCTTTGAACTACAAATATATTTATCTAAGCTTTATTGTTGTATGTACATGAATGTAATAGTACGGTACCTATATGCTAGCATGTATACCGCCTTGAGCCATGATGCAGGAAGTCTATCACGTACTGTCCTAAGGTCCCACCTTTGGACCTCATTCGTGCGTATTTTAGCGAGCGCGGGAGACTCAGTGCATCCCCATCCCTTATCTCTTTTTTGGGGACTGTCGGTGCCGAGCATCTATGGGGCTTGCATCGGTGAGAAAAAGTAAATATTTCGTGATCCTTTGACGCAAGGCCCTCCGCCGAGATCTAGGAAATCGGCCCAGAACGTGTTCGCTGTTAGAGCCTCGATATATGTTCAGACACCAATCAATAATGCATTCTAGCTGTAAGACTCTTGTCTCCCACCTGGAATTGAATTTATACGGATATGCTACAAAGGGGATTGGAGAGGAGTGTTCTCTCGACTTGGGAGAAGTGTAGACACGCGAATCTGCATGCTAAGACGCAACCGCGCTGTAATACTAGGTTATATGTTCCTTTTGAATACGAGAATCTACTGTGGAATATTCCGTAATGTTCCTCGCTTGCATATTCTGCATGATTTACCACGTTCGCCGGGGTGATCAACCAACCAACCACGGGCACCATGGGTACGGGCCGCTCTTGGGTGCCGCACGTTGCATAAACGATGCACATCCGTGGAAGAGGATCACTCCTTCCGCGCATTCGATCATTTTACCCAAAGCCTATACAACTGCTACTGCTTAATAGAGATCAATTTCTGTCGTCAAGGACTTAAAATTGGCTATATGACAAGGTTCACATGCCGTTTGCTCACTCTTCGCTGGATGTACGGCCCGGTGACTGGTGAGACTGAATCAAGATGGTCTGGTAGACGTCGCCAATTTTTCGATTGGAAATCGGTGGTTCTACTTTCCTTTCGAAAATGCATGTAGGTCACTTTCAATGATGGTTTCATATTAATTAACATACTGTAAATTGGAGCTTTACACGTGGCTTTACGTTAAACTCAATGTTAGTATTATATAAGGGTACCTGGAGACGCTATTTTCTTCTGAAAATGGTGATACATGCTACAGCACAGCAGTGAATTCCAACTGCCTTTGCATTCCGAATCCTTAGTGATACTATTACTTGATCAAATCCTGCAACTAACAAGCATACATCACCATTGTTTTAAGCCGTATAGGAATGCCTTAAGTAGGAGGCCGTTGGTGGCGCTCTTTTTGTTCTTGATTGTATTTCTCGGATCTATACTGCATCGGCTAGACTTTTGCTAGACCCATATCGCACCACTGAAAGGGTGGTCACCAATTGCCTTTTTTGGAATACCAACCAGCATACGACACGAAATAGAAGATGTGAGTGGTCCATCTTGTAGCCTCTAATGCTCGATCAACCACAATGTGTCAATCAAATGCTCGTGCAGCTTATTCTGCACCATGATCACTTACAGGATCACGGCTAACCGAGGCGGTGACCGTCTTGTATAATTGTAGGGTTCGAGTCAGCCTCGAACCTGACTATTCAGGCTGTTAGAAAAGATATATAAAACGGGGGAGAACTCATTGTGGATTTCATTCTTGAGTACTCGTCACCATCTATCATAAAACTTACACACGTTAATTTCAAACTATACAACCATGTTGTCCATCATTCTTCTCGTCTCTACCGCGATAGTGCCATTTACTTTTGCACACTCACATATCGATGAAATCTGGGCGAACGGCGTTCACTACGCAGGATGGGATCCAAACCCCGCAGGCCCATACAATGCGCAGACCCCAGGGTGGTTCACTACTAATCAAGGTGGTAACCCTCTCTATCCGATTGATCTGAACCAAAACCAGATCATCTGCGCCAAAGGAGGTTCTCCTGCCAATATTTCTGCACCCATTCCCGCGGGAGGCGTCGTCCGCGTCAAGTGGTGGCAACCGGGAGAGTGGCCCGTCTCTCATCATGGTCCAGTACTTTCGTATCTTGCACCATGCAACGGCCCTTGCTCCAATGTCAATCCAACTAGTCTTCGATTCGTCAAGATCGGACACAAAGGCTGGATCAACCCATCAACCTACGATGAGGGCTACTGGGCCTCCGACGAGCTCCGCGACGATGACAATTCTTGGAACATCAAGATACCCACAGGACTCAAAGCTGGAGAATATATCTTGCGTCACGAAATCATTGCTCTGCACGTCGCCCACGAAGGCACTGGCGCTTACTCGCCAAAGGGGGCCGAGTTTTATCCACAGTGCATCAATTTGAAGGTAACCGGAACTGGTACCAAGACTATCACGGGGGGCAAAAGTGCAAAAGGTTTGTACGTTGGAAATGAACCGGGCATTCAGATTGGAAATCTCCACCAAACCTCAGATCATGCCGATTATGTTATTCCAGGGCCAGCTGTCTGGTCCGGTGCTCTCACCGCTCGCTCCGTTGAGTCGTGAGGGTTTGAATATTTCGTCACTTGGAAGGGTTGATGCAACACATTCGGGTTACCAAAGACCTACCGTTTCGATCGCCACGATTTCATATTATGTTAAGGTCCGTAGACTAGGAACAGGTAACTAGTCTGAAGTTTTCAATTGTATCCTTGACATCTAAGAGTATCACCATTGTGATTGCTCACTGTGATTAATGAATGGTGACATAGATGGAGATATTATGTAACCGTTGGATGTAAACTAGATCGATGTCTACACTACTTCACCTGGTATTACAACATGTTACATATGACAAATAGTACTAAATCACTTATAGATCGCTGATCAGAGTGAATCCCAGTATAGTCTTATGCTGAATAGTTTCTATGCTCTTTGTCTAGCTTGTCCCATCTACTACGTCGGTGCGCCTTTGATGAAAACCAGGAACCGTAAGAACAATCATACTGTGTGAAAAAAATTACATGGCAGGGAAGATACGCGTTTTGAATTAGAGGATTCCAACTCAGAACCTTTATGAATGTTCTACAAATCGAAACGTATTTACATCTCGTTTAGTGGGACCTGCATCTCGAATTCTTGGCCGTGTTGCGAAACCTTCGAAATGTAATGTCATGCGGTGATCATGCATATATCCTCATGGCCATATTGTAGATGATAGGGGCTTTACGAAAAGCTGCTTAATTCTATTTTTTCTAAGATGTTCCTATGACCATCTACCTTATAAGGAACACACAAAGTGCCTAAAGACCATGGGACCGTATGGGGGTGGTCTTGGAACGCAACGACTGGGCGGTACTCGGATGCATGGCCCTATCGAAATCGACTGAGAAATATCTGGCTAATGAAAAGAGATTGCTGCGCCCAACGCCTCCTCAGCCTCAATACTGTCTCGTGACGTTGTTGGGCTAATTTCGTGTTGGCGTTAGTGATCGGCCAGTCAGATTTCCCAAATAGGTGCACCGGCGCGCTCGTATTCGCATACCCCAGCTCTACCTGTCCTTGGGAGGCAGCCGCGACAGCCTTGCCGTCGCGTCGATGATTGTACGAGTATTTGTATAAAACGTACGAGTTCCCCTCCTATATCTACCGTGCGGTTTCAGAGCGGCAGATATGAACTACAGTAAACTACTACGATTACAACGTGCCACCATTGCGCGGAGATGACGCGATACCTCACCGAGGGCCCACGCCCTCCTATCATCCTAGAGATGTTCAACGTCGTCTTTTCCGCCGTTGCTCTGGTTCTAGCGACAGTCTACATGATCCAGATTCTAAGTGCGCCGAAAGGTCCATATACTCCGGTCTCATGGTCCAATTCTGGTTACGGGGCACTTTACTACGTACCACCTGGCTTGACACTGATCATATCCGTCATAAATTTTAAAATTTACCGGAAACATGCAACGCCGCTGCTTTATGCATTGCTCTTCGCAATATTCATGCTGGCCGGCTGGCTGACAGTTGTTGTATGGTGGATTCAATGCCATCTCGACCTTTGGAAACTCAACCGCTACTGCTACCAGCGCTCGTTACGATTTGGTGAAGGGTCGCAAACCTATCGACGTGTGGATAATAGCATCGCGTTTGCAAGCATCGCATTGGGAGTTCTCTTGCTCTTTATGTATATAATATACACGATCTCAACTTCTATCGAATATTATCGCAACCAACGGAGAAGGCAATGGCGTAATTCATCAGGGCTAGGCGATGGATACCGTAGGAGGAATGGAGGCGGTATTGGGGGCGGAGGTTATTACAGTGCAGCTAGATTTGGCATCTTCGCTCCAAGGAGTGCCATTCGTAGGCGCGGAAGGGGTGGAGACGGTGGAGGGGGTGGAGGCAGTGGCGGCGGTGACGGCGGTGGGGGAGGGGGTGACGGAGGAGATGGTGGTGACGGTGGTGGAGGATAGGATATGCCAGTAAAGGGCTTCGGTCACGATTTTAATACTTTTGCTGAACTTGAATAATCAATGTTCGTCGACAATAATTCATAACGGCGTGTCATAGTAAGATGGATGTGAGCACCTTATCACTAGAAACATGAATTATCATGGGGTCAGAGTTAGGTTCGTGACAGCTAGCTAGAACTGGGGTGTTACCATTATGCTTTAAGTGAGAAAGTCCATGGAACATAACCAATTCCTTGATTTTTGCAGTAGAATAGGAAGTATCTTAGTAGCAAAACTGCTACTCCCAGGCATCCTATCTGCTGATGTTGAAGGGTCCAATGCAACAGTCGACGACAATTCGCACTCTTTGTTGATGCAATAATTGCCGAAGAAATCATACCATGTGTCCCTAAAGCGTCAGATGACTGTTGTAGAAATTCTATTTGGATATGAACCGCCCTTCCAGGCATTTAATCAGCACTCAAAAAAATAAAAAATAAAAAATAGAAGTAATAGGTAATCTTCGATTAATGTTCGTGTACTCGTGTACCTTGCACCTATTAAACATACACACTCTCAAGGAACAGTATATAAACTTCATATTCGACAACACGCGACAACACGATCCTGGTTGGGAATACCTTTCGAATTGCGTTATCAAATAACAGCCAAGGCTTTGATGCAAGCTATCCAACGACTTGAGTAGGTATGTTCAGAAGGCTTCTAGCGATTCAATTCCTCTGCTTTGACTCGACACGTGGACGCGTTGTAGCATCCTCTCTCGTCAGACAAAGGCTTCAAGACTCATCGCTTATCTGGGTATGTTTACATACTAACAATGAGCCATTGGTTTTGTTGTCAACATATCTTGACAGCCTTTCAATTGAAGAACTATCTGGAAGCACATCACATTTCTGTCTCATCAGGCCTTGCCAATGACTTCGACCCAAGTCGGAGCAATTACAGGTGAATCTTTTTGGAAATAACAGTGTTTGAACTGTGTACACCCTCAAAGAATATATCTTTTCAATTTGATAGAACATGAGAAACCATTCAATATGAATGCATAATGTGGCATTGGCCATTGACGAGGGTACTCACCACCATAAGAACACCTCCAAATGCCCGTACTGCCACAGGAGTTGCACGGACCATGCGTGACCGACACTAGCCTAGCGCAACCCTTCCGACACGCCGAACCAAATCGTAACTTCTTCACTTCTATTATCCCCATATCCTTTCGCTCTTCGCGTCTGATCCAATCGTCAGATATCATCGACAAGCAGGATGGAAAAACCACAGAAGACAAGAAAGCCACACAAGAAGTCTCGAAATGGATGTCTGCCATGCAAAGCGCGACATGTCAAAGTAGGATAGACAAATCTTCCGACTGGAGAGGCACAACTGAAATGAATGTAGTGCGATGAACGCAAGCCAACGTGTGCTACTTGCGACAAGTACGACTCTATTTGTGAATACCCTCTACCGAAAAAGCGTTTGGTGTCAGAACCACCAATTTCAACACCTTCCTCGGCGGATGGTTCTACGGCTAATCACCAAACACCAATGTACGATCAAGCATTGGTATATCCAACAGATTCATCTTCACCAAACATGGCCCATCTTCGACTTCTCCATCATTATACAACCGTCACTGCGCCAACTCTCGCGGCCGATGATGGAGCTGTCCATGTCTATTCGTCCTTGGTCGTCCATATTGCCTTGGAATTTCCTTTTCTCATGGAAGCCATCTTTGCTCTAGCCGCTCTGCACCTTGGCCGGTTAGATATGTCGAAACGCGCTGAGTATTTACGACAAGCTGAATCGCACCATGACCGAGCTCTCAATCTGTTTCGAAATCTGGTCCAGGACATCGAGGAGTATAATTTTCAGGCGGTCCTTCTATTCGCAGGCACGCTGTTCCCCTACTCATGTGCAATACCTATCGATATGCAGCATCGACCAGATTATATGCTCGAAAGTATACTGCAAACTTTTGCATTGATCAGGAGAACTCGCCCAATGGTTGCCACATTCTACAGATCGTTTCTCGCATCGGAGATAGGGCGTATCGTACCTCAGGACACACGAGTGGACTGGGACAAAGAGGACCAACCAGAACAGACGGAACTTGTGAAGCTTCGCAAGTTCTCCGAGATAATCGAACACATTTTTCCATCCGAGATCGTAGAAGCATATGTTGATGCGATCCGGAAGTTGGAGATAATATTTGCAAGAGTCGCCAACCTTAATTGCCCTCCATCGGATTCACTTATTAAGCTTTGGGTGCATTTCGTGAGCTCCCGTTTCATGGAGTTACTTTCAGAACGACAACCGGGTGCGCTGATTATTTTCGCCCATTACGCTGTTCTCTTCCACAGAAGTCAACAGTACTGGTTTCTCCACGGGGTTGCCGACCAGGTAATGCATATTGCTGACAATCTGGTGCCTAGCGAATGGAAAGGGTGGTTGGACTGGCCTAAGGAACAGATCGGCATGGCGGCATCTCCCAATGGACCTGGAAGCATGTAGATTGGGATGCAATTATACAGATTGCAAGTTTCGATTCCAAGTTGTAAATGCTCGTATCATTTGCTATCGCTGGATAGGGAAGAGTGATTATTATTCCTTGCAGCAGGCTACGACCAAGATGGCGATGCTTGCGAACTTTGATGGATCTGAGTTTCTTGTGAGTGTTACCCATGACCAGCAACTGAACAGAGTTCAAGGCAAGCTGCTAACCAACTGTTGTTCATCTAGAGACCGAACATGTGCAGAATTGCACCAGAGAACCAAGAACATCCGGTGAAGTTCTGTAGGGACTTGCACTATTGTAAACAGTGCAGTCTCCTTGTGTCAACATATATAGGTTGTTCAAGTAGAGTTCTTCCAGGCCCTGCAGCAGAGACAAGCTCTCGATGGGTGGTTGAAAATGGGAGCTTAATAGGGGTTGGCAGACGGCAAGGATTTGCACCATGATTTTGATTGGGCGCCGTATTCGCGAAGCGTACTCAGTCCGATATACGCGGACCTGTGTGGAGTGGCGATCCTAACTCGGTGACCACCAATCACAGCACCGCGTTGCGCAAGATTGGGAGCTCCACTAGTCGAAACGGCGTATCTCGAATGTGAGTTACGAGTCGCTACGAACGCGTATTTGTCGTCCGAGTCTATGGTATAAGAGTGTACTTCTCGTCTTTCGACCTCATCATATTCGATTGCATTCACCTCTCGCTATCTGGGAAACATCTTTGAGTATTTCGCTTCAATACCCTCGAAAGTCATTCAGTACAATTGTTATTCAACATGGCGGCCGAAGAGCCTATCAAATATGTTCTATGGCCCTATACACCTTCCATAGCTGGCGGTGTTATTGGTTGTATTGTCTTTTGCATCTTGACCGGTATTCACTCATTTCGACTGGTCAAGAACCGGACTTGGTTTTGCATTCCATTTGTAGTGGGAGGGCTCGTAAGTATCCGTAATATACAATGTAACTTCGTAGCTGACGTCAATAGTTTGAAACCATTGGCTACGCTGCAAGAGCGGCTGCACACAATGACACAGTTACAAAGACACCGTACATCATTCAATCGGTCCTCATCCTGATTGCACCCATCCTCTTCGCTGCCTCGATATATATGATTCTTGGACGGCTCATTAATCGCACCGATACCGGTTCACTATCAATCATCCGCCCGTCTCGAGTTACCAAGATATTTGTCACGGGAGACATTCTGTGCTTCTTCATACAATCTGGTGGCGCTGGCATGCTTGTCCAGGCGAAAGACAAAGATGGCGTCAAGCGAGGCGAGAACATCATTCTTGGCGGCTTGATCCTACAGATCTTGATCTTTGGTTTCTTCATCGTAGTCGCTGGTACTTGGCAACGCAGGTTTGACGCATACGAGTCGTCTTCTGGCCGTAACGCAGAAATCAACTGGAGAAAGTATATCCGCATGCTATATGCTGCCAGCGCTTGCATCACGATTCGAAATACTTGCCGCGTTGTTGAATATGCCATGGGCAAGGTAGGTCCACGACTTTCGATTTGGCTTGGCTACTGCTAACAAAGGCCTTAGGAAGCGTACTTGCTGCAACATGAGTGGCCACTTTATATTTACGATTTCCTCATGATGGCTCTCACCCTTGTAGTCTGCATAGTCTGGTATGATCCGAACATCAAGCCGCAGCAGAAGAGGGATGTAGAGATTGCCATGGGTCGATAGGGACCAGAATCTGGTACGCAAGAGATGAAGGCAGCTTGCAGCCTCAAACAAAGTTCTATAATCGATGTTAGAACTAAAGCGGAAAATATTTCAAGAAGTACGATCAATTACAAGCTGGCACTGTAGAATACGGATTCAGTAAAGGGATTTCATCGCATAGAATGGTTGATAGTAACTCCTTGCACATTGTCTGGAGGGGGAATTGGAAATTTGCTCAGATTCCATAATAGTTGTCGATGCATGGCGATTGTAAAGCTTGGCTGACACTAAATCTAATTTGTCTTAACGCGGATCAAATCAGCATCGTCGAAAGAGTAGCAGTTCCTCTTATTTAAATCATCATCGCTCTATGACATAATTTTGGAACAAGCAGCAAGAAATGATTGTATTAGGTACTCAGGAATAGTTCATCATAAGCGACGGACTTTCCTTCCGGGAAAAGATTGATAGAGCAATGTTGATTTCTTTTTGGCGATGCTGTCGCAATATGCAAAGTAGAAAGACTCACCGACCCCACCTCTTCCTTTCCAAATATCTCAAAGGGACAAAACTGACTGTGCACACACCTAGTGCCAAAATCCAACTAACATCCGTCCCGGTAGATGAACCACCGATGCCATTCGCAATAGGACCAACCCACCATACTTGGCTCATACACAAAATGGATACAATTGTTCCAATGATGAAGCTGATCGAAGCTGCATACCCGAATGGAAGCCTCGCTTTATCGTTCCAGGCGTCCACATCGTATTTGAATCCTCCTCGCCAAATCCAATCTTCGAGCAGAACTATTATGGTGAATGGAGTAAGCCAGTATGCACACATGTTGAGGAAATTTGCCATGACTTCTTCCAAGTCATCCCTACCTGCTATCGCAGCAGCTAAAAAGACTGCGCCTCCTAGCAGGGACCAGAAAAAGCGTGGAACTTTGAGTGTCTTTGTTGAGACCATCTGTGCGCTAAGACCCAGAGAGTATATGTTGAAAATGATAACAGCAACTGTCGAGAAAGAGAGGATCAGTTCGACGAACTTCCCAAATCCCCGAATTGCACTTCCATGCCCGTCAAAGATCGCCCCAATCAGCCCACCGATCCCCGCCCGGTCATATGCGTTTGTGAAAATCGGATCTGCGTTGAAGACCAATGTACCGACGGCAACTCCCACTAGCTCGACCAGGACCTGGCTGATGAAAAGCCCGAAGAATGTATACGCAACCGCTCCCCATTCACTTGTCGATTCCTTGATGAAAACACCGTAGTCAGCCGCTACAGGAGTCCATGCAACTTCAAATCCAATAATGGCTGTGCCAAAGGAGAGTACTGCCGACGCCTCTGCTTTTCCGGAGCCCATAGGAACGTTGATGAAATGTGGCGCACCAAAACCAGCAACGATTGCAAAACAAACGAGCATGACCAACCAAGAGTATCGTTCATACATGTGGACGTATTTGTATCCGAGCAGGGCCACGGCGATGGCTACAAGACTGATTAATAGTACAGCGACTGTTAAAGGCAAATCCCCTCCTCCTACGTCGTAAAGAATTGAAGCACCGCTAATGGCATTTACTAAAAAAGGTAGTGAGCATCGTTTAATTCCCCTGGGATTCGTCTACCTACCCATTCCCCATCCTATCTGATTGAGGATATTCAACAACGCGAGTACCTTGGCGGGATACCATCCGAAAGAATACCTTGGGATGATCATGGTGCGAAAACCGAGTTTCGGACCAAACCGCGATACAAGAGCTGGAAGAATGGCTCCGAATCCGTTGAAGAAGATTACGCAAAGGAAAGAGTCCCACCATCCTAAGCCATACGAAGCGGGCCCAAGATACCCCAGAGCCATTGTAGCCGTACAACAATTGGCACTGAAAAACGCCGTAAATAGATCCCACGGGTTCTGGTCCGTTCGCATGTGCTCCGGGATACGTTCAACGCCTGTCTCTTCCGCACCTAAGAAGCGGATCCATCGATGCATACGCGAAGTAGATGCATTCCTTTTTAAATCAATTTCGCCAGTACTGGCCTCGGCAAGACTTTTGGGAATGTCTTGTTCTTTTTGTAATGGATCCATTGCGACTTAACCGAACCACTCTTGAATCGGTCATTGGAGAACTTTCGCAGAAAGTGTGACGATATAGAACGGGCCGGAAAGAAAAATACGGTGTATGAAAGTGGTGCAAAGTTGAATGGAATTTGCAGAGTGATAAAGAATCTGAGGAATCACGAGAATTGATTGTATCGTGCCGATAACGCTGGTCAACAAGCTGAGATTGGCTGGTGATAGAGCAACACAGATACATACACGATTGACTAAGTACGTATGTAGGTAGATAAGATTACTCCTCGTATATATCACTTTGGTTTAGCAGATAATCACTCTGCTCCGATTTGCGGTACAAAATGCTTGGGCCACAATGAGGGACGAGTAGTGCTGAAGCTTCGGCTTTCCCTGTTGGGTTTCCGGCTGTCGCGGATTCCTCACTGATTTCCAATCTGACACCTGGCTCCTACATAACAATTGTAGTGATTCCTGTCGCTTTGCGCATTTAATGACACTAACTCAACAGTGTAAGGACATGTTTTGGAATTGTGCAACGAGATCACTAAACAGATGCAATAACCGTAACTAGTAATAACGCAGGAGCCTCTGTAATCGTTGGTACCTAAGTATAATCTATGTGCTTACCTGCTTGTCTCTGCCGTGGCTCTGCAGAAGGCTTCCTTCAGCCTGATTATAGTCTCGCGTTGTGTCAAAGACACTAACCCTATTCCAAGGTAACATCACCCCTAACTATCCAGTGTCATGTTGTAGACTTCCCTAGCATATTTGCTTCTCTTTGCTAATGCATCGCCATATCTGATGAACGCAAATGGTATTATCCCCATAATGAGTGTGAATAACCCAAGGAGTGAAGGAGCCCAGTGAATACCAAGTTTGGCATACATGGGGCCAGCGGCTAAGGGAAGCAGGACAGCTCCCGCAGACCTTGTCATACTGGAAGCAGCCTGTGCAGATGCTGAATATTGGCGAAAAACATCGGTTATGTAGTTCCCCATTCCCATGAATAAGAGTTGATAACCGAAGGTGAAGAAGAAGCCTCCAATCGCGGGCACGATTGGGGAGACGCTATGCCAGGATGTCCAGCCAAGCCAGACAAGAGATATGACCATACTTTCGCTGTCAGGCCTATGGAGACTTTAAGAATTGGTTGAAGGCACTTACGAAGGGGAAGCAATACATGCCATGGGTAAACGACGATAGATCTCTCGCTGCGCCCATCTTTTTCCGGCCGCCGCAGCATGGTCATAGTGCCATGTGAAGAGATAAAAAACGCCCAAAGAAACGAGTGCCCCAAGTATCACTGTGTACCTATTAGCAGTACACCATTTTTATAATTTGCTGGATGGCGTACTCGGCACGTATGCAACTCCAGATAGCCCGGGGGAGAGGCCGTAGAACTCTGTTATCATGGTCAGCATTCGATGAACGAGATGTGCAGACTTGAAAATCTGGAAAGAATTGTTTACCTTGGAACAAAATCGGATAGGCTTGGAACATTAAGTACGTAATGGCATAAGCTAGTGCTAAGTAAACGCTCGTAAGAAGGAGGATCGGTTCCGTCATCATGAGTGTAAAGGGTCGCAGGAAGATCTTGTGTACATCAAACACATGAGGGGTTTCCACTGCAAATTCACTCGAAGGACCGTTTCTCGCCACACGCCTTCGGATGTGTTTATTATAAAGTACCGGAGCGAAGGTTTCCGGCAATAACAGCACTATCGGTAGGCCTGGGGCGGCGATCATGGGCGCAATCCAGAAAGGCCATCTCCATGAAATCTGAGACGAGAAACCCGAGATCAGGGGTCCTATCAAAGGACCAGTTGTGGTAATGGTCATATAAATGGCAAGCGCAAAGCCCCGCTGGGATGGATCGTCCAGAATGTCAGCGTAAAGACCACTTATCACAGTGGTAGCCGCCGCAGCATTGATCCCACAGAGGAGGCGGAATACGAGAAGGACTTCATAAACTGGAGCTACAGAGCATGCCAGCATGAAGACAAGGTAGCCTAGGAAGGTCCCCATAAGCACAACTCGTCGACCAATACACTCACTGAGCGGACCGAACACGACCGGCCCTACAACGTAGCCAACCATATACAGTGAGTTTAATAGTGTAAGTTTGAGCTTCTCAGTCACTCCAAAGTGCGATGATATTGCATCAAGAGCACCGGCTGGCATCGATGAACCCAGGTTTCCGTTGAAGGTGCATGTAAAACCTGCGACCACGACTAAGAGCTTTGTAGTCTAAACGCTGTCAGATATGTTGATGGAAGTAATAATTAGCATACTGACCCACGAAAATTTGGTAGGATCTAAGTGGCTTTCAAATGGCAAAATTGCGTCCTGGCCTGACTTTGCCGCAACTTTTGGCAGAATGCAATTGAGTGACAGTTGGTTTACCATCTTACCGATGCTAGCAACGACTCTTGAAAACAAAAATGGAATTAGTTCAAATGATAATCTACTCGAAAACGAGAAACTCTGGCGTCTTGAAGCTTTTATATTGTTGTGCGTAACCCCACAGTTTTTGTCCTTCTTGGTCAATTACTCAAAGGTCGCGATGCGATTGGCTCTAAGTTCCGCCCAGTTGTTAGCGGAAATCAATTTTCCGAAACTTCCGAAAATCCTCTCATCCATCAATCAAGACCGACATGATTACTGGACACAGACTTCCGTAACCCCTGATGTATATAGATTTTCTGACTGGGGAAAGTCAATAGACGTACAAGCGGAGCATTGATTGCCTTTTCACGAATTGTACATGGATCAATCTCGGAAACAAGCGTCTGGAAGTGCACTCGCACAAGGGTTGGGTCAAGCAGAGAAGCCAAGGAAAAGTACGTATATCTCGACAATACTTTCCATTCTGCTATGTCTGCAAGAGAAACTGAAGAGAAATATCCATACAGATGGCCGGGCATGCACAAACTGCAGAGACCGAAAGGTGCGCTGTGATTTACTCGAAAAGGGTTCCCCATGTAGCAATTGTCGAACGCGTAGTCGACTCAGCTGTCGCCTTTATGAAAGGAATAGAGAACCGGGGACCCGAAAGTTGTCGCAACAGCGACGTCTAATTGCTCTTCAGCCAAAGAAACTCCGCACCGCCGCCACACAACCACCGGATGTTGCGCTTGTCAATTTTGCAAACTTGAATACAACAAACGAAGATCAGGACTTTTCATCTACAATCTCAAGAGAGACTCCGGAATTGGGAACACAATCAGAAGAAAATGGGCAACTGGCGCGTGGAAACATTGCAGACTTCCTTGACCAAGAAGAATTACGGACAGGGGAGATCGACCATATTGGCAGAAACCTATTCATTGGTACCGAAGTATCCAACTTCAATTATCTCGTTCGGCAAGGATCTAGTAACGCACGATACGATCACTGTTTTCATTTTACAAACCGCCAGTTTCACCCAAAGTATACGTCATTTGACTCGGATGCATTGCCAGAAGAGGCCTTGAAGCTCCCCAGCAAAGCACTTGCCGATAGACTTTTACATGCATACTTCGTACACGTCAATCGTGGCTGGCCGATCGTTGACGAGGACCTTTCAATGGCCAGGTACCGAAACCATGATCCCCAAAACCCGCTCGCGTTGTCGCTTCTAAATGCAATGATGCTTGTTGGTGCACATGTTCTATCTGCGAACGACGAGGATATGAAGGGCCTGAAGTCTGTTTTCTACCGGCGGGCAAAGCTTCTCATTGATCATCGCATAGATCAAGATCGCACTGCGTACATCCAAACAGCCATTCTGATGACCTGGCACTCGGACGGCTTGGAGGATCTTATGGCAAACGCATGGTATTGGATCGGCACAGCATGCCGTGTAGCCTATGGCCTTGGTATTCATCGTGACTGCACTCCATCAATACTATATGACGTTCACAAAAGAACATGGATCAGGCTATGGTGGATCTTATTCCAGTTTGACACCATCTTGTCCACAGCATTGGGTCGCCCTCAAGCGATTAATATCGAAGAATCAGACGTGCCTGAACTTGAAACAACTCACTTCGAAGGTATTCCGAAAGCAGAAGTCAATTTTGTCATTCACCATACCCGTTTATGCAAGATCATTTCGGAAGTAACAAAGCAGAGGTGGGCTCTAAGGGCATCATTTGAGGCTCAGGCAGATGCGACGCGAGCAGCAGATGAGAAGCTTGCGCATTTCCTCACACATCTTCCGCTCGACCTACGCCCATCTTCACCTGCTCGGAGTGTTTGGCAGGCAACGTTGAGCTTCACGTACAATAATTTTGCTTTGCTTCTCCATCGACCACCACCCAAGATCGGTCTCCATGGCCCAACAACCGGATCTATTAGCAGTGCCGCTATATGCAGCGACGCGGCACTTTCTATTACATCCCGCATGGAGGAAGTCAAGTCTATGGAATCTACCTCACACGTTTGGGGCATGAGTATTTACGCCCTGTTTACTGCCATTGTTTATGCCAGCACCTCACTCGGTACAGAGAATTCACTCATAACAGCAAAGTCCGTTTCAATGTTCGAATCGCTGTTTACATCCCTTCATGATTTGTCGTATTATTGGCAACTTGCATTAAGTCTCCGATCACTTTATGAACAACGACTGCGGAAGATCAAAAGGCAGAAGCAGCAGCTGAATACTAGGGCGGTCGCACACGGTTCTGCTAGCATCCACTCTGGGGATCCTGTGTCATTGGACACAAGAGCAGTCGATGGAGCAGATCAGGGACAAGAGGTCGCCAACGCACCGGATACTCATCCATTATGTGAAAGCTACTTTGGAGATTTTGGAGAAGAAACTGACTTTCTATTGAACGACATCTTGTTAGAAAACTTAATGTTCCACGATAACTCGAGTATTGGAAACCTAATAGATCTATAATGAAGTACATGTGTCTAGAGTACATAAGCAGAAGATAATATAACCGATAGCAAAAACGTTCCATCGAGCCCTATGCAACTCATCAAAGGCTCTTGCGTCTGAAATTAGTGATGGTAGATATAACAACGATGCCCGGCATACGGAACATTCTTCTAGCAAAAGTCTCTATCAAAATAGTGTCTGACCAGTCTTCACGGTTTTAAGCAAACTGGCCTGTTGCACGCATTAATGTCTTTTCAAGTCAATAATGCAGAAGATTCGTACCTCAGTCATTTATGCCGAGTAGCATGAAGCTGCAAAAGTGATTCGTCAGTTGCAGGTACATTTTGGAAGGGATTCAGAATCACTAACGAGCAACCACAGCGAGCAACGAGATTCAGTAAATCTGAATGCTGCTCCTCGACTAGGGTAATTGAGATATTGCACGGCGACTGCCCGATAGTAATAGAAGTATCGGGATAACCCGCGGCTGGGACTCAATTGCCCTTTGGAATAAATCTGTATGAGGAACTATCAGCATACGGGATAGGAAACTGGAACAGAACCTAACTAACACTCCTGGACCGCCATCGGGGTACGACGGCGCTGAGGCATTCACCTTTTCGAGGCTGGCCTCTTCGTAGGCCTAACAAAGAATAGATGATGTGCAGCTAAAGCTCGAGTCTGGGTGAACTCTACCGGATAACCCCCTGTACCGATGTCGCAAACTATTCTGAATTATAGTGGTAAGGAACATTGAGCTGCACAGTAGGTTCCGATGAGGAATAACCTACATGCTGTCACTGCATGTTTCCTCGTGAAGGGGCAAGAATTCACCGTTAAACTATTTTCGGTCACCCTCGATAGTAGTCTCAAAGCCATGCAGTCATTGCAGAGGCAGGTTATATACCCGTTAGTATTGCATTTGAAACTGCTGTATTGAACCAATTTCGGCCTTACGTCTTGCTGAAAGAATAGAAAGAATGGTAAAATCAGCTACAGGGACATGTAAACTCTCTCGTGGAAGGTACAGATAAATCAATCACGATGAACATCCCTTCCCTGCCCAATATGCTCGATTTTTCTTTAACATTTCAAGCCAGTGCGAAAAGGATCAAAGACTGGTATGGAATGAACATCTGAACAGTTATAGCATACCAGGGCTTCTTATACTGACTTGATCGCCAAGATAATGCGCCTACGCAAAGCTGCTGCCGATGACCCAGCTCGAATCGTCATTGAATGAAGCCGCTTGATCGAATGAATGAACACCGCCATTGCTTGAAATGTATGCTACATTGCTGTAATGACGGATATAGCGGGTAGGATAACCCCAGGCTCGAATCGAATTTCCTTGGCCATTGAGTCCAGATTGTGGGCAGAAAGTGGCATCTTCCTTGAACTGCTTCGAACCATCGGACGCACTGAGCTTAAGCTCAAATGCGGAATGTCGAATATAGTTTCCCACAGTATCCTTTGATTCGAATGAGAAGCATGCGTTGTTACCAAGACCAGCCCGTACTGTCCAGCTCGCTTGCTGCTTGAGAGATGTACTACTAGACGAATCCACGACTTGGGTGTTGATAGTAGAGCCAGTGTGGGCAAGATACCGTGTGGTATAACCCGGCGTAGTCGCGCGCAACGAGATGGATGAGCCAACAGTTAAAATTGGCCCACTCGTCAGAGATGTCGTGGCATACTTCGCAGCAACGATGTTCTCCTGCACTGAATTCTCGGTAGCGTCGGTCGGGTAACCAGACGTCATAACACCTTCGTAGAAGGTGCCTTGGGCACTCACACTATTGTCGCCGCCAATGCCCAGGATGATTGCGCCTTCTTTATGCATCGGATTATAGCCACTCACACTCGGACGCATGCCATTATAATAGGTGGACAACGGACCAGAAGCAGCATTGGCACCACGAATAGCCCATTTATTAGGTCCCCCCTTGAGTATAGTTGTGAAGAATCTGAACGAGATAGACGGGTCACCGGCATTATTTTTCGGGTTCTGGCCTGAGAATAAGCCGTTTTCTAAGTCTGCCTGCTTTTCCGTTATCTTCAGAGGAACAGAAAGGACGTGAGCGACTCACCATAAGCCATGGGCCGCTGCCTGCTCCTGTACCCCAAGCGGTGTTGGTACCGAAATAGAGAGCTTCCATATGTCCATTACCCGTGTCTAAACTATTTGTCTCAGCATTACCGTAGTCGAAGCAGCATCCACTATTGTAGTGCGTTCCATCAAACACAGCGTACATCCCCTCAGCTGAGTCCCCTGTCGCAGTACCACTTGCTGCATTATTTCGGTAGCCTGTCCCTGGTGATATGAAGACTCCATACACCTTTTTGCCATCAAGTGTGACTGGTGCGCCCGTTGCACTAGCCAGGTTATCGTATCCATTAGACTCCGGACCACGAAAACCGCCAGGAGGGGCCTGAGTAAGGTGATTCCCCCGGCCTGATTGATCGTAGATGACCGTGATCAGGCAGGTAGTACTTGCGCAAAACGTGTCTTGCACAGCTGCATTTGCAACACCACCAGTGGATAATGGCGAAATAATCGTCGTAGTGTTGTCGGATCCCCGTTTCACTTGATACAATTGGCCACTATAGGCACTGTACAATGCTCGAGTCGTACTATGAGCAGCAATGCATGGGGTTCCCCCGGATGCGTAAAGGTCGCATGGAGCGGCAGTAGCGACCAGTGCAAACCCCACTACCAGGAGTACTGACGAACTTGAGTGAATCATGCTGGACACAAAGTACCGAGAGGTAATGGATGTAGAACTTTCGTAACCATCATGTATTTTGTCGGCGAATCTTTTGCATTTTGTAATTTCAAGGAAGCCTGTAGGGTTGGATTTCTCCTGCAGTTGTAGTCCTAAATCCGTCTTCTAAATTAAAATCAGCACATGATAGCAAGGTTGCCAAGAATTTCCTCCAATAATTCATCGAGAGTACGACATTGTCTTAACTATCGTGCGGGGTTTCGAACATGGATCGTACATTTTCCCTGTGACAATGAATGGTCCAAAGTATGGAGCATAGAGATGTATGCCCTTTCCGTCGTATTCTCGCAAGAAGTTGGGTCTTGTTCGGGAAGCTGTCGGCAATTGCACAATAGTCGTGTTGTTTGAAAGTACCCAAATCTTCCGTGCTCATCGTTCTTCCGAAAAAGAACCGTGCTTCTTCCCATGTTCGACAATGTTTCCACCAGTAGGTGGAATATACCAACAAGACTAGACTACCATCCTATATGCTGGAATGCACTAGTACTGCAATGTAGGGAATCAAATTTACATAGTTTGTTTTGAGGTTTACAATACCTAGAGCAGCCTTTGCAACACCTACAATGTCACACCATACCTTCTACGTAGCCAAGTACCTTCGATGTAGTAGCGGAAAACCATCCTATGCTATGAGATACAGCTGCAAGTTACGGCATTACCATTGTGATTGTTGAATTGAACTAGTATCTATAATTACCGCAGTTTTGAGACGTGCAACCTTCATTGGAACCCTGAATATTAGCTGCTCGTCTGCGTTGTGTATATGTTGTTCATTCAATATTCTTATTTGACCTCAGGCAGATGGGCAAATTTTTTATTTGGAATATACCAGATGCAAAGATTAACTACCTAAATTGGCTTCGCAGGCCTACTGTTGGTTGGAAAGTAAACAAAAAATCCTAATGTATCGCGTATCGTCTTCTATTGTGCTCAGAGTGCGAGATTCGGGCCCAATGCATCTGCCCAATCCCAAAGCAGACTCTGATCGAGATCTGCGAGCACATCTGCGTCATCATACTCCATCTCCTGCGGGTTTGACCACCATACACCTTGATAGTCTGCAGCACTGATTTGATTTCCCTGGGTCAGCAGCTCCGCATCATTCAAGGCTGGGCTGTCTGGCACCGGGCCAATACCAGTGAGACTAGATCCTCTTTCCGAAGGTGTTTGTCGCGCAGCCCTGTTGCTCTCAAGTCTATGATGGGGTTCCGTTTTGCTTGATTCCACATTCTTATCCGACTCTTCATCACTTGGTATTGGACGAGCCCTGAAATCGCGCTCAACTGTAGCTTTTTGTGCAGGAAGGGGGGCATTTGGCTCGTCGATGCTTCGAAGCATGTTCTTAATGTCATTTACGTAAACAACGTACCGGGGAAAGTAAACCAGAAGATCTTGCAGAATTTGAATAAAAGCAATGAAATATCTCCGTGCATTCTCTGGACTCATAGTATATGCAGGACTGTCTCGATGGCAAGCGTAGAGAATTGCGCAGGATGCTTGATACAGGGCCACGAAACAGCTGGTATCCGTAACGAATGGGCCTCCTCCGGCGAGACCGTTAATCGTTACAACAATTTCTCCTATGGAAACTGCGTGTTCGAGGCATTTGCTTTGTGCATATGCAACGAATTCGGCAGATGTTGACTGAACGATAGAGTGAGGAAGAGCCTCACGATATCCAGGATTGAGGAGTCGATAAAGCTCACAATGACAGTGATGATAATAGATTTGAAGAACAATAAAGGTTGTGCTTTCTGGTGAGAAAGCTCGAAGCTGGAACTCCCGAACACTAAATTGAAGCTCTGGAGGCAAAGAGCAACTAAACAGATCTAGCTCCTGTTCGAAGGACTGGAATTGTGGGAGAGACATCTCAGGGCTGATTGAATTGTCCAATAAAGGTTTTGTGTACCTGTTACTCCGGTTAGAAAGGACTCTTAAAATTCATCAGGGTCATTACTGAAGGATCCGATTGCGGATATCGAAAAGACGCAGAAGCATTGCAGACATCGAGAACGCCGCATCGGGGTCTACTGATGCATGAAGAGTCGTGGTCGTGACCGCTATATCTCCATTGAAATACTGGTCAACGCAAGGAAGTCGAATGTGATCTAGAATGGACACTGGAAGCAAGATGTATTCCTGGAAACTCATCAGTCATCAGTCACTATAATTTCCGAAAGGGCGTAATATCCGACGGGATATAGGGAATCCTTACGGGGATACCGCCTGCATGAAAACGGTCTTGTATGAACATACTCCAGAGTAGCCGACGTCGGCATTCTGCCTCAACGAAAGAAAGTCCATGTTCGTCTTTATGCAATTTAAGATACAGTGCCATCCGAACTGAGAGAGCAAAGTAATGGAAAGTTTTGCTGTTCTGATGGTTGTGAGCGTGGAAGAGGGAAACAATCATCAACGCTTGAATGATCTCAATAGTTGGTTTCCCCAAAGTTTGGAACACCATAACCTCTGCTCGTTCAATCCAAACTTTGGATCTTTCTGGATGTTTGCTAGCCCGTCCAATAAATCGCGATGCTGCTCCGCACACGGCAAGAAGTAAGGCCGGGGACAACTTCCCCTGTACGTAGCAGCGTAAGAAATCCGCGTGATGTAGGAAACTAAACAACGGTATGGGATATATGTACTTGAAGTAGGCGTCAACATGCTGCCGTGCGATTTCCCTATCACACCTCAAGATTCTAAAAATCGTTAACAAATATGATTGATAGATTTGTTGCTACTCACTCGTCGACTTCTTCGTTGGGTGACACCTCCAGAGATTTCTGTGGAGATTCTCCAGTAGATCTTGGACTGCCGAAACCATGGTCTCTCTGTGAGCGCTGGGGGAGGATACTTTCTTCCGATAGAGTACTATTTCGCCTGACGTCGGCTGCTTTGTACCTACGAACTGATAGCGAATAATGGCAGCGAAGGCCTAAATTCACACAACGTTCGCAGCCCGAGCTTTCTCCAGAGCATTTTGATCTCTGTAATCTGCAGGTATCACAGGCTCGCGCTCCTCTCTTCCGAGGGGTAGGCGTAGTGTTTGTCTGCTCCCCATCCAATACCGCTGGTTGGGTAAATGAACATTGAAACCCAAGACGTGAGCATGCATCACATGCATCACTCATTATAAGGCCGCTGCGACATCGCACCTGTTACAGTCATTTTACCGCCATATGTATTCTCGTTCAACGTACCTTGCGCTGTCGACATTGCAAGCAGGCCGTCATTCTTCCTGGCCAGTTCAATTAAGTAGCCGAAACTTCAGAGCTGAGCTCTATTGTACAAGGAAACTAAATTTTCCAATTCTTTTACGTGTATTACGCGAATCTCATATCGGGCATCGGTTCGATGCCATAGACGTTGCGAAGAAATAACAAAAGGCAAATGTAGACAAAATAATTCGTTCAAGTCTACCACTTATAGTGTACAAGATTATAAGAGGGAGGGTGAGGGGAATGTGGAGACTCTTGAAATCGAGCCTAAACAAGTTAAGCCAATCGGCACTGGTCTAACAAGTAACACTAAGGCGTCATCGCCTGTTTGCTCGCGGCTACCGTCCAGGAAATTCACGTTCGCTTGAAATCGAAATAACATTATCGACTAAGGTTATACATAATTAGCAATCTTATCTTACTAATAGCTTAATCATGTTCTTGTCTTTCTTCTCTTTCTGTAACTACTTATTGCACTAAATCACGTTACAGTACTAGGGGCGACTGTCTGCTACACGCATCTATGAACAGTCTGTTATCAAACTAATTTACCCTACAAGTACTGTATATGTACCAGTTCAAATATGCTCCCAACTAACTATAACTGGGGTCATTGCTTTGTTTCATTGAAACCGCCGCGCCTCTTGTTTAAATTTCCTTGCGGGAACCTTCTCATGGAACAGATGGTCGAGAGTTTCCAGTGTCAACCCCTTGGTCTCCGGGAGCCTGAAATAAGACCAGACTAGCAATATGACCGTGAAAACAGCCGCCGGGAAAGCAGCCTTGCCCTTCAAATCCCATCTCTTAGGGTTGAGCATGTAAGGTGATATCGCGACTTGTATGATCGAGAGAAAGTAGTAAGTATTGCGCCCTAGCGCAATTGTCTTGTAACGAAGCTCTGCTGCCCCGACCTCGGCCGCAATGGCATATGGAATTGGCCCAATAGTAATTCCTTGAATAGCGTTAGCAAGTTGGAATTTCAGAAGGGCATTCAAGCACCTACCATATGTAAAGAACCATATCATCAGAATAGCAGATTGCGCCCATTTAATAGAGGGATTGCTTCCTGCATGCGGTGCGTACTCGAGGAACGCGACAATCCACATGATAGGAAGCATTACCACTAATCCTGAGATATAAATCGTCCTACGACCCATTCTACCCTGGAGCAGCCACGATAGACAAGTGCCGACAAACGCCATGCTGTAAGTACCCAGGGTAAGGCTGAAAGAGTCTGTAGGTGGCAAACCGGCTAACGAGAAGAAATAAGTTGTATATCCTTGAATGATAAACCCCGGGAGGATTTGACCTCCCCAGGAAATCATTGCTATCTCGGTTCGGCGGAGATTTGTGCCCCTGAAGCAATCGATGAATGAGCCCCCGACTTTCATTTTTCGTTCAAGTTCGATCGTATGTTGCATCATTGCCAATCTATGGTCATTGTTGACGGCGTTTGGTGGAGCGGTCAAGAGCCGGTCCAAGGTCTTTCGTGCTTCTTCGACTCTTCCATTGCGAACTAGCCACCAAGGGCTCTCGGGGGCGAACCATGTCGCAACAATCATTACTGGCGGCCACATCCATTGTAAGGCAAACGGGATTCGATACGACCACTCACTGTGGACAGACAAAAGGCCTCGAAGCACTCCTGTAGCAAGTATGCGGCCGATAACCCAGCAGAGATTGACATAGGTTGTCAGATATCCACGCAAGGCCATAGGAACAATTTCACTGGCGTACGTAGGTGTCGCAGCCGCGAATATTCCCCATGTCATTGCACTATAGTTGTGCTCGTCAGTATAGCGTCAATTAGAGAGGTCTATGGGGACACCACTGACCATAAGAGCTCACCGGCGAACAGCATTGCGATGCTGTTGGCAGTGAACGTAATTGTAACAAATCCGGCAAGGAACACATGTGCAGCGATCATCACATAACGTGGTCCAAAGCGATCTCCAAGATATCCACTTGCAAACACTCCGAAAATGAGGCCAGCGAGAGTAGAGAAGCTCAACCCTAACTGCCAGTTTGGATCAACTTGATAAGTGCCGTTTGGCAACCTCTCGCCATATTTCTTGTTGAATTGGGGGAACGCATAGAAAGAATTAATGAGTTGCATGTCGTATGATTCCATGATTGTAGCCATTGCTAAAATCACCAGGTAAGTAGGTGTGCAAAGGTTGTGCGATTGGTAGTAGTAACCTACATATTGCGATAGACCACATTGCAGCCTTTCGATAGTAAGAGAAGGCCTGTCCTAGGGGCATGTCCTTCTCTTGTTGGGAACCCAATGCCGCATCGCTCTCGATTTCGGTTTTTGTTTTCTCCTCCAGATCTTCTACCCGGTTGATGACACTCTTAGTTTCGTCAACTGTGTAATCTTGAGAAGTTCTTTTTGGATCCATGATGGTCAAACTCATAGAGAAAAACCAGATGACTGCAAGATATGCTGCGCAGCAATTAAAGGGTGGAAGAGCTTCAATCACCGTGGGGAATCTCGAAACATATATGCGTCCATAACCTCGGGATATTCTATCGAAACCAATGGCATGGTCTCTCTCCACGCCCTCGTGTCTGGACTCTGGGGAAAGATCGGGGAAACTGTCTCCCCAGAATACGGGATCGGTGCCGCGAGATTTGCACTCGTCTTTGCGCGCAATTGGTCAATCAAGTGCAGTCTCTAACAGGCGAGTCATGGATACTTGGCAATTCGACCTTCTCATGAACAGTGTTCGCAGTATTGATGGCTATCATGTCCCTGATGATTGTTCACGTTGGGGCACAAGACATGTTTGTGGAGGCAGACTAACACAAAGGCTAGTCGAGAGTTGGCACCGATAGGCTGTCGGCAGGCTCTCGGCCAGATGTCGCAGGCTATCGGCCATGTGTAAAGGCTGTCGGCCAACACACTACTGAAATCAGACGACGATAATGGCGCGTACAATACTCCACCTACTCGCGTTCGATGAGGCAGCTGGACTGTAGATTTTTTCAAGACCCATTCCGGCTGAACATCGGCTATGCATCACATCTTCCTCTTAAAGAAGAACGACTGTTCCCAACATTTACCTGCCATCGTTGTCCGACCTCGTTCACCCCAGTTCAATCCTCTTTACTCGAAGTTGTTTTTGAACAATTGATCGTCTTCAGAAGCTGAATCCAGATCTATTCCTTCACTTTCGTCAAGAAAGCGTGGAGAGAGAGGAGCAAATATGTCCAAATTACCTCAGCCAAACATTGTTTTTATCATGGCGGACGACCATGCCTCGAAGTCGATCTCATGTTACGGGGCAGGTATTAATCACACCCCTAACCTAGATCGAATTGCCCAGGAAGGGATGCGATTTAACCATTGTTATGTCACGAACAGTATATGTACACCATCTCGCGCAGCAATCCTCACGGGAACACACAATCACGTTAATCTAGTTATGACTCTTCAGTCGGAGATTAACGAGCGTCTACCCAACGTCGCTAAGCACCTTCAGACAGGAGGGTACCAGACGGCAATGGTTGGGAAATGGCATTTGGGAGAAGGGAAGGGCCATGAACCAACAGGCTTCGACTACTGGAGTGTGGTTCCAGGCCAGGGCGAGTACTATGATCCTCTTTTCATTGAATCAACTGGCACGAACCGAGTTCCCGGCTACGCAACCGACATTATCATGGACAAGAGCCTTGATTTTATAAAGAACAGAGACAAAGATCGACCGTTTTTTGTGATGTGTCATCACAAGGCTCCGCATCGAAGCTGGGAGTGCGACCCCAAACACAAGCATCTATACAAAGACCCGGTCAAGCTTCCGGATACCTTTACTGACGACTACAAGAACCGGGCTCGCGCTGCAAAGATTGCCAAAATGCGCATTGCTGACGATATCACGTATCATGATTTAGGATTGGTACAGCCCGATGGTGGTAGCGAGATTGGACAGAAAATGATCGACGTGTGGTGGTGGCGTGAGTGTTCCTGTGTAGCCTTTCGCCATTGCAAACAGTCTTAGTCCTAACATATCGCAGATGATCGGAAGATTCCCAACCCTGAAGATGTCACCAAGTTGCGACTGATTGACAAAGACGATGGTACCGTTTTCACCTTCAAGACACCGGCAGAACTAGCCGAGTTCAAGTACCAGCGTTACATGCAGCGCTATCTGCGAACAATTCAGAGTATTGATGATAATACGGGACGCCTCCTTGATTACTTGGATGAAGAGGGACTCGCAGAAAACACGATTGTGATCTATACCTCAGACCAAGGATTCTTCCTAGGCGAGCATGGTTGGTTTGACAAGCGATTCATGTACGAAGAAAGCTTCCAGATGCCCTTCCTTATCAGGTGGCCCAAAGAGATCAAGGCTGGGACCGTATGCGACGACATAATATCCAATGTTGACTTTGCTCCACTCTTTCTCGACTGCGCTGCGCTCAAGATACCAAGCTACATGCAAGGTTTCTCTTTTCGACAACTACTCAGTGGTCAAACGCCATCAGACTGGCAGAAGGTAGCTTATCACCGCTATTGGATGCATAACGACGTAATACACGAAGCATATGCACACTACGGTATACGAGACCAAAGATACAAGCTTATCTATTGGTACAATGAGGACTTTGGCCTTGAAGGTGCCCGACCTGGAGATGCGGAGCACAAGGAGTGGGAGCTATTTGACTGCCAAGAAGATCCTCTGGAGCTCTTCAATGTGTACCATGATCCAGCGTACAAGGCAATTTTAGATCAAATGACGAAAATGCTAGAAGACAAGATGGCAGATATCGGTGATACACCTGTTCACCTGGTCAGATAGCTTTTGCCTTATCAAGACACATAACCTTCTTAGCGTAATTGTCATGCTTTTACGTCCCTAATCTATCATTTGAGTGAATTTCGATCCGTCATCATTACTATCCTGCCGAACAAAGTGCTTGGCTGATGATCTGGTTCAAGGGGCTGATCATAAGTTTGTGCTATTTGTTGTTCTTTATCCTTATAATAATGGCTATAATTCATCTACCCTAACTTGACATAGACACGATGGTCCCTTAGGATATGGCTGATCCTGAGGACGTAAGTGCCAGTGTGCATCTCTGAAGTCCCCCACTCTGTCTTCTGTCATGCTCACCTCTAGATCAGAAGTCGATTTTTACCGTTTCCTACTCTAGTAACGCTCTTCTGCTACCCTTGATAAGGTGCTCTAGGAGAAAAGGTAGGAGATGATTGGCCCTGATCAAGATTGAAGCTTCAATGTTTTCTACGACAAATTGAAAAACTCTATTTTATTCTAGTAAAGAAGCTGTCCGACTTCTCGACGCAAGATAACGCTGATGATTATGAAGAAGTTGGTAAGGTTGTAAATTAATCTCACGTATAGTAGAGCAATAATCATATTTTAATGTCCCTATAGTATAACTCGGTGCTGTATATTATATTACAGAAACTTGTTGTTTCAAGCAGCTCAAGTCGCCCCTAGACCTAACCAATGTATATGTATAGCTACTCAACTCCAGTATGGCCATCAACAGGTAGATGGGGCTATGAGAGGGCATTCATGTCTTACAATATCTCTGTACATTCTCCGTATTGAATCTTTCTACAATATGGCCATAGTTGTATTTACTGCTTCTCGAGGTCTTCACCTTTGTGCTTACAAAAGATCAATAAAAGGTTCAGCTCCAGATACATCTATTTCTAGAAGATTAGGGAAATTTAGTAAGTAGCTAAAGCGCACAGTTTCAGTATTACTCTCTGACATGCTGAAACTATGGCAGGCCCTGTCTAATGTCGGTCTTTTCGTTAAGTCCCCATGCTTGACTACTATCGTCATGTACAGTTGCCCTCCTCATATCTCTTCGATACGTATATGAGAACTCACCTCCCATTGCTCTGTGCATCGTGCAAGTATTGTCCCATATAACCAAGTCGCCAGCATCATACCAGTCCACGGTCAGCCGGTACTTTTCTTGCGTAGCATGCTGGAAGAGCCTTTCGAATAAATCCTGGCTCCTTCCCGGCTCCAGGCCTTCAATATGATGTATATGCATGGCCAGGTACAAGTTCATGCGCCCTGATCGCTCATGAAGCTGTACTAATTTGTGACGCCCCATAGGGTAGTTTGCAGGTTCAATTGCTGCAAAATGCTCCGGTGCAGCAAGTTTCTTTGAGTGAAGAATTGAATGACACGCAACATAGTCGTTCTTTAAGAGATAGTCTTGCAAATTACGTGGTAGGTCGTCCCATGCCGCTCTCGTATCGCAGAACTCGGTTGCACCTCCCGTGCCAGGCGGGGGAAGTTCATGTGCCAGGAGAAGGGAATATCCGGCTCGACGTGGATTGAAGCTGCTGTCTACGTGGAAAAGGCTATTCCCTCTATTGGCTTGAGCTCGTGGGCTTGTAGGTTTGACCAGGGTACCATCTGATTCGATATTTCCAACGTCAAATAGCTCGTCATATTTCAGGCGATTGTTACGACCAGCTTTATTATATGGCTTTACATCGTCCAGCTCTCCGAACTTTCGAGCTAGTTGAACATGGGCAACGTCTGTTAAGTTGGTTTTGCGAATCACGACAACGCCAAACTAAAAGACTGTTTAGCACATATACGTCTATGAATGGCGGGCTCATTATACCTTCGCGAGGAGCTCTTGTATGAAAAAAGCAGTTCCGTCGCTGACATCTACTTCGAGGTCAAGCCCTTCAACTTCAACTCCGAAACCATTCTTGAGCTCTTGGATTTTAGGAGATGAAGACATAGTGAGATAAGCAATAGGGAAGAGATCTTGTAATGAAGTAATCGGGCGCAGGAATATATCCTCTTGAGATGAACAAGTCTTGCTGTCTCAAAGGTTGTCCGTACTATATACCTGAGTTTCCTTTTCGGCTATGGTAGACTGGATCGGCTATGGTGGAGTTGATCGGCAATGGTCGGCAAGGTCACCATCAAGCGACTGCTCCCCAAAGAGCCCACACATTGCGTTCATCCACCAATAATGTTCTCGAATAATGGTCCTGGTCCATCATAAATTGGTCAATCAACAAAACATTGGCCTACAGGAAGCGGCGTTTGCATCACTGGCACTCCGATGGCGATGATGATCTCCCAACACCTCTCATAGGTGCGAGAAAGTATTGACAAATGAAGTAATGCGTGGTGTGGACCCCCAAAGCCGCTATGATGACGTAAACTCAAACTAAACGGGCTTCGTCTTCGCAATCTACAACACTGCTCCGTTGTCCTTCACACGTTTTGCATTATGACTGCTTCGACGGGAAAGCGATCTTTTCGCGCATGCTTGCGTTGTCGTCGTCGGAAGACAAGATGCGATTTACAAGGCACAGGTGATCGAAAGGAACCACCGTGCAAGTCCTGCCAGCTCTCCAACAACAACTGTATACTTGTAGGGTCGCGACGAGGTCAATGGAGAGGCCAATGTGACCCAAATCCTCAAAACAGGACCGCCAGCATACCTCATTCATCGACACATGAGAATGGGTCCAACGAACCAGCGATAGGGTCATCTCCATCTCTACAAGAGGCCACTGAGTTGCCGAGACAGACTCAAGAATCTTCTGGGGTGACCCACACCGATCATGCGAGGCATGTTGAGCTGCGGAATCCTTCTGATGCACTTGAATTCCTCTCACGTTCAGACAATCATGCTGCTCCAATAGCAGATTCTACCTCAAATAGAAATCATACAGTAAACAGTACGTTTACTACATTTGATGATTACGAATTAGTAAAGACTGGAGTGTTGTCTAAAAGTACTATCTTTGAGCTACTGCAAATGTCAGTCAAGATTATATAGTCGGAATTTATTGTGCTTGCTGACTAGTTTTCTAGCTATTCCAGTATATATCACCCCTACTGTCCGATAGTACCACATTGGTTTCTTGACCGCAGAAAGGATGAACGGATTCAAGAGTCTGAGCACTTTCTACTGTCGTCCCTGTTGACTATTGCGTCACGGGACTCGCCACGTTTTGTACTTGTTCACCATTCGTGCTGGAACTACGTTCAGAGATTGCTACTGGATGTCTTCTTGTCTCGCTCATCGACCTCGACACCCCGCACAGTTGAAGGTCTCCTGATTTTGGCAGAATGGCTCCCACATATTGAAGTTGCATGCTTGACTAGGGTCGCGTCTGGCGAGTTGTTTGGAGAGGATAGGCTTGCGTGGTCTCTAATAGGCCTTGCAATTCGGCAAGCCTACATGATTGGCTTGGATCGAGGTGCTTTCCGTGACAACAGCCAACTAGCCCATGGCAAGCTAAATGTGCAGAAGAGATTGGTCTGGCATTGTATGTTGTTTCTTGTACATGTTTTGGAGGTAATGCTAATATGAATCAAGTTGTCTATCTAGCTGATCGACATATATCCGTCCGCTTGGGTCAATCCTTCTGGTCCCGAGGGCCATCGTTATCTTCAGACTTTACTGCAGATGACTTTCCTAGCCTTAAACCTAAGTCAGGAGATCAGTTTGATTACTCGCAGCTACTACAAGCCAATCTCGAACTCGTGCAAATACTCTATAATGCCCATCTAATTCTGTATCCTTCGGCAGATCGTTCGCGAACACTTGTTCGTGATGGCAACTATGCCCGATATCTTGACGATTTCTCTAATGCTGCAACAACGTGGAAGACTTCATGGGGGCATCTAGAGGGCTCCTCGGGATTACAAAGCTGTCTCTTCATCACCTATCAATACGTCCGCCTGTATGTCAACGCGTTCTCTTTTCAGGCAGTGTTGAATCGCGCTACCGACGATTCTGGGTCCCCTTGTACGAGCCAACCGTCATCTAACCAGCCGCCCTTGATTGGGGGAATAATGTCTTCGCCAGATGGGGTTTATATCAATAGTGCTATTGAAGCAGCATTAGGTCTACTTGGTAGGCTGGTAGCTCTAGACCCCTGCAACGACCTTCGCTTTTTACCATCTCGGTTTTACCTGTAAGACCTAAACTATCGGTAACAGATTGAGACTTCTTCAACTGACAACTTCAAAGATATGGGATATATGCTGCTGTTCTCTTACACAAGGCAATTATTGCCGAAGCATTGACGGCTTCTAGAGATGCCAATACAGTCAATAGTCTCTTTGCTCAGCTTGTGTCAAGGCTTCGAGAAGCTGCAGGAACAGAAACCCATGTGTGTCACACATATGCCGGGATGCTGGAAAGACTTCAAGCTACTACTGATTGCTATAAACAGACATACTCTCTATATAAAGGGAGTAAGGAAGATTGCACCCTAATAGTAAAGGACCAGGTATCTCAACAACAGGATGTAGAGTATGCCTTTCCAAGTATCGAGCCTGACTCAAGTACTGAACAGCTATATGGGACACATGAGTTGTTAGACCCGGAAGTACCCTTTCCAGGGCTACTTGATGAGCTTACAGTAAGCTCGTTCTGGCCTGGACTTGGAGATTTTATATAGATAATACAGTACTAGAATATAGAGGATAGAAGTTAAGATAGAGTATTAAGATAGGTTAATTAAGTACTTAAAAGAGAGAGTAAAGAAAGTAAAGAGTTAAGGTCTACTTTTTATAATAGTTAATTAATTAATAAGTGTAATGGGCTGGTGCCCAGGAGATATACTGTAACGGGGTCGTCTGAGTAGGGACTTAGACACGTGACCTCGAAGGGGTTCTGTTGAGTAATGAGGGCCGTAGGCGTGGTATCAATATACTGGTAGGGTTGAACGTCAATCAATCACTGTTGTGTAAATGTGTTGCCAAAGATATCACAAGTAATCTTCCGTTAGGAAACTGGATACAGAGAACTGTATCGTGGATTGACGATAAGGACCTATCTATGGGATACATTCTGCTTATATATATGAGTACGCTTGGCGGATTCGTTGGGTTCGCGGAACGAATCCACGAATCCGTCACGTGTCCAAGTCACGTGTCCAAGTTATGATCTACCTCGTCGGCATAGAGCTTGTCCGCGTACTCCTGTTCCCAGAGGTCCTCCTCGTAGGATTCCCTGTCGCCCTCCGGCCACTCAGAATCGTCACTGTTCGGTTCATCCGTAACATATACCCTGGATGAGATCCAGTGTAGTAATCGCGACAAAGCGCCGTGAGAACAACTAACGACTACCAGCTGCCCGTCGAGGGCACTTGGTGGCCAGTGTAGTTGAGTACTTCTCCTGAGTTTCCTAGTTAGAATTAGCGTGGTTTTCGTAAGGGATTCTTATAATCCCTACTCGAGGCTCTCTAAGACCTCTATCGAATTCATTACTGTTATCAGGTATCTGCAAGCTCTGCGCAACCCTTACATGTTACGATCCAAGAAACGACACCCAATGGATCAGTGTAGCAACAACGAGGACACCGGATGACCGAGCGCTTATGAGGGGCAGGGTCACGTGACTCACGTGACCTCCTCACTCGGTCAACGGTGAGGACCACTAACACGTGATATCCTCACTCCCTCACCCGTGAGGAGGTGAGGATGGACCCTGGTCCTCACCACCTCACCCGTGAGGAGGTGAGGATAGGAATTATATAGAGAACCCAGAATGCCCCTATGGCCTTCTGTGTTCACCCTAAGTTAGTATCGGACAATACACTCTACTGTTCTACCGCTATTATCCTTCTTGCCTTGCAACCGCTTCACGTTACTCTTCAGATTATCCCCGAGAACCAACCAGTAGATCCTCGATCTTAACACTATCCTACTCATCTATCCTACTCATCTATCCTACCTAATTAGTGTTTTTGGTTACCCTTTGTAAGTATCTTCTACTCCAACCTATGTAACCTTTCTTATAGCCTATCTTACTAATATCAGATATATAAAATTACCTTA